GAATTACCTATAGGTCGTAGAGCGAGAGCGTAGCCTTAACTAGAAAGTCCACGCTCTTTCTGATGTGTTTTTCGCAAAGATTGTCCGGATCATAGAAATCCGGATCATTCACGTCTACGAGGAGACCGGAGGAAATCGACTGTTATGAAGCTGGATTTCGCCACTAATTGAGATGGAGGTAGCTTCATCTGCTGGCACCCATAGCACTATGCTGCCATAGTACTATGGGTGTGGAGCCAACCTAACTAGGAAAGGTAAAAAGAAATGAATGTATGCCATAGTAGTAATACCAGAAGAAGTTCTTCATAGTAACTAAGACAATGAAGACCGTCTTCAGATAAGATTCAGAAGATGAAAACTTCTCACGCTCATCTTCTGCATGATATAAAAAGACTGTCGTCGACCGGAACTACGCCTACCATGCTATTGCATCCACGTGCTAATTACAAAGCGCGCTCGCATTCTGTAGAGAAGAGCCAGCGAGTGCCGTTGCCTTTAGTTTGATAAATTTGTAAGGGGGCGCTTTACATGATCTACTTATTTCTGTTACGGTTACCCCCGTTCATCAAAAAAAAGGGACGGTGGACCTCGACAGACACAGTCTTTTACCACGTCAGCGACGCAGCCTTTTACCACGTCAGCGACGCAGTCTTTTACCACTTCAGCGACAAAGCCTTTTACCAGCACGTCGTCGAGTGACGACAGTCGTTCTAGTATCATCTCACATCTCAGTAAGGCATTGACTCATACACTCGGCGCCACTGTCCATTGGGCTTTATTAGATCCATCGCGTTCGCGTCGCCGTCGCATTCCTGAGCCCATCCCTGTGCGCTTTTCTCGCTTGAAAAAAAAGGCCAGGCATGGCGCTGAGCATGCTCTAGCGGTTCCCTTAGCTTTGGGGCGGAAATGAACCACCAGCCCAAATCCCGCGTCCGCCAGGGCGGTCGCGGGATTTGGACGAGAGATCTCCAATCATGAAACTCCGCGAGAGCGGCACTTCGCCCCTATCTTTTTCACTAGCGTCCGCCCTGTAGGATGCGGATTTTGACGCGCCCCTTCAAATTCCGCATCCGCGTCCGCGCTGTAGGATGCGGATTTTGGCGCGGCGCTCTAAATTCCGCGCCCGTGCTGTAGGATGCGGGTTTTTCTCAGGCCAAGGCCTGACCAAACCGAACAGCGGCCCAAGATGAGACACGCAAGGCAAGGCCGGCGATGCTGCTGCAGAGAGGCAGGCGGGACCATGGTGGTTAGCTCTAAAATCGCAGCGGCCTGCCCACAAGGGATAAGAGAATAAGAAAAGTAGCGAACACAGTGGCACCCTTAGCGCGCGGCCGTTCTTTATATCACGGCAATAGCGTGAGCGTGACTAGGTTTTTGCTGTTTGCAATGGCCCAAATGGCCGGCCACTGAAAAGAGTGACGCGCGAGGTTTTTGCTCCTTGTTGTGGTTGTTCCTTCTGTGCTTGTCTATGACCTTGCTGGCCCTTTAGTTACTTCGTGCAGAACTAGGCTGATCATGATGATGGCAGTGCTTCTCATAATGCTCCTAGTCAGTGCTCTTATCGATCTATCTGGTTGCTGCTCTTGGTTCTTGGTGGTGATCGTTGTGTTGTTCGTTGTTGGTGATCATGATCCTCATGGTGATTATGATCCTGATCATTATCCTAGTGGTGGCCATGATCTTGATCACTATCCCCCTGGTGATCTAGTTACTTTGTTCCTACGTTTGCACTCGGAGTCTGGGTATTGACAGAGAACGACGCAAAACGAGACGCAACCAAGTGGAGCGAGTCGCGAAAGTGGTCCGCTTTTCAAAGTAGGGGATTGCAAGATATGCAAAGCGACAGCCAGAGATTATTATGGTAATAATTACCGAGACCAGTTACTGTTACGGGTAATTAAGTTACATGCACATTTCTAATTATCTAGTAAGAGTGCTACAACTAGTCTAGACAATAACGATGTCTCTAATGAGAAATAGACGCGTACTTGTACTAGACCACCGTAGTTGCTAATTCTAGTGTGAGTACTACCCAAGAATAACGTCGTACCCTTCCACAATCTTGACGTTGCGCTGCCTTCCAGCACTATTTTGCATGTGCTCTTGCTCTTGCTCAGTGGGCGGCTGTATGCACATGTGAAGCTACTTCTCCAGCTTGGCTATAGCCAACATCCAGTTAATTTTTCTATCGTCGTGGTATCTTACCTAAGATAAAGGTGCTATTAATTTCTTGAGGCAAAACACCATAAAGAAGAACGACGGTTCTTTGCGACGAGCAGGTCCACATTGAGGCCAGAATTAACATCATGGATTCTTCTGTTAGCGGGAGACGTTTTTCGAAAAGTTTATCCTGCGCGTAGTGCTTATTTACTACAGGGGATGGTGCAGTCAAGAAAGTAGAAGTGCTTTTTCTGTAAGGTCTTATTTCGTCCAGTCCTGTGAAGAGAGCAGGTAGGCCCGCATGTATCTGCTGCATCTTTGTCGATGGTCCACATGCGACTGATTATACTTCTTCTTATGATCCAGATCCTACTTCTAGTACTACCTCGTCTTCGTCAGGTTCAGATAAAGGTCCTTCAGGTAGTAACTCAGGTAACTACCTTCTACTGATACAGGGAAAAACAAAAACGCGCCATCTCTGGTTGTAAACGCCATCTCTAGCTGTTAAACATTAAGGCCTACATAGCCACATTTAAGAACATAGCCGCATTGTCATTGGTCTTAACAGCGTATTTTTTTTGCTCGTCTGCCTCGTGGTGGTCGTATGATTGGTCGTGAGGCGGGTCGTCCTCTTTTCCGTCTTCTTCTTCATCGTCCGACTCTGAGCTCCTGGCAGATGATGCAGGAGTGGAAACTACTCCTTGTCGGTGTCCGCTCGAGATATTAGAACGTAGCTAGTTCTAGTAGCAGTAGGCGTAGAGATGAAAGTGATAGACACAGAGATAGAAGAGTCAGTTTCAGATATAATTATATCATGTTGAGATTGTGGACGATCTTGGAGAACATCAATACTCATCAAACACAGACTATGCTCCTACTTAAATTTTCGTCATGTCATGTCATGGTACCTCTGTGCTCTACTTTTGGCTAGTAGTAAAGAGCTCTTGTTAGCCTTCATGTACCTTCAAGTTAGAAGAGCACGAAGACCAACTGATAGACTATCAAGTATAACCGTATGTAGCCACATAACTTGTATCTTCATTATAACTACACTGCACAGTGAAGAAGTATGCCCTGAGTAGTCCTTGATTGAATCATCATCTACTAGAAGTACTAGTACAGTGTATAATCTAAATCCCGACATATATCTTTATCTGCATCCATCAACCTATTCAATGATCTACACACACTAACGATGATTCTTACACAACTAACGAACTGGAACTCTCAGTAGAACTACACACAGTACCTCTGAAGTGTACCAGTGCCAGGAGTGGACGAGACTGACTATCACTAATATTCTGAAGTTCGCGAAATAACATCCTTCCATATCTTCAATTTCTTGTTGCCCATTCGTATTTCCTTGCTGACGGAGATGAGCAGACTTCTCAGCGAATTTTCCCAGCACCTTCATCAAGTGACCCGGTGAATTAGAGATTGATGTAGATCTACTAGGAGGTACCAGTGTCTACGATGATTCTCGGAGTACTGGGAGGCGGATTTTTGTCATTACAAAGTGAAGGATAACCACTTTGTCTCAACATATAAAAAAACTTACTTATAAAAATACAACACCCCTAATGTCTTGTTTATTCTTCTGAGTCTCGCTGTGCTCCACCTGTAGAGGTAGACTTGATAAGGACAGGTAGACTGATATTAGTTGAATGAATGTAGTACAGAAAGTGCTCTAAGACAAGACCCTTCTAGTTTGATCGTTGGACTTGATGGGCATGTTGAACAGCTGGAAAGAATCTAAAACGCTGCACTCACACTCGACTCTCGTAAGGAACTGTCAGAAAAAAGCCAAAAGACGAACTCGCAATCGCATGACTTCTATCTAGGTTAATATACAGCAAAAATTTTGCCGTAACAGCAGCTTCATCTGCATCCTCAACCTCAAGTGGAGAAAACGTTGCGCCGTCGGCATTAAGCTTTAAACCCTTGTTCTGCTCCTTGCCAAGTTCCTTCTTTTCCGGAACAGAAGATCCAGACAAGCCGACTCCCCCATTCGAAGAATTAGCGATTTTCAACGAGTAAAACCAGTTTAATAAGTAACTACACGTAAAAAAACGAATGTTGATGAGATACAACGTGACACCACAAAAGCGAGTACTTATCATGCAATCATGCAACAACCTGTCTCGTAAGAAAAAACCCCTTGGTTTTGTCTCGGGCATGTTTGTTCATGGCACCCTTTCCGACTGCATTCCCACCAAGCACGCACAAGGGGCACAGCAGTAAGCAGACACGTGACACGAACGGAACCTCGAACATCTGGTTCGTCGTTGTTCTTGACTGTTGTTTGAGTATTTCGTCTACGTGTAGAACGAGAAAAAATAGTAGATGTTGTATGTGACGACTTTATGTTGGAAAAATTCTTGGTTTTAAGACGTACGTAGCTGTTATAACTACAAAATCCTTGTTGGAGTCGGAGTGCTTCTTCGAGTTGTAGAGAAATAGAAGCTTCCCTTCTACTCTCAAATCTATGTTTCAACTGAGAATGAGTGTTATAGCTGTATATGAAGATCATTTCATATTGATGTAGGAATCCTAGTCGGTACGCTTGTACAAGCGTGCCTGTTCCTCTCTCTGAAGGCCACAGCTCGCACTTGTCACACATTCTCCTGAGATGACCACTCGTACTCTCACTAGTAGATCAAGATCGTGTATTACTTCGAAAATCACAACTCGTCTCATTAACATTAGGAGCTCGCATATCCATATTACTATCTAGGGACAAACTCAAATTGCAGCTCACTGGATCGCATATCACTCCTTGCGACATTTTCTCGGCTCAGCCGGAACACTATCCCGGAACCACCTTCCACAACCTACAAGAGATACCAGTCACCACTCAGTAGTGGTAGTCGTAGTAGGAGTTAACCCATTCACGGGGTAAGAGGGAAACTGTATGAGCAAGACCAGACATTCTACGAGCTCTTGCTTCCTTTCACAATTACATACAGCTGCAAGCTTTTCGAAGGTTCGACGCACCAGCTCGGGTGGGCGCAGAGAAAGCATACACTTCGCGGACGCAAAGACAAAGAGAAAAGTCTCAGTTGTCTCTCGTAGTTCTTAAACGGAGATATTAGTGACTATAGTTCTGAAACGACACCCACACCTTCATCTCTGGTTGTGTGCTTGAGTTGTTTTTGTTTTGGTGTCCAATAGTCATCCAGCTATCGGTCGACGGCGGTGTGTAATGCAGGCATTGATCTTGTACGCGGTAAATGAAGAAATTGTGTCCTCTTATTTTGAAATGAACAATTGGAAAGACTAGCGTAATCTTGTTCTTAAATTGCGTTGGGGGATGAATGTGGATCTTCTGTTTTTGAAAATCTGGGGAGAGTATTATCAGATAGATTTATGAAGATCATGGACCATCTTGAGTACAATTTTCTGCTTGGGGAAGATTATGACAGTCTAATCGATGGTGGTCGTACAAGGACCTGTGCATTCTTGTTTCTTGGACTTGTTGGTCTAGGTCTTGGTGTTATGAAGAATGTGAAAAATTTACGGAAGGTGAAAGGAGCTGCAGCTGTGAGTCGTAGATCTAGATTTACGTCTCATTTGTTAATTTTGTAACGTTCTTTTCTAATTAGTTCTAGGAAAGTGAGCATGCGGGATGCGAATCAAGAAACAAAACCCCCAGAACAAAAACAGCCCCTATCTCGGCTTCCACCTTCTTGTTGGACTTACTACCAGACAAATTGGTAAACTAGTACTTGTACTACAGTACTATGGGAGAAGTTGAAGTTCTGCAATTGGGAAAAATTTGAGAACAAACATTTGCATTCGGGGTTCCAAATAGCAACATGCACACAAATTAGTGGTCTGATGTACTTGTAATAGTACTGCAGAAGATTGGAAGATCTATGACGCACTTAAGGCAGTCTGCACTAAACTTTGTGCGAGATTAATCCTAATCGTATTGTATGGTATAAAAGTAGATCGCACCGAGGAAGATGTAGATAAACTCACGAGAAAGAGGGCCCAGATCTGTCGCTTGTTTTTCCGTGAAGAAAACCGCATGAGTGTGAACAACCAGAAACCGTTCGCGAAAGAAACACGCTATAGGGCCACCATCAGAGGACGTGGCGCTTCGCGTTGTGCTTGTAGCTCCAGGAACTTTGGTGCATATGTGTTCTCCAACATGAAGATGAGAATGAGTCCTTCTCGATAGATTCTATCTTGTTTTCAAAATCCCCATTCCATATTCCTCAGTCTACCTGATATACCGGTGGAGCACGTCGCTCCAGCTAATTGGTATTGTAAGGGATTCACTGCACACAGGATCCTAAAATCCTCCTCCTCGTCATCTGCTCATACGCGACATACGAGGGGGGGTTTTTAGGATCATGTCTTCATCCCTGAGGACGACGAGTTCCTCATACGATACTTGGACGACGAGTTCGTCATTCCTGTACTTGAACAGAACAACAGGTTACGAAAATCTGAAGGAAGTGTATTCATTCTTGATTCAGTCGTGTGTGAGAATCTCAATTTGTAGAGAGAATCATGAATTTCTTGAATGATATCATCTTGAGTTGAGAAAAATAAATTGCTACCTGTCCCTGTGCCTGTCTCGTCTGTCGGTGGCTCCTCTGGTGGTGCAACACTTTTCTCAGTGGGCAGCGCCTCGTAGAAGGGCTGCATTGGTGACATCATTGATCGTGCACAGCTTCCGAAGGCTCTACGGACTCCTCCTCATTTTTGAGTGTAAGTACCTGAAGGTGGTCAAGGTTGCCAGTATAAATATTTTCTTGATGACCGAACATTTCTCCAAAACAAGTGCATCTGACTCAAAGACACAGACGATAGAGACGGTGAAAAATTTCCTAGTACTGCCCATGCTGCCCTGTTCCATGCAGTCCTTTGCAGGAGGTGTTGAGCAGACTCCGGAGTTCTCGTGTGTGACTTCGATTATTTTCTCCTTGCCAAGACCTTCGACGCTCTGCAACACTGGCTCCAGAGCCAGCCTCATGGAGTATTAGAGTCAAAGGATGCGCGTCTTACGAACCAAACTAACAAGCAGAGGTATGAGTGATGTACGACCAATCCAATACTGAACATGAGGCACTCCTCCACAAAACTTGTGAAGTCGATGAGGGAAATCTAGACCCTCGCTCTGACCATTTTGAATTTTCCATCACTGTGTTCAGGTTCACCGTCATCTCGCTGGTCTCAGTCTTCTCAGAGTTTATTCGTACGCCCGACACATCGCCTTCCTGCAAGAGCCGCACTGTGTACTTTGACGTCCTCTCTGTTGAACCTTCGTCAAGTTCTTTGACGTTGTGCTTCTCGTTCCACCATTGCTTGGATGAATGAGACTAGCGCTTTTTTCGCTTGTGAAGGAACTAAGTGGCCGCCTGGATGCTCGAATACTTCTGTTACGGTTTCGAGGTCAGGGCTGCGACTGACACGAGGCTCATCAATAGTTGCAGGATCTGTAGACAGGTGTAGTACTTCCTGGTTCCTATCATCCTGCTCCGCGAGAAGTTCGCAATTTGTTGACCTTGACTTGAAGAGTGAAAATAACTCTCGGCTGCGCTCGGGTTGGAGTTAGAGATAGAGTATGCTGCAAAGGAGTTGCATTAAGATGAGAAACAAGCAGCCAGGTCATGCATTGAAAATGATGTTGAGTATTCAGCAAATACTAGAAGGAAGCTTGCTGCACCATACGTCGGAATTGTATCGCTTATCAAGCTCCTGACAGTCTCACCCCTATCCTTAAGTGATAATCTCGTCTTTCAATCCGAAGCAATGAAACGAGCTTAACGAGGCCACTCCTGCTGACGAAAGATGTTTCCGTATAGCATCTGCCATTCCAGGATCCTTGTCAGGAACAAATCCACTGAAAAACAGGACGAATTTCAATTGTCTTGGGCGGGCAGATCCGTTGATGCGGCCTGCGATTAGAGGTAAAAATACTGAAATGGTACCAAGCACTAATCTCAGATGATGATCATGATGTATCCTCCTTATTCTACATCAACAGCTACCTTCCCGAGCAAGAAGACAAAAATAAGCGACGACCTTCAGACATGAGACATAGCATCAGCGCCACTATCAAAGCTGCTCCCATCGAAAATCCCAGTAGTCCATCGACTTGCTTCTCCACTATCGTTTTCTGCACCATAGACAATGACTGAAGCACACCTCTTTTGAACATTTCTGGGTCAGCGTGTGCTCGGTTTGGCTTATCGGCTGCTGGCGGAACCCAACTTCTTGTGTTCTGCATTGCCGTAGCAAGAGGAACTTTTGACTCTGCTGCATCCGGTTGGCCTCCTAGTCCGCCTGGATCTGAAGAAATATCTCCTCCTCCTCCTCCTCCTCCTCCACCTCTGGAAATCGAAGTAGAATGCTCGCAATGAGGCACTTCAAATGGTCCATCCAAGAAATGGAAATCGCACCACTTTTTGAGTGGAGAACGTAGCGAGCCGATTCGTTGCCGAAAACTTTCGCCACTCTGCGCATGACCATGCAAACACAGCACTTGGAATTTCTTCATTTTCTTTGCGGATTTTTCACTTTCTAATTTACACAAGTTTAAGTGGAAGTGCATACTAAGTGTTTCACCTCTGACTTCCTCAACAAAAGAATCTAGCACAAGACACGATGTTAATCAAGCTTCGCCAACAGCATGAGTCGAAGAAAAACCAGCGAGGAAAGAACGAAATCTGAGAGAAACCACGCATTCGCATTTCCTGTCCGGGAAAGCCAGCGTCCTGATTATGGTGCTAGAATTTGCACTTGAATCTTGATCTTCAGTCTAGTACCTTTTGATGGTGCAGCTTCTTGTTGAAGACTTCAGCCATCAAGATCGCACTGGCGATCGCAAAAGAAGTGATAAGAAAATGATTGACCTTTTCACCTGGCTCGAGAAGGAGAAGCCCTCTGTACTGTGAAAACGATTTGACTGCATTCAAAATCTACTTTGACATTATCATCGAAAAAAACACATGCTCAACTTACAAAATCTCCAATGTAAGTTGATCTTGATGTTTGACTCTACTTTTTTACTGGAAATCGTGGTTCCACTGTGAAGAAATTGTTTGACCAACATCGCATGAAGATGATGTTTGTAGATGCTGATGAAGATGTTTCAGTTACAAATTTAAATGAAGAGGTGGGAAACTTCTTTGACATTCAAAAACTCAGGAGGACATACTTAAGTACTCTTTCCACGTCCACCCTAACCCTACTCATGTAATAGTGCAGGTAGAATGGTGCTTCGCTTTGTTGTTCTCGATGCTCGATCAAGACCGACATCTCGCGCCGCAGCAAACTTCCAAGCACTTCTTATGACTAAAACTTACAACAACAACATGATTTATGAAGTAGCGAACACAGTGGCACCCTTGACGCACAATCGTTCTTATATCACGGCAATAGCGTGATTGTCTTTGTTTTATGCAATAGCCCAAATGACCGGTCACTGATATCAGTATGAGATTCCCGTTTTCGGATGCGGCAAGGAACGTTTTTGGTTGTTGCAGATGGTACATCTGTCAACTGCTAAGTCCCAAGCCTGTCGGAACTTTCGTGCAAGTGTGTCATCATCTTCAAGTAGGGGCTTGAAGTGAGAACACGCTTGGTCGGACTTGTAATGCCACAACTGTTTGTGTAGCTTCGTTACACTCGCTGCATCTTTGCACAGCTCTTCTAGGTCCGAGAGTTGCCACTCGCCGCGCCAACACACGTGCTCGTCTGCCCAGTGATGTACAGTCACTGGTCCTGGTTGGGCTTCCACGTCACCTGCTAGCATAAGCAGCATGAACATGATCCACCTTAAGATCTTGGCAATCTTAAATCTGGCTGCCCAAGCCGCTCCCTGGCTTGCGTTCGTAGCGGCTGCGTACTTTGCAAACGAGCATAGATTTCCGGAGATATCGTATGCGAAGTTTGCCTGTGTGTTGCCTACCATGTTGAACATGATAAGACCTCCGCGGCGGCGAAAACTCAAACTCTTCTTTCCGACTTTCAGAGTGTTCTTCCCGTAGTCAATAATAGCCTCACTTCCAAGACTATCATTGCCTAATAAGAATGGCACTCTTGACATGCGTTGCTGCATGTCTGCTTTTTGGTTCGGCGTTAGTCCTTTGGGCGGGCTGAAAATACGGAAGATTCGCGGACCGAAACCTTCAATATTCACCGACGCTCGCTTCGTTACTGGACATCCGTCGCCGTTTCCAAACGAAATGCTGCCCCCTGCAGCTTCCTCTTCAACTTTCAAAACACGCTCTGGGTACATGTTGTGAAAGTCGTTGAACCTTGGTTCGGGCACGCAGCTTACGCCGCACCCGGTGTCGATTGCTGCTTCGACTGGTTCTACCTTTGCTAGCAAACTGATCTGGTGCGATAAGTTTGCTGTGTAGGTTTTGTTTTGTCTTCCTCCCCCGTTAGGCTTGCGGCCGCCGTAGTTGCCGCTGTTGCCTGTTTTGTTACTGTTGTAACCTCCTTGACGACGGTAGCCTTGGCTGCCGTTGTTGTTGCCACCTGGTCTGCTGTTATTATTGCCGCCCCACTTCTTGGGCTGTCGGCAATCCTTTTCCCAGTGTCCCGTCTTCCCGCAGCGGCGGCACTGGTTGCTTGCCAGGTAGGCTGCTACCTCGTCGTCGTCTTCTTCTTCGTCACCCTCTTCTTCGGTGTGCGCCCCCGGTGACTGTTCTTCCCCGTCGTGGTCTTCGTCCTCGTCGTCGTGCTCTGTGAGCTCCTGCTCTGGGCCTTCTCCGGCGACGTAGGCTCTGCCACCTCCGTTTCGCTGCCTTTGTGGTACTCCGCGCTTGGGCGTCCAAGGCTTGCGGCCTTGAAACTTGTTGATGTAAGCCATGACAGCATCTCCCTGCTCGTCAACGGCGTGGTCGTGTTCTTTTGCCGACGCGTCATCGGCTGCTACGCGCTTTAGTAGTTGGGTCATCACTTCGGAGTTGTGCCCTGTCTGTCCTGCTTTCGCCAAATCGAAGTTTTGGCGAATACCCTGGCGCTGTAGCGTTGTTAGTCCTGCGTTGCAGTATAGCAAGAGGACCAAGACGGCGCCCGTCATATGCGCGGCAAAAGTTCCCTCTCTTTTTACCTCGTTCACGCGCTCGGCAACGTTGTGTAGCCAAGCCGTGACGTCCTGTCCGGCCGTTCTCTGATATCGGAAGATACTGATAAACCGCATTGCGGCCTCAATAGGATCCGAATACTCTGTTTGGCGATCCATCCAGAGGATGAGGCGCGGCACGGGTTTGAAGTCCCGTATTGCGGTCCTCTCTGCTGGGTCAGCGCTGTCGTAAGCCGGGTCTTGTTTTTGTGTACGCCAGTGCGCTGGCATCTGGAGCGCGGCACGATACCACTTTTCGTAGTTCGGCTTGAAGCCCTTGGTGATGACTGTAGCGCATATCTTGTCCTCGGCGAGTTCGGTTGACTCAACGAAGAGAAGAATGTCGCGTCTGTAGTCTCGCCAAGAGACTCCGGGGAGCCAAGGGTCGATCTTCTTCGACATCTTGGTGTCCGGGGGGGGGGTGTGCTTGCTGGGGGAGGGGTTCCTGTCTTTTTGGACTTCCCTGGTGTAGTGCGTAAGAAAGGCCTTGCTGTCGGAGATTTTAACTCCTGACAATGGCAATCTTCGCAACTGTCTCTACCTGGTGAAGAACTGTAGACTTTATCCTTGTGGCGGTTCCTTCTCCCTTGTTCCCACCGTTGTTCTGCTCGGGGCTGGAGCTCAAACCTGGGCTGTTGGTGGATTGGATCTCCGCTGATGGATTTCCTCTCCGTCGGCTGATGTCCGTGAGAAGCAGCCGATGTCGGTAAGACTTGCTTGCCTGACAATGACTCTTAATCTCCGAGACAAAAGACCTACAGGACAGTGAAAACTTTTGCGTGAGAATCTTATCTACCTAACAGTTTTGGTTTGCTCCTCGAGCGGGTGCTTGCGAGAAAAAAATCTCCAAGCGGGCTGTCGGGGTGCGAAAATTTCACCCGAGTGGAATCCACGCGACAGAATGTCCGTGGCTTCCGAGATGGGAAATTTTTGCGTTTCTAATCGTAGTCGGGCTCTAGGCGGATCACCATGCTATTTCAGAAAAGAAAAACAAATCAACTAAAGTTGCTCCGTTAACGGATGTTATTTGCGTCTGAAAAAAAATCTTTTATAGCAACTGGCAAAAGTTACTTAAAAATTTTCTAAGAATGCAAAGCGATTAAGCTAGTTACTCTCCGCTACCATTTATGAAGTAGCGAACACAGTGGCACCCTTGACGCACAATCGTTCTTATATCACGGCAATAGCGTGATTGTCTTTGTTTTATGCAATAGCCCAAATGACCGGTCACTGATATCAGTATGAGAATCGTGATTGTGGTTTTTGCTCCTTGTTGTTGTTGTCTTCTTGTGTGGTCATGGTAGTTGTTTAGTTTAGTAAGTTAGTCAGCCTAGTAGTGTGATCATGATCCTAATGGTGCTAGTGGTTTGATCGTTGTGTTGTTCGTTGTTGATGATCATGATCCTAATGGTGATTATGATCTTGATCATTATCCTAGTGGTGACCATGATCTTCATCACTTTCCTCCTGGTGATCTAGTTACTTTGTTCTTACGTTTGTATTCGGGATCTGGGCATTGACACATGAACATACAGAAAATCATGGCAACACCTCTACTTGCTGGTTAAATATCATATGAGGAATTGGAATAGCCATAATCATGATATTTGTGTGCATGATGTGATGAATTTGACTTTGTGTAACAAGTGTAACACAAGAAAAAGAACGTGAAGGACAAAGTATAAGTAGCCTAGTTCGTTCCTCGATCCTCCAGTTACATCACTTCTAAAACCTCGCTGCAACCATGATCATATGTGGCGTTGTGACGCAGCTCAGGCCTATAAAAAGCAGCCTCACTTGTCTAGCCAGCATTCCAATGAAATGCGCTGAAGAAGCGGTATCAACCACAAGGACGATCAGAAGGATCGCCAAGACGGTGAAAACTAGTGTTACACCACAGAAGAGTCTTAGCATGGATGAAGGATTGCTGGAAGTGGATGAAGTACCACTAGAGCAAGTGGCGCTATTACTTGGTGCAGCTATATGGTGGTCATGATCCCTGCTCTCGTGCATGGAAGAACTTGCTTTCGAAGGTGAACAAGATTCGTAGTCGCACCATTCGAGCCACATCGTCACCACGTGCCGCAGACTGTGGTAGAAGTTGAAGTAAATCCCGAACGCTATCAACGGTGGTAACTGATGGAAAAGGGCGTAGAGCAGCACGATTTCCATCACATCTAGAGTACGAATACTCAGTCGTAATTGTGGATACCAAGGACCACCTGTTGACTGCATGAGACTGCTAGTCGTCCTGTTGAATTGTGGATACCAACCACCTGTTGACTGCATGAGAGTGTTAGTCGTCCTGTTGATGTCAAGTACGGCGTCAGGTTCGGACTTTGATTCTTTTTTCAACAAAACCGTCCAAAACAGGAGTACGCCAGTAGCAACGAAATGGATCTGGTATAGAAGCTGGAGAAATAGCCTCTTAGAGAAGATGGGATTTTGTTGACAAGTCTCGTTTACTTGGAAGCCATGATCATAGTTGTCTTGCCCTCAAGATCTTTTTCTAAGATAGATTCCATCGATGAATCACCTTAGGCTCAGCCTTCGGGCGTAAAGGTATCGTGCGACATCCAACAGTCACACATCAAAAGTCAAGCCATAAACATCAAAGAGAACAGTTGTTCCTCGTGCTTTTTCTCCTGCGTTCCGGCAGCTGAGGTCAGGGGGACAAAGACACGCAGCGTGTCCAGAGGAGCTCTGGAGATGGTGACCAGAATCATGCCACCTCGCACAAAGTAGGTCAGCACACTCTTCAGTTGCTGTTTCAACGAAGGACTTGCGGGGCTTGATGAGGCTCCTGGTAGTGTATTTTTACTATTAGAAGAGGAAGACGGCAATGCTAATATGATAGAGTTTTTATAGTTATAGTATAATTTTTATAAAAACTCTAATATCATAAGGGCAGCATGATGATAATGATAATGATAGTGTCCTCAAAACTAATATTTTGTTACAACATGCTCTCGGGACGACGAGGAGTCTCGAATAACTATTCGAAAAACTGAAATAACCGAGTAACTATTGAAAATAAGGGAGATACTGAAAGAAGAGGAGTGTAGTCAAGCCTCTCTTATTTCAGTCAGTAGCTCGCTTATTTTGAGTTTGCTGAAAAGTGCTCTTCATTCTGATCATAACAGGAGGTGAAGTCAGTAATTCCCACCACTGGTGGTCGCCTTCTCCAAAATGGTACAAAGACGTGACAAGAAACAGCTGCAACGCCAATACTGATGTATACTCCCACGCCAAATAGGTTGCCCACATCAATCCCAGATACCATGCCACCCATGCAAAGAACGAAAGCGTTGAAAATTTGTGGTAAATAAGAGGATGAGCTGTTGTGGCACCACTTCTGGAGGTTGTTGTTCTATTTGTTCTTGAACCAGTACTTTTACCAGAAGATGATGCTAAGACCTTGCTGTCCTCTCCTTCATCGTCAGATAAGTGGGCTGAGTCTTTTATGCCAAAAAGTCTGCCCAACATCCGTGGCCCAAACACTGGGAAGAGCATAGCGCGCAGGATGTAGGACTTCATACTACTGAGGAGGACATTGAAACTCCTTCGACCGCCAACGAGAACTGCCTTGCCGTAGGTTCTACTTGACGTTGCGGTTGATCTAGACAACAGATACCACAGAATAGGATCCGAAGCACCGTGCGGCAAACCGAGAAGAGGCACGGTCAGGAGTAAAAACCAAACCTGCGAAACCAAGCTCACCTGACCTAGGTCAAAAACGAAGAAATGAAGACCAAAGACAGCAAGCGCGAGGCCGTTTGAGAACAGTGTTGCGCCAACTAGCATTCCAGAAGACGTGGAGGAGGTAGAGGGAGAACTTGATGTCGCTCCCCTTATCTGCTCACTCGTCCCGGAACCAGGACCACTGGTACAACTGTCAATCTCAATCCTCTTCGGCGGACTCGTGCTCGTCGGTGTTTCGCTTTTCCGTTTTACCTCCCATACATGAACGGCGTACAATGCATCCCAAAAAGTGAAGACGTCTGGATCTACAGCTGGTGCGGCAGAAGCACTTGTTGTTTCCAAACCTGTACCACCCTGAGGCTGCCCTATTTCTCCCATCTTCTGTTGCGGTGCTGGTCCTCGTTCGAAACCAAGCGTAAAAATAGATGATGGGTCTAGTTCCTTCGCAGGCGATGACCACGTCGGTTCTAAAGTATTCGGGGGCACCGCAGAGTGCATCTTCCATACGCAAACCACTGTCATCGCTAAGTGGAGGCCCCACACGCACATAATTGATGTACAGAGGAAGAAGAAGGCCTCTTCGAATGGCAGCCAGTGGCCAAAGGGTTGTACTGTTAATGGCGCAATGAACACAGGGTTGATGCGCCAGACACCCTGTCGGATTGCCCAGACGTCGGTGAGGGAGAGATACACTGTACTGATTCCCACTACCTTTTTCCACACGAGAGAGTCGCCACGACATAGACACTCTGCACCGTAGAACCACTGGATCAAGAGAACCGGAGTGGCCCAAATCAGGATAAGACCTAGGTACAAGCCTGAAGAGCTGGTGTTAGAAGGTGAAGGTGTAAGTAGAGAAGCATTACTTTGTTGTGGAAGAGCAAGTGTAAGTGTATGTGTCTCTGTATGACTGCAGATTCTTGAAGAATCTTGTCATCGTTCTTGAACAATCTAACTTCTAAATGAAAAACAATCCTCGTGATTACTCTAGGAGTGTCTACTAGAAGAAGATCTAGGAAGTGTCTACTAGCGTTACAATTGCATTTGCAATTACCTTAACTTCAGTCTCACTAAACTTCCCTGTCGACGAAAATTGGAGTCCTCCTGCCATCTGAATGAGCGCACAACCCGTCGCAAAAGCGAATAACATGAGGAAATACCCAGTCCGTCTCAACGAAGGACTAGAGTTCCCACGTGGAGTAGAGGTCTTCGAAAAGAGGGCAGGAGTAGAGTACATTTTTGCGAGAGCAGAAGTAGTCGCCTGTCCGTCTTCACAATCTCGATCTACTATCCTCACCGGCGGTTGCTTCAACTCATCCACGTTTGGAAAGTGGAGAGCCCAAATCAACCCGCATAGCATCGTCTCCAAAGAGAAAAACGCGTATTCCTCGATCGGAACCCATCCTATGACAAAAAGCACTCGATCTGTCTCCTCGTAGCCCCAGACACCGCGGTAGACGAGGTAATTGTCCCATGCTATGGTCCACGTGGTGGCGACCACGCAGAGGACGCAAACCCAAAAGCGCCAGGCATCTAGGTACCAGTCTTGGGAGCCGTTTAACTTGGGCAAGACTTTTCTCGCGAAGTTGGAGACGATGGCTGCGGTTGAGAGATACAGTCGCCCAAAGCACGTTCGCGTAGTTTCCGTAGCACACGACGCTGTGTTTGAAACTATAATTTTTCCCCCTGCTGTACTAGAGGAAGAAGAAAATAGTCCACCTACACCACCACCTCCACACGGTGCCGTCATCGCTGCTGCCATTGATGGAAGGAGGCTACGTTTCCCGTGCTTTTCTGCCAGAGCACTCGACCCACAGAGGAACATCGCTGGGAATCCAAGTCTATGAGACCGCAGTCCAACCCGCTTGTACAATTGTTTGCGCAGCAGGTATAGAGCTGGAAGAATCCATATGCAGTGGTACTGAAAATAGCTGAACTGCTCCACAAACTTCCAGCCTTTTATCCGACTCACATTCGTCCCTCCCGCTCCGCCAATCTGCTCGTTGTTGATCAGCATATCGTAGAGAAACAAGGCTATCCAAGCCTTTGCTTCAGTCAGAAGGTATTCGAAATGTAGGCTGAAGACGAGATACGCGATAAAGCCGAGTACTGCCGCCGGTATGAGAAGCTGCATCATGAGCGAGCAAACAAGGCTCACCGCAAAAACCCGCAAAAGCTTGCGCAATGAGACTAATTGCGTGCCCAGTGCTAGCTTTTTCTTGAAGCTGACGCGAGCGCGATTCTGTTTTCCTGCGTTTTCTCCGAATATGTGGTAATGTTTGGTGTCCCGGATCTCGTTGTGGATCTTGCGGTAGCACACTGAAGAAAAGAGGATAAGATCGCTCACTTCTGCAGGAAGAGCCGAGATGCCAGCTCCCGCCTCCTCGTAGTAGTTGTCGGCAATTGCCATCATGAAGTCGAGGAAACGAGTCCATTGGGTTTCATCTCTACCAGTAGAGGAGGAAGCGCCACCACCAAGGCCAGAAAAATTCTGCATTTCCACGCTCTTCTTCCCGCCCGCTCCAGCTTTAGCACTAGACGTAGTTATATCCTCAACTACAAGTGCTCCTCCAATTCCACCTCCACTCTTCCTCTCCATCGCCACATGCTTGAACTGCTGCAATGCCCGTACACTAGAGGGATGCATCTTTCGAACTCGTCGTTGCAGTGCTTCGTCCTCAGCAAAGGTGCCGTCATTCCAGGGCAGGATCATATTGGCTTGCCGTCTTCGCAAATCTATTCCAAAAAATGCCACCAAATCAGCTGGCATGTACACCCTATTGTAATCCAAGTCTTCATCTATGTCGCGGATCATGTTGGTCAATTGAAACGCGTTCCCTAGTGATCTGGCGGTAGGCAGCAGCCGTTTCCGCAAAACGATGCCACGTCTACACAGTTCTGCCGCCTCTAAATCGTCCTTGAAATAACTGGCGATAGCTGCTTCGGTTTCCGCAGGAATTAGAGCAGAACCATGGAAGCGGAAGGAGACTGGAAAAGAATTTTCTTGATTTTCTTGACAGTCAATACGAATACATCGTCTAGTACTTCACTTTCGTTCATAAAGAAATCCGCACATCACTGTCCTCGAAGAAGTCTTGGTTGTTGTTCAGATACGTGCTCGTGCACCTCGGCTGCTCCTCGTCAAACTTGTGATCGCGGTTCAGCACTGTCCACTTCCTGCGCAGTTGAATAAGCTTCACAGCTCCCTCAAAGAGCTCTACTTGTGTCGCAAGCCGACTACTAGAAGAGCCTCCTGTTGATGATGAACATGAAAATTCTGACATTTCTATCTCTCGTCCACTAGTAGTTCTGGTATCTTGCTCTTCGACGTAATTTCTGTTGTATTGTTCGTTGTAATTATCGTCGTGGTCTTGCCCACCACCAATCTCCCTGTTCATCCTAGCCCGCGGCTCTCCTGCGAAAGCTTGGCATGGCGTGTCGGCTGAGTGTTCCCTAGTCAGCGTCCGTGGAGGCGAATTCAAGTCGCCAGCACTGACAAAAACAGCAGACGAGACTGTACTACTCGACTTCGACACTGATGATACAATCCCACTACTTTGTCGACTTGTTTCGAGAACAGAATCGTCCTGTTTCAGGAGAAGTGAAGAAGTGTCCAGAGACTGAGAAACGTCGTCATTGTTTCCACCAAGTCGTTCGACTTGCTTTCGCATCTCCACCTCCAGATCTCTTCTTTTTCGTTCCTCATCCGCCTCGTCCTCTGCGCGCACCTCACATTCTAAAACGACTCGAGGTATCGTCTCGCTCAACCCTGGGCACAAGATCGGAAGCATGAAGTCCCCTATCACTGCTGCGCTGCCCTTCATGTACAGCACCAAATCATCGAAGTTCTCACACCGCACGGCATCTGCCCCGTCGATCAGCATCGACTGGAAAAAGTCACGGAACAGGGTTTCCGGATATTGCCTCCTGAGACTGGCGTCGAGGACTGCAGGTAAGATTGGGTGTTTGTTGTAAAACAGGTCCATCAACAAGTTATATTCGGTGCTCTCATGGTCATCCAAGCTATCTGGCGACGACATCCGTGAAGTTGGAGTGGTAGTGGAAGCGACCGCTTGGAAATCTAGATCGGCAGCAGTACCACTGAAGGCACTCAGCAACTTGTTGTTTGCTCTATTAGAGCTGTCCGTAATTCATCTTTCAAGTGCATCCTTGAAAAGCATGGGGGAGTTACAGTATTCTCTTAGGATACTCCTCCATACGTAGTTTCAAGGAGGCGTCGAAAGATACGTTTCAAGGTACTACAGCCTTAACTCGACTGCCTGCGTTGACGTTCGCGTTTGCGGTGGGTGTCCTAGAATTCGTCCTACTCAAAGGAGGCCCACTTGACCGCGAAGATGTAGTTCTAGTGATACTAGGACCACCTCCGGCTCCATCTGCTCCAAGGTGGTGGTCTTCCTCATTCACATTCGCCTGTGCTATGCCGAATAGGGAAAGCTTTTTGTTCGCCATTTCCCAACATTCCCAAAAGTCGCGGATAAAGATTTCCAATTTCTCCTTCCTCGGTGCCTCATTGTCAATAGTATCTACGTAGTCATCCGCTATGCGAAACAGGCCGTACATCGCAGCTGTGTCGAGGAAGCGACGAAGGTCCGGGGATTAGAGGAAAGAGGGTTGTCGGAGGTGATTTTTAGAGGACATGAAAGACATGTTTGATGTTGCGAATGCGATTATACTCTTGATAAATATTACCCTGAAATCAAAGTTGGAGAAAAGAGTCCACCAATGGTCTGTACTGATTTCATTTTCCTTTCTCAGTGTGCGATCAAGACAGGAAAGGCATTTTTGATGTTGAGATTGTAGTCTTGACAAGAAGTGCAAGCCGTAAATCAGAGTAGCTGCTCCAAAATACGTCGTTCCATGCTTCCACATCAAGTACACCGCAAGACAATACGATCTTGCTAGCTTATCCCGTTTCAGCTTGTATACAATATAGGCGACAAGGAGAGTGAGCGGGCCAGTGAAGAATAGCAATCGGAAATTCAGCTTGTGCAAGGCATCGAGGTAATAGGCTTCATCAGAGGAAGAAAAGACTTTCGCTAATGTCCAAGCGCAGCTCTCTAGAAAGGTTTCGGGCAACTCATCGGAGACGAAGAGCCAAGCGTACCTGGAAACGGCCCACATTGCTAGGAAGATGTGACGGAAGAAGGAATTAGAAGAGGGTGAGGGTCGTGCTTAAGGGTGTTGGCGGTGGGAGCTGCACAAGAATGCGCATCGTAGAATAGATGGAGCTGGGCTGACTTCGTTGCACTTTCGACGGTTCGCGTTAAACTCTATTAACTCAAATTGGTTGTCATAAAGAAAACCAACCAAGCAGAGGAAGAGAGCGACTGAGGGTCTACGGCGATGTCCGCCTTCAACTTCTGGTCCAACAGGTTCGCTGAGACAACGCCAGAAACCAACGATGGGGGCACACCGGGTCCAGGGTTCGTAAGATGGCCAGCGAAGACCAGGTTGGGAACCTGACATCATTAATCTTCGTATTTGATGACCATGATGACTCCATAGGGATCCTTGATCGAATTCGAAACAAGTACTTATTTTGCATGCATACTACAGATCGTGCGTTCATTTTTCAACGGTACCTTGCTCTCCAAGCTCGGCTTGAGGATCAAGCTTTGCGTCAACGTATTCGCCAGTCCAAACGCGTTTCCTCGATACGAATTGAACCCTGTCTCGAACTCCTTCGTCCCGGCATGTCGTTCGTACACCAAAGTCTGCCTCAACCGTCCTCGTGGTAATTCCAACTTCTGTTCCATCCGTCTGAAAACGTCATCTAGTAAATGTGTCCAAAACCAACCATTGCATTTCTGACCGCACTGCGAAAGGATGTCATTCAACGTGTACGGTGTGGGGATTAACACGAAGAGGGCTTCGGCTTCACGATGGTTTGTTGATGATGTGCTGCTAGAACTCGGAGCAGAATGGGGGTAGTAAGCAGCTTTTGAATCGGTCTTGCTTGTGGCGCTTACGTAAAAGGTGAAGTCACGGACAGCCTCCTTCAGCATTCGCACTATCGTCGCATCCTTTTGTTCGGCGTGAATTTTAGAAGAAGATAGAAGTGGCTCTACTTCATAAGTAGCTAAAGGTACTAAGGGTCCTAACCAAAACCAGTCGTGGTGAGAACAACTGAACGGCGCATGATGAACAACTGAACAACTGAACAGCTATTTATCGAACAACTGAACAGCGCATGATGAAAAGTACTTAAGTGGTCCACCTCTGCCAGGCATTCATTCTGCCACTGCCATACCAGTCTTTCCAATCGAACTCGAACCCTGAGGACCCAAAACCTTGTCTCGTCCTTTCCTGTGCTCTGCAGGTAGTAGCGCAAAGACGTTCTTCAAATTTTCATCCAGGTCTGTGTCAAAGAAAAAGTTGTGATGCAAAAGGTTCGGAATCTTCTTGTTGAACCCAAGGTAGAACAGTAACACTGAGGGTGAGAAAACCATCTGTTCATCCCAGTACTCGTGCGCTTGGTAAGAACGATACTGTTCCGGCAACAGCTTTTGCTCTACGAAACGATAGTCGGCACTGGCTAAGATGCCGGCAAGGTGGTGGGAACAGGTAGAGGAGGATTCGTTTTTGTCTCCCTCCAGTCTTGACGAGCTGTCATCTACCTCTTCTTCCGAGTCATCTTGACCGGGCGCTGTCACTTTCAGTGTCGCATCTGCGTCGCTCCGTTTTTTCCAGCATATGCCTGTAACACGGCTAGCTGCGTGCTCTACAAGCAGCAATTTCTTCGACCTCGTTCCGGAATACTGCGGTGAAGCACCTCCTGGCACAGGAGGGGTTGTTCTGCTTAGTTGTGTCATGTTCTGCTTCTGCTTGTTGGTGTCATTTTGCGTACTAGCCTTCTCTTTTCCAGCACCTCCATCCGACGAAAGCAGATTCAGATGCAAGTGAGGTTCGTGAAACTCCAGTCTATTCACTTCCGCAGCCAGCTCGAATTTGACGCCGTTTCTTCTTGCTAGGGTTTCTAAGGCTTCGACGGGAGCTCGAAACCCACTTCCGTTCTCAGGGTACCAAGTTCCAAGCATTGGATGGCTCTGGCATTTGGTAGCCTGAATTTGATCACAAGAAGGGTTTTCTTCTTGTTTTCCCTTATGATCAAATTCAGTTATTACCAAATACCGGAAGCATACAAGCATGTGTCCACCATAGGTCATCATCGAATACAAAGCTGGTGCGGCTTTCGGACTAGCACCAACAAAAATCACTGGCCACTTCAGGATGCGACGGACCCAGGGGTCCTGGAGAGGGGCAGGGTTGTAAGGTATAAATATGTTTATAGAAAGTAAGAAGATGAACATGAAGTTGTTCTTACAACTACTTAGCTGACTCAATTGGTGTACCTCATCAATTCTTTGTGCTTGTGAATGAATTTTTCATCTCCGCAGAAGTTGTTTTAAATAATAATTGAGCACACAAGTTTATATTTTTAGCTACTTCTAGCAGTAGCACAAGGACAAGCAGAAGTACCTTCACATATTTCCCAACATGTGATTCGAATCCGCCAAACATGTCGAGTCGTAGAGCCGCTGAGAGCAGCTGCGGATCTAGAAACTCTAGCCAGCTGATCATAGGCTTCCAGATCCACTCGTAGACGCCTGTCTGGTACTTTTCAGAAGCTTCTTCCAAGAACAGCCGCAGGCTGACACGTTCCGCTACCAGATTCTTCTCAAGGCCCCCTTGTTGGATGTGTGCCCCTTCACGTTTTGCTAGGAAATCTACTAGACCCTCAGCATCACCAGGAACGTCGAGGTAGTCCAACCCTGCTTTCTTGCCGTGACGAGAGCACCGCTTAGAGAGTGGGTGTGGGTGAGTGTGAATCTATGAATCTATTTCTATCTGTAAGTGTGACAATACAATTTCAATTGAGATAGATTTACTTCTCAAATCAAGAACTCACCAAGAGGCTGACAGAGTTCCACATCGAGAACTCGAGCGGCAACACACTTCTGTGGCCCTGCTTTCTTGACCAATTTGACGTGTTAGCTCACGTCGTAGCTTCTACACAGAATCAACATTCAAAAATTGATCTTAACTCCATCCTCCACCACCACTCCAGCTTTACTATTGTTGACCAAAACGCGATATGCCGGGTCTAGTTTGCGCAAACTGTAGAACTCTTGAGACCCTTTCGGCGCTCCGAATCTGGCGAAGATCTTATCGAAAACGTCAGGAAACCAGTACCAGGATGGCCCGAAGTCGAATCGGGATTAGAGGGGGTAGCTGAACAAGTAGCGCGATGAACTGACTACTTCCTCAAGATGAAAACGTATGACCGAAACACCCGTTAGCCATAATGAAAATGCAGATCTGATGAAGAGTCTCCATCCACCTTGTCCGAAACCGGATTCTTGTCCGCCTTTCCGAAAATGTGCTGTGCCCGCCCTCCAGTATGGGCAAGACGCTCATAGACTGTGACGTCGTAGCCAAGCCTGTTCAGTTCCAGGGCAGCGGACAAGCCACTAAAACCGGCACCTATCACGGCGACCTGGATACGGTTCTTGGCGTTGATAGAATCTTCATGGGGTCCTAGAAGGGATGGAGAGTAGTGTGCTCCTCCTCTTCAAAGAGGAGAGCAGTCGTATATCGGTACATGTAAACTGTTCTCCAAGAAAAAGTACCTTCTTCGCATCCGGTTGCGCCTTCAACAAACTCGCTCCGGACGCAACGTTCCTGCCCATAAAGTGAAGCAATGTCAGCACAAGCACCGCATAAAACCCAGACATCAAGAGAAGAGCCATCTTGTCAGCCAATTTGTCTGAGCCTGGAAGCCACGAGCGCAGATAATTCGCAACAGAACTAGAAGAAGCAGGTGGAGGGCCGCCCTTGGGTGAGCGACCCCCCTCATCTGTTTTTGGAGGCATGTTGGGCGCAGACGACGACGAGGACGGTGGCATGTTGTTGATATCGATGGAAATTTCTGGTAGTTAAGTCATCATATGGTGGGGGTGTTTCGGAGTATTGCGAAGCTTCCAAAAATCGTTGTTGTTGTACTGGGACTAGGTGTAGCTGCACAAAAAAAGAGAAATGGTGTCCACGGAAGACCGTGCACAAGTGCTAGTATGTGGTAGTGATCTGTCAGACACGAAGGAACGTCGAGATTTGGTATCCTTTCCATGAACCATCTAAAATAAAGGAGATCAAAAAAACAAAAGATCTAGCAGTCCCAGACGGGACATGCAAAAGACCTTCTCTGCGCTCTCGGTGCAGCGAGGTCCAATCCGATCGTAACCCGTGGAGTTTCGTATTTGATGCGGAGACGGAGGAGCGCGAACGCAGTATTCACTCTGGATAGGACACAATCTTAGCTGACATGGCCGTTCATCATATGATGGCACGACAACAGCACATTATTGATGTCATGATGCGTCACATCTTCATCTTCGTACCGAAGAAGAATACAAGAACTTGACCTATACTAACTTCTGTTGAAAAATAATATACTTACTAGACGTATGGAAAAAACTCAATAAGAATAAAGCACCTTTCAAAATAAACAAGCGGAAGCCACTGGTTCCAACGGAATACGAAAATCCCGATACCCATTTTACTGTTGTTGCTGTTGCGATGCATGTAAATCAAAATGAATTTTTTATGGTGAAGCAGTCATATGATTGTGAATGTGTTTGTGCGCAAATGATGGCTGCTGGAAAATGCATGGACGAAGGATGATTCCCGCGGAAAAGAACTGCAGAAATTGAACAAAAAGTAAGAATGAATGTAAACGTGGTAACACTCAATCCTGCGTGTAGACGTACAGGCCTCCTCATGCGAGGAAGATGAAGATAGTACTATGGAGCGCTTCCATATACAACCAGCGGCCTCTTCGGTTTTGGGATAACGACGCTCGGCTTCTCTGTCGTGTCACCGTTGAGGCTGAAATTGACTACGAAATAAAATCCCCCGTACGTACGACATAGTGTGGACCTGCATTGTGATGGAAAACCGGAGACCCAAATCCGTCCACCACAGATAAGATTCCCCCATTTCCACCTAGGTAGCGAATGCAGGCGTTAATTTGGACGTTACGACCAACTTGGGCTAGAGATGGTTGCGCTTCTGAGCTGGCTTCTTGTGTTTGCGGTGTGGAGGCTAGAAGAGCTGTGATGTTGTAGTTATCCATGATCGGACTTCTAGAAAAGGAGGGAAGTTCTAGAAGTCTTGCAATAAACCCCCTGTCATCGTCCCCATGGCCATGCGGTCGACCTCCATCTCTTCCTCTATTATATGTAGGTGTCATGATCCAGATCCTATCCTCTGTATCTGCTTCCATCTCCATACTCGTTCTGTCGTTTGTTCCGTATTCGAAATGGATAGGTACCAACAGCGGAGGTTCAGCAGACCCCAGAGCATTCGAATTATCAGTGGTCAAAATCGCGGTCTTCACTTGTGTGGGATAGTCGCGGAAAAAGGCGTAAAGCCCTAGAGCTCTTGCCTCGTGGCTAAGGACGGTAGGTGCTACGCGGTAACCTACATGTCTGTCCGCGTACGCTGGTGGAACGTCGTATGGGAACTCACACTGGAAAAAGTAGACTCTGCCTCTATCCCCAAGCCAGTAGACTTGGTCGCCCAAGTGGTGTTCTACCGCTAAGCCATAGACGGTGACGTCATTTCCGTAGACCTGGAGGCCTGGACGATTAGAAGGTCAGCTTGCAGAAGGGGATGAAAATGTTGGCGCAACGAGGACTTTCAAAAGCGAATGCCGCAACAAGCAGGACTTAATACAGCCGCGCAATGGCAATGTCAAAGTAAGAGGGTGGGCAAGAAAGAGGTTTGGTTAGGTTAGATGAAATTGGAATCACCATGAGGCCGTAATGTGAACCGGATTCGCAAGTCCACGCACTGCACCACCAAGGTCGTGATCAGCACGCCATAACCAGGCATGGTCCAACACTATATTGCTCGCCATGATGGTTATCATCGTTTCTAGACCATCCAATGACGAGGCAACTCCTTGGGCTCCTGCATTCCCACTTGTCCTTCCATCTCCATTGTGATGTGCGTCAAATAGCTCAGATAATCTCGCACCCATCGCTGGGGACGCCTTTGAACTATCGCTGTCTCCGCCTACACGTGCGAACAGGTCGTAGAGAAAGGGTATGAATGGTGCATGGGGTGACAGGGAGACTAGGTGGGGGCTTCACGCGACGGGTCATCTGGAATAGCATTCGAGAAGAATGCGACAATACCACAAGCACTACACAAGAACTCCAGTTTAGATTCAATCGCAGTGCTGGAATAAATATCAAAGTACTTATAGTTATACTAGGTGCTGGTGCTGAAACTTTTAGCCATAAAAATAGGTGTTTCCGCATCACTCGGTCCTGCAGATATAGGTCTAGTCTGATCTCCCACCTGGACCAGAGAGAGGCCAGAGTACACCGTGTTCGGATCGCTGTGCGGCGGTGCGGGTTGCATCAAGAACTGGCCTACGCGACTGCCTCTTGCGGATTCTGTGACGATCAAGCAGGGATCGACTTGGATCGAATGCAAAGACGATCCAGAAGATGCAGTTCTGCTCGTACTGCGCGAGAGAGGTGATCTCTTAGAAGGGGGTGCAACCAATGTCGCGTACCCTATTCCCATCAAGACCGAGTTTGGCTTCGACACTACTAGGGATTCTTCCAACTGGTAGATCCCAGGTGTCAGTATTGCGTAGCCTGTGTGGGAGAGTGCTGCATTGATTTTCTGCGCCACGTTGGGCATATTTGGTTCTGCAACGAAGACACGAGAAAACGGAATCCTCAGAGGTGCTGTAGTACCTGGAGACCAGGTAACGCCGATGTGGTTTCTCAGAACGGCTGGAACTAAAAGGTAGTATTTGTCGTCCTGAAAACCTATATTAGAGCTCTTCCCTATTCATCCCTGTGGACGAAGTCCCTCAATTGTAATGGGCGTCAGTTGTATCTCCCTTGTATCAGGGCGCATAATATGTTTGAGGGATGTCTAGTACAACAGGGATGGATTAGGGGAAGCCTTAACTATAAAGGGTTTTTCAGCGGCGATTGGGGTCTTCGCAACTACAGTGACCTTGCCGCCTTGCATGATATGGACTGCGTTGTCCAAGAGTTCTACTTTCTCCGCTACATGTGGTTGTTGACCATCTCTGTTCTTCTGCAGATCGTTCTGGCCTAGTGGCGGAGCGCCAGGAGTCGGTGGTGGTGCGAGAATAGACCGGAGGCCTTTTGGATTAGAGCATATTTCGAGATAAAGTAGATGAAGAATAGTTTCTATGAAGAAGTGTTTGTGTTTCTTCATCTATTCTACATTTTCAACATGCACAACGAAAACGTGACGAAGATACGACCGATACTGCTCGAATACGGACATCTTCTACAACAACCTCCGAATGAAGATTGAAGAATCCTAAATCACCCGTCGTAACAGCATCGGACGTTGACCTTGCTGTGTTTCCTCCGAAGTTGCATCCTAGGAAACCAAAATTCCAGCTTCCTCCTTGAAAAGTGTTGGACTCGCTATCTCCTACTTGCATGTTTCGGAAGAAAAACTGTTGTTGAGAGCCAGCGTCCACCTTGTTCTGTTTTTTCCCTGGAAACCAACCCTGGATTAAGGAGGTTAGGAAGTTTGTGAAGTGCGAAAAGTATGCGGAAGCTCTTTTGGCTGATGCAGCAGAAGCAGTTTGCTTGGAAGATGAAGGAGTTTTTGAACTTGACGATGTCGATGTAGCTGTTTTCTCGGTGCTTGTTTCGACCTGCACCGCTTCCTCCTGTCCAGATGGAGGCTGTTCTAGTAACAGCGTACTGATCGACGTCTCGTCGTCAACGCCATAATATCCACCATCCTCAACCGCCACCAAAGTCGCATCTCCTCTGACTAGTTTCACATCCGCGACGTAGCCGCCGCTCGAGTAGCCAAACTGAAAAGTCGGCCAGTCCATTCCGGAAAGGAGTAAATTGCCGCCATTGCCTATGACTACTCTTCGTAGTGCATTCCCCTGACTGACCCACCAATTTATGTCCTCGTTTGTTGCGAAGTTTTCCCCTGCACGCCAAAAATTGCACAACGAACCAAGTTTGAAGTCTGGTGAGCCATTAAGCACTTGAACTTTCTCAACGTAGGTTTGACCAGGATGCTCCATACCCAAACCCATCATGTGGTGGTAGTAACCTGAAGAAGGACGATTCTGTGTGCGAATGCTTCTAGGAAGCAGTTTGGAAGTGCTACACCTAGTTGTATATCTTTTGATTCCATCTCGATGTCGATAATCGCCACGATCTGAAGCAACTAAGTATAACGATGTCGATAATCGCCACGAACACGATCTGAAGCAACTAAGTACTTATAACGATGTCGATAATCACCACGATCTGAAGCAACAAAGTTTTTTACCCAAGCTCAAGCTCACGCTATGTCTTCCTGGTTTGAACAGAATCGCATGCCTTGCAGTCGAGAATTGTCTCCCCAACTCGTTGAAGAAGCCGCCACCACCGTTCACCGAGTAAACCGGCGCTCCATTCTCATCCTGCACGAATATAGCGTCCAAGATCGCCTGTTTATCTTGCGGACTCTGCACCTCATCCGACTCGAGGACTGCGACAGTGTTTTTCGGCCATACGGGCGGATTGGAAAAAACATCAAGATTCGGATCAGGAGCATCCAGTTCCGATTGAAGCAATGTTGGGGTCTGTTGGTAGAAAACGCGGCTTTGTGCTGAGGGGGCTTGAGCTTGTTGCTGCTGGTTGGCGTAGGCAGTCCCCACACCAAAGGCTGCCGCAAAAGCGGCGAAACATAGCGACTTCATGTGGAAGTGGACGTTGAGCTGCGACATATTCGTTTTCTTCACCGTCAAGCCAAATTATTTCATCAAAAGTTTATTCGGTTTCCCACGAAATTCAGATGAGTTCACTTATTCTTAATAATGGTGACCTCTTGGCTCTTGCTCTTCAATCTTCTTGTTCTTCAGTTTCAAACTCGAGATAACCACTTGCGGAATTCCCTAGTCTTCTCGTTCCCTCCTCTGCTCTCCCATCATTCCGCTCTCTGGTGTATTTTCGCTTCTAATATCTTATCCGCGCTCATTCACTCACACAAGGCTTCACGACTTTACGTCGAAAAATGAACACGAATACTACATCAGAGGAACTCGAGCAGGCTTCGACTTCAGACTTGAAAAAGTAGAGTCAGGGTTTCTGGGTGAAGTCAAAGAACTAGAAAATCTTATTCTTCGACGCTATGAACATGATCGCGTTCTCGAGTCTCAAAAAGCTATATCCTCCGCAACAGCCAGTCAGAGCTCAAACCCAACAGCATCGCCGTTAAAGCGAAAGCCAGGTACATCGCTGTCGTCTCCACCAAAAACGCTGCGTAGCCTTCCAAAGTGCCAAAAACTTGATCTTTGATGATGTTCTTGTTGTTCGCATCTCCATCTTTAGCACTCATGCCGTTTGAAAGTAATGCTTTATTGTAAAACTCGTTCGTCCTGGTTGCTCCATTGTACACTGCCTCGCACACCTCTGGATGATCGACCTTGAGAGGGCAAGCTTCTTCTTGTTCTACTGCTCCTTCTGCCTGCTTACTACATAGTTTCTTCATCTGTTTCTTCGCCAACGCCTCAAAACTGAATGTCATTCCCGTGAAGTCCAAACTCCCATAGGTGATGCCATCCCGGAGAAACAAACCAATCCGATGCAAAATTAGAGTCAGCTTTTGGTCAACATGATCTCGATACCCTCAACATCTCGATACCTTTTTCCTTGTATTTTTTCACGGAAGACGAGGGCACCGACCTTGGTGAGGAGAAAGACTGATAAAAGCTGACCATAACAAGACGCTACCACGTTTTCGAGCTTCGTATCTCGCTGTCCTTCTAGTTTCAACTGCCGTTCTCGCAAGATTGCAGATGGTTTTCTTGTGGAATTCTTGCTCACCTTCCCCATGATCCATCTGGATTTCCTTCATCTCTTCCAAACTGTATTCCCTAACCGCGGCACTTTTCGTAGCTTGACCGTTTTCTAAAAGTATAGGAAAATTCATGAATGCTGGTTTTTGTGCTGGATCATCCAGCTTGATTTCTCCTGTGACAGGGTCTTCCATGAGTGGTCGTTCGCGGACATACTGAAGTCTCCGACTTCCGCCATCACCTTTTCCCATGAGAGCCTGCTCTCTTACTCCCTTTTCCAATTTATGGTGGTAGAATTCCCTCACCTCGCCAGCAGGTAAACCACCATCCGGATGTAGAAAGCAACCAATGTCCACAAGGTAAAGGATACTAATCCCCAAGGCGGAGAGAGTCTGGATGAAACGTGATAGACGTAAAATGCGAAGGAACCTTGGAGGCCTAGTGGTTTTTGACGCAGTCACGACTGGCGTCCTCGCGGGGGAGGCCACATCTGTCTCTATGGCCGTTGAGCTTGAGTCTTCCATTGTTCTTTGTTCTGTATTCAAAGTCTTCAACGATCTTGTGGAAGCTAAACAACAACGGGAGCAACAACTTACATGATTATGATAGACACAAACGTTTAACTTCAAATGAACATACTCATACTCTATTAGTATTAACCAAGGATATGTAAAAGACTAAGATCTTTTATCAACGAAAAAAAGTTGTATATCCTACAATTATAAACAACAAACATTAACATAAGCAAGTCTTTACTTTTTACATGCTACATGGTCACTGTCCCAAAACTGATTGCCATACTCGTCACTCTCGTCCGTACATTCGCGACCATGACGATCCTACAAACACTAACAGAGACCGTCGCTGCTGCAGCACCAAAAATTTGAGGCAATGATGCTAGTGATGACTGTACATTTTGATTTTCATCTTCTTCACGGAAGTGGAAGATACTTGACCTTGTGTCAGCTGTCGTCGTCTTCACTTTCAACACTGCCTTAGCCTTTACAGAAAATGTAGAATGATCCCACTTACAATGACAATGAGGGCAAGTGCCTGTAGATTTTGAGATGTATTCTCAAATGGGTCATGTAACAGATGGGAGTTTTTCTCATAGAACTCTCCATCAATCATTTCTGGATGTTGTTCTTCTTCATGACTGTTATTCCTAGATAGTGGAAGTGGTCTAAAGCGGTCCTTTTCTCCGGGTTCTGAGGCAGGTCGATCCTGTTTTCCTTTTCCAACAATCTCTGCTAATTCAAGGGTGCGTCCAACAGGTGCAGAAGTACTACTGCGAACAACTCCTGGTTCAACATCAACTTCAATGTCGTCTAAATGATCTAACCTGCTTTCATCATTCTCGTCCTCTTCGTCTCGGAAACTGGCGTAGCCCCTAGTTGGAGAGGCCAGCCCGAATGCACGAGCAGTTGTTGACCTCCCGCTTGTCCTACGCAGTGGACTGCTTCTGCGAAGACGTGCTGGGTCGGTTGACTTTATCTTGTTCTCATCTGTTGCCACCAGGTGCTGCTTCCATCCGGGCAAAATGTCACCAAACACAGAAAACATCGTTCGACCATAACAGCGTTCCTTTTGTGAGCGCCTATCCTTGAGATCGTGATCTATTGTGTTCGACGTCGTTGATATGTGTTTTGGAGGCGCACTCGTCGGACTATCGAAGCCCCTATCGGAAGACGGTGTTGCGCCGCCAGACATGCTTCCCAAAGCGCCTATTTCCCCGTCTTGAATCTCTTGCAGTTCGTACTTTCTCAACTTCTGTGCTTCTCTATCACTAGGTCTTCCAGCTGATGAGGATCGGCTAGTTGTCATCATCGAGACACCTACCATAACTGCGAAGGAGAACAAGCACAGTTCAGCAGAGAACCAGAAGAAGTTCTCACACAGCCACCAGTTATCGACTACCAGAGGCGAAGATTCTAGCTCTTCTTGTGCTGTGCCATTCGTTGCAAGCGATGATGGAGATGGCCGCGGGTCTTCAGATGAAGATGTTGCTGATGCAGATGTCCTTCTCCGTTCCACCTCATCCACCACCACACAAACGTTTCTTCCCTGCGTCAAAAACACTATCGATCGTGTGACGAAACGCACAAAGCCAACACAAGCTCCCAGGATGACGCCGACAAAGGCACCGGTCGCGTTCACACTTGTGGTAGCTATCCCAGCGATAAAAAGCGCAACTAGGGGTGGCATCATGTGGTTCATCACGTCTTGAGCGTACAGGTAAAACCCAGTGTTCGCCTGCATTACCACGGGAAGCATCAGGAGGGTGAGCAACGTCATCAAAATCTGCCACAATTGACCAGCACGCACAGATTCGGAGGTATTAGAGATTGACGGTGCGGCCCGCTGGTAGTTGGAAAAATCCGACGAGAATCACATACCACATTCCGCACTGTTGGTTTGAAATTTGAACTACTTTAAGAAACATGCCGTGCAAGTGCATCCTCTAGATCAACATAAATCCCCCCATACCATAATATCACTCGCTTCTGGTCGGTAGTATCGGTAGATGTCCATCGTGAACAGCGTAGCCGCACTGTTGTAGATCGAACTCAGGGAGCTCAACATCGCGGCCAGCATCGACGAAATAATTATGCCTTTGAGTCCGACCGGGAATTCCCTCAACACTAGCAGCAAATACCCGCGGCTAGCATCCGTTGCATCAGAGAGATCAGAAGAGCACCAGTCGAGAACATCATTAGTTTTCAAGGGAGGTCCTGTTGTCGAGGCGGCGCCAGAAGTCTTGCTCGCATTGCAGCGTCTCTCCCACAATGCCCTTGCCGCCATTCCCGGGAAGCAGATCAGGAAGGGCGAAAACATCTTCAGGAAGCCCGCCAACAAAACTCCTTGACGTGCATGCCAAGGTGTCTTCGCTACTATTAGAGGTAGGCTTGTTCGTGTATCCCGTTTGTTATGGCCGTCCCCCTTAGGGTTAGGAGAGCTATAACAAACGGTAACAAAAGCACCTTTAACCTACCCTTAATACTAGGACACGTTGCACCATGTACTGGTCTGTGCACCAGTAGTAGAGACTCACCAGCAAAATGCATGCCGGAGCCGGACTTTGGAGTATGAATGGGGGGAGTTGTAGAAGATGGGGGATGAGCAATATCACTGGTAACTGCAAGTGTGCATGGGGGATTCGCGATGTCACAGGGAAGTGTAGGCTTCCAGAAGAAATCAATGGAAAACCTCAAGGCACTTCTGATGATTATCCTTATGCAAGCGATCCAAGTCATACTATACGGATCCGCTTCATCGCTCCTCCATAGGTGTAGAAAATGCTCCGGCACAGACGATGCCAAGCCCGACATGCCACCCACAGCATTGAGGCTGACGAGGAGTCCTAAAATTCCGCCAACATAGAAAATCCCCATCTGAACGGCGTCGACGATCATCACAGCACGCAGACCGCCAGCAATGGTGTAGAAAGCGCAAAGGATGACTAAAATGCTGGAGTAGAGGAAAATGTTGAGGTTGAGTTTGCTTTCGTCGTGGTCTTTGGTGGTGCTATTTGCACTCGCAGTTCCACCGTTCGCATTCGTTGTGTTTTGATGGCTCTCCGTGGTACTATTAGCCGCACCAATCGGAAAAAAGACTTCAAATATCAAAGCTCCTGCGTAAAGGGTGACAGCAGATTTTGTCATGATATACGTGATCAAAGACAGAATCGCCAAAGCCCTGCGCAACCGACCGTCGAATCTGCCCTCTAGATACTCCCCTGTGGTGCTGATTGGACAGAAAATCGAAGAGGAAGATGTCGGGGAGGCTGATGATGTACTTGATCGGGTACCAGAAATAGACCTACGTGTCCCACTCAACTGAAAGATCGGGAAAAAGAACCACGCAAGTAGCAGAATCAAGTACATGAATGGTGCTGGTATTTGGTAACCTGATTTTGATCATGAGGAAAACAAGAAGGTAATCCTTGTTGTGATCGAATTGTTCAGGTTACCAAATACTAGAACCATATAGTATATCGGCAGCCACTCATGCAGAGCTACAGCTAGACCGTTGTGCGTGGCTATCCCTGCCATCCCAACGAAGTGCTCAGCTCCAATGTTCGACGCAAAGAGACTGGCCCCCACAAGATACCACGGCATGTCTCTGCCGGACAGAAAGTAGTCTTCTGCTTTGTCTTTGTCATGTCCTTGTCCAGTGGAAGTGGTTTCTTTGTATGAAGCGAAAATCCGTTATCATTATCAAGTTTTTTAAGTAGAAAAATACGATAATGATAACAGATTTTGGTTTCATATTACTTCGTTATCTCTTGATACTCCTTCTTGTGCTTCTTCGTGCCCGTGCGCTTCCCCTTCCTGGTCCTTGAGTTTCTTCGCTTCCCTCGAGACTCGAATCCCAGCACCGATTGCCACGACCAGAGAGGCCACGATGATGCCGATATCGACCGGGTGAAGTTGAGCGGAACTAGCTGCGGAGGCGGACATGGTAGCCGAGTTTTTGGAGTTTGTGGTTCAGATTTCTTTTGAGAATTGCTAGTTGTTGTTGCACCTTTAGAATCCACCCTTGCAGGTCGATTATGTGTTATAAATATGTATATTCATTATCTCAGATGTGCTTCTAGTATCTGTAAGCCGACTTGAACTTGGCAGAGGGCAACTTCAACAGATGATTTTGGTCTTCGCTTTTCTGTCCTGAAAATCATCGTCTGAAAATGTTCTAGGAGGAGAAGAACAAGAAGGAGAATGGGGGTTGTCATTGGAGAAGAGCGAAGTGCCTTTAGCTTTAGTGACCTCTCGCGCTCACTCTTCAACCTCTTGTTCACGTTCACTCTCACTACTTGCTGATCTTGTTCTTGACATGACCATAAGGAGCACAACGTTCGCTTTCGCACCTCTCATTACCGCTTGACAGACGGTTACGGAAGACTCGGACCTAGGGCACTTGTTTTCCCCACGTCGTCACTTGTGATCTAACTGCCAAGCAAACGGCCCTTGGAATGAGCAAAGTAGGTCTTGGCGCAAAGCATACAGCCAGGTTCGGCGATATTATGTTTATGCGGAATGAAGGATATAAATCTTTATTCAAGAAGAGTAAAATCAGACAAGGAGCGATGGCATGAATGTTCATGTTTGATAAAGCGGCAGCGCAACGTATCATGGCGTTCGTTGTACTTCCTCCGTTTGTTAAATGCCTGACGTCTCACACCCCTGCAGCGCTATGAATCTCTCCATCTTTCACAAAAGAACGTTCTCAACCCTTGTTTTGTTGTATCCGTATCCCACCTCATTGGTTGGAACCTTGACCTTAGCCATGACGAGATGTCCTCTTTTACTCTCCCTGAGGCATACCGCTGGTCGAGAAGTAGAAGCGCAGCCCAATCGTTTTTGTGTCTGATAGCTCTACCAACGCATTGGTTCACAGCTTTCATACACTTCATCTGATAGTACTGTTTGCCGGAAAGATGGTCGTGTTGTTGCTTGAATGGTTGCGACACAGCCTGATGTGCCTTTTGTTCTTGTCCTTTGCTCAGGTTTGTGGCTTGCGGTGTTGGTACAACAGAGGAACGTCCGCTTCCAGTGCCAGCTAATCTCGCATCCAAAAAGCGCATTTTTTCGAGTAGTACTGGGTCTTGCGGATTCGGATACGGCATGCCGACGACGCAGACACACCGACACATGTCGTCCTTGAAGTTGATGCCTTCGCTGACTCTGCCTCCAACCACTGCTAAGAGTATTGTAGCATTCCTTTTGGTTTTGGCCTCGAAACTCCGGAGTAAGGCATCAGCAGGTTCGCCTTGACGCTCCACGAACACAGACGAAGACGTTGGAGAAGTTGCTGTTGATGAGGTCTTCAATCGATTACCATACAAAGCTTGCGCTACTTTGTTCAGAAAATCGAAACTGGGAAAGAATACGACCATGCCTGCACCACGGCGTGTTGTTGAAGATGAAGAACAAGCGGCGCTAGTACAAGAAGAGGTAACTACATCTGTACTAAGATCTACTTGTCCACCCGCTTGGCCCTGTCCTCCTCTCGCAACTTCGTCAAGCGCACTAGTCAAGGCCCATTCGACACTGTCCAGTACGTTCTTCAAAGCGATCAACATTGGTTGTGAGGTTCTCGTTGCGGCTCTGAAGTCCAGCGGTTGCTGGCCTACGTGCGTTACGAATTTGCACAAGGTGTTCTTCACTGGAACAATGTGGTCGGCAGCTGACTCGACCGTTCTTCTAGCTGCTTGTCGGAGTAGCGAAAACTCAGCTCTTGGCTCAAGAGTTCCACCCAGAAATAACACTGCTCTCGCTTCCTTGAAAAAATCGAGCAAATGTGCTTCCACGTTCAAGTTCAGGACTCGAATGCCTTCCCCTTTTTTGACGAACACTCGGTCGTCAGCGGTGCTGCAGACAAGACTCGAAATCAGTTCGACGACGGAGTAAATGCCACTCAGATGATGCTGAATCTGTAATTGGTCGACACATGATGCTGAATCTTGCTGTCTTGTTACCGACTCCGCAAATCCCCGCAACTTTCTACACAGCTCTCGCTGTTCGACAAACGAAAGCACTGCACTGAGGTCCTCGGAATCTAGACCGCTTGCGATGAAGTACTTAGCTATCGTCAGCACGACTCCCGATGCCGATGGGTCAGAGGTAGTGGACGCTGTTGTATTAGAACCAGCAGGAGCGTTGGTGTTCTTCGCATTGACGCTACAACTATCCGCCAATTTCCCTATGACCTGAGCCAAACTCGTTACGCCTCTGCGCGTTTCTTCTGCAAACGAAAGCTGATATTTCGAAATGTACGCTCCCAGGTACTCCCGGCACTTCGCTAAGGCTCCAGATGAGATGAAGCAGCTGTGCGCATCTGCGCAAGCATCGAAGACATTATGGGCTTCATCGAATACGACAATGTTGTCACGGATCCGGAGACGATATGAAAAGAGGAGCAGGGCGGAGATGGTGCGCATGTACAAAACTGTCGAGTGCAGTGGGAAAGGGAAGAACTTCTGGTGCGTTGATAGAGTTATTGGTCTGTGAAAATGCGAGGTAAGACGAGATGACACGAGCAAAAAATTGAGATAGAGATTTAGATTTCCATTATCCACTCATAAATTCAGCGCCGCGCGTGTTTTCGCATGCAGAATGCACGAATACGGGACTAAGACAAAGTCCGCTTCCGGTAGCGCTTGCCGCATCCCATAGTAAGCACAGGCTTCCAGCTCCTTGGCTTTTGGCAGCACGTCTTCCACTGAAAGGATGTCGGACAAGACTTCATCGGAGACCAGTGACGCCTTGGCTTTGTAAGGGCACCCCTTGCGGTCCCTGAGTGTCTGGCAAGCCTCGTTGCAGGCAGTGGCACTGCTCTACTGGAAAGAGGTTGTTCGGAAGACAACATGAACATGATTGCGGGATCAATACTTTTCGAAACAAGTAATCTTAGTTGTAGGACATCATCAAAATCATGATCAATAAAAAGGAGTATTAATGAAAAAGTCAGTGTCAGGCCAAGTACCTTTGGAATTTTCGGATTCGTACAGCCGTGTAGCCGGGATGCAAGAGAGACGACCCTTATCGGCGGATCACTTTCCTCGTCGATCGCTGCACTAGCTTTCTCCCCATGATGCAAACGTTGAGAAGCAATCTCCTGACAGAACTGCGATAACTGTGAGTGCGTTCGGCTACACACGATTACCTGTAGCTTAGCGTTATTTTCGCCAGCATTCACGCCACTCAGAAGGGTGGAGGTGTCATCGTCGTCAACATCGTGATTCAGTAGGGGTCCTGGTCTTGTAGCTGAAGAAGACCTAGAAGTACTAGAAGAGGAACCTGCCAACTTCGCTAGAATCCCGGGATGTAAACCTCCACCAGGACCTCCAGTTCCTAAGCAAGAAGAACTCCTCGAATCCAGATCCAGTGAAAACTGACCCCAGTCTACCACTTCCTCTTCGTCTCTATTGGCTCCTCCGCGTCTCCGCTTTTTCGATGATGGTGCTGAGAAAGAACTACTAGAACCTCCTGCAGTTTCTTGGTATAAAAAACCTCCTCCACTGCGCACGTCATGAAGATTGTACTGTTGTTCCAGCATTCGTTGTTCCCGTCTGGCCTGTCTCTCTATGTGCGCTCGTCTGAAAAGGTCCTTACGTCTTTCCCATTCATCGGATTCCATCTTCAAGGCGTGTGCACGGACCCAACTAGGCTCGTTGCTCCTTAGAAAATCATGTAGTGAAGAATCCCAAAATTTGATCTCAAACGAACGATGGCGAGACGACAACATTCAAAAAAAGTATCATGACATCGGAAACAGCTGCTATAGTAGAATAAATAGAGAGGGGCGCCAGGTCCAGGATGGGATGGACCGGATGGATCGGATGGACTTCCCACCATTTCAACTAGGACCGGAAGATTTACTAGGGGGTCCATCCGATCCATCCAAGTCCATCTTCCTACATCCGTATAGTATAAATTATTCTACTAAAGGACTGCAACAGAAGCATAACTCGGACTCAGTCTCCCCTTTAGCTGCTGCTATCCTTCTTGACAACACGCATTTACGTTTGTCGTCTTGCAGAATCTTGATGAGCGCACAAACTGCAGACATAGTCTTGCCGGTTCCCGTTGGACTCTCAAACAGGCCTAAGGTGGCCGCTCCTTCAGTATTACATTGGTCTGACGGTCTCGAACCTGAAGCCGCATCGCATATTGCATCCATCAAACTGATCTGCAACGGATACGGCGGGTACGGAAAACCATATGGAAAAGCTGCTTTGGGGGTAGTTGAGGTCATCTTTATGTTTGCCAATTTGGAAATAAAGGACAACAAGGTTTTAAAATGTTGTAAGTGGCATGTTGTAGCTACAGCTAGTCATGCGCAGTAATCCATTTAAGAACCAATGACATCAGCTCAGTTCTTGATGTTTTAGTTCTACTGCAGTGTTGTTCTGCTATTGTTTTTGTTGAATTATATCTATGTACTTATATCGTTCACTTGGCACTATTGTATAAGGTGGATCTTTTGCCTTACTCAGAAGTCGTTTTGTTTCCGATTTTCATTACGCATGAATGCAGCGAACACAGCTTTGTAGCAATCGACGAATGCACACGACTTATTTATTTCGTGTTTTTTCATTCGGTCATCAGTGAACAGCTAGTCAATGCGTCCCTTTGGGCCTTGAGTTGTTGTGCATTCAAGTCAGTGAATCTGAGTGCACAATCCACAATGCAGTCTACGTTAGAAATTCTTTTTGTTGCGTAGATTTAGATTTAGAGGGGTTCCCGCCTCAGCCCTGCGCATGAAGCACCGGATCAGCAGGGATTATGATAGAGTCTCGCCGCAGTAAACAACACAGTATGCAAGGAATTGCTTCTGTTCTGACGTTCGACGGACCTTTCTCTTATCGATCGCATCCTTCCAGGTCCTCTGCCTCTTTGTTTCTTTCCAATCCCAAAAAATAATCAGCATACAAAGAAAACGCTTTTGCTGATAGCATTTTCTTTGTGATCAACGCACCACAACATCAATTCAAGTAAGTGAATCGCCTCATTCGTTGTTTGTTAAATTGCAACAGTTTAATTAAAGCCTAGGAAAAACTCTTAGCCCTGTTAAGCTTCACCCTTGTTCATGCTATGCATCCACTAGTGATTTGGATTGTATGCATTGAAATTTCATATATTAAATCTTAATTACTTACGTTTGGGTTTGGACATTGCCGGACAACATCCAGATTTGATAGAATAGCAGTGAGGATAAGGTTATTTAGTTTTGACTCTGAGATAAAAACTGTTAGTCTTGGCTGAAATGAGAATCGAACTACCTCCGGATCAGAAGATAATGTGCAAAGAAAAAGATCTTATTGTCAAAAATCTTCAATTCGATTAAAGAGTAAATACCTTCAATTCGATTAAAGTGTTGTTGTCTTTTCGTTCTTCTTCTTGAAGAATTTCAAACTAAATGATGAGGATTAGAAGGAGGATAGCAGTTTGGAATCGAAGACGTCAAGGGAAAGATTGGAAAGAAAATCTTAATCTTTGTCTCGAGTCTTAGCTCAACAAGCTGCGTTTGTTTGGATGAATAGTGGATAGATTTCTTCAGTGTCCTGCAATAACTGGTGTACCCGTGACGCTGTTGAGCTTTCCCTTAGATCTTCGAGCTCTCTTCCTGATGATGATGATGATGATGATGATGATGATGATGACGATGGTGATGATGATGATGATGATGATGATGATGATGATGTTAGTCGGTTCGGGTTGAGCCTGCGACTTCTTCTCTGAATCTCTTTTGCGTCGCTTTTAGCATTCTCCCCACCCGTCGCCCTTCCGAATACCTTACCACGTGCCCCAGGTAGCTCAGCCTCATGGGCTTCGATTCTTTTTTGAGTTTTCCCTTACATCTTCGAGATCTTCTAGTTCTCTTCATATTTCTGAGGATCTTAAGGATACTCCTGTGAGTGTGGAACTTGATGATGTCCGGCGAATGGATCGTCGCATGGATCAGGGATGGTGCTAGTTGTGACACCAAGATGTCAATGCTCTTTGAAGTTCTTTTTCTTCCTCCTTAGATCTCGCCCACACTCATGATGGACCACAACATTAGCTACTGCTCTCGTAGCAATATGAGGCATATTTGTCCCTGATTTTGTCAGAGACGAGAACCTCGTCGGAACTTAGAGTTCTTGAGGACAAAAATGAATGGTTGTTGAAATGAAAAACCTAGAAGTACCATAATTAACCTTGGTAGCTGTAGCATGTCAATGCGACTAATGGCCGAACCTAGTGGAAAAGAAAATCTGTGCACCTGAAAAGAATGACTACGAAACCGAACGAAACCGTAGATGAAATTAGTACTCATCATTTTCTTCAACATCACCATATATTTCGTTTTGGGTACCAGCACGACAACGACTCTCACTCTGGGGGAAAATCATGAAAAGAAAACAGAGCAAAAACATAACGACAGACAAGGCTTACGTGACCTGGTCATGAAGATAGAGTCAGCAGCACCTCGTCATTAAAGTCATTATATTTGAACCTGACGATTGGGAATGGCTTTCTCGTAACTGTGTTGAGAAAAACGAAACTTGAAAAATTAAAAACTTATTTAGGGATAACGATAAGCATAGGTTGGTCGAATCTTGTTCTTGAGTGTCTGTCGAAACGAGTGAATAACAAAGAGCTAATATCAGAATCTGAATCACGATGGAAAAGGAAAGAACGAAGAAAATGACAGAGCGAAACATCAGATTTCTTTGTCTTTGAGTAGTTACAAACAATAGAAGGTGGATTAGTTTTTATCGCGTTTGCGTTATGTTTTTAATTTCTACGTCTCGTCTGTCTATAGCTCATATTGATGCATAGCTTGTTTCAGATTTTTGTACTTCTACTTCTACTAGAAACTAATAATTGTTTTTGTTTTTGTGATCTTCATGTTCATAATAAAAATGATAACGAAATCCTTGATCATGCGCATGAGTAGGATGACCCATTTCAAATTTTCATCGAATTGTTTTACTTCATACATCTTCACTCTACGCGATCCCACCACTCTTCAACCAGGACATTGCTGTAGCCAGACCGCAATGCACCTGTAGTTTGTCAGACTCCTGTGACAATCTGCATATGTTTTTCCTCAGCCTTGGTAATGCGATGTCAGGGTCGGGAGGAAGCTTTGCCGAAATTTCGCTCTGGAGCTTGTCCACTTCCGCCTTGAAAAGACGATATTCTTTCTCCAGTTGTCGAACGGCTTGTACTTTGTTTTGGTATAATGCGGCAGTGAATTATTAGACGAGGACGAGGAGTGGGCTGATGCTAAAGGATCAACTACATCAACGTTTTTTTCTACTCGGAGAATGAAAGTCGCAAAAAAATATGTTACTATCATTCCATCGTAAAAACAAGCACAGTAGGGCGTCACCGACACCAGAAAGTAGACCTCGAGATTGGCGATCTCAGATTGCGTTTTTCCTCTACATACGTAAGTAGCTGTAGCCGTAAGCACTGCTATCAAGGTCTGAGCCCGTTGTTAACGCCCTCCCGTCACCGGCTTGTAGTTTCCCAAGAAGTTCTTCTTGCTGGGTTCTCTCATTCTCCCGTGTTTCTAGTACAGTAGTGAGTCCGCAGCCGGCTGTTTGCAACTTGTCATTAAGATTCTGTAGAAGGTAACTCGTCGAGGATGAACTACTAGTGGATCGCTCAGACATCATTTTTTCGTCTATTTCAAACTCCTCAAAGTTGCAGGCAGCGTCTTGTCGTCGTTCTGCTAATGTTGTGCGGGGGTGTTCGAGACTTGCTCCTGCGTTGTTTAGTTGGTGTGAGAACGGCCGCGACGTGGCACTCTTATCACGAAGAGTGTCTCCTTCTTCGTCGTCAGACAAGAACGTCAATGAAGCATCACCATCCTCCTGCACCTCCTCAGCAGCAACATCTTCTTCACCATCTTCATCCAAAAAGCGAGGAAAACCACGAGAACCTCTGGTCACGATACGCGTATCATGTTCGTCAGCAAACTCTATGCTTGGTAGATCTGCCATCGACGACCAAGAATTGTCGAAGTAACTGCAGCAGGAGTAGAGATCTACAGGATCTTCATCCTGATCTTCGTCAAGAATATCTGCAAGTTCTTCTTCGTTGTCGATTTCCACAATTATAGCCTGTGCTCGTCCATGATCGTGATCGACAGTGCCATGATCGAGGGCGCCAGGGTCGTGCTCAGCGCCACCAGATTCGAGGAGTTCTCGGAGATTCATCGCTGCTATAGACAAAGAGAAATCAAAACGGGCTTCTGGATTTTTGCCCGTCCCTGGTGATCTTCTCTGTCGTTTTCGACTTGCACCAAGGGCCGTCATGTGAGTCTTTGATGTCCTCTTACTTCTAGCACTGCTACTACTTCCTGCACCTTTACCGCCAGCTGCCGAAGAATCGGGCTCTTGCTCTTTCTCTCTTCTAGGCTGAGCAAACTCGGGAACTCCAAATCGAAAATCCTGGTTCACAAGTGCAACAGTAGCTAGTTCATTCATCACTCGAACGAGCCACTCTCCGTGTCCGCGAGCAAGGTTGGTGCGGAAGCAGAGACGTAAGTCGACATTGCTAGCGGCGCTTCTTTCAAGTTTCGTCTCCACTTAGAGGTAGGTTTTTGGTGCTTGCTTACCCCGCTTTTTATGCCTTTCTCCCTTAGGAGAGGCATAAAAAGCGGTAAGAAAAGCACCTTTAACCTACCCTTAATCCACTTGTGGAGCCACTTTGTCGAAGATGAAGGTCGTGATGCGGGAAAGAAAACAGTCTTTCTTCTTTGATGTCGAAGTTGAGGTGGATGTAAAACAACTTGTTGTTCTGAAGATTGCAGGTGGTCCTCTATCACTTCTACGCACTGATCTAGAGTCCTCCACACAGGCCTGCAATTCGTCATCGAGGTTTTGAGCCTCAATGTGCTGCAGAAGGTCTGGCTCGTGAGGATCTTCCACACGATGATGCGGAGATGACCGTAGCACTTCTCCCACAAGCCAAAGCACGACACCTGTAGCAAGCTCAAATTGGCGCTCTTCATTGCTCTCCCAAAGTTGTTTGCGCGTCAGCGGTTCTCTATTTTCTATCTCCGGGGAATGCTGCGAGTCGTGTCTCCTATTATTCGGCATCGCCTCCTTCATCGGCACTAGACACAAGCGAGGACTTGTCGTGTCATGATCATCTATCAAAGAAGGCGACGCGCGAAGCGGACCGTCTTCATCCCCTGCTCGAGACTGACTAGGTGATGCAGCCACGGCCCCCGTCGACGCAAGTTTACTGCCAAAGTGTCTTGGGTCAAAAACGATGCACTCGTTGAGATTCATCGAAGAGTTCACAACATCTCGCAAGAGAAGATCGAGTGGCTCCACATCGGTTGTCGAGGAAGGTAGTTTCTTGGTCGATGCCGTGTTATCAGCTTCGTTACCTTCGATATGTTGTTTTTCTGCTTTGTGCAGCTGCAGGCGAGGACTGCGATTATTCATATCGACCTGTGGTCCTTCTTGTTCTGGCATACTGGTGCAGAACTCCAACTCTGCATCTCCTAGTAAGAACTGCAAGCGGTGAAAATTTCTCCGAGGACATGCAGCGGCCTCTTGGTTAGTCGATGCAGCCTCTTGAAGCAATTTGAGCTTGTCAGCAAGCTCTTCCGAAACTAAAATCGGTGGTGCCAGGTCCAAAAAAGGTGGTCCACCTCCTCCTCCAGCTGCGTGGTCCCTACTCAGCTGCGTACTAGGATCTTCTCTCTCAGACGCAGAGCTCCTTGACGGCACAATACCACTCAAGAGCATGGTATTTTTCACCATTTGCGATGTCTTAATGTCTCCTATGTTTTGGAGAAGACGCCGGTTAGTCGCAGTACTGTGGAGGCGCTGGTGGCTGTGGCGTGGTGCATCTAAATCAACAGCAGGAGCTACTTCATTCATGAGACGCATTTTTTTTCTAGGACCAGGAACTTCAGTCTGATCACCTGTGTAGGAGTTGTCGTCTTCTTCTTCGTTTTTCTCTCGTAGGCGACTCGCACTTTGCTGCTGGGGTGTTGAGGTCGATGTGGTGGCTCTGTGTTGGCGATGATTACTGCCGCGTTCTAGTATGGGTGTTGTCCTTGTCTCGCTGTTGTCAACCAAAGAGCCCATTGTTCTTGCCGATTCTGCTTTTGTGGCTCCTGATATGGATGTACATGTAGCCCACGTGCCTTGGTCGTCCGGTGATGCTCTTCGAGTTCGTCCAGAGGAACTTCCATTCATCCGCCCGTAGTAGTTGACACTATTTCTCGGATCAAGCGCACCCAATTTGTCTGCCGCCGCACGCGACACCAATACAGGATGGTGATTGTACTCTGCTTTCGTACGCGAAAACAGCTGTAGCAACTCCGAGTTCTCCTGCCGATCGAAGATTCCACAACGTAAACGGTTACAGATGTCAAAAGCATTGCCCAGTCTCTGGCTCACATCATGAATGGTTCTGGTATTTTTGGTATAGCCTGATTTCGATCATATTCATAAGGAAAACAAGACGAGAATCCTTGTGATCAAATTCAGACTATACCAAATACCGGAAGCATACACATCAACCTGCAAAAGGGAATGGACTATGGACCTGACTTCAGGATGTGCGCTATCAGGCTGTAATGGCGTGTATTTTCCAGCCTGGATCCGCTGGAAGAGGGACCAGAGGGACGGAGGTGGGTTAGAGAGTCCAATATTTGACTTGTGAATTCATCTTGAACAGTCACTTAGACTTACAACTAAAAGTGAGCAGTAGAAGATGTAACTGCTTGATACGAGGTTCATGTCGTGAACAGACTTGCTCGTCCTTAACAAAATTACTATCCCCTCCACCTCCTCCGCTATCTACCGCATCGCTATCCCTGAAGGGGCTTCTTAGTGTCAGCAGTTCGTAGATGATACATCCGAAACTCCACAGGTCAGCTCGATGGTCGTAGCCATTGAGGCCCCTAAGCATCTCCGGAGCCATGTACAGAGGAGTTCCTACTTTCGAATAGGCAGCCATTGTGATGGGTTTCGAAGCTGCACGTTGAACTATGGTTGCACGACTTGCAACATCGTCTAGACTGAGCTCCCCTTCTCGTTCTTCGCCCGCCTGTTGAAGAAGTTGTTCCTCCACATTCTCTCGTCCTGCATCCGCAACATTATCGTTAAAAGCTTTCCCTAACCCTAAGTCGCCTATCTTGCAAACCCCTAGAGTGTCTAAAAACACGTTCGCAGGCTTCAGGTCTCGATGCAGAATGCTGTGCCGATGAATGTGCGCTAAGCCTGATGCGATCTGCAAAATGTGATACCAAATGCCCACTTCCAGAAAGAAGTACTCCTTCTGTTGCGCACGTCGTAGCCACCGCTTTAAGTCGCCCAGAGCGCAGAAATCCACAACCATATCGAGTGTCCCGTCTCGAGCACTCGAGAAGTTGTCCCGTAGATACACCACGTTTTCGTGCACGGGAAGGCTGTTCAGCATCTCGACTTCACCACGACAACGAGCGCCGTCTCTAATACGCTTTAGGGCGACTATATCTGAATTGAAGACGTCGTGGATTAGATTACCCCTCAAGATGAAAGACTGAGCAGCAGCAGCGTTGTTGAAGTAGAGGTCAAGATAAAGATGCCTTGGCTTAGCTATGGGTCCTCGCGTGCAGCTCACAATGTCGTAGTACCTTTCGATCCTGAATGCCGCTGTTCCAGAGCCTTTGCTTGATAGACGACAGAGAATTTTCCACGGCCGATTTGAGAGAGGACGCGATAGCCGTGGACGTGGTCGCCTTTCTTCAGCTCCTTCATCTTTTTGTAGCGGTCGCCATCTTTTTTCTGCGGTTGATTTTGCCACCTCTTTTTGTGATCTACTTACTTCTCAGTGTCGACGTCAGAGCGGGACTACGGTGACGTCATCATGGACTCTAAGACCTAGTATATGCCATAGGGTTCTTACAGAGACACATCTACACACCTACGCTTCTTTTTCTACTTATCATGACTTTCGTTTTCTGTCTTTTTGCGATATTTGATCTGCTTGAATAAAGCGGGAAGGGGAGCGCGATTTTGTGCAGCATCATTCGGCGACTTCTTTTTGTTCCATTTTTTGCAGGGCAGCGTTCTGCTCGATTGTTTCCGAAACTCTGCTCATGAAGGTCTTGCTCTGACACTCCTACAATTACGCAAGAACTTGGCCTTGATAGGGAGGAAGTGAAACTAGGCGTTCAGGAGGTTGCGGCGTTGTTGTGCGCGGGAATGCTTATGCCAGCTGTGTAGCTCAATGTCAGTAATGTGATTGGCTAGCCCGAATGAAGAGACGGATGTCAACATTGTTGGATATTCAGTCATTTTTGGTCCTGCTGAATCTGAAGGTGACAGAGCGCATAGCTTCCTTCCCAAAGCCCAATAAATCAAGCAATCTTCCTCCAAAAGAACCCGAACAAATCCATAATTCCACCAAAAATGAAGTCAAAAACTGAGAATTCTTTGTGAAAATCAGCCTCGTCGAAGGTGGTTCCGCGATATCGGATTTTATAGCGTTCCGTGAACTGCGGTTCAAAAGCACCTGGTTCGTACTCAGGGATGTAGCCTTTCTGGTTAGGCAGATTACCCGAATCTCGTCTGATACAGGCGACTGGACAGGCGTGATCGCGGAATGAACGAGGGTAGGAGGAAAAGGATGGTGGATGCGGAATTAGGAAGCGATATGGATATCAGCAAGTCCACCAGAAGAGGGAGTCATGGAAACAATCCGCAAGTTCGAAGAAATTCAAGGAATAACTTAAGCAGGTCAAGATAAATCCATCTCATAGAAGTAATTTCTTGCAAGGCCTTCTTCTGTCTTTGGACAATAGGAAATTGCTTTCGTCTATCTGCACACTCTTGCCCATGAGATGAATCTCACGGTGTGTGCGTGCTTCAGCCTTCAGAGCATTTGCTAACTCCATCGTCTCTTCGACGTCGAGTGAGGGGGCCTGAAGATGTGGATGAGTGCATGATTTGTGGCGGCTTTGATTACATGATTTGTGACGTTGAAGAGGTTGTGGTGGATGAAAAATGATGCTGAATAAATATGGCACGCTAGACTGATTGTATGGTTCTGGTATTTGGTAGCCTGAAACTGAATTTGATCAGAAGGCCCTTATGATAAGGGTTCTCTTGTCTTGGTTTCCCTTATGATCAAATTCAGGTTACCAAATACCGGAGCCATTCATTGAGAAGTTCAACATTATAGGTAGTTCTAGTTGTTCTTGTTGTAGATACATCAATATCCTCCCACTCCAATGACTCTGCTAGCAAATTCGTGCATGCTCTTGTTATCTGGTCGTTGCACACAGTCATGCAGCCATGGTTCAGGCCCATGAGCGAGAAGGAGCGCAAAAATATCTTCTTCCAGGCAACAGATTGAACTAGGGTTTGGACTTGAGCAGCTGTTTCTGGTGCGATTTGGGCTGATGCGAAAGGTGTCCTTGTTGAAGAGAAGCTGCATCCTGCTGATATCAGACAGGCAAAGAGCCTCAGAAGAAAGGTGGATGCACAAGGCGCCATCCCTCGACGTGAGCGTGTGGGCAAGCAAGATGCGGCGGACGACGTCCTCGAAAAAGACATTTTCTTGATCATGATCATGAGGTTAAGTACAATTGTTTTTGTCCCTTAGCTCAACTAGGTGGATCCCATGGGAGCAGTGTTTTTCTCTCTCTGTCACAACTGGCTTGTTGACGAGACAAGAACTCACAGTGTATAATTGTGATGAACCATACGACCTTTCACCTTCTTGATCGATCCTGGTGACTGTGAAGCTAGAAAAGGGAAGGAGCAGTGTCAGTGAAAGAGAATTTGCGAACAAGTTGCTCTATGCTCCTGAGCTGCCTGTTCGAACAGCGCAGCCCAAGCGATCAGGCGATCAGCGAGTTTGCGGAAAATGGTCGTCTCGTGCAAGCAAGAAAGCAAGGAAGGTGTAAAAATAGTCGTCGAGGAAGAGAAAGAGTTTAGCAAAAGGTCAAAACTAGGAAGACCGTGTGTTTCTGGCGGTGGCTACTTCATGATGAAAGACCGTGGAAAAGAAAACGGATATAACGTCGCATTTGCACTGGTGCGACTCCTCTTGTAAAAACACGATAGATATGAAAACGCTTTTCACAATACTGCACACAACAGCGTTTCGATGGGGACTACGACTAGGCCAGCGCTGCATAATTATCGACGATGGCGCCTCGCACCGCTTTGTAATTCGATTAGCAGTACTACACTAGTATTTGACATCTGTATCTATGCCTTCGCATCCTGTATCATCTGCAAGAGCAAAGAAACGTCCCTCTGGCATCCCATGATGATCGGACACCGATCGTGGATCTTCTCGGGACTTACTTCCAAGACTCGACCAATCTTGCCTTGGAACATACCTGTGGAAGCAGCTCCACCTGCATTTTCCGTTATCATAGCCATGGGGAAACCCTCATAGAGCACACGCAATTTGCCCTTTGTACTCTTCTTGTCCGCAGGATAGAAGAAGATGCCGCCATACAGGAGTGACCGGTGAACATCGGACACCATGGAACCGACGTAACGCGCGGTGTAACCTGAGTGGAGAGTTTGGAGGTATGGATATGGGTATGGCAAACCTCACATGCAAGGACGATTGCTACGAATATCATTCAGTCACTCACTCATTCATTCGAACCACGTAGCAACTACGAGTAGCTGCCTGGCTCCGTTGTGACCCGAGTAGAGACACTGCAGCTACATAAGACCGACTGCTTAACGACGTGAGTAACGTCTCCAGAGGCCACATTAGTACTCCCATCCTTGCAGTGTGAATGACTACACGACATCCAGAGGCGACATTAGTACTCCTATCCTTGCAGTGTTGCACAAAGTCGAGCAATCCTTGGTCCCAATGTTTGCTGTTTCCTTCGTTACAGCTGTAGATCTTCTTGCCGCCGTCTGCTGGAAATTTGATGTATTCGATGAACATAAACTCCCCAACACTGGGATCCAGTTGGAATCGTTCCACTGGTTGGCCCATCCCAGTCGTAATCACTAGCTCTGTGGCGGCGCCGTACCTTGACGGAAATGATTTGTAAAGAAATTTGTCATGCTACAACGTCTACATCTGAGGAGGTGGGAAGTCCTGTCAAGTAACTACTTTGTAAGTGAAATGTTGCTCTCATCCACGCATGAAAGTGGAGCACGTTGTCGTCGTGAGGGTTACTAGGGTAATAAAGGTAGTCAAGAACTAAGCATAAAGTTGTTAAAAAAGAATTCATTCTTCATTCTTTCCTGCAAGAACTAAGGAGCATAAAGTACTTACATTTCTTTGCAAGAACTAAAAGCATAAAGTACTTACATCGAATAGCCCGCCGCCACGATTTCTGTCCCTGGCCTCACTATATCCTCCGATGACGCGCATGGCCCACCCGTTTTTCTTCGGTAGACCGAGAAAATGGACCCCACTGACACGTTGCAATCGACGTTCGAAGAACCATCGAGAGGATCAAAAGCCACACAAAACGGGCCTATTGGACAGCCCTCTTCCGGGTTCAGGACTAAGGCTTCCTCCTCTTCTTCGGAGACGAGCAGACAGCAGACACCTGAGTTTCTCAGACTGTGTATCCAGATGTCATTGGCAACGATGTCTAGTTTCTTCACCTCGTCTCCTGTCGCGTTGGTTGTTTTGCTGTTGCCGGATATTAGAGCAGGAGGTGGAGGGCGGGGAAAAGGGGACTACTTAGCATCGAGAAATTTAAAGGGGTTTTGAAAGAGCTAGGATCATTTTTGCCATTCAACTTGTGCTAGCAGTCTACAATGACAGGCGCGACTAGTGGTCGAACTGGAAACGGTAAAGTAACTGTCAACACAGCAATCTTTCCATAAGTAGAGGTTCGATATCCCCGCTCTCCGAATCGCATGTGAGACCACTTTACACGCACATTGAATCGCATTCATCAAGATAGCGAGTTGCTGGTCTCCAGTAGCAGAGGACACGATGTACTGCGTCACGGTCTTATGCGTACTGCGTTGTAGTAGCAGATCCATATCCGCCGAGCTCGGGGTACCGTTGGACATTTTGTGGACGATTGGGACAATACCTCTCGATGTCTCTCGATATTGATATTCTGTGTTGAAAAGAGAAGACAGCTGCTTGTCGAGTGGATTGACCGAAGGCGGAGCACTGCCGGCCGCTCGCTCTGTCTCGCTTCTTCAACATCAAGATCGCAGCGTGCCTCACAGGAGGGACGATGAGGGACGATTCGGCTTGTCCAGTGCTTGAGATTCTACTTGTTTTCTTGTTTATCTTTCATCTTGCGTCTTGTTCTGTCGCTTTTGTATTTGTACCGTTCAGATCTTTAGATTTCGATCCAAGTTTTGGTGAAAGCCTTAGATTCAATGTTAAAAGTAATGTTCAAAAAAGACCCATAGATAATCACGTTTACGTCAGCACAACTGCTAGATAATCATCAGAAGAAATTCTTTCGCGAAGTACCTTTACTTTTTGTCCATTATCCTTGCCATTGAGACTTTTGACGATGACTCGACGACTTACACTTTTTAACTTTTTCTTTTCCACTTACAACATGTGCATTTTGTTGACCATCAAAACCAGCCAAATCATATGCGGCTTTCGCAAAGATGTGGTACAGCGCGGACTCCGACCACTACTTCAGCTCGCACTCGCTGCCGCTCTGTGAATTTCGGAATACCTAGAGGGATACTCTTCCTCCTCAAAGTCCCGACTGGAGTCGGGCACTTCATCGACGTAGGGGTCGCGAGAGGACAAAATGCGTTCCAATTGGGCTGCTCTAGCACCCTCCAAGGTGCGGGGTTTAAACGTGTACTCTTGCAACCTTGTGGAGGTGGTAAATGAGATATGGAAAGCGGCGGGGGAGATTTGCATGCAGTAGATGAAGATGAAGCAATGAATATACCTAAGCAATTTCGCCACAACGTCCTAGCATCTTCACCATGATACTAGTAGACACAAATAACGTTTTAATATTCGGTGTTCTCTACAGTACCGTCTCTCCGCCTCAAACTCTGCTCGCAGCATACGCCGTCCCTCTCGCGTCTCCGAGAGTCTAAAGGGAGCTGGAATCGTCACTCCGCCACAGCGCTTTTCTAGTAGGCCTTTCGGCTTCATACCCCATGCGGCTTCTTGTGCCGCACGTTCCTCATCAGCTTTTTTCTTGGCGGCTTCTTTCATTTCGAGGAATCTGTGGGAAATTGATAGTTACTTGTGCAAAGACCAGGAATTAGCAATGGTTTCTACGATGCTGCACCTGCAGAAGGGTATAGATAACGTCAACATGGATAGAATTGTCATGATGATAAATGAAAACCTACTATTAACCGGGGAACGGAAATACCTGCTCAATCCATTCACCACTACTGGTGCTGTTAGCTTCGGCGGTCGCGTCCCTCTAGAAGGTTGAAATGTGCAGTCCTTGTTCTTCTCGTCTTCGATTTCCTTCTTCTTCCGCTCGATCTCCAGTTCTCTCCTTCTCTGCGTGTCTGCGATCTGCTTCAACAATTGCTCCTTCTTGTCCTGGGCGTAGAGAGACTCTTTCTTCGTCTTGCTGATAGGTCGTATCTCGGGTTTAAACGTGTAGGCTTTCTTGAACTCCATCTCTTTCTCGCTGATGACAGAAGTGGCTTCCTTCAATCGCTCTGCGGCCTCACGGTACAGACGTTCGTGCACCCTCTCGCCGACAAGGACGCTGCTGGCGTTCATGGATGGATTAGAACGAACACGAAGCTAGTAGTAATGGATAATTTTTCCCTTCTATGGATGGCGCTGGTCTTTGGTCGCCTGAGATTGATCATAAAGAGGAGAACCCTTGTGATCAAATTCAGGTTAGCAAAGACCGGAACCATTCACCCAATAAATCAAATCAACTTAAGCTTAACCACGTTGTATCTAATATGTAACTACAAAACTTCTCAAACTGCTCTGAATGAATACTACTAGAGTAGTACATATTAAGTAATACTGATATTCCTTCTAAGTAAAAGTCCTTTTCCATAATCGACGCTCCGTCATCACCCGTCCTCCCCGTCGTCATCCCTCCGTCGTCAGCTAACTCGCTTGCTCCACCTGTGATCCTTTGCATCTGCTCGCGTTGCAATTCCTCTCGAATTTTGGTGGAGACTGGATTGATCTTGGGCTGGAACGTGCAGTCTTGCATAGCGATCTCGCTGGCTAGTCTCTGTTTCAGCTGTTCTCTTCGCTGTACCTCTACCGTGGACATACGATCGATGCGGTCTTTGGGATGAAAGGGGAAGGGAGGGAGCAGGAGACCCTGTTGGGTGGAAGGGAAGTGCCTCAAAAATCCAAAAAATGTAGAAGCAACTTATAATTAAACGATCACATTAAAAACTTAATATGATCGTTTAGAATACTACTACCTCAGGAAAAATCTTAGGGATGCTTGTTCACCTGAAACTCTAGATCTAGATCAAACCGGATCTTCATATTTTTCACTTTCGTTCAACCGCTTCACGTTCGTCCTCGCCAGTGCTTCCGACACCTTCGATATCGTAGGCTGGAATTTCAAATCCGAGTCTGCTATCTTCCTCCTCAACTCTCGTCTCTGAGTGCGTGCATCTTCAAATGTCTGCTGTCGCGTCAAGAAATCCGCACAGGGTCCTTGAAAAAAGACACTGTTCTTCACTATTTCTTCTGTCTTTGGAGCTAGAACGCCACCAGATTGGAGGTCTTGGTCGTGAAGATCGCCTAGCAGAGTAGAAGTGCCCATTCCCGTTTGATCCACTCTACTTCCTGCCCTAGAGCCACCTCCGCCGCGAATTGCAGCAGGATGAGTGGCCTGCTGCTCCATGAAGGCTTGTTCTTGGCTCTTCCTCTTACCCACTTGATACAGCCTCTCAGAATTAGAACTAAGGGAAATCCATCTCCAGCAGCATCTTGGGTCTCCTTTTCCCTTTAAAAACGGGACCAAGATGACAGTGAAGATGGATTTCTTGTACCCTTAACAGAAGCGTTTTGCACAAAGAGTGTTGCTTCTCCATCCACGTCTTGACCCGTTTCGACCATGCGCAGAGCTTCTTCGCGTTTTTTCTGGATCATGCGTTCACTTGCTGCAGAAAGCTTGGGCTTGAAGGTGGCGTTCTCGCGCTTCTCAACTTCAAGTTGCGCTTGAAGGAGTTTTTCCTCTTTTCGGCGTTGGACTTCTGCAACGCGGTCCTTGAGAGGTTTGTACCCGGCTGCGCTTTGCGAGCGCTTGCGGGAGGCGGAACCTGGTGATGCGTCCATTGAGGGATGAACCGAATTTATAGGAGGTCGTGGAGGAGAATGAAGTGGTGTATCTACTGTATCTGTATGTTTATCTCTATCGATAAATAACCGTAGTCGTGTAGCACGACAAGCTTTTCAAAGGACCACAAGGCGAAGATTCCGAAGATTCCAAAGATTCTGGAAGATCAAGATCATGATCATGTGTAAGTATTCATGAATTTTTACCCTGCTGCAACTGCGGTTGAAATGTAAGCTCTTGCAATTCCGTGTCCTGTAGTAAACTTTTTGCCTTCTCCCGAATCTTGGATCTCTGGTCCGCCTCATGGTGGAGGCGCTCAAACATTTGTTCTGCCGACTCCTCGAATTCGAGCTGAAGGAGAGAAAGGAGAAATTTTAAGATATTTTGGTTGGTCTTGGTTCTTAATGCTTGTTATTGCTTGGAAGTTGGAAAGTAGAAGTTGCAATTGATTCTAGATCCTCTTGGAGAGAGTATCTGGTACAGAAGTCGATCCTGATCATAGAGGAGGAAGACGAAGAAAGCAGATACTAGGACAAATTTCAAAAATCATCTACAGCAAGTAGAACTAGAAGTACCCCAGCCCTCGTCGTATCATTCGTCTTTGAGCTCGGCCGATCCGCATTCGGTCGAAAAGTGCAATTCGCGAGCTCCTTGGTTTCTTTCTCCTGTTTCAATTTACCTCTTTGTTCTAGTTTCCGCTTGTGCTGCCTAGCCCACAGCGATGCTCTATCTTCTAATGGAATTCCGCCATTGCTCGCACCAGAAGATTTGCTCTTGTTCGTCTGTTGTTGTTAGAGCTGGCCGTAATTCATCTTTGTTCAAGTGCATCCTTGAAAAGTACTTATGGGAGAGTATTATTCCCTTTCGAAAAGTACTTATGGGAGAGTATTACTCCCTTAGGATTATAGATACTGATACTTCTCCATACTTTTCATGGATGCGTCCAAAGATGTAATAGGTACAGCCTTAATGTTGCGGACCACCGCGTCCAGGTGGTCTACTATTTGGACGAGTAGAAGCGCCTCCAGACGGACCGCGAACGACCTGGCCTCTGCGCACAACTCCTTGTGGGCCGCTTGGGGGACCTCGTGGGTTGCGAGGATTCTGTCCCTCCGCTGCCTGAGCCCGTTGCGCCAGCACCCCAAGCGGTGTGTTCGCATCTACAAAAGAGGCACCTTCATAGAGCAGCTTTTGCGCTAGCGCTTGGTCGTAGTCTGCTCTTGGCGGTGAGTTCGGTGCTGATCCTGCACCTCCGCGTGAGGATGAGGGTCCTTCTTGCGGTGAGGTCCCTCTTATCATAGGGCCAGTGGAACTGCTTGAAGGAGTCGGTCGGCCTAGTGGATCGATACTTTTGCTGCGCTGTGGAGACATTGTTTCGTATTTTGTATTTATTACCACGTCTCCTTTCTTGGTACTATTGGTGGAAGACAAAATTAAACATAAACATATTTTTTCATGTCACGATCTTCAAGATGAGAACATATTCTTCTCAAAGTAAACCAAAAGCGAAACTGTAGTGAAACAAATACCCGACCTCCAGCTGCTCCACCTCTCTTCTCCGGCGACCATCGCTGCTCTCTGTTATTGGCATTGTCAGCAACGTCTCCAGTTTGATCGTTTGAAGTATCTCCAGCACGAGCAGCTCGTTCTGCTAGTAATTTCTTCACCAGGTCTTCTGTTTGACTCCACTTCTGGCCCCATTCGTCCTCTGCTGGGGAGTGGTCTTGGTCCACGTGTGGTCCTGGACTAACGTCATCGTAGCCCTGTTTAGAAGACCGCTTCTGCGCTAGCAGGTCTTCGATAAGCTTCTCGCGAGGGTCCATTTTGATGGCTTTACTTTTTGGGAAAATGCATAATGGAAATATCAATACTGCTAACTTGTAAACTTTGCGAGTTCTTCAGGAGAGGGCAATCTACTTTTTATAATCAGTGGCCTCTCGCTCAACCCAAGCTTTGATTGAATTTAGTCGGATTTCACTGAATCCGAAGCTTTTACTTATGCTTGCGGAGACTCTTTAATCGATGATGCATTGAAATAAATTATAGCACAATCTCAGACGCAGACGCACATTTTTCCTTCTTCTCGTTTTGAGTTCTGTAGCATGAAAGTGTGCGTAGAAGTTGTTCTTTGTTTCTCTCGACGACTCTACCCGAGGACACTGTAGATGTTAGGATTCTCGACCTTCTAGTGGAGGACAACGAACAAGGATGGCGCTCAGAATGAACAGTCGATAACCGAGTCAGTGTTTGTGGACGATCGTGGTGTGCTACTCGGCAGCTAACGATGTTCGTAGGTAGGTCGCGAATCAGAACCTCACGACGGTCAGGCGTCACAAGGAGGACGAAAGTGATGCTTTGATGCAGTTTCTTGACTGCCTAACTCGTCTCTTTGGTGTCATATCTCCGGCAACTAGAGCTGTAGTATTATTGTTCTGTGCAAGAAAGAAGTAGAAGTACTTATATAAATATACTAGAGAAGATGATGTGTCAATGTCGTGGGTTTTCTTGGAACGTCTGGAATCTTGATGTAAAAATTTCACGTAAAGTCAACCCGTAGAAGAAGTTGCACCAATGACTAGCTTCATCATGTTCATCTTCTATGTTCTCCTTCTCCTGAGGCTGTGATCTCGATACAAGATCGACATCGGTTTCAGATTTCAGATTGAGGAGTAGTTTCTATCGATCAATCTATTAAATGCTCTTCAGTAATCATGTGTCGTTAGGTGTGAAACGGCGATCAGAAAAACATCCGACCAGTTGCGAATAACAAGATACTGCTTCACAGAAATCGACTCGTTCTCCCTCTCGACATCTAAAAAAAAATGTCGACTATTTTGCGAAACGTTCTAACTCTTAAAAAGTATCGGTCTAATCAAAGTATCGGTGTAATCTTGAAAGTACGGTAACCAATTGAAATAGCTGACTACGAAACGAAAAAAAGACTATAAGCGTCGATTAGGACTACAACTTGGTTTTTGGATTTGGTGATAGAAGCTGCTGATAACATTAACAATTAGGATGATCTGAGTCTGACTACGTTAAAAAATAAACAAAGAGTATTTCCACTTGGAATCGGCTCTCAAAGGACTGCGACGCGTTTCTCAAGTCTGGCGCGAGTAGCTTGATGGCGTGAATCTACTCGGCAACCTGCCTAAGATTTCCCTGGCGAGTTCTACCCGCTAGTCTAGCTTGTTGTTGGTTGGGTTCGAATAACTTATCGTAAACAAAAATATCTGCCGGCGTCGTCAAAACAAAGGTCTAGTTACCCTCACACAATCTGCTTGCTCAAGTGTGAATATGAACAAAACAAAAGTCGATGCTTCTGGGATAAAGAATGAAGAATCGCTGAAGCTGAAGAAAAGAGGAGTGCATTTTGACTGTGCATTCAGGATGAAGCGTCTTCTGTAGTTCTTTCGTTATAACTGATATGTTCATGTTGTGGCTCTACATGATTTTTTTGACGGAATATGTTGTGGTTCTACCTACATATCATTAGTTTTCCAACACACGACATAAGATTGACAACGAACAATAATGATGATCTCTAACTCTAGTGTGTTTTAGAGGCAGATTAGTACTCTATTAAGTGCCCAGCGTGACCGTGACTACAGTAAAAACATCAAGAAGGAGAAGCCTCAACGTAATATATAATAAGCTAAAATCACATCAACCACGGAAAACGAAGTCTTCAAGTATTGATCATATTAAGACGAAGATTCGGACGGAACTTTTTAATACAATGGAAGTATATGTTTATGGAGTTCTTGTAGATGTACTTCCAACTACTTCTACTACTACGGAATCTAAACATCTTTCAAGAGCGAAATGCCCCAGACGTCGTAACCGCCTCACTTTTCCGGCCGCCGTCCCCGCAACGTCGTAACCGCATCACTTTTTCGCACCGCCGCCGTCCCCGTTCGGCCCTTTTTCGGCATCGTCTCCCAGACGCGGAGTGGGAGCTACTTTAGAAGTCAAGATCTTTCTTAACCAGGTCTACGCGAAGAAGAAAATAATACATCAGGTTCAGGTGTCTCTTTCCTTCAATTGGAGGTGTGTTAATAGAATGACAAAAAAGAACCACAACAACCACATTTTTGTAAAAACAAGGTAGGAAAGTATATAAAATCTTTGACGTTCTTACAAAATCAAAAAATTTCGTTGACTACTACTACTACTTCTATTTTTGAAAATGAACAAGTAGCTGTACATGTACAACAACTCTTAAGTTTGACATTTAGTCCTCGTCCACTTGGACGCGCAGCTTGTACGGGATTGCCGACTACAGTAGTCGTGTCTTCTGGCTCTGCTCTCTCTGGCTCTGCTACTGAGAGGACGCTCTCCCACCTATGGCCGTCGTCTACATCTCCTGCGTTAGACAGATCATCATGATACACAACGAAAACACGGCGAATATGGTATGAGGGAAAGCAGGACAAGAAGATAATATCATAGTATTAGTACACAAGGGCAGCTATTAAAAAACATCATCTAAAAAAGTCTATTTGATTTCGGCCCATAACATTCATTCGCCCAATTCCCTCGGGCGCCATCGTTTCGCCACCGTCGCCTGGCTTTCCATCTTCACTACTTTCCTTGGCCTTTGTTAGAGCGTGCCTGAATCCTCATAATTATACTCCAGTACTTCATACACATACTAGAAAAAGGTTACCGCGAGGCGAGCGCGATACAGATACCGACAGAGTAGATGAAGCGAAAATAAAAAGCTGTTGACCATATTAACGTTTCGTCAGCTAATGTGGCTGCCTTGACAGCTTCGCCGAATGTTGTGATCTGCTCTCCATCACCTCCACCAGCGCGTTGCTTAGCCTTCGCTTTCTTCTTTTTACTTTTCTCAATCTCATGCTCTTCTCCTCATTAGAACGAACAGGAAGACGAGAGTGGTGGTCTCATTCATCTCTCTTTCCTGACTTTGGCACCCCGTACCCGTTACGGTTACATTTTTCTCTTCTTACATTCAGATTCACTGAGAACGAGTAGCCAGATCCTTGGAGAGAATGGAAAACTGAACCTGGTGAGGGCGACCATAACTATGAAGCGGCACTGTATGAAAAAGCTTGATCTGTGTAGCGCTCTTCTTGAAGTGGCCTACGGATTTCTTCGACAGCTCGTCCCGTATGTTCCCAATGTGATAGAAGTCGTGGTCTTGCAAGTACTGCTTGCCTAGAGCATACGGCAATGGCAAGTCATGCTGTGGATCTGCGTCTGGATGCCATGGCTCGCCTTCGTTTTAGAGGATGAAGATCGAAGTTATATACTCATACATAATTAGCTTTAGCATACACGATGTGCGCTTGTGCTTGTGGTCGTTTCTTCTAGTGCTCGCTCATTATTACATAGAATGCTGGAGACATTGTTGTACTACTTCGATGCGTGGGGGCGTCATAGTCATAGTCAGGTGCTTCGAAGATGACCCTTACTGGCCGTTGGTGAAGCAAAACTTACTGTTACTCAGAGGTAAACTCATGGTAAGGATTTTACATCGCGTTGCGGTTTAGAGTAATCACAGATTCCTCCACAAAATCAAGCTGGAGGTCATGCCATAATTATTCAAATAGTGTTGTCGCAGCACAAAGACCGGGTTTGTGTTGAAGTAGTCCTTGTACATGCCTCGTGAGATTTGCAGTGTTCTCAATTCGCTATACTGAACGCCGATATCCGTAGAGTCTGAGTCCGAACTGTGCGATGACAGGGATGGTGGCGCGTAGGGATGTCTCGGGACTTCCGTCATTTCCCGTCCCTCCCGTCTAATAATTCGCTTCAAGACGGTACAGTAGAGGGCGAAGTGGATAACGACGAAAGCAATGTAGAAAACTGGAGTTGTTGATGGAGGAGATAGAGGAAGGAGAAGATTGACAAATGTGGCCGCGAATTTTGTCTTTGTGAGGGAGCCGTTAAACACTAAGTAGAAGGGATTGTTTATTGACAAAAGGAAGGATTAGAGCACTCCACGGACTTTGAATGTAGATCTGATGTAAACAAGTATCAAGGAAATAATAAAGTATAATCTTCAAGTACTCCACGGACTCCGAATGTACATCGTTTTAACCCACCAGGTGACTGCCATGATCCCGACTATACCGCAAGGCACCGACCAATAGTACCAAAAGTTTAGGGTCACCAGTGCTGTCTCCGCAGGAACGTAGCATTGGCCTCTGAGGAGACGGAAGTGCAAGTTAGATCCGGTAGAATGTATGGTTCTGGTATTTGGTACTAGCCTGAATTTATTGATTACAAAGGTTGTTCTCTTCTTTTTTTCCTTATGATCAAACTCAGGCTATACCAAAAATACCCGAGCCATTCATAGAAAAAGGATTCTAGCTGCCGGGTCATTATTAATGGATCTTCCTCCATGCATGCTGATGCTCTAGCACAAAGTCGAAGAGAGATCAAAAAGTAGGAAGATGCATGGGGCATGACGGCCGCTCGCCCATAGGAGTCAGTCTCAGTAGTGTCAATAAAAGTAATGAAGCCATAAAATCCAGGAAGTAAATCATGAAGATAGCTCCCGCAACAGCAACGAAGGTCCAGACACAGTACTCGGAAGCGAAGCCCAACATGATCATTGAGAATTAGATAAGTTGGGAATGCACATGGTGAAAAATACGGAGTCTTTCATTCCCCGCCGATTCATCGTCAGACACCAGTACTGTCCGACTCCGAAGTTGTACTTACTACAACTTATTATATCACTGCGTGAAGATGCTTCTCGAGTGAAGCTCGAGCTACTTATAGATACTTTCAATCCTGTTCGTAAGTCACAGTAAAAAAGTTACACATATCCACGTATCGCCACACTGGGCCCATGATTTCTGGACCTTCTAGGGCCTTCTCAGCATGCCAATGTGACATGTCTGGTCGTGCGCCGACAACAACGGAGCCGATATACCTTGTTGTTAGTGAAGATGAAGTTTGAAAAGAGCAGTGAGCAGCCACATGAGCTGACAAAATACCTGGAAGTTCTCTCAGGCGCCATCGTTTCGTAAAGCGACACAAAATGTTTGTTTTTATCGTGTGTTGAGCAACCTCAGGAAAAGCAAAAAACCTCTTACCTCGGCACCAGCGTATCGAACAATGATTCGGCGATGTAGGGCAGAACCAAGTATCCTGGCATGATCATATTGTACATCTCTGAAGCTAGGAACTGCGTAATGGTTTGCATATTGCCCATAGCTGCTTCATTCAACTGTTGTCCTTGAGACATGGACAGGACGACACCCAAATCGGAGAGGACAACGAGGGCGCAGAAGAAGTAACCTCCGTTGAGTGAGGTGGTGATGGACATAGTGCTGGTGGTGGGCTAGGAAATGGAAAGGTGATTCTTGAGATTATGCTCACAAACAAAGCGAAGAGTGTAGAAGATCTCAAAGAACCTCATTAAGTAAAACTACTTACATTCCAAGTGCAAATTGTAGTAGAAATACTACCGTAATCAAACATTCTCTGGAATTTTTCGTGTTTGTAACGGTCGTTCCAGTTGTCTATCACTGCCTCCACCACGATACACAGCAAGACAGTTCCCATAGCCATCAAGAGCGACAGACTCATCTCCTGTAGCGCATCCACCTCTGCACCAGCCACCATCAATCCAGTTGAGAAGTCGTAAGCGTACGCGATATAGAGGAGCCTTGTTTGCGTCGTGTATTAGTACTTATTATAAGTTTCTCATAGTTACTTACACTCATCTAAGTACTACTTATATCACTGATAATTCATTGTAGAAGGAAGGTATACAACATTGGTGGAGTAGGTGTAGGAGGAAAAGGAGGACGACGACGACTTAGAACCCTATTCTTATGAGCAACGGTTCTCGTCCACGTCCATCATGAGTCAAGCAAACATCATGAGAAACAGTAAATGGCTCTGGTATAGTAATTTCTTGGTAGCCTGATTTCGATCCTAAGGAAAACAAGAAGAGAAGCCCTGTGATCAAAATCAGGTTACCAAATACCAAAACCAGTCAAACCCATCACCAGCTTTAGCAGCATCAAGAAAAATACATGTATCCGATGAACGTTCCCCACATCGTCGCCCATGCCAGGCTAATGTTTGCGCTATTGTCTTCGTTACTGAAACCCTCCCAAATGATCTCGTCAGCAGGATACGCCATTACCCCTACATGCACTTTGTTACCCCGAATCTTCAATGGTGCGATTCTCGCACGTCCGAGATTAGCGGTTGGAGGGTGTGGCGAGTTGTAGCAGGAAAGGAGATAGTGATAAGATGAACCTAGGACTTTCTAAGATCAGTATTTCGGTGGAGTAAGAGTGTAGAAAGGACGAAGAGATCAGGGATAGCTGACTGCGCAGCACCTCTTGCACTGACAGCTTCAGCTATCTCCCACTACATTCAATTATAGTCCGCACGTCGGAGATTAGCGGTTTGTAGCAGGAAAGGAAAGGGATGCGCTCTCCCCTACCTCTAGCTCTACTATTTCCTCTTCCATAATAACGAATCTCGAAGTAGCATTCGGTGTCTGCAAAACTACGTAAGCTGTTCCTTCCGTTTTCAATCGTGGCAGAATTTGCATCACCTCTGGTTCTATATCCTCTGCGCGCTGTAAAATATCTCGTTTTGTGTACATCCACCCTGCGTTTGTCAGAGTGAGAAGGACCGGGTCGAGCGCAGAGAAGCATGAAAGGAGAAGAGAAGGGGGCGCGGGGTGAGAATCATGATGAAGCAGGTAGGCGCTGCAAGGCCCCCGCGATGGAGGACACACAAGAAAGCTACGAAACCAGCATCAAGGAGAAGAAGTAGTTCGTGAGAGTGTAGTGAAGTCGAGAAACAGAATGGATGTTGCAAGACACAGTCAGTGATTCATTCATTCATTCATTTGCAAACCACGTGACAACTCAACAACAAAGCTGCCTGAGTACATTCTATCTACATAACACAAAAGACGAGCAGCATTGTGCGACGCACCCCGAATCGTCGTCCACGTCTACTGAGTGGTCGTCTAAAACCTCATTTGCTTCCGCGTAGACAGGGTCGTTTGCCTGAATTAACATCTCAACCGCCTCATTGATCAAATCAGCGTCATCTTTGTAATCGTACGCGATTGAGACGCCGACTTGGTTTTAGAACGTTGGGAAAGGGAAACCCAAGTCGTGCTTGGAGTTCATTGATATTGAAGGGGTGTTCGTTTTGCTAATTGCAGTAAAAAAGCAGAGAGGATGAACAGGAGAACTGAGTATAATGTCTTGATTGAACTATTCAGCTGCCTACATCTACATCTACATGTACAAGTACAATTAATCTCGCTGCACAAAGTTCAGTGCAGACTGCCATAAATATTACATTTTTACTCGTCATAAATATCATCCTTATGCACTAGTTGCGAAAATCGCTCATTTGCCTCGTCGTGGAGCGGAGCGTTAGGCAGCGGCTCCGTGAGGGCTGAGGACCAGGAGAAGTTCGAAAATGATCATCAGCATATTAATCATGATGAATTCAATGAAAGTTGTCGAATCTGAATCCGAAGTTCTTGTACTAGTCTAAATAAAGTGATCCATGATTACTAAAAGAAGTTCTGTACTACTAGTCTAAAAGAAGTTCTGTACTAGTCTAGTGGTACCATCCGTGATTTCACGCACTTCGGTGCAGTCTTCAGGCAAATTGGTTAGAACAGCACAGAATTGGCTTAATTGCGTCTGAGATTTTCGGATTCGACTTGAAATCCTCTGGACTCGAGAGGCAGACCAGACACCTGTGAGTGGTATTTTTGCGTCAAGAGAAGATGAGGATGTCGAACATCGACACCGAATAAAAGCCTATTAGCCTAAGAAGTCCGTATCCGAGACTAAGAAATTGGAAGTACCAAGCGCGCAGCAGACTATGTACTCCAGAGAAACCACCATGACCATTCTATGTTCATAGTTTTCGTGGGCGATTCGGGTTCCATCATTGTGCCACTGTGTCACCATCACTCTCCACATCGACACTACAACAGCCTTCCGACACAGTTTCTGTTCATCAGCGTCACTGTAGGCAGCGAAGGCATAGGCATTCAGAAGCGCAAAGCCAGCAGCGATTACGAAAAGGAGAGCGATTGTGTCAAAATAGAATTTGTAGTCGAGACCGGACACGTCTTCGGAATGCACGTTGGTTCCAGGGATGGGGTATCTGGGAATCATGCACGTTTGTTTCAGGAATGCATGTCATGACATGTAGATGTACCCTCGTGTTCCACGTAGTGAGTTGGATTTCAGGTAAATTTCAGTCAGATTGTACCTTCTGATTATTTAGAAGAGCAATAATAGGTTATCAACAAGGAAATGGCTTGCTTGGTGAAAAGAAGCAACTGACAAGAAACACAGACTCCGAAGATCTAAGTTCTTGCGTCTCAGGTAGCGATCCTAAGCTTAGGGGAAGCAGTACCTAGGCATCTTCACAGTCCCTGGATCGTCTGGTGGAGGGTCGACTCTTCCTACGACCGCACCAGCCAACTGCTTATGGTCTATTGCCCTAAGCAACCCTCTGGTGTTGTCTTCGGTACGGATGCAGCCCATCCACAGCAAGATGCCGGCCGAAATAAGGAAGGACCAGAGTGAGGGATGAAAGGAGCGAAGAGGATATGCAAGGAAAAAGTGCACTCACACTCAAGGAAGTAGCTAAATTCCCAGTTGAATTCTAGTCAATTTCGTGAGTGTGAGTGCACTTGTTCCTTTCATAGAGGAGATGGTAAGAGGCAAGAAAATGAAATGGTTGGAGAGTAGATGCATGAGTATTAACGGATTAAGCGTGAGATAAGTGCCAGAAGGATTATGCATGAGTTGTACTAATTGTATTCCCATTATAATTTTTTACAATGAGAGTCACAGAAGCCTAGGTCTATTGCCATAAATCATTTTCTTGGCAACTTCCCAAAACACGCCTGTTGTCTTCAAGCACTTCTTTTGGTCGGATGACAGTTCGAACTGACCCAAAAGAGAGGTCACACAGCGCTCGCAGATGCCGACTTCAGAGCACTTTTCGCAAGCTGGGATAAAATTTTCACCGGTACCACAAGGAATATCGCAGATTTCACCACGATCTTCGTCGGTGCGAGGAAAAGTGTATAACGAACTGTAGTTCGCGCATCCAGCGGCTTTTAGGCATACTTTGGGGCAGTGCTGCGGTCCAGACATAGGCGTTTGATATGGGCACTGAACCGGACAACTGGAGGGTGGAGTATGGTATGTTCCGCATTGAGAAGGACAATTGAGAAGGACAATTGAGAAAGTGACAATTGAGAAAGTGACAATTGAGAAAGTGACAATTGAGAAGGACAATTGAGAAAGTGACAAGACGAGTCTCAGTGACAAGACGAGTCTCAGTCTTGTCGTCCACATGATCCACAAGAGACAGAAAAGCCAGATCCACAAGGGATAGAAAAGCAAAGAAGACATCAATGTCCTGTTGAACGAGTGGTATAATGCGAGACGAGTGAATCATTGGAATCTTCTCACGTGGTGCATTAGAGAAGCACCAGAAACAAAAAGAGAAAGAAGGTTGCTCAAGATGCGTAGGCAAGAAAAAGACAATGCTGTACTTCGTACTTAGTACTTTTTATTCCTTGCCACGTAGTGCCAGTTGTAGAAGTCTTCAGCGTCGATGGTACTGGCATTAGAGCGTCCAATTTCCAAAAAAAAAAGCCAGAAAAACTTTGAGAGAAGAGGAGCATGACAGAGTGTTCAAGTCTAATGCAGAGAAGTCAAAAGTGATGATTTGATCCATAGAAGCAGGAGGATATCCTTGAACAGAAACGAATCTGCTTTCCGGACCTGCTGGGTTGTACATATAGGCAGGCTTCGCGGTAGCCTTTAGAAGGATCTGCGCATGCGGGTCATTTCCTCGGGAAGCATTGGCTTGTAATGCCGCGTCAGTAGCATCATCTCGAGCTTGCTCTGCTTGCGCAGCGGGAGAAGCTGGATGGGTATGAAAGAGGAGTGATTTTGTTCTTGTGTTCTTGGATTAGCTTTAGGTAAGTTAGTACCATTGATAATGCTTGATGATATCTTCTACGGTCATTTTCAGTAAGAGTTGTAAGGGAGTATTCTCATGCCCGTTAACATAAATCGTCGGTCCTCCACCTGATGGTGCATTCAAACTCAGACTCCTGCCATTCTGTTCGTCGCTGACGAAGGCTACGTGCATCGACTGACCCCTTCTAGGTCTAGCATGTGCATGTCCTCCATCCGGACCAGTCTCTGTCTCCCCCTGTTGAGCCCGTTGAGTCTTATGCCATGCTTGCATTTTCTCTTGCGGATGATAGATAAGATGTTGAGGGAACATTGCTTCCATGGCTTCGTCCTCTTCGTCTTCGGCATCTTCTTTCTTATCATCGTCATCGTCGTGTTCAACATCTATGTCTAAATCGTCATCGCCTGCCCTACTATGCCTATGGGTACGATGATGTCTTTGATGGTGTTGGCGTCGATGATGTCTTGTCTTGTCGTGGCGGGATACAAGATGGTCTAGGTCATGTTCAACATCCCTAGATGTTGTTGTACCTCTATGTGAATCATGTCTATCTTGATGTTCCTTGTCCTTGTCATGCGCTAATTCACGATCAAAAGTAGATGCAGTTTTTTCGTGCTGTTTTTTGCCCCCAACATCTTCACCTTCATGCCCGTTAGAAGTTTGTTTCTCCGCAACATCGTCGATCTGCATCAACCCCACCAGTTTTGAGGATCTACTATGTTGTTGATGTGATTCTTCATCCTCGTCTGTGAAATCTACTTCAGCATCTTGGCGTGGTCTCCTGTGTCTCCTCTCTATTTCCTCCACTCGTTCTTCCAGTATGTCTTCTGCCCTAGCAGGGGATGTGTCATAGCGTGATTTTTTGCTTTTTGATAGTGTCGCGAAGAAGGATGCTTTCCTACCTCGTCTGCGGGGCCCTCTCGATGATCTTCTACTACTTGATGTTGTAGTTCTTGCCTTCCTTGACGATGATCTACTACTACTTGATTCTCCTGGTAGTTCATCCTTTGTAGAAGTATCTTCCTGTTCATTCCTTTGCGGCTGCTGTTCGAGTCCACGTGACCCTCGATCGTCATCTTCGGAGTCGGCCTCATGCTCATTTCGGAACTCCTCATTGTAGTCTAGGTCGCGTCTTGGTGGTTCATCCCGATCACGGCGATCGAGAGAAAGTTCTCGCTCGTCTCTGCCTTTTGGTACTTTTTAGAAGAAACTTCTAGGTCGTCGAACTTCAAGTTATAACAGAGAAGCTGGAGTTCGAAAAACAATTTTTGAATTACAGCACATGATCACTACACACTACAGACACACTCACACTACGACTTTACCACATGACCTTCCATAATTTCTATCTCGTATCCTCCCACGTCTACCTCGACTCGCTCGTCTTGATGAAGAAGCTGACGCTGTTGCTGGCGGAAGCGGATACTTGCTTGCGAACCCAGCGACTTCTGGCGTGCTCCACCACAGCCCTATGGCCGCCCGTATGCGCACTGTGGGCGCCATATGCACGACTTTTTTCGTGCAGACTGATGAATCTTCTCTTGGAGTTTTAGCGATTTGTGTTCATCAGTTGTAATTATAATTTGAAGGAAAAGCGAACAATGAATGATAGATCGTGATGCAGTTTATCTTTCCATAGTTAGATGTTCTTGTTCGCATTCTACTAGAAAAATTTGGAAACTCATCAATAAAGCATGTAGATAGGATAGGATGGGATAGGATGCCTTTGCGACATGTAGAGGGTGCATCGTACTTCACACGCTTTTTTTTCGTGTGCTGTTGTTGCACAACTTTCTGCTCTTTCTTCATATTTCGTCCACTTTTTGCGGGTTCTGACCATGGCTTCTGAAGCACTCTTCAACCTTTTTTCACTTGCCTGACAGATCCAGATGTGTACGACACGGACACAGACAAACAGCAGAAGTAGGAGAGTAAGGCCTTATAATAACGTCATTTCAGATTCGACGTAAAAAACGGTGGCAGCAAGGCCTGAAAGATTTGCGACTTTTATCTCCACAGGAATGGAATCCTAGATGAATCAGGTCGGGAAAATCATGCTTCAATCAACATCAACTTGAAATTCCCAGAAAAGACAGCATCAACCAAGAATACGTTCATCAAATTCAAACTTTTCTCCTCTTCGCATCTACATCATCATGCTCCGGCTCCCCATACAATTCCCTAGCCTCTTCTGCTAGCAGCTCCTCCTGAGAGTCGTGACGCATATATTCGTCATGCATGAATTGTTGGCAATTTCCGAGGATGTCAGCTTCTCTAGCTGGCGATTGTACGAGTGATTTGCGGGTTTTTGAGGAGGCTTGAGCAGGTTGTTGCCCGTTTGATGCTGATGGGAGGTGTTTCGGAAGATGATGAACTCCAGTTGTACCACTCGTCGTCGGATTTGTCCCCGCAACTTCTTGTAGCCTCTGACGATTCATCTTGTCATACTCCGTTTCTTCCTCCGAACTGCCCTTGACGCCAAGAAGAAGGTCAAAGATCGATCCGCTTGTCGGCTTCTTCTCAAGTTCTTGTTTTTTGTGTGATTTTATCGTTGAAGTCTGGCGATTGCCTCCACCTCCAGGTGCACCCTGCTCTTCGTCATCCACCTGCAGTGTGTCCATATCACGGCAATCATCTAGGATTTGAATCGCACCAGCAGCCTCTGTCGACATGGATGATGTTCCTACAGCATTACTGATGCCAGTGCTAACCGCGTCGGGCACTGCCCCACCCATTACCGTGTCCATACCCTTCGTACCCTCAGTGAACTGAAAGAACCTCTCAAGCCCTTCTAGTTGTTCCGTATCCAGCCTTCTGGTCGTTTTCACGTCATCCACCGACAGACGAGAGACCTGCTGCTTCATGACTTGCCTGTAGTACATTTGCTCCTCAACAGTGCCGGATGCGAGGAGACGATAGACTTCGGAGCATGAAAGCTAGAGGCGTGAGGGGAGTGGACATCACACCTTGTCTTCTAGGTATAAAGTATAAGCGAGTAGGAGTACAACTCTTCATCTGCTACCAAGAACCTACTGTTGTAATTAGTACGACAAAACATTTTGCAACTCTATTGTTCTTTCAAGTTCAACTGAGCACAACATGTAGTCACTCAATCCACCGTAATTCTTTCAACAAGTTCAACTGAGCACATCGACCCTATCGTCCTTTCAAGTACTTACAACTGAGCACAACAAGTAGTCACCAAATCCACCGTAACACAAATCTCATCTGACCAATGCGAAACGCACGATCTTGGCATTGCAAATCCATGGTCGGGTTCCAATCCGGGTCAAAAATGACGACTTTGTTCGCCGCCGTCAAGTTCAGCCCCACTCCTCCTGCCCTTGTCGAAATCAAAAACACAAAAATGTTATCCCCCGTCCGCTCGCAGGTGTTGTTGAACTGGGTGCACAGCTTTTGCCTGTCTTTGTGCGGTGTGTCCCCATCCAAGCGCAAAACGCGAAAACCATGTGCGCGGCAAGAGTTCTCAATGATGTCAAGAAGTTTGGTACTGCGAGAGAAGACCAGAACCTTATTCTTCTCAACTGTGTGCTTTTGCCACAGCGTGAGGAGTTGGAGGAGAGTCCTCAGTTTGCCACAGTGGCCAGCTGAGGCACGACGAAGAAGAGAAGAACTCTCGAGTTGAGTGCGTCTGCTGGTTTTTTGATTCTGCTGTTGAGGTCGACCTTGATGTAGTACTCCTACCTGCTGATCTCCTAGAACTATGCTTTCTGGAAACTGCGATTGCGAATCCAGCATGTTGAACTCTTGTTCTACTCGCTGTTTCCTTATTTCATGTTGCTGTTTCCTAATCTCCGCTTTCAAAGATCTCAAAACGGGTTCTAGTTCGGTGTCTCTGAAGATTTGCTCACAAAGCGACAATTGCATGTCTCGTTCTGCTCGCTCCTCTTGACCTTTTAAATCAGCCTCTGGAATCAACAGCTTGGTTTGCAACAAGTCTAAGTGGTTGGCGATCTTCTGCAGCCAGGACATGACGGAAAGCCAATGGCATTTGTAAGGATGAAGCCAGGACCGACAAGCGCGGTCTTCTAATTCGCATTTCTTGTGCATATGAGTCCAGATGACACCCATATTGCAGCTACAGTGCTTGGGTCCTTCGCTACAGATGCACTTGTGGAATGTCACTTTCTCGTCTTGTGCTCCGGGACCTGGAACTGGGGTGCAACTGGTAGTACCATGAAGCGGGAGGACTGCTCGGCTCCCATTGCCTCCAGTAGTGGCTTCCACCTCTGACAACGGGACTGCTCGACCGCCTGCTTTTATGGCTAAAACGTCTTTGCTTTGGAGCAGGTTAAGATAACATTGCAGCTGTAGTGGGGACAGCGGACATGTGACAATCCTGTCTCGTTTCCCTGGCAAAGCTAGACCAACTTCTAACTTTGTCCTCCGAAGAAAATGCTTGCGAAGGATGACCTCTCGAAACATCTTCGTAGCCCGATCGCGGGCGTGGAGTTTGACGATGAGGTATGAAAGCAGAGAACGGGGTTAAGTTTAAGGTGTTGAAGGAAGCATAACTTTCAGGATATGAATGGTCCTGGAATTTGGTAACCTGAATTTGATCACAATGGCAAGCAAGAAGAGAGCCCTCGGGATCGAATTCAGGCTATACCGAATTATAGCTAAACATCTGCAGTACAGGATACAAAAGCGATCCTGGTGCTGATTCGAAGGTAAAATTTTTTTCAAATAAAACGAAAATAATCTTGATCAGTCACTAGTTAGTATATCGTTAAATTCATTGCAAGTCCTCGTGAGTATTTTATTCTTGTTGATCTTGATTTGTGTTTCCCATGATCATAAATCCGTCGACTTCTTCAGGCCCTCCTGAATCGGTTCACTGTAGCGCTGGTTGAACTCCTCCCGTGTCCCATAAGGTCGATGTGCACCTACACATCGCAGCAATGCCCAAAACTCTCCTATGTTGTTCGCCACTGGGGTTCCGGTCAAGCCGAGCTTTCTCCTGCTTCGCAGTTGCGCTACGTTGGAGGACAGCAACGTTTCTGGGTTTTTACATGTGTGGACTTCGTCAAACGTGATGGAGCCCCAGTTTGTTCTCAAAACCCGTTGTAGCTCTTCATTGGTGGTCGGATCTTGCGAAAAAAGCCCATTCGACATCACAACGATGTGCACTAGACCTGCCTCGCAGCGTTCTAGACAGGAAACACAACTTTTAGTCTCGAACTTCAGCACCTCCAGATTGGTCCAACGCTGCAACTCCTGCTTCCAGTTATCCAATAACGAAGGCGGCGCAACGATCAACGATGCTCTTGGCCGACACGCGTTTCCTTTGGTCAAGTACATGGCGCCTAGAAAACATGCGACTTGCACCGTTTTTCCTAGCCCCATATCGTCGCCTAGGATGCTTCCAATAGGCTGTTCCTGAGCCAACAAGTTCCGCATGAGCCAACTCACGCCGTCAATCTGGTACCGCTTGAGGTTTGCGGTGATATGACTGGGAACGACAAAGTTCTGATGAGGTGGACACGGTAAGGTCATTATGATCGGGTCTGAGGGGTTGTCGCCAGCATTGCCTGTGGCTAGTCTTTTCGCGGCGTCAAGCTTTGGGTAGTCGAGTTTCCAGTCCGATAAGTGGACAGATGAAGTCGTGCTGGTGTTGGTAACATCACAGATAGAAGTGAGATCCACAATAGAAGCACCTGGTCGTCCGCCTAGAAGACCCGGCTGAGAGTGAGACAGTCTTCGTTCAGCGTTTTGTTGTTGTATTGAAGGATTCAGCTGATGATTTGCAGCTGTGGATGTCGAAGATGAGCTACCACCTATAGTCTCATTCGGATGCGGATACGGTTGTTGCTGCCCAACCGCGCTCTTATTGTTCATCTGCGCCGTCCTATTCAAATTCATCACCAAAGCCTGCCTTTTTGCAGCCATCGCACCACCTCCTATTCTGAAGGGCAATCGTCGACGGTTCACGACAGGGGCTGCAGGCTTCGGTGTCGAAGGAGTCTCTGTAGAAACTGGGATTGCCTGCTCAATGTGTTCATTAGCTGGTACCGAGGCTGGAGGTGAGTCTGCCGGCTTCGTCGTTAGTGCACCTGCAAGCGGTTGCACAACAGGTGGAGGCAAGCCGGTGCCTGGCGAGGCGACTTTCGCATCTGCTACCTTGTCCTCCGGACCCAGCGGTGGTCGAGCTTGAGGCGAAGTTACAGCCGCGGGTGCTTGTGCTGATGCTGGTGGATGATCTTGCTTCCCTGATCGTGCTCTCGCTTCGTTACCCTTACCGTCTGTTCCACCTGCCGCAGCCGCTGTCGTCGTCGAGGCAGGTTGCCTCGCATCCTCCTCTTCGTCACTGCTGTCGAAGAGCAGAGCGTTGACCATACGCACATTCTGTGACTCTGTCATTTTTGGCCTTCTACATGAAGATGAATGACGATGGCTATGGTAGCTATGACAGCTACTTCTTGGTAGGTAGAGGACCAGGACACGTAGTTTGAGATAATCTTAGTACTTCGAATATGAAATAAATAAGCTAAAACTCACTTGCGGTTGCGCATGTGGTGGCGTTCTTGCTTGGTTCATTGAAATCTGATGCAGTAAAGTGAGGGTGCAAGAAGATCAAATGAGCATAACGCGTCTTAGACTTAGTCTTTTCTATTTTTCATTGAGGTCGTGAGTTTGAAATTGAGTGTCGCAAATTCGCATTCTCTTTACTAGAAGCCAGTAGAACGAGAAGTGATACAACATAGTCAGTGTCATGTCGTGGAGGAAAAGAAAAGCATGGGTTTGGGGAACGGATTCAGATGACAGACCAGACACAGACACTACTCTCGTTCTCTATTTGGCTTCGCTGTTTTTCTTTTCCGCCCAGATAGAGACAGACACGAGCTGTGAGCCAGAAGTGATCCCTTTCAGCGCGAAAGATGTACGCCACGAGAATCGGAATCCACCAAGAACAACTGCATTTGCGAAGCTAGCAGGAGAATTCCTTGTTAATCTGGTCGTTACCGTTTGCGTTTCCCTTTGCTTCTCGCGAGCCAAAGACGATTGAGTTTATATTTCGCGTTTGCCAATTTTGGCCTCAGAATTCTCAGTAGCATATGAGATATCGATATGAGATATGCGATCTTATTCATCATACTGGACGAGACACATCTCGACAAAACTACAAGGGTCATCCCCTTAGAACTACGTCAACGTTAATCATTAGTAGCACTACTTCATGTAAGAACATCGACTAAGAAATGTGAATATGCCAATCTTCTAGGATCGTATCCCACCTGCGTCTGCAGATAGATAATGATAGTAGGACTTTGTTCTCGAAATAAGACGGGTATGATGTACCAAAAATAGAAATTGACATTAAGATGACCACGACCGACTAAAAAAGTTGCTACATGTACAACTCACTCTATTGGAGTTTCTGATTCTGAACTTAACTAAATCGGAATCCGTGGATACTTCTAACAAAAACTAAGACAGTGCGCAGACAAAAAAGTTATCAGATGACTTCCTTAAAAATACTATGACAATGAAACGGAAAAAGCATATTATGTGTAACCGTAAGGATTAAGGATTTTACATTGTGTTCCCGAAGAAAGATGACAAAAATTATTGGCCTCGTAGCGCTCTCGTACCAAGAAGAAAACGCGCTGTAAGGAAACCCATAAGATAAAACGCGGCGCGTAGCTCTTAGTGGTCTTACCCTTATATATAACCTTACCGTAATTGAATAAGTACATAACGTTCGGGTTCACACTCATCTCAACGGAGCAAAAATCAGCCTGGCTAGCGGCCCAGCGCGCTCCTCCCACGTCCAATGGTGCGAATAATGCAGAACCGCTAGTGCGTAACACGACCCACCGAACAGGAGCAGCAATCCCCGATCAAACATCAAATCTGTGCCCCAAGCAAGCGATAAAAGACTCAGACAGGTGAGGATGAGCATTGGCCACGCGAAGCTGCACCACAACTCGATGACAATCGCGAAAGCCAATATCCAAGCACCGTAATATCGTACAACTCGGTGGTAGATTCCGGAAAGAACTTGATCGATTTTTCGTCGTAAAGACTTCGTAAAAGAATTGGGGAAGATGAGGCGGATGATACCCGCAACGAAATCGCCAACACAGGTTCGACAGGAGGAAGCGAAAGACTTCTTCGACGGTTTTACAGATGGAGATGTTGGCTTCGACGATGATTTTGATGATGTCTTCTTGTTTCTTCTCGTTGTAGCTCCAACCTGGTCGACGTCGAAATCTTCCGCAAATTCGCACACATAGTGGTCTCCTTTGCGCGCCATGTGGTCATCGTCATCAAGCAGAGGTGATCGATCATCCTCTTCATAGCTGTCAAACACTACACCTCCACCTCCACCGGACTTATCTCTCCTTTTAGTTCTTCGTCGTTCCATCTTACTTCCTGCTCTGCTCCTGCGTAAAGGGCTACTGGCTACCACTTCATCTTCCGCGGAAGTCGTTGACTCATCTTCATCTTCACCTTCGTAAATAGTGTCGTAGCGGCCACCTGCTTTAGTTTTACCTCCAGCGCATCGATGTTTTGAAGAAAGTGTTTCGGGTGGTGCCAATAGTCTCTCTTTCTCAAGTCCTCCAGAAGCCGCACCATCTTCAAGTGAGTTTTCCTCGGCCTTCTTATTTCCTCCAAGAGTATCCTCGTAGCTCTGCTCTACGTCATATTAGCGTGTGCTAGAATGCATTTCGGTCCCCTCATCCTGACCCCTTTTCCCTTGTATTTCACGAGAATACAAGGGAAAAGGGGTCCAAGATGCCGAGAATGATGGAAAATTGCTGACTATAATCATAACTCTTCTCATGATCTGTTGCTTCCTCAATCTCAGTCCTTCTACTTCTCCACCTCAACACCGTCCTAAGAAATCGCTTTTCCCTAGGGAAGTTGAGCTCTTTCTCCTGAGTGATGGCAAAACCTCCATTGTTTTCGCCTTCCAGCATAAACTCCTTTCTTTCGAAGCTTGCTAGCAGACAAGCCTCTGTAAACAAATTTTCGTCATTGTCTTCATCTTCAGGCACGCTTATCCTCTTCGATTTCCTACGGCCGCGAACCCTGAACCCTGTCAGCGTGTCTTTAAACCGCCTCCCTGTACCAGCAACAAAACTTCGCATGCTACATCTATCATTAAAGGTCGACAATCATTAAGGGTCGGCTGATGCTGAACGGAAGAGACCTCCTTCAAAGCTTTCCCCTTGTTCCCTTCGTTGCCCCTGTTCCCTCAAGGGGTCGCTGTCAGTGACTCCAATCTAAATGGTGACCAATGAACAGAGTTGAGCCTTAATATAAGGCTTTTCTTCTTCTTGTTCCACTCTACTCAACTTCATATTGTTCAGAAACTCTGGAGGTATGCTCTTCTGGAGGAAGGCCAGTTCTTCGTCTGGGTGGCCAGGCTGTGGCCTGCGAAGTTCAGGCTCTGGTTCTACGTACTCACCTGGACCGAAATACAAGTGTGTGGGAGGTCCAATGCTACTACGGGGCCCTTTCCTTGTTCCTGAGGGACTGCTTCCTCGTCGCTGCAAGGTAGAACTCGAACTCAAACTTTTCTTTCCTCCTCCTACTAGAGAACTAGATGAAGTTCTTGAAGTCTTTTTGAAATTGAAAGCTGATGAGGACGATGAAGAAAACGATGAGCCGACGATCACAGATGATGCTGGTACTAAGACGTAATCGGATGGTGAATCAGCTGGATCGCCAAATTTTAGTGGTAGACCGTCACCTATAACTTCTTGATCCTGTGTCGATATTCTTCCGCTGCTACTTGTTGTACAACTAGTAGGACGATCACCAACTTTATTATTGTCCTCGCTGATTCCGATCCGCATCTGCATTTCAGGCATCGGACTAGGACTACACCTGGGATCAACAGGAGACTCTCTTTGGGCGTTTTGAGCTCCCTCTATAGGCGTCGCTGATCCTGATGTATTCGTGGTACACCTTGCCTCTCGCGTTGTCAACCTTCCTTCGCCTGTTGCGTCACTCGGAGACGCACATGTCGACACCGTGCAGGTCGTTTCTCGGTTTCCGGCGCATGGGCAAGGGCCTTTTCCCGATGCTTCTGCTTCTTGCTGTGCTTTTTGGGTTCCACCTTCTACATGCAGAGCAACCTGATCACCGCATGCTCTCTTCTTAGTGATCACCGCTTGCGTCTCCCTAAGAAGGTGAACCCAATTGCGATTCACTGATGAGTTCAGATACGAGTTCTTTTGACCATACGGGTAATCGCTAGTAGAGTGAGGAAATGCTTGAACAACTTGTTCGGCTCCTCCTGCACCTCCATCTTCTTGTTCGGCTCCTCCTGCACCTCCATCTTCTTGTTCGACTCCTCCTGCACCTCCATCTTCGACTCCTCCTGCACCAACATGCTTCCCAGCAGCACCAGAACTAGTACTATGTCGTCTCCTACTCTCCACCAAGTGATGATTCCCATCTCCTGGCAAGAACAGCCTTTGGCAGTCTATGTGCAACCTCGTAGGGCAATCGTTTTTCCCGAAGGTATCTAAAGGCGTCAGCAACTGCCGATAGCCCTCATATGCGATCGTGCAGTCCACAATCGCGAACTTCCTTGGCAGGTCTCGCATAATAGCCACACACTCTTTGAAGCCAGTGACGCGAGGTGTGAGGACGTTGTACCAGACAGGTCGCTCGTTTTGCTGAGCCCACTTTTGGGACTTAGCTAACCCGGTTTCGAGGTCTGTGCCTTCCGGGAAGATGAGCAAGGTGGTTGGCAAGCCGACGCGGTCTTCGCCTTTGAGGTCTGAAGATGAGGAGAACTACACCATGAAGAAAAAGATCTAGATTTTTGTGAAAAAATGTTGACAAGTCACTTCTTGTACTAATCTGATGTAACACAGGGTGTGACCACACCCGTAGCCCTAGTCTTAGACATTCACAAACTCCAGCAAATAACCAGCATGAGTCAGTACTTTTCGCAATCGTCTTCATATCCTCTGCTCGGTTGTTCCTGCACAAGAAGATGAACCGAAAGTAGTAGCATGCCCATCCAAATATCGGCAAACTGGAAATGTCTTTGAGAATGATCTTCAAGCTTCGCAATCTACCGGTTGCGGCCAAGACGAGCCACAAAAAGCACCAATCCAATTCGCATGGGTGGTTCGCGAACAGCAGAATGTTCCAGTCCGATGGGATTTTCGTCAGGATTTGTGCGTTATAGACGCGGATATCGACCCGCATCAGGTCTTTGATCAAGCAGGCAATCGTGCCCATCCACCAAGACTTTCCGCATCTGCATAGAACGTCGAAAGCGCCTGAGCCGCGACCTCTTTGGCAGCATTCTACACTGCTGAAAAGTTTGAACGGACCCATCAGAAAGAGATTTCCAAAGATCCCCAGAATGACGGCGAAGAAGCCGACAATCGGTCCAGCAGGGAAATATTTCCATCCTGAAGCGGGTGGCTTGCGTGCGCCGGGGGCAAAACCGTTCTGCAGAGAGAGCACAGCAGGAGGCTCTGCTGGCGACGTGGAGCAGGTAGTAGCCTCCGCCATTCAAAGAGTTGGTGATGATCCTGTTCCGACCGGGAGCAACAAGAGCAAGGCAACGGCAAGGAGATGGAGTATTCTTTCTCTTTCTGTTTCTTAGTTACTACACTACAGTCTGTACTCAGTTACAGTTGGCTTAATTGTATTCTCCAAGGTGCCAATATAGACTCGAAGCAAAAGTAGGGAAGATCATGAGGCTTACAGAAAACCTTGGTCGATGATCATACTTCTTCCTTGCAGCTGCAGCTGCGGTACAACTTCTTTTCATTGACTTTCTTTCGAAACATGGAACAGTGAGAGGGCGGGGTACTAGAGCGTACAGTTGGAGGTGCGCATTGAGAGCAGCTCAAGAAACAGTTGTGTGGACATGACCATGAGTTATTCTTTCCCTGCTACTTGTGGCAGGGGGCGAGTCCAGACTCGGCTTAGTACCTAAAGATTAAGATGTCCTCGATGATGTAAGTAATTGCAGGACACGATCCTGATGGTGATGAGTGGAAATATTCTTTTGGCGCAAAGAAAATTCGGGTTTGATGAACTAGTAGCTTAATTAAAATTATGATTAAATGCAATGACAACGACAAGGACAACGCTTTCGTTGAAGGGTCATCATCTCAAGGCGCTGTGGATTGGTTATTTCGCAAGAAATTTTGCAAAGCATTGAGTCTCGCATCTACGTCACTAATTGTTGCAGGTCCCTGCCTTTGCGCGGTGGCGTTCAGGCCTCCTGCACGTGGCGAAGGATTGTTACTCCCATGTCCGCGACCATTCATCTGCGGAGACGAGTTAGAGGCGTGGCGAAAAGCAGTTAGCGGTTTCTGAAGGATTCCCGGTTGTGGTTGCGCATATGGCGACGACCCTCGACCAGCGGATGGGCTGGGAGAACGCTGTCTACCGGCTGAATGCGGTCTCACGGGACCTGCAGATGAAGGGGGCCTGTTCGATTGTTGATGTTGATTCAGGGCACTGTTTGGAGGTACTATTCGTCGGTAAGAGGATGGTGACTCACCAGTTGACGGACCGTTTCCGAATGTTCCCCCTAGAAGTTGTCCTTGATGTACTCCGTGCTCAGGTGCGACGAGCTGTTGATTTTGAAGCTGATCATGCGACGCCGTGTAAGCCATTGGAGGCGGCACAACACCACCGAAGTTTGGACTTGGCAAGGCTTGGTTCGGCAGGCCTCGTGAAGGTGATGGTCCTTGACTATGCTGATTGAAAGGAGCTGATACGCCAGAAGCAACTAGAAACGGTACACCGCCAACTGCGTTATGTGCTTGTGGAGGTACATGGGGTCCTGGTGCTCCGACAACATTATGTTGTTGATGATGTGATCGATTATAGCTAGAAGGACTGACTCCACGTGCTCCTCCGGGCTGTACCATGTACGGATTGTAGTCCTGTGAATTTGGGTCCATATAGCTTGGAAGTTGTTCTTGAGGTTGTCCAGGTACAACTCCGTAGTTGTGCTTGTGCGGATGCCCAATGCTTCTCGGCTCCTGTCCACCACCTCGTTGAGACCTTGCTGAAGCAGGCGAAACTGATGATCGAATCCCTACTGACGAGGCTGGAGATAGGCTCCTTCTGTCGACGTGCTGCAGGTTGATCCTGGCTGGAGACGTTCCCACTTGTCTGGGCAAACTATGCCCACTCCCAGCGCGAGCGCGGCCTCTAGAATTTGGACGTTCTGCTCGTGTCTTGTTGTAGTTGTCGCTGTTGTATCGATGGTCACCATATTGCGTGTCATAGCCGCCTCCGCCTCCACCGCTCAGTCTTGGTGGCAGCGGTCTATTCGACGAAGAAGAGGCTCCACCTCCTCCACCGCGCCCACTGCGGACGCTGTTGCAGGGTGACGCCCGGCGACTGCTTGGAAGCTGGCCCCCACGACTTCGTACAGATGCTGGACTAGCGTCTCGACTACTTACCACTGACGAGGCCCTAGAGGTTCCTCTAGACCGAACATAGCTGTTGTTCCGCGGCAGCTGTTGACCGTAGCCGCTACTTCTGACACGAGCGTAAGTCGTGTTTTCCCTACCTGAACCTGCATCTACTTCGTTCCGATTGTAGTCGTCGTTTTGAGAATGCGTCGATGACATGAAACTTCGACTGTCCTCATGAGGTGACAACCCTGGACCACTGCGTCGTCCGCGCAATGACGCGGCTGAAGGCGCATAGCTGCTATTCAGCTTACTTCCCGCACGGCTCCCGACCGCAGATCCTGGTCTACTAGGTCTTCGCGAGCCACTATCGTTAAAATAAGCAGATCCAGCAGAAGAAGGTGGCCCCATAGTTCTAGCTGCAGTGCTTGTACGCGCTCTTGCTGCTTGGATTTGACCTCTCCGTAGCTCGTCATTCGTCGCTTGTAACCGCTTGACACTCGCTTCGAACCGCTTTGCCTGGTTCTTCGCGAAGTTTAGCTCTTTCTTCAGATTTTCGACGTCACGCCTGTTCTCTACGATGAGGTGCTGTCTGCTATCTTGTAAATCCCGGTTTTCGGCTTGCAATCTCGAAACCTGCTTCTTCAAGTTCTGGATAAGGATGTACTGATCTGGGGCGAGCAGAGAACCGGAAGGGTCTTGCGGGTGGGCATTGCTGCCTCCTGCACGTTGTTGCTGAGGACCTGGAAATGTTGTGAGAACGATTTCGTCTTTCTTCTTGCAGTAGGTACCTTGCTATAGAAGCTACTTACCCTTCGTTGTCGTGTAGTTTCTTTGGGATAATCAGAATATGATTTTGATTATCTATGCCATGATTTAAGAATCAACGTAAGTCAATCTCGATGATCCAGTAGCAATACCTGCCTTCGCTAAAGTCTGACGCATTTGATTGTTGTCAGCTGACAACTGTTCACAAGAATGCCTCAGATGCTGCAGCTCTTGTTCTAGCCTCTTCACTCGATGGGATTCATCGAGGCCTCGCGTAGAGGGCGCACTAGGGTGATGTCCACCTGCTACTCCAGCGACCACAGCAGGTGCCGGACTAGTGATCTGTTGAGCTGCTGCTCCGTGGTTGTGCATCAATATAGGCGAAGTCGGATTCCCCAGAACTGCATTGTTGGCATTCGACGTATTACTCGACGCAACTTGTTGTAACTGTACTACTTCTTCTTGCAACTGCTGAATCATGCGTCGCATCGCTTCTGGCTCAGTCGGGGTCGTTTCATCAGGGTGCAGGGCCAAAGGATAGTGGTTCTTATCGAACTCTCCACAGTAAGTGAGGATTAGATAGCGCTTGTTGTTCGGAGCTCCGATTTGCGTGGAGGACGTGTTCGGGGAGGTGCAGGTGCCTGTGAAGAATATTTGAGAGAGTATAAGTCTTCACCATGTTTCAGATGGTTCGACCTATTAGTTATGGCAGAGGAGCATAGAGTTTGAATGAGATTGAGAGGTAAAAAAGTCAATAACATCGGTGGAGCACTCCTAACTAGCAAACAAAAATTAAAAAGGTCAGGTATACCAAATATCTAAATAACAATAATCTCTCCTTTTTATTCATGAGAATAAACAAATGAGTATAATTACCAGGCGGTCCCGGCTTGTCTGCTCTGGCTCGAAGCATCTCCAAATCCCGGTAGGTGAGAAGATCCAAATAAACGGATGTTGTACTACTAGACGTAGACGTGCAGCTTGTCTGTAGTTGTAGTTCCTTTTGTCCAAAAGAAGAGTCAGCTGCACTACCACCACCAGCAGCAACCTCAGCAGAAGCTGCGTCTACTTCTGTTTGATCTTGTCCCGACGTGGTGGAAGACATCATCGCGGTAAGCAACATCTTCGCAAACACTGGATATGTTTTGAAATTGCCTGTTCTTCTCGTGATCTCCTCCAAGAAACTAGGCAAAAAGTTCGCCGACCAGACTCGTCCCAGTCCTCCGGCACTGGTTAGAGGCTCCTCTACACGGATAGTCAGATTCTGCTCATCGCCCTTCATATTGATCTTGTACTCGACGCCATGAAAAACCCGCGTTGTGGCCTTGGTGAAGTCAACCAGTAACCCTGGCGATGAAGCGCCGGGAGATGCGGCATGGCGAGCGGCCAGTGACCCGCCAAGCGGAGACGGCGATTGCTGCAACAACATTCTGGCGTTTTGTTGTGGTACTAAAAAAGACAGCACAAGAACTACATTAATTAGTGTGAGTGGTGCACTAGCATGACAATGGATAGCGACACGCTACGTCGCAATGTCGAAAAGGATAGGGAATTAACTTCTTCGACTAGTACCATGTTGCAATCAAGGATGCCTTTATTGCGTGTGAAGACAAGTGACTCCATCCAAATTATGCTTCTCGATGTAGTGACCTATCCACAAAAAAATCGTTTTTTTAGCGCTTTTCCAAGCTTTTTCTCTCGCTTCAATTTCAGGGCAAAAGCACACACACTAAAAGAAGATGCCAGATGAACGAACACCTTCTCTCAGCCACAAGCTGGCGCTATGCTCCTGATTCCGTGTAGCTCGTCGTGGTTCGTGAGCGCGAAGCAACGTACTACTTGAATTCAACATGATGATTCTCCTTGATGGAATTACAAGACAACATAATATATTGTCCTCGAACCTTCACGTGCCCATCCGTTTCTTGATGGATCATGAAAAGTCGTGAAACATCACGTTGAAAAATGGGTGTAGGGAGCAGGAGACCACTAGGTCGAGGAAAGCAATAGGGATGCTACGCTAGTAGCCATTTTTATGCACAAAATCTCCACAGAAAGCTCAAAATGAGGAGAGGGTAAATCTTAGTTAACCCCTCCACAAAAAAGTTTTTTTTTTGATTTTGTGTTTTTGTTGATGTACGTAGTGTCTGTGTCAGAAGTTAGTTTATTGTATCTATTTGTTCAGAAAAGTAGTTCATGCTAGTTGCAATATCTGTGATGAAGAAAGCGTATTTTGAATATCTTGGTCGTTTAAATTAAAATGCTTCGGCTTATCAGAATCTATGTACTGAAAGAACAGACCGATGATAGCAGGTTTCGAGAGAGAAATGCATGCTTTTCCTACTGCAGCACATTTTCATTACATGAAAAAAAAATGGAATCATATGAAAAACAGGAAACAAATTTCCAGAGGACAGCCTGTTGGGTTACAACAAGCATAATGATCGATCTAAATGTAGATCAAAAAATCACCACAAAAAGCAGCGACCTCAGCTTCATCTTCCACCGTGCGGCAATGCTTTCTTGGCATGGGCGCCATGTCTGCTGGTTGTGTCCGTAGTTCGATAGAGGGCGCAACATTTCTCGTACGTCACGTATCCGTCCCAACATCCCGGATGGCCGGTTGGACCGTACCTGAAGAGGGAGCGCAGGTGGTACAAAATGGAGTAGAATGGTTAGGTTAGGTTAAGTAGGTTGGGATCTACCATCCAATGTGGTAGAATGGACGCTAAGAACGCCGAAGACATGGAACTCATTAACTTCAGGGTCGATGACGTCTCCGAAGACGTTGTTGACATAAAACAGGGGTGAAATACGATGCATGAAACGGCGAGTTCCAATGGTTCACTAGAACGATTGAGTTAGTTGTACGGCGATTGAGTTAGTAGTTCCAATGGTTCACTAGAACGATTGAGTTAGTAGTACGACCACCTTGGGCAAATAGGCATATTTATATTTACTAGATAAATAGAGCTACAATTTCAGCGCCAGCATCAACAGCAACAGCTTCAGCTTCAACGTCATCACCTTCAGCAACAGGACACAACTGGCGAAGTAGTAGCAATGGAAGCAAATAGCGAGCAAGTAGAAGCGCCGCATCCACATCGTCAACATTTTCAACACAACAGTTTAAGTTTTAACATCAGGGAAATCCGTAAAACTCAGAAGAGATTCCAATGGTTCACTAGAACGATTAGATAGAAGTACGGCGATTGAGTTAGTAGTTCCAATGGTTCACTAGAACGATTAGATAGAAGTACGGCGATTGAGTTAGTAGTTCCAATGGTTCACTAGAACGATTAGATAGCGGTACCACGGCGAACAGCAGATCTCTGGCGTGAAGGTCTGGGCCCAGCAGTTCTGAGGGTCTTCCAATACTGGCCCCCTCCGTGTCACGAACATCCGTAGCATAGCCAGGCTTTTGACTTAGAGGTGCACACTAAAATGCTCTAAATTTCAGCAACCATCTTCAGCTAGATCTTGTCCATCTTCAAGTTCAAGTATCTTTATTCTTGTTCTTGATGTACTTGTACTAAATGTAATTGCTCCATATCTATCTACCAGCAAGAAATCCATAATGTTCACTTTTTTTGTATTCTCCGACTGCCCTGTTGTATTCGTTCAGCATCCTCTGGTATTCGCTCTTGTAGCTCAACAATTCATCGGCACACTTTGCGATCGCTCCTTCGCACTGCTTGGCGTTATCAGTCAGCGTTTGAAGTGTTTGCTGCACCTCTGGTGAACTAGAAGTCTTCCCATCTTCTATGCTCTCGAAAGCAGCCTCTTGCTGTGCACGCCTTGCTTGTTCCTTTCGGAAAGCCTCTTCGTCGATGGCCATTGGTTCGACTAGGCTTCCGGTACTGTCGTAAGCGACGACGGGGGCGGAAGTTAAGGATTGTTAGAGGTAGAGCTTTGATAAGTAGTTCTACTAGAAAGGGAAAGCCAGTCTTTTGGGGGTAACATTCAGATGCTGTTGTACGTTGTAGCTATTATTTCAAGATACTGGTGCTTTATTTCCACTTGCGTTGAAACCTTTCTCATAATGACTTGGCGTCGTCAAAAATTCCATGAAGCTCATTGCCCCATGCGAAGATTGTAATAGTTCGTCTTTCCCCACAAGACTTCGACACGAGTCGGTTACTATTCTGCGGATGTCTGAAGTATTTTTGAAAAAAGCTAGCTGAAAAGTGAAGAAGCTCCACGTGAAGGCGACGCACTCGAGAGCGACGAGATAGAATATCGCTTTGACGAGCCAACGAAGGAAGGCACAGGCGGAGATGGCACGACCTGTCAAGCCGGTTCTAGGAGGTGGAGGTGAACCTTTGATGTCTTTTGAAGTTTCAGCGGTGGACTGTTCTGTACTACTGCTAGTGCCAACAGAAGTAGAAGCTTCTGGTGCAGGTGCACTTAGCAAAGGTGCAGCTATTGATGAAGTTGAGGCAGAAGAGCCTCCAAAACCTGCAAGAACACTTGTTTTTGCGCCAGTGCTTTTGGATGGTGTTAATAAAAAATTGTTCTTGTTCGGAGACACTATTCTTTCTGAGGCTTCCTCTAGGAGGTTCTGCTTGACCTTCTGTTCCAGCTCGATCTCTTTCTCCGCCAAGAAATCGTTCACCTGTTTACACAGAGTGTCACTGGCAGAGCTCAGTAGGTTGTTGACGCGCGTCATTTGCTGCTGTCGGTCTTTTCTGAGATCACGGTTCTCGCTTTGGACTCGCTCTAAAAAATCCATCATCTTCCCCAACAACTCAGGCTGCTCTTGACTCAGTCCGCTGTTCGCTAACTCAAACCGCCACTCGGAGAAGTCCCCTTCGTACTGGTCCTCCTCGTCGTACTCGCCGTGGAGATTAGAAGAGCTGAAAGAAGAAGCCCCCATAGTGTAATAGTCTAAAGAGGTGCTGTATCTCTTCCAGGAATAAACATCAGAGAGTCGCTCAACATGCACTAAATAGACACTAATAGGAGTTCATCATTCTTCATCTGCACTTCTCGTCTTCATCTGCATGGCTTGATTCAAAAATCATGAGCATGATCATGAAGATGATCGTTCCAGCATAATAAACAAGAGTAATACCTAATAATTATTGAATAAGCATAACAAAATTAGCCATTTCGTCATCGAACGCCAGACTTGTCACATGATGCTCCGACTGTGGAATGTGACTGTTGGTTCCCTCATCCGGAATGCCTTCCTCACCGATATCATCCTGCTCTATCAGGCATGACGAAGCAGTCGAGGTCGAGGAGCTCCGAGTTGTTGTGTTGCCGGTTGCTTCTATGGGAGTTAGAGATACTTACCTGTATTTTTGGATTGAGCTTATTTTTTGGTCTAACCTTGTAGTTAAAGGGCACTCTCTCGCAAAGTAGAGCTATAGTTTAGAAGTACTAGAACAGTTCTACACGTAGAAGTAGAACAAGTAGTAGAAGTAGAGCTATAGTTTACAGAAGTAGAACTTCTACGGCAATGCATCTAAGACTCGATCGACTTTGAGCTTCACAAGAGGAACAAACCGTAACAACGCGGCCGCTTGGATCGACGATCCGTCTACCAACAATTCACTTTCTATTCCACTAGCAGTGCGACTTCGAGGAGCAGCTTTGGACGTAGAGGCAGATGCTGTGGAGGTCGTTGAACCATCTCTCCTCGCATTCGCCTTGCTTTTAGAAGGAGACACAGCGCCCATCGGTTGAAATTCGCCGTCATCTAACAGGTTGCGGACCATCGGAGGACTCGGTGATGATGCTGCGGTGGAAGCGGAAGCGGAAGGTGGATTAGAGGCTAAAAATGTCCTAGTTGTTAATTATGGGGAAGCTTATAAGCTAGAGCTACAACACGGCCATAAAAACAATCGAATTTTTATGCTTTCTCGTCGAGTTCGATGCGATCTTGTATGACGGCAACCGTTCCCCTGAAACTACTGAGCTCACACTGACGCTTTCGACACACAAGTCATCTGATGAAGGATCATTCGCTTCCTTGTTGAGTTAGAGGTCGTACCGCGCTCGCATCCGTGAGAGTCTCCCTGGTCCCTTGAATTTTCCCCTTGAAAAACGAACCAAGGATGACGTTCATGATGGTGCAGCGGTAGCCATAATTGACACTATTGCTGCTGCTGCTCGCTCGTTCATCATCGCCAACTTCTTTCACCGAACCCGATTGATCCAGTAGCAAAACCTGTTTTCTTCCTGCATTTACAGGTGAATTAGCAGCATCATACTCAGCGGGGAGGTCACCATCTAGGTCTACTCCAGCGGAGTCGTTTTCTCCCATGGAGGGCGGTCGTTTTTGGTTCCCATCCTCACCGCCACCAAAAAAAGCACGCATCTTGTACTGATTGAACGTGAGGATGTGCTCCTACTCAAGAAGCTCTTCGACAATGTCAAGTCCATACACTAGAAGAAGGAATTCCATGCATTTTCACTCTAGTGTTTGCAGTGTGCTCCTACTCAAGCACTTCTAATGATTCGAATCTATGCGGCAGCTTGCATACGAGTGCCACCCTGAGTGTACAACTACAACTCGTACGAAATCAAATTTGAAATGAAATATATCATGAAAAACAACAAAAAAACAAACCAATACATAGAGGGCCTCTATTAGAGGCTCGGGGGAAAAATATTTCTAGATGTGGTAGAGAACAACGGGAGCTAGAATACACTAAACTGATTCTGATGAAACACGCATGATAGGTTATTTCCAACAAGTAAATTCCTGATGAAGCTTTATCACTGAATGGACCCTCGTTTCGCTTTTTTACAAGACAACTAACACACAGACACATCATGAATCGGATTTGGTTCGCTCTCTCCACGCCGCGGCTGCCACTCATGATCATCTCTCAGATACTCATGCTGCAGGTACTCTCTGAGCATCATATTAATCATCGAGTTGTAGTACAAGTACAAGCATCTGATTAATCATCGAGTTGTACTACAACCGTCTAGAATGTCAACTAAATTCTCTCATAAGCTGCATTAGCTAGATCACAGACACGAACACCACACAGAAGCTCTCCTCTTGTTTTTACGTTGTCTAGAACAGAGCGGCCTCCAATTATCCAAGTGCTTTAGCTCAGTGTTCTCAGCGCGTAGGTTACTGCTCCCTCTTTGCGGATGTACCTGAATCAACACGACTCGGGTGCTCCACTCAAATTTGGCTGCAAATCCATTCATCACAATCATCTTCATCACGACACTCTGGATAGTTGTAGAAGCTTATCATTATATTTCACTTTATAAATCTAGCCCACACGTTTACGTTCTTAAAATCTACCCTAGCATACTCCTCGAAAGTTAACAAGAAGAAGAATTCTAGTATGAGTAAGTATCAGGAGGTAGTTGACTCGAGCACTTCTTGTCGGAAGTAGATCGATCTAGAGTGTGCAACAGCTCGACCGCTTTCTTTCTTTCACTTAGATCATTTAGACGGCTTTTACGACCTGCTCATCATAAATGTCTATGTATATCTGTACTCGTTTAGTAATGTTCCGCTTGATGCGAATCAAGAAAGTCGAGGGGCTTCCACCTCGGTGAAGGTGTGCGCCTTCTGCTCTCATCGTTTCCTTCACAACCAGCATAATGATGGCAATTACCACACTAGTTAGTGCCCTCGTCCAATATCGAGCATCAGAATTCGTCAACAGCGGATACGGGAACGGATACGGATGAAGCATAGATACTGGGTAGCCACCACTGAGACAGATATATCAGATATGGTTTTGAGCATCACGATTCGTGAACACGAGTCATCAGTAGAATAATTTCAATTTCCAACGAGTAGAATAATTTCCAATAAATAGGTTGAATCAACATAAATGTGCTTAAGACGTAGAACAGATCACGACTTTCTGGCGCGGCTGGCAGGGCAAATTGAAATTATGATGCAAGTAGTCTAGTAGTTGTAGATAAAATTATTGTTAAACATAGAAAGCCCACAAATTTCACTCTCACGAAGCTGAAGAATCTTCACAAAAAAAGAGTGATGTGCATTTCTTCATTTAGAAAGATTGGTTCTCATTCGACGGGCCCTCGCGGGATCGCTGTCGCGCCTCCCAACATGCATCCATCTACTTGTACTTCTACAACGTCTCATCTAATTAGAGTAGTATATTTTTTACGTCGACTGTGCTGACTGGCCATCACGACTTCTAATGATCATGATTAAAAGGTAAAATGATGATGTTAGTCGGTTCGGAATTCCGAAAAGGTGAAATAAGGTACTAAAATGGTAATTTGTTCGATAAGGGTCTACGTGTACTTCAAGCGGAAGCGGCAACGCCGATACCCAATGAAAAACAGCTTACTTAGCCACCGATGAGGATAACGTCCTGCACCCACACAAGGCCCATATGATTCGTTCCATACGAGCCATCACTTCATCCACTGTCATCAAGTACGAAGAAGGATGAAGTGATGGCTCGTATGGAACGAATCATATGGGCCTTGCGCGTTTTCTGTTCCTCGTATGGTGGAAAAATGACAAATTACATAGTTCTGCTTACACGACAAACTGTTCTACTTATTGATCTCAACTACACAATCGTTATCTTCATTCCTCTAGTTGTAGCTGTTATACATTGATTCAGACGATGATGAAACCCCTCTTCCCTAGATGCTGTAACAATTAGCTTCTGGATGGTGATGTAGACAACTTCATCATCTTGTCAGGATTCTGTCTTGAGTCGGACGGTGCATGCCTTTACTTCACGTCTTGGATGCACGTTGTACTCGCACAACGAACTCGTACTAGAAAGTACGAGGTCGAGGAAATGAAATAATAAAAATAAAACTAGTATTAGTAAAAGATCTGGTCATTTTCACGACCTATTGCTTGTTACATAAGTTACTAAGCTACGTGGTTGTACTAGATGGTGATGTCCACACTTCAACTTCACACATGGCCTCAAAATAAGCATCATCATCTTCACCTCCTACGCTATTGTTCGCAGCGTCCCTCCTCCTGTGGCGACCTTGTCGAATACCGTAATTGTTGACTTTGTGCTGCTGCATCTCCTCTGGGGTCTCTGAACCCTTTGACCTGTTCCTGAATTCGTCATAGTTGCCGCATTTCGTTATTGTACAACCGGTGGAGCGGCTGGCCGATGTCGAGGGTGTTCCATAGCTGTAGAACGTCCGCTCTTTAGAGGTAAAAAAAATCATTGCACTAACGAGGTCTCCTAAAATCTGATCTATAATATTGGAAAAGAAACTGCCGCTTGCTTTACTAGCAAAGCCTTAATATCCTGGTTTTCTGGAGAATTGCGATGGTGCGCTTGTAGGTTGATGTTGCAAAACCCTAGGTATCTTCGGAGTTTCAGTTTCTTGTTGATTATGATTTCTTCTCGAAGTAGCAACAACTTCGTTCACTCTCCTTTGGCCTCTAGTCGTTGTCGGGGGAGGTACATGACGGTGGCTCCGCGAGGAATGTTGAGCAGATGAAGGACGGTCAGATGAAGAAGTATTAACGTGTGCTGCACGAGCATAGTCTCTAGTACTAGGAGGGCGCTGGATCCCTCCTGCTTCGCGACTACAGTGGTCGGTGATGATATCTTCAACACGTCGCGCTTGATGATGCACGACCCCGTGGTCGTGGGGCATCATTCTCTCGCGTTGGCGATGATCATCATAGTAAAGGACTTGGGATGCTGCAGCAGCTCTCGTCTGTCCACTATGACGAGTATGGCTGTTTCCAGAAGCACGGCTAGCATTACCTTGTCCACTATGACGAGTATGGTTGTTATTGTTTCCGGAAGCCCATCTAGCGTTACCTTGTCCACTATGACGAGTATGGTTGTTATTGTTTCCAGAAGCCCATCTAGAATCATCGCGACCGCGAGAATCGTTTCGACGCCTATGCTCGCCATCAGTCCAAACCTCTCGTCTTGCAGTTGCATGAAGATCTTCATGATACAACTTCATGTCATTCAGGTTTGTTGACCTAGAACAAGATGAGGCATGATGCTGCTGTTGCACCATCAACGGAATCTGGGACTGCGAATGTGAAACGTGTCCTCTTGGTCCTCGTTCTCTACTCGGACGATGTCCATGCAGAAGTACGCCAGAAGGTCGTGGTCCAGAATGACCGGAAGGCGCAACAAGACCTCCACTGGAGGTATTTTTCATACTGCGCGCTCCTGCAGGTAGTTGTTGCATAGCCATACATGGTGGAAAATTGGTATTGATTGTTGTAGTAATAGTCGTAGTAGTTGTTGTACTTCTGATACTTTGTAGACCTTTCCCAGGAACAGCTCTGTGGCCTCTGTGGTTGGTGGAATCATGAGTAGAAATCGGAGAAGCACCATGCTGTTGAGCACTTCTGTGGCTCCTCAATACCTTGTCGCGTGGCTCAGAGGCGGCGGTTGGAGGAGAATCTCTGTAGAAGCTTATCGGAGGAGAACTAGTCGGACTACTGTGATAGTTTGAGCAGACGTTGTAGTCAGGACCAGAAGCACGAGATGAATTAGGAGGGTGCCGTTCGGGGTAGTAAAGAAAACTAGGGTCGTGTTGTGGACTTGTGCTGGGAGTCCCTCGTCGAAAAGCACCTGCTGAGTTGCTGGCCGAAACAGGCGGAGAGCTACTCAGTGAAGGACCGCTAGAGCCGCCATGGCATCTTGATGGACGAGGAGGAAGATGTTGGGAGTTTTGATAGTCGTGGAAAGCACTCGACGACATTGAGGCGGATGCTGGGCGATGATAGTCTCTGGCACTGCTGTGGGGAGCGCTGTTATAGTAAGATCCGGACCCGCCGCCTCCGGTTGAATGTGATGCTCCATCTTTACTCCGCATATGCTGAGATGAGCTACCTCCACGCGGGTTGTAAGAGGAAGCACCTGTTCTTCCTGCTCCAGAGTTATTGTAGTACGGTCCTCGTCCCATCATGTGCCATTGCGACGCCGCAGCCGCGGACATCATGCCGTTCGGATGGTTGGGGTGTTGCCGAGGCACAGGTTGGCTGTCCCTTGACCGAGCATACGCTACGACATGGACCAGAGAGTCGTGATAGGTGGCCGCCGCACTGCTGCCTGGTGGTAGCCAATTGTGGTCCGGATCGTACAAGCTGTTTGCGTGAATCAGAACCCTGCGCGTGACTTCTTCCACACTGGCTACCAACGTAGCGCCTGAGACGGATGCTCTTGTTAAAACTAGTAAGGGAAATCGTCCATCGTCGGCAGCATCTTGGGTCCCGTTTCCTCTTTAAAAACGGGACCAAGAAGATCGATGCCTCTGAAAATGGGGGATTTCTTGCAGCCTTAATCTTGCTGTTGGCGTTGTGGTATGATCGGCTGCAGCGTTGTGATTCTCCTCTCGATTCAAGATATCTCTAGAACCCTGCAAGACGCGACGGAGCAAATCTGGACTACGTCCTTTCGCCGCAGTGCGAACAGCTTCAAAAAAGACAACAGCGGGAACAACGATGTTTTTCAAGACCGGAAGAACTGTAGGTGCATTCGGGGTGTTGGATGAAACACGTGGCTGATGGACCTGTTGTTGATCAGCATGGAGACCCAGACCTCCCTGTTGCTGGTGTTGTTGAAAAGCTCCAGGTGCAGCAGTTGTAGATGCATGGTTCTTCACGGGAGATGTCGTACTAGCAGAAGAAGGCGGACCGGTTGTATTCAGGCCAAATGCGGCGGGACTTTGCAGGATCATTGTGCTCGACAATTCAGGTGAAACTGCATAAGGAGTAGCGCCTGCGACTCCCTCCATTGCCTGTTGTTGCACACGATGACGATCGTCTGTGTGGGAGCTGCTAGACGAAGGCCCATCTGGACCAACAAACTGCGGTGACATGCCAGGAGACGACAGAGTCAATGCATTAGCATGATTGCTTCCTCCAGTTGCAGGAGAAAGACCATCTGGACTTGCACTTGCAGGAGAAAGACCATCTAGACCAGCTCCAGCACCCATCGGACCAGGCACGTTCTGTCCTTGACCAGCATATGCGCCATCATTCGTCGTGTAAAAGTTCGTGTACGACGCCAGAATCACGACTGTCGCTATAGTGTTGTTCAGGAGAGCTTTGTTCTCCTCTAAAAATCGAACCATTTCCTGGCGTCGCTTAGCCATAGTGCGTCGTCTCCCTCCGCGCTTTCTCTTTCTCCTACCTGCTGAACCTGGTCCATGATCTTCTTCCTCGTCACAACTATCCGAGTCCCCCTCTGCTTGTGCGTCTCCTTGACGTTCTTCACGACCTCCTTTGTCTCCTAGTGAATGATGTTCCACCTCAGCGTGGTCCTCGGATGTGTTGATGCTGTCCTGTAGAGACAATGACAACTCTAGCGATTGACCTGCTCCTACTTTCTGTTGTTCCCCTTCCGCCCGAATCTTTGCTCCTGACACATCGTCCCTGGTGTCGTCCTCGTAAGAATCCTGCTCCCGCAGCACATCAACCAACTTACTGCAGCTAAGCATTTGTATCTGCTCCGAAGCGACGTCGTGGCCATCGTGTTGAATGGTAGAAGTTGAAGAAAGAGCAGCCACGTGCATATTGTCAAGAACATCTTCTGCTAGTCGTGGTTCCTGAGGGCCACGAGCTTGATCCTGTCGTTGTAGTTCTGGAGACTTCGTACTGGGCGCCTCAATTAGCGCCGGTCGTGGTTGTTGCCGACAAGTAAGCGAGTCAGCACCCACCAGTGATGAGTGCTGGAAGTTGTAGTTGTCACTACGACCCCGATGAAGATGTTGTTCATCTGGGTTGCCTCGACTTGCTGAGGCTACTGCTACTGCTGAGCCACGCACCATCAACTGTCTCTCCTCGGTTGTACAAGTACCAGAGTATTGTTCTCGTCTCTGATTGACCACCTTTTCAACATCCTCTTCCTTCTGATGTTGTTGGCGCAGCCGTGCTCTGTTCCCCAACATATCACAAGGCAACATGGAAGCACTACAACTGGTAGCGTTTGGGCGTCCGTGATGTTGTGCAGCTTGTGGTCTCTCCTGAGCAGCATCTTCAGCTTCAGCATCTTCGCTTCCAAGTACATCAACTGGTAGTTGATGTTGTTCCTGCGACGTCGCCCGATTAGCTTGCGCTTGATTACGAGATTTGAGCCGGTCGATGTGAAACTTGCAGATTTGTTCCAGCTGCAAAGCTGCTGACAACCGCCACTCGAGGTCACTGGTACGGTGTAGCGCTTCGCTGTAGTTCCGAAGCAGGTCCTCATGTGTGTTCAGCACGTCTCTGTCGAGATGAAGATGCTGCTCATCAGGGAAAACTCCTACCCTTTTGTCATGATCATCTTGAGATGGAACCTCTTTGATGCCTGCAACAGTTTTATACCTTCTCGTCTCAAGAACACGCGGCTTCTCGATAGTACAACCATCTAAGGTCTCGTCACCGTCTTCTTGATTCAACCTGCCCTGTTGCAATTGATCCACGACCTTCACTAACTTTTTGCCCGCACTAACTTTTTGCAATTGCTCGAGCAGGATAGTGCGTTGTTCTCTGCACTTGTCTGCTACGCGTTGACACTGTATTGTCTGTTCCTGCAGAAGTTGATCGTCTTGCTGCTCCGAAGATGACGGGGGAATAAAGTCCTCCACTTGCAGTTTTGCTGCTCCTGCTAGTTCTTCAATTTCTGCCTGTCGTCCAGGAGCATGCTGGTAGTTGTCGTGCTCATCTACTCGTGACCGGACGACCAAGTTTTCATCAAAGAAATCTTTCAGGTCTTTCAAGGCTGGAAATTCTTGAAGAGCGGCTGGAAATTCTTGAGGTGTGTGGTAGAAGTACTCAATATCCTCCGCCAATTGCGCCAGAAACTCCATCGGTTTTGCAGACTGCATTTCTTCATCCAGCTTGTTCGTTGATGTCCCTCCAGCTGACGTGCGTTCAGGGGACGACGGCGGCGCCTCTTCCTCGGTCTCGACGTCCTTTCTCTCGCTTGCGGCCTGTCCGCGTTGAGCCTTCAGATAATTGCGGATATTCTCAGCAAATGCCTGGCAGGCAGAGAAGGAGGTTAGAGGTGGCTGATACTGGAAGATGGATCTTGACATTCCCCAACAGCTGCGACTATAATTACTATTACTCCGTCCACATCAACAAGTACAAGTAGGGCCTTAAAAGTATCACTTTCCTCAATCGCGCTGCTTCTAGAGGCCTGTTTTTTGCTTGATCCCTTAGTTGTGCAATTTCAGCTTCTTGTTGACGTATGATGTCTCTCAGACCTTCTTGGAGTTGCATGATCTGCTCTACGTCACTGTGTTGTTGTAATTCACCATGAATGCCGTCAGGGTTTGGGTCTTCCCATTCTCGACGCCTATCTCGTTGCGACGGCGACGCAGTGCGAGAAGCGCTAAGGAGCGCATCGGGGCTCTTAGCCTGGAGGGCTTTGTCTCGTGGATCTTGAACCAAGACAGTCTGGGGTATGAAAAAAGGCGGATCCTGGGAAAGACGAGAAATATGAAGATAGTATGATGGGGCGAGGACTGGGCGACAGCGACTGAGAATCATCGTCAAAAATATAATGAGTCTTTACTGACTCTGACAAATAACATGTTGTCGCAGTGCTGCTAAAGAATGTTATTCCTCATCAGACAAGCTAAGTAGATACTTAAGTCATCTTTTGCCTTAATCTCCGGCGAGGCGGGGAGCAGTGTCAGGTCAACTGGGTGAAGTTTTTCCTTCGAACCGCCTACGGCTCCGAGGCCGCGGGAAGCGACGAGCCGTAGTAGAACTCCACTATCCACTCTGGCTGTTTTATTTTCTTCTGAAAGTTCTTCATTCTGATCCAACATTTGGTTACTTGATTAGAGGGCGCAAACTATTTCTTTTCTATCTTGCTTCCATTTTCTCACTTGCTTCGTAAAAAGGAAAGCTCCGTGATAAATGAATTGCCAGTTGTTGTAGCAATGCACCGTTGCTATTCAATAGCTTCTGATGAATACTATTGTAACAATGAATGCATAGAAAGTGCTCCAATAATTGTCCTAACTAGTTTGTTGATCTTCGGACTGGATTGTAACGATGAAAAATTACAGTCGTGAGCCTTAACTGGATGTTCTTTCTGGAGATCCGCCTCCTTGAGCATGGTTAGGTTCAGCGGGTGGCAGATTTTTCCCAGTTAAAGCTGGCGGTGGGTGTGTCCATAATGCGCTCGCGGGTAAAAGGTCCAGATCCTCGACTTCGGTTGTAGCCCCCGTCGTCGGATGCAATAACTGAATTGAGGGACCTGACATCAGACGAAATCGAAAATGAAATCTGACACATACTAGCTTTCGGCCGCGTATGCACTTTGCCTTGATTGATTGATTGATGTGCCTGGCAGGAGGTCGGATAGTTATACGGTAGGAACTGAAATCTGATACAAGTAAGAATACCTCTCGGACGAAGCGACTCGTCTTTATGAGGGTCTTGGTTGGTGGAATTGCGTCTAAATTCATCTGCAATTTGATCCAACATCGCTGACATGTTGTTGCTCAGAGCTCCATTATAATTGATGATATTAATATTCTGGGTATTACTAGTAGAGGATGACTTGTTATCATCAGTATGATCTCCCATACTAGAGGATGACTTGTTATCATGAGCATGATCTCCCATACTAGAGGATGACTTGTTATCTTGAGCATGATCTCCCATACTAGAGGATGACTTGTTATCATCAGGATGAGCTTCCAATCCTTCATCTTCGTTTATTCGACCACCTGAGTTGTCTGTTGATGCACCAGTAGTTCCATTAGTACTCGTATTGCTCACACTACTTGTATGATTGCCTCCGACAACATCTTGCTGCCCATCGAAGGCTGCACTGAGCGAAGACAAGGAGGTCTTGCCCATTCCTGAACTAGCACGTTTTGTCGTCCCTAGCCCGCCAGTCGTAGTGGTGTCCCCGAGTCGTAATGAGGCGAAAATGGCACTTTGATTTTCTTCGGGTGGTGGGTCTCTAGTGGTACCAGGAGGAGGAACCTGGTCCTGAAGGTCCTGAAGAGGCACCGTAGAGGACGCCATCGTGTTCGTCTCTTGTTTCGATGTCTGATTTCACGGTCAGAAGTGCACTTAGTATTATTCCTTCTACTTGTTTTATCTTCTATTTCTCTTTCCCGTCGTGAGGACGGTGGAGGTCACATTCGCTAGTATCAAAATCGACTACTTTTTATTCTTGTATCGTACGTTGTAACTTCTTAGAAGTTTCAGAAAAAGTGTAGTACTAACATCATGATGAGAGGGTGACACTGACACACCATAACCCATCAAGCAACAGTGACGTTCTTGGACGTGCAATTTGGAAAATGTCCTCGTGGTAAATGACAAGAAGGAATGGAAGATTTAGTTTTGTTCATTCTGCTTTCGCGTTCATTTGTCTCAGCATCAGCTGTGACTCAATTCTCATACGAGCCCTAAGAAGCTTGTGTATTCGAATTCGTGAATCTAGGTTTGAGAATTTGACGACTTGGCAGTCTTCACTTATCTATCGCTGTTCTCATCGTTTTCCGTTCTCAACTGATCAACAGTCGTGAAAACGATAAGCGAGAGTGAACAGGAAGTACTTGTCTTTAGATTGCAACAACCACTCGCGCATCACTTATCCTACAACATTTATCAATCGGGGGCGGCGGCCAGGACAAGTAGTACAGCTATAGCTAACTGATGAAGGATCTCGTTCTATGGAGAAGATTGAACAATAAGAATAATCTTCACGTCGACGTTGTTCACCACGTCGCGAAATCTTCTGTTTAGTAGAAATCGCGATTGACAGGGTCCGGAAGGATGACCAGAACTACCAGTCCTTCTAGTTGAATATCATACTTTCAATAACATTACTTGACCATTACTTGTACTTATTCAATACCTTTCCTTGAATTCAATACCATCCCTCGGTTAATACCGTATTTATCGTTTGTTCTTATATATAACTATACTTTCAATACCTGAAAGACATCGACCATGCTTGTACCTATCATTTCTTATTCGCGATTGTCAAGGGCCGGAAGGATGACCAGCACACCCAGTCGTTTTAGCTCGTTGAAAATGTAAAAGTCCAATGAGAATAAATCGCCGGATTGAAGTGCAAGTGGTGGCAAAATTAGAATCATAAAAGAATTTTAGATGACTTAGAAGATGTCAGTTCATGATCATGAAGGTAAGTAGTTCATAATTTGACTGGAAACGCATCCATATCAACACTCTCGACAGCCTCATCCATATCAACACTTTTCGACAGCCTCATCCATATCAACACTCTCGACAGCCTCATCCATATCAACACTGCAACCGATGACAACTATCTTCTTGGTGCAAGTGGACGCTGTTCCGAGGACAGAAACATTTGAGAAACAGTGCTGTCGTAGCTTTTGGACACAAACGACCCGACGGCTTCCTGCTGCGTTGGCACTTGGTAAACGCAGCCTCTCGAGACTGAGACCTTCTTGTTCTTCCATGTTCAAGAAAATTGAGCATGTTGGAGACAATGACAGGAGGACGAAATCTAAAACTTTCTTGCACTTACAACTTCGACTTCGTGTCTTGAGTTGTCACGTGGTTCGCAAATGAATGAATGAATTCGTGTCTTGAGTTCCCTTCTATTTCTACACGATCTTCTATGAAAAGACAAACATGAAGTCCGTTCTTTTTTCAGTCCATCTGTGAACAAAACAGGTACAGTGCTGCCAGTGCTTCTTCTACTTCTAGCACCACAAGCACAACAACATCAACGACAACGTTACTCTTCATCATAATTCCCCAGTCAAGCTCGCGGTCCCGTTTTCCTTCTTTTTGTGTATTAGAAGTCATTCCAAGCTTCATCTTCCTTGTCAATCATCTTGGAGATGTTTTCCCCTTCCTCGTGAGAAAGCTCCCAGATGATGGATTACAAGATGAATTAGGAGTAGGAGAAGCCTTAAATAAATTTCCTCCAAGACGTTTACATCGTCTTCATCCACCTGCCACCAGTACATCCAGTCCATAGCGAGGAAAACGCGTTTATTGGGTCTCATCTCCCAAACAGCACGAACTACACCAGGCCACTGTGGGCTGAAGTCGTGTCCCAGGACTAACCCACCAGGCACGATTTTGGGCAACCAGAGACGTAAGTCTTCCTCAACGCAGTTGTAAAAGTGGCAGCCGTCAACAAATACCGCATGGATACTCTGGTCGGGAACGTTTTTTACCTGTTTCATATTTGATTTTGATGGTGCGAATAGGAAATGACCTTAAACTAAATGGTAAATGGTGTGGTCGTGCCAAATGATCCCAATCTAAACGAAATGGAAAAAATGAGCAACGAACAGGGGAAGAAAAAAAGTTCAAGTCAGTACCGCTTCCAACGACGTCGTCGCCCACAAGGTCGCCCGTCCTGGTCCAGACTCCTCGTAAATCGACAAAGCATTCCCATACGCCACAGCCGGATCCAAGGTCTGGCTGTAGTCTCCCGGAAACGTCTCATCTGTGCCAATATATTAGACCTCTCCCTAATTCATCCCTGTGGAAATCCCTCAAGCGTATGCGTCTAAGTGTTCCCCTTGTATTGGGGAGCATACTTCTGTCCTTGAGGGATCGATGCCTGTATTCCCTATATAAGGGATCGATGCCTATAGAGCATACTCGTCTTAATCGATGCCTATTAGCAGAAGCAGTAGCCTTAAATATACGGATCAATACCGATCAATTGCATCTTGGGGAATTTCTCAAGCAAAAACTTCGAGAAATGTCCTGCAAACACGCCGACCTCTACTACCCGAAGCTCCTCCAACCCGTATTCTTCGAGTAAGCCGTTGACGATTTCCCACCGCATGCCAAATTTTTCAGAGAAGAAGAATCGGGGTTTTGGACCCGTTAGGTTGTAGGTGTTATTAGCATCGTGAGCGCCAAGACTGTCCCAACGTCTGGCGTTGCCCCAAGTGGTATGCACAACTTGAGAAGCCTCGATCACGTCTTGGACCTGTGAGTAGCAGAGGGGGTGTTGAAGCATGTGCATGATCCTGCTGCTCAATCAATTTCAATTTCTTTCAAAGTGTTGTAATCCAGTATTGTAAGTATCCACATGTAACTAATCTAGTATTGTACCCACATGTAATCCAGTATTGTACCCACAAAAAATGGTTCACTTGCCAAGCGTTCCATCTGACCCATTGGGAGATATCATTCACCACATTCACACTCAGTCGCCAAAAGCTTGATGGCGGAATCAAGTTTCCAGGTGACGCCTCTTGCTTTTCCAATAAACCTTCTACATTAGAGTAGTTCCACGCAATTCTTCTTCACTCCTTGCCTTCAATTCATTTCTTCACAACCTCAAGAAGGGCCAAACAGAAGAGAAGCAAAGAGCGCTGAAAATGAATTGTGTCAAGGAAGCCGTAACCACGTAGGTTTTTCTGTACCGCATGACCTGTTCACTCACGTACCACCGGAGAGGCGACAGGTAGAACCGCTCTTCAGCTTTTTCCATCCTCGACCGGATGTTGTTGGCCACAACGTTGAGGAAAGGGCCACAGCCAATCGCATCGCCGTAGACGGATACAACATTTTGCTGGTACTTGTCATCATCGGAACCACATAAAATCATATAGCCGAGGGCCGGAAATTAGAGAATAGAAGAAGTGCTTGGGGCGAGCACCTGCTAAAGTGAAGGTTTTAGTTCATTTTGAATTTTTTCACATTTTGTCGAAGGTTGTACTTGTAGTTCATTTTGAATTTCATATTTTTTATTATACGTCATATTTTTTATCATATTATACGTCGAAGGAATGGGAATTCACATTCAGACAGCCTCATAAATCGAAATCAGATCGAACGACAGCGTCGTCATCGCCTCGCAGCCCCGTTTCTGCACTTTTTCCCCACCAGTTACCTTGCACGTGAGCATGGTCTCGTTTACGCCAATAACCAAATCTTCGATACCGGGACTGCTTTTGGAGGCCTGATAAACCGTCTCCAGACACCATTCCGAATCCGCTAAGTGCTGCTCATCGTCTGTAAAGCAGTCGATCAGATTCGTCATTGTCTGCTTTTCTGGTGACTGCAACGTGTACATCGGGTTTCCTGCTTTCACGAGTTCGGCGGAGACAAAGGATTTTTGCGTGTTTATGCAGGTGGAAGTTGAGAAGAGAAGGAGTAAATGACCCGTGGAAGCTATCTTTTTGGGCGATATTTTTGATGATGCATTCTTGTTTACCTCCCGATGACACTGCGCGGCTCTTCTTGAGCTTGTTCTCGCGCCAATTTTACATCGCCGACCGGCAGTGTTGCATTTCCTTTGCTCGTCGAGCGCTCTCCTGTCGGATTGCGGTCGATCACCCATCGCCACAGGCTGCGAGAACAAAGTTGAAGAACTGCAAGAACTCGTCATTTTTTCGTTTGGTGTACTTCTACTTAGAAGATGATCAAAATAATCATAAAATTAAAATCGTTAGATGTAGTACTAGTACAGAATAGATCACTCGAACAACAACTGATCGTGATCTCTCGAACAACTCCTGCGTGCTCCATTGTAAAAAAGTAGTGATCATCTGGATCTTTCACTCGGGACTGAATCCCTCTCGATAGTCACTCGTCTACCACCCTTCCTCGGGGAAAGTATGCTCTTCTCAATCCCATCTTCCTCTCGCCGTCTCATCTGATCCTCAAGTCTCGATGCATCTTCTCTCTGTTGACTGCTCTCTTGTCTCCCTACTAGAAAGGAGACACAACTATTTCTGATCTCTGAGACACCTCAGTGTCCAGCTCCATCTGATCTGAGACATCACTGCACAACATGAGCCATCGAACTCGAGTTCGTCGAGGAACTACCTTTACAACACGTCTGTGGTCTGTGGTTCATCGGCTGACAGGCAGAACACAACACTACTTCTCTACAAGATACATTTTCTTTACAAACTAACAAAACCGGTATGTGCGTGGAACGAATCCACCGTCTACAGACTACCTCTTCTAAAATTTGAGAGTCATATATTTCTATTTCAACATGTGCGGATCTGCATATGCTTTAGCAAAATGATCTATATACTACTTTACTACGTGGTTGATTGTATCGATGCGATTCTCAGTGGATCGAGCTCCAAAAAAATGCCTGAACAATTATGTTATAGTTACGATCGAATCACATGAAAAAAAGAAGAAAAATACTGTGGAACTAAATTCAGATCGATGAAGTACGTAAGGTTGACCAGATACTGAAGACATACTTCTAGATCGAGTGCTGATAAATGTTCTCTAGATGTCGACGACCGTATTTACTTTTACTGTAACTGTGACTGAACTACGACAGAACGAACTTGTCAGATGAGTGTGATGAACTCCAACTCCCGCCATGATAGGTTTTTCTAGATATCAAATTTTTTTCTGGAGATCATATTCATACAGGCACGGAAAGCATCCAAAATCAAAATTCATCTCGGAAAATCTAGATTAACAATACGAAAGGTGTCAATCTTTGTCTTCAAGAAGATGAAGTTTAGCTACGACGCAGAAATACTCGATTGAACATTCACAAACTGAAATTTTCAAATATCGAAACTCAAAAAACAAAACATATTTGATAATTGCCGATATCATAAGGCCCTCTACGTACGATACTGCTTAATAATTCTACTATCTAAAAAGAAAAACGATCTACAACTACCTATGAGTTCTACCTGCAAAAACAAAACAAAGAATCAATAAGTACCGCTACTAGTCCTTCATCAATCTAAATCTTCTACTTCTCCATAAATCTATTTTCTTTTCTACGTTGTATTCGGTTTTGCTACTGTTCTTGGAACGCACAAGATTGGCTTTACCACACATGCGGTTACTTCCCAGTCCTACTCCCACTGGCAATCACTCGCTTCATATTTCCATCTTCAACTCACCAAGAAAATGGGTAACCTGTATTCGGATAATATGCTGCCGTCGACGGGTTCCCCAGATAGGCACCTAGAATTGAAGTTTCTCATTGTGTAGCTTGCAACAGTGGAGCTCCTGGAGACATCAGTGGCAGTAAAAGTAAATGATAAAAGTAAATGTGTAAAAGGGGTTGACATTGGTACGTTTTAAGGTCACGTTGATTCATCACATGCACCACATCTACATCATCATCAACTACAAAAAAACAAATTAATACTGCTCGGATCCATCCAGGTCTGCGAGAAGTAAGCAGCGTCACGTGGGTCCATAGGGTAAGGCCAGGTGGACGTGTCCAAAGCGGGACTAGGCGTGTCTTGAGGTTTCTTGTTGTCTCCAGGAAAGCTCGGTACACAATTCGGCGAGGAGGTGGCGAGTGAGGCAGGAGCAGGTGGGAGAACTGTGGCATTGGGGTAGAGGTGGAGGGATGAATCATCATCATGCATTTGTTGATAAATGTCAACAGATCCTGTCTCCAAGTTGATTCGACAAGAGCGCATAAAGCCAAATCAACAACAACCAAAATCACAAAGACACATCATACCAGTTGTTCCCGGAGGTTGAGCAGGTCCGAAAACTAAAGCAGGATTCACACCGGCAGCTAATGCGCCAACCGCCGCTATCGCTACACCCGGATTCTGCAAATAGTAGTTGTACAACTGCGCCGAACCTCCAGCAGCCGTTGCTCGGGGAAGACCAGGCGGAAATGCCATGTTGTTCACGTTGGTGCTGTAGTTGGGATAGTTGTTAGCACTAGCAGTGTTGTTTTGACGAGCATCATTGCTTTTGGGGATAGCAGAGTTAGCCCATCGTCCACCACAAGAAGTGCCCCCGGCGGATACTTGTGGGCTGAGGTTGTTGTGCTGAGAAGACGTGGTGTTACCATTGGTAGATGTAAAATTGTTCGCAGCATTGGAGATGGTCAAAGCGTTTTTATTGGCCGTACCCGTGCCACTTTGTGCATCTTCATTCATGGTCAATAGAGTGGGCATGTTCGTATTGACTGAAGCAGCTGTTTGATCTTGCTGTTGTCCTGCCACTGGAGGCATCAATCCGTTCTTATTGCCGGAACTACCATTGGTGGTTGCAGGCGAAGCTGCAATCGTATTGGGCGAAGCTGCAATCGTGGAGTCTGTCGAATGAGAGAGCAGCTGTTGTTGATGATAAGCGGCCATCTGTTGAGTGCTGTGAGACTGACCCTGTTGTTGAAGAGCAGTACTGGCTGCGCAACCTGTTGTGGCTGCAGTGGCATTAGCAGTGTAATCTATGGCCGTGGTGGATGGTGGAACGGTACCAGAACCGGTCGTTGTACCCATGATCGGCATAGTAGTAGCGCTTCCTGTACTAGTCTCTTCAGATGTGGAAGAGGTCACGCCAGTTGTCTTCTTACGTGCGTCTCGTAGTTGAACAGAAGGAAGCGGTTGATCTGGTTCTGGGAAGGGAACCATGTTACCACGGGTATCGAAGATAATCGGCCGATAATGCGTGATCTCGGCGGGGATCTGAATACGATTGGACTTGTCGATCCTCAACGAGATGAAACACAAAGAAGCAAGTACATTCCAAATTCTCCTGCAAGTTCGAATCCTTCTACTCATTCAATATCAGTTTGCTCTATTGGAGGTAACTTTGTTAACAAATCGGTCGATAATGCGTGATCTCGGCAGGGATCTGAATACGGTTGGACTTCTTCGAGAAGATTTTCAGCTAATTATCATCAGAGACAAAGCATTTATTCCACAAAAAAAAATGAGCCCTCACAACATATGAATCTAGTTCTAGGACTGGGTGGATTACCGAATTAATCGGACTGTTTCGAAACTGTTCGACGTTGTTCTTTCTTCCTTGAACTCGCGCGTAGGTGACTTCGCAAACCTTTCGAGGTGCGCTGACTGGGAGACTCGTCCTAGTGTGGGGGGGATAGGAAGCAAGGATGAAAAATTTGACAGGCACAAATGAGCAAAGCAACATTGAGATGAAACGCCGCATAAAAACGCCGCATAGCAGTGTTGCTACGCAGGGGGATCATCATGATCATATCCAGGCTATAGTATTAGTTCTTCTCTCGACTCAGGCTCAGCCGCTTCCAGTCTCAAGAATAGTACTGATGAAACGCCGCATAAAAACGCCTCGATTCTGGCACCGTCACAAAGTTGATAAAGCAATAGCCGTAGTTGGAGCGAGAACGGAAGTCCATAGGCAGGTAGAAGAAATCGAAGCTGCGTCCAGGCAAAAATTGACGGCTTGCGAATAGGTCTAAAAGGTCTCGTTGAGTTTGCGAAGCGAGGAGGTTTTCTGAGTAGAAGGTTTGTACTGATGAAGTAGGACGAGGTAGTCGTGGGCTCTTTCGCAAGATGAGTTTTTGTGAGCAATGGTCTTATTCTGAGGCTTCATCACAATGAGGATATCAGATCTTCAAGCAAACGGAAGTACTAGGACCAAAAAGACGAAGATACTCAGCATCAGCGTCGTCTTCCCACTAGCAGCGTTCTCCTGCATTTGACGCTTGAGACCGATACTCTGTTCCCATTGGAGAAGGACGTCGCTATTGCGTGGTTGCTCTACACCTCCACAATACACCGCATGAGGATGAGCATTGCTAGTGCGGTGTCCATTCAGGTTTCCAGTCACGTTCATTCCTCCAGCCGCATAGTTGCCGTAGGCGTTACTGTAGTGCTGCTGCCTTTGCTGCGCACCGTAGTCGGCAGCCCGCATTGTGAAAGTGTTGAATGACATGTTTTGTTTTCTGTGATAGATCTTTTTTTTTAGTGGAAAACTTTGAAAGCGAACTCCAGACACAGTTGGAGTAGACGCTCAACCTTTGTAGGTGGTGGAACAGTTGTTCTTGTTTCCTTGAAAATTTGAGAGTTTCAGTTTCTCCTGTTTCTCTTGGACATCATCCTTCAGATTGCAACACAAGTTTCCAACGCCCAACTGCTGCGCACGACCATGTCATGATAGTCATGCCTCATGCATTCAGTTTTTGTCTTTCTCTTTTCCGGTTTTCACGCAATCTAAAAAATCTCCGAAACCACTCTTCTACTCGCACAGACTTTCCACAAGTGCCATCACTCCAGATCAGATTCAAAACCGACAACAGACTTCGCACGAGGCGCGTGAGCCTCTTAAAGACAAACAGAGAGTTTCAAAACTAATCGCGTCTTACTCGTTGTCGTTGTGTGCATTCATATTCATTTCACAAGTCTTCAGTCCATGTTGATGACCGCTATCCCATTCCCCCCTTCCGACACCCCCAAAAGACACCTCAGCTCCTCACCCTCGGTCTCGACTGTCCTTGCAACAGCTTCTCCATGCGTTTCAATTCGGCTTCTGCTGCAATGCGCTTTTTCCTCTCGGCCTCTACTCGGCGTTCCCAGATGTGAAGCTCCTCCAAGTCGTTGTTTGCTACAGGAGGTTCATGCTCAGCACAATTTTCATCTATGACCAAAACTTGGGAAATGGAATCACCGGGTTGGATGGAGGTCTTCGTCGTTCCAGATTTTTGGGTGGTTGTTCGGGTGGGGGCGGAGGTGGAAGTCCTTTTAGTGCTGGAAGTAAGAGTTGTTTTTGGAGGACCTCCTCCGCCTCCGTAGTTCTCTGCAGCATGCTCGTCGGAAGCTCTACTACTAAAGTTCTGGCCTTCGTAAAACAGCACAGGTTGAGGTTCTTCTGGAGGAGAATATGGATATGCGCCGTTTCCCTCATTCGAGGAAGCGTTTGCTATCTTACCGCGTTGCCTTGTACTGACTCCAGTTCCTCGATTACTTCTTCTCCTAGAATTAGAACTAGCAGAAATCCATCTTGGAGTGCATCTTGGTGCCCGTTTGCCCCTGAGAAACGGGACCAGGATGCTGGGGAAGATGGATTTCCTCAAGCCTTAATAGAAGAAGCCACAGATGAAGCCGCTGAGAAATCCACTTTCGGAACGCTACCTGCTGAATGAAGCGTATGCTTCTCGAAACGGACTAGCTTGCTTCTGCCTGTCCCAGAAACGACAGTGTCACTTTTAGAGGTAGGTTTTTGGTGTTCGTTTATCCCGTTTGTTCTGGCCGTCCCCACCTAAGGGAGAGAGCCATAACAAACGGTAACAAAAGCACCTTTAGCCTACCCTTAACACTTCTACCCGGTAAGTAGAAACTTGAGGTTGCGGTAGCTCCAGGATTCTGCTGTTTACTTGCGGCAGCAGCGGCAGCCAGGGGATTTTGTTGTTCAAATAGACTATCGAGATGCGCATCTAAAAGTTGCTCTGTTGCTCTTCTTTCGTCGAATTGTTGATCGTGTTTGATGCTGGTACCTCCACGCTTACTTGAACCAACTACAGAATTCTGAGCGCTTTTTGGTCTCTCTTGGAAGATATGGTTGTGGTCTTCTTGTGGTGTTGAGCCACCCGCGCCTCCACCCGCTGCTTCACACGGAAGTGAGAGGACTAGCACACTGGGAGCGTCTTTTGATGCTCCTAGAGGTCCTGTTGAGTCTCCTGGTGACGCTACCGGTGGCGCTGCTTGTTTGTTATTGAAATTAGCACTACTAGATGCTGTTGAGGATGAGCTGCCTCCTATTTGATGTCCACTTTTCAGTTTGTTCTCATTTGTTTTCATCGCAGCTAAACTCGCTTTGGAAACCAGCTTACTGCCTGTGAATCTCGGTGGATGCTGCACTTGGTTGTCCATGCTGTTAGAAGGAGGCAGCTGCACATCCACAGGGCCTGTTAATGGACGTTCGAGCATCATCTTGGCGGCACTGGCAGTTGGCCTGTCGACTGGCGTCCAACCGTTGGGCAGAGTGGCTGAACGACCGATAGCGGAAGCACTGCTGAGGGACCCATACTCGGTCGCACTGTAGCTGGTCGAGAGGCCGTCGGTGTCACCTGGTGGAGATGAGGAAGGGAATGTAGTTGTAGAGCTCATGAAATTGAATGAATGTGAAAGTGTAAGTATCTATGTGAGTGTTCAATCAAAGTCAACAAGTGCATCCATCACATTGAGCTGTACTTGAAGATACTTCCAGTTCCACCAAACAATCTCAATACCTGTATTCACCCTCTGATGCCAAGGAACTTTCCTTCTACTATTCGTCCCTCCAAATCTCCGACTTTGACCATGCGATCCCACCGCAGCCTGCAAGTAGCTCAAGCGCTCCTCTTGTTCCGGCGACAATTTTGGCATGGACGTGCGCACTGCGTTCAACTCTGCGCGTATACGATTGAATCCGAAAGAGGCCGCCTGAGAGGTTTGCTCTTCCGGACGTAGGTCCGCACCCACGCCGTATTGGGCAGCGATTTTGGCATACATCTTTGTTGTTGTTACTGGTGTGCTAGCCTCGAAGTAAGTGTTGGTATGTAAGCTCAAGCTGGATCAAGAACAAACAATCCTCATCCTGTCCAAACTGCGAGTTCTTATCAATCGTAGGTATGACCTCATTTCTAGATTCGATCCGTCCACAAGCTCAACGTCAACAAGCTGAAGAGTATCAATTTTCAAGACTTACCTTTACCTACTACAACAAAGTCTTCTTTTACACAGACATACGGGAAATAGGAAAGGGCGGAGAGGCAGAAACGTAAGGTCACATGGGGTATTGTTGTGAGTACTGGTGATCAGGGTGCACGACTCTCTAAACAACCGCTTTCGCTCTTTCAAAACCACGCACGACCGATTAAGAGATCCCGATGATATGACAGAAGTTCTTCTAATTAAATTTGATGAAAAACTTTGTAAAAAAAGGTGGAGCAGGGGGGGAAACAAAAGGGGGAGAGACCGAGCAGTCCATCGCTGTAGCCATGCCACGAGCACGACGAGATGCCCAAGAACAGCGTGTCTAGTATCGTTATCCTCCAGGACCGGAAAAAGTACAATCATGCTTGTCAGCATCAAGGCAGCATCGTCGGACAAAAAAAACGCAGCGGACTAGAAAGAACGCGCTCGTTCTCAACCACTTGCATCATGCTGTTCCTGTTTTGTCCTTCAATAATCATCGGAGTTTGGTTCCAGTGATTCATCAGAGGCGCAAGAGCGTGTAATTGCACCGGAGCCCTTCCATACATAGAGCGAACTGTCGACGTCGAGTAGACCTAGACCGACTTCCATTAATAATAATATTCTTGTGGAAATATTTTCAGCCAAAACTTGTTCAAGTAGTTCAGCCTACGCGCTAGTACAGCTCTGGTCGATAGCTTGACTTTGATGGGAGCAGATTGAAGTGCTTCTATCCCCTCGCCTCGCCTCGAGCTATTGAACAAGTTCAATTACAGAAATGACTGAGAGCCATCGATGACTGGCAAGAAAGTATATGAGTGGCTGTGATGATGAAGATGATACTTCCGCGACAAAATCAAATAAATAGTCGTCGTGACAAGAATAAGGATGCTGCGATACTTTGCAGTAGCGACTTCTTCTGGGTAGACGATTTTGATACTCTATTACAAGAACAAATAAAAGCCGAAACTTGTTCGAGTGTCAATTTTCCTTACATACTGAAGGCCTAGGCCTCCTCCAATGCCTCGTCATACATAAATAAGTACATAGTAGTATTCTATTTGAGGTGCTCAGACTTTGCGCCCATATTGATAAAGCACGCAACAATTGGGTCAAGGGTTCGTCCTGCTGCTTCTTGCCTGCTGGAGGAGGTGCGACGCCGGTCACCAGTGGGTTGAAAAGTTTCACGACCATGAGCAGTGTTCGATGAGTACGAGTCGGCTTTCACTCGCCAGCTGCTACGTCGGACGATGCTGATTTGTTTTTACACTTGATCTTTCTAATTCTTGCTGGATTTGTCCTTCTTGGTCGTAGACTTGTTTTCTTGTGTGGTCTTCCTGTGGCGCCTGTTCTTGCAGCATACTTAGTTGGGTTCACCTCGTCCTTTTTCGTGCTCTTTGCAGCAGGAGTAGCTCTTTCTTGTTTTTTGCCAACATCAGACAAGTTTGCTTTCGAAGTCGAAGGTGTGCTTTTGTCTTCTCCACCTTTGCAGCTGCGTCGTGCTTTTTCGCCACACCTGCTTCGAAACCGAGCGGCAATCAAAAATTGTCACAAGGCACGAGACGAGAGACTGAGAGGACCGCAGCATTTTTTTCGTCTCGTGAATCGTCGTGGTTGGTGGTGATGTAGTTGTCGATTATATTACCACGTAAAATTTGATTGCTTCAGTCACTACATGATGGCGATTCAAGATGCTCTCCGTCTTCTGATGAGAAAAGTTCTTGGGAGGCATCGAAAATAAGACAAAATGAACTCCAAACTATCAATCATCCATGCAGGTATCTTCTACCTAGTACAAAAACTCTGGACAGCCCTGTATAAAGACGCTGCTTCTTAGTCTTGTTTCCTCAAGCATCATGCTGGGGTGAGCTCTTCAGGTACAACTATTCCCTAAAACTAAATCGCTCTTCACGCTCTTTCCGTCTGTCTCGCTTGTCAGGTGATGCCTCCCGCCTGACTCTGTATCTCTCCATCTATCTCTGTCACCCGTTCTCTCTTTTCTCTCGTCAACAAGAAAAAGCATAGTAGACAAAGGAGAGTGCAAAGAAGTTGAACACGACTACATGCCGTTGCCGTACTTCTACAACTCGCACTACTAACTTCGCAAGAAAACAAATCCGAATTAAGAAACATTAATGCTTTACGCATGCTGCAGCGGAGTTAGTGCTTGGCATAGCCTTCGAGTTCGACAGTGCTAGTAGGCTTCATAATTTTATTGCTCTTCATCATCTATAGAATGCATCAACTGCTCACTTTCATCGTTGGAACTTTTTCTCAAAAACAAATGTAAGAGATGCTGTTGCGACAGTCCATCTATACTTCTACTTGCTTTCTTTAGTTTTTTTCGTGAGTAAGCAAGTAAAGCGAGTTTCTTTATACTTCTCCTGATTCGTGCTGTGTATATTTTTTTCTTCTTCAACTTCATACCCATACGATACTTATTGTTTTCATTCTTTTCCAATTTTTCGTACTTACTCATTCACTGCGCAAAGAAAAAAATTTATGTTGAGGCAAATAATCAATAGTAGTTCTTCCATTTTCCTGCGTTTTCATCGAATTCACGATCATGAATTTCAAGAACTTTGATAATACTTTGATAAGTTGCTAATACAACAGTTTCCTGTAGTAGATTGTTCTTATTCTTAACTTCATCATCTTATTTTTTTGAGTCGCATAGTTGACTACCCCGTTTATCTATCAGAAGTATACACGTCTAGTACCCACCGCCACAGGTGGGATGGAAATAAACAAACGATCCCAAAAACTTTGCTTACTCCACTCGCGGAGCGCAGGCGGAGACCCGCAGTGTATTTTCATGGAGCTCTTGCAGGAGATACCGTCCTTCGACAGTCACAGTCGATTCATCCGCCACTCCCCACACGTACTCCTTATTCAGCTCGGCTTCGCTCGTCTCGATCCATGGGTCACCCAAAAGTGCGCTAGCCACCAGTTCGATCGCTTGCATCGGTTTCGGCTCCGCATGACCATGGCCTTCACGCTTCAGGGGCATCAGCATCGTATTCTCCAGAGATAAGAGAGCATTTAGACATGATTTTTGCGCGTGTCTGCCTTTGCCCTTCAGTTTTTTCCCCATTGTCTTTGCGATCCACGAAAATGAAGAGGAGTATTGGGGGATGGGGTTGCAGCTGCATAGTATACACAACAAGCAGGAGCTTCTTCTTAATGCTATAATTTTCTATGTCGTAGTACGTCGAAACCAATTTCAAGACCTAAATAACAAGAGGGGGCCCACGGCTTCAAATGTACGCGAATCATGGAAAAGGTGCACGGGCTAGATGTATACGTCTGAGATTTATATCGCGCGACATGTATCTTGCACGTAAATCATGGGAAAGGCGTGCCAGTGAGATGTACTCACACCGGGGCGCTTCGGAGTGGGCTAAAAAAGTTCTACTTTTTTGAGATGCGCAGAAATTATGAGAAAGGCGCACGGGCTAGACGTATGCGCTTCACGTCGTAAAAATGCCGCGACTTTGCGCGCATCTTTTCCCTGATTCTGCTCCTGCTAAGTATATCGGCAGCGCCCGAAGCTCTGAACATGTAAGAAACCACGCCACGCGCACAACATGCGACAAACATAAGTCGCCCCTGCACTGCAGTCAGCCCTTTGCGCTATTTGTCACAAATTCTTGCCAAAGCTATGGGCTACGCTGTGCGCCAATGTATCGAAAAGACCTGACTACGCACGCCACACAACCTATCCCGTAAAAATTGCAACCCGATGCATCTCCAAAGCTGGCGGCCTTTTTTTGGTAATTTGAAGCAACTCCTTTACTCGCTCAAGAGAGGCCGGCGACGGTTTGTAGCTGTGAGGCTTTGGCCTCACCCCCAGACAGCCCAGAGCGCAGAACCTTGCAAGCAGGTCAAAAACATGCAGCAGCCAAATGAAGCTCCGCGGTCTGGATAGGAGGCCAGCGAGAGTAAGGCCAAAGGGCAAGACCTTCCAAGCAGGTCAAACGTGGGCGGCAACCTCATGAAGCTGCGCACTTTGGAAATGAGTCAAGTCACGGACGGGGCCCCCCAAGCAGGTGAAAAGCGGACGGCCTTCGCATGAAGGTGCGCCATGAATCAATTCGGATAGAAGACGCGATACAGCTCAGAACAAAGGCAAGGCCTTCCAGGGCGGTCACTCAAAAGGGGCCAGCAATCTCAGAAAACCCCGCGACCTCGATGGAAAATCTGAGAGAGTTAGGCCAAAGGGTAAAGTAGGAGAGACCTCCCAAGCAAGCCAAGAGTAGGCAGCAGCTTCACAAAGCTGCGCGCTTTGGATAAAGATCCGAGCCAGCTCACAGATGGGATCTCCCAAGCTGATGAAAAACGCACAGCATTCCCACGAGGACAAAGCTGCGCCATTTAGATGGAAGACCTGAGACAGCTCACAAGGTAAGACCTTCCAAGGAGGCCAAAAGAGCAGGCAGCAGCCGCGAACGCGAAGGATAAAGCTGCACGCTTTGGGTAAGGTGGCTGATTCAGTTCACGGACAAGATCGCCCAAGCAGATGAAAAGCCTGCAGCACTCTCATACAGTTGCGCCATGAATTTGGGTCGAAGACCTGAAACAGCTCAAAGCAAGGGCAAGACTTCCAAGCAAGTCTTTCAAAAGAAAGCAACAAGCCCAAAAAGCTTCACGACTTGGCTGGAAGATATTGCCTTGAATGGCCTGACTGGATGCACCCGGCGAACGGCTGGGGCAAGATCCCATCTATCCCGCGTCTCCATAATCCTCAAGAGGGTCCCCCCCTTCAAAAGATTAAAAGACCCCAACTCGACCCCCAAAGAAAGCGCGGAACCGCAACCGCCAACCCCCCGGGGGGCGGCCCCAGGAAAGTGCGGCGCCTGCCTCCGGCGTCCGCCTCCTAGACTTTCCCTATCAGGGGGCCCCCCCTTAAGCGGCCCCTCTATCTCAGCCCTATTGGCCTCATTTCGTCCCGTCGGTCCTTTTTCCTCTTTGGCTGGGCTTGCCCTCATCTCCTTGGCTGCTTTTGGCTTCGGGTCTCTTCCCTTTGGCCTCCTTTTTCACTCCGCTGCGCTTCAGCTCCGTACCTACGTGCTTGCCCTTTCATGCACTTGCAGCCCCCCCCTCTTTCCCCCGCTTTCCCTTGCGGGTTTCTCCGGGCTTCTCCTGGCCTTTGTTTTCTGTTTACCACGGCTCCGCCCTCTCGCTCCGAGTCGGCCGCCATGCCCCTCTTCGCTTTGTGCCCTTTTCCTTTTGTTTCTGGCCCGTTTTCAGCAGTGGCCGCCCCTTCTCTTTTTTCCTCCCTGCGTTTCTTCTTTACTGTCCTCACCCGGCGGGCCCTTGCGCGCCCCGCTTGTCCCATTTCCGGCGCCGTCCCCTCCTTCACCAAGGGCAAGCCCTCGCCTTCTACACTTTACCCCATCCCCCTCTCCTTCCGTGCTCTTCCCTCTTTTTCTCTTTTTACTTGCCTCCGTCCTTCCGGCGGCAGGTCCGCCCTTCTCCCTCTTTTCTCCCTCCTTGCTCATTTCCTCGCCCTCTTGACTTCCCTCCTTCGCTAACACCTGTTCCAGCTGTTTGCCCCTCTTTCTCCTTTTTTGCTCGAGCTTGCGCCCCTCTTCCTCTCCCTCTTGTTCGTCTCTTTTTCGCTTGCGTTCCCTCTTGGGTCCTTCCTGTTTTCTCTCTTTCCCTCTTCATTTCTCCTCTTCTGCCTCACCTCTTTCGCCCGTTTGTGCTCTGCCCATAGTTCCCCGCCCTCTGTCTTTTTACACCCCTCACGCCATTGATTGAGCCCGCGGCCCCTCCGGCCACCGGCATGCCTTCGCCCTAAATGGGCACGCCAGCACCACTGGGCCCCACTTTAACCGCTTCACCCCGTGAAACGCCTCCCGCCTCTTCTCGGCCTTCCTAACCCTCTTCGCCCCTTTTCGCCAGTTCGCACGTGCCTCACTCATGCCATCGCTGATCTTCTGGCACATCCCACGCCTTCTAATTTCTGACGCGCTGCCTTTGCAGCTTTTCACTTGCCAGAGGCAAGGCGCCTCACTTCTCTCTCCCTCTCCCTGCACCTCCATGCAGAAAGCGGAGTCTCTGGCGAGGTCCCGGACCTCCTCCACCTCACCCCAGTCATACACCTAGGCCCCCGCCCCTTCCCATGGCCAGGCGCCCTCCTCTGTCTATTGCTTCCTCCAAGGCAGCTAGGATCCCCCCGGCCGTGGCGCCCGTTCCCTCGAGGTGCAACCCCCTGAACATCCTGCGCATGCCGTTGCCCTCCCCTCCTTCCTCCTCTTCTCCTTTCTTGTGCCCGTCTTCCCCCTTCACTGATTTCCACTCCGCTAACCTCTTCCGCGCTGCCTTTTCCCCAAAAGTCTCCAGGCCTCCTCCCCTCTTGTTCTTCACAGTCTTGACCAAATGCCCACCCTACGAGCCCCCGCGGCCCTTTGGGGCCCTCCCCGCCACAATGCTCACCCGCTGCCCAGTCCCTTGCCTGCTTTTCCCCTCTCCTGGTGTCAAGTAGCACCCCTGTCGCCGCATTCCGTACCCGTAGCCCCTACCAGTGTATCGACTGCGGGCATCTGAGAAGCATCGCTTCAGCGCTCCTCCCCTTCAACCTTTTCACCCAAGTTTTTGCCCGCGGCTCCTTGTCCAGTTTCTCTCCATCTTCAGGCCCTTCCTGGATCCTCTGCAGCCCCTCCATCCCCTTCGTGCCCCCCGGGTCTCTCCCCTGGAGGTGTTTCTTTACTCTCTGCATGCCCTTCTCCCCGATGTTTTTCTCCTTGTTGTCTCTCTCCTGCAGTTTCACCCCCCTCACAGGCATGACGCTGGGCCCCCTATTCGCCTTCAACTCTACCCCACTGCCCAAGCACCTCCCCCGCCTCTCCTCCCTGTACCGGTCAACCACCGCGAGAAGCCAGGCCGCAGGCGCTCCCATTTGCTTCTCACTGTCGGCGGGGGGCCCGTCTGTCCGCCTCATCCTGCTTCATTCGTGTCCCCTCTTCCACCTGCCTGTAGGCTTCTGCCCTTTGCTCCTTGCTCAGTCCTTTCCCTAGCTCCTCCCCCCTCTTGGCCCAAGCTTCTCCAGCGCGCCTGTCCGTCGTCTCCCGGCGCTGCCACCATGCGCAGAAGCTTGGCCTGCGGCTGCTGCATTTGCTGCGCCATGTCATGGCCAGACGGCCTCGACGTGTCTAAACCATAGAGCAGCGCGGTATCTACCAGCGCCTCCACTAGCGTCCTAGGGTCTACCCGATCGACGTCCTCATCTCTCAAGAGCGGACCGACCGCCCGCCCTATTTTCCTCGCCTTGTTCAGTCTCTCCGTCGCCTCCGGCTGTCTCGCCCCGTATATGTTTACGATATCACCCACCAGCCTCCCACTTCTCCGCGTTAGATCTGCCCCAGCTGAGGAGTGCGACGCATTCCCAAGTCTCTCACTTAGCGCCCGCCCCTCTCCAGGTGTCAACCTCTCCCGCATAAGAAAGCGCCCCCGTCTTGCTCTTGTTCGCAATCATGCTGCACCTCGCTCCCACTTCCTCAAAGATCTCCACGGCCCTCGCTCGCTGTCTTCTCCACTCCGTGCCCCCAGGTGCTCGCATCGTCTGCGTAGGTCGTCAGCCTAGACCTAGAGCCCCAATCGGTGTCCCTGTTTGCACCATTTACCCCCGGCGCCTCTACTACCACTCCCCGCCTCGGCTGCCGCTCCTCCGGCGCGGGATTTCCAAACTGGTGCTTTCTTGGTGCGCAGGTTCTTCTGCTGTTTTCCCACCCCTGCCGCGGCTCCTCCTCCGCTGTTGCCCCCATTCTCCACCTCTACCCCCTCAGCCCTTCACCCTCCAACTTCCCCTCGGTCTCTTCACTCATCGCGCGGGTGTAGATGATGAATCTGTGAGGCGATACCGGAGGCCCTTGGCATGCGCCTAAGTCTGTCCCTACCTCTTCCACCCTATGCTTCCCCCACTGCGAGACAATGCGGGCCCTCGCGTGTAGCCTCCTGACCCTGTCAACATAATCAGCCGGCGCCCCCCAGCTCTAGCACCGTCCTCCACAGTTTGCCTCGCTTCACTCGGTCAAAAGCCTTACTCAGATCACACGGCGCCAGAGTGGGGCCCGACGTCTCATCCACCTCGACTATCTCCTTCGCATCCAGATGAAGATAACCCCGACGCCCCATCCTGGCCTGGAAGCCATGCTGCCTGACTCTTCCCACTCTTCCTCTTTTTATGCTCTCGAGCTGCCTCCCGTGCGCGTTGCGTATAATCTTATGAGCCACCTGCAAGGCCGCTGCAAGTCTGTGGCTGACTCGCTCCCCCCTGTCCCCCTTCCCCTTGTATAACCAAGCGCCCCAGCCGCTCTGCCGCTCTCCTGCCCCCTTGGCCTAATCGATCTCCTTCAAAATCTTCGCCCAGTTTATCAGGCCCATCCTAAACAGCTCCCCGATGAGCCCATCGGGCCCCGCGGCCTTCGCATAGTTCGCCTGTTCTATCGCTGTCGCCTCCATGTCAGTCCCGCCTGCCCCCATGGCCTCTAAGCTGCTCGCCAGCTCCTCCCCGATCTTCACCGACCACGCGCCTACGTACCTGCGCCCCCGCCTTCAGTTCACCTCCTGCAGCTTCTCCGCCGTGTCCTTTTCCTCTCCCTCCGTTATGTTCCAGTGCTCCCTTATTCTCAGTCGGAAGGCGTCCGCCATCTCCTCGCCTGTCGGTCCAGGCGATTTCCTCGGCCCTCCCGTCGCCTCCTGTTGCCTTTATCTCTGTCCTATTTGCTCCCTTCTTCCTCTTGCTTGTGCCCTTGTGCTGTCTCGCCTTTTATAAAGCCGCTTCGCCTGCTCTGTCTTCATCCCCCTCGCCAGGTCCCTGATTCTGTCCGCCCAGTCTCCCCGCTTCACCTTCCTCTCCTCTTCACAGATCTCCGCCACGATGTCCTCCTCATTCTTGCGCGCCTCCCAGTATTCCGCCAGCTTCTCCCTGATCTTGGCGCCCCTTTCTGCCCGCTTCTTGGCGCCCCTTTCTGCCCGCTTGAGAGTTGGGCCAAAGGGTAAGACCTTCCGAGCGAGCAAGCCACAAGCAAGCAGCAGCCCCCTAAGGCAGGGCGCGTTTTTTGGATAGGGGACCTGAGTCGGCTCACGGATGGCACCTCTCAAATAGGTGACAAGTGGACGCGCGCGGCACTCTTTCTCAAAATCAAAGCTGCGCCATTTGGGTAGAAGATCCGAGACTGCTCAAAGGGTAGCGCAAAGCCGTCCAAGGGGGTCAAAAGTAAACTGCAGCCCTCAAGCAGAATCAATTTCGCCGCTAGTTTGGATCGGAGGCCTGAGCCGGGTCAAAGGGTAAGACCTCAAGCAGGTCAAAGGCAGACAGCAGCCCGATAAAGCTGCACGATTTGAGTAAGACACCCAAGAGAGCTGGGCCAAAGTGTAACGCAAGGCCCTCCAAGCTGCTCAAAATTGAGCAGCAACCTCGCGCCGCTGCCTGGTTTGGCTAGAAGTTCTGAGCTTGGTGCCCGGCTGCTCACGTCACGCGTGGGTTTCCTCAAGCTGGTCAAAGTCCGCCGCAATCGTATAGCGCTGCGCTTTTTGAATAAGAGACCAGAGTCGGCTTACGAATAGCACCCGCGCAGCGGGAGCAGCTGAAAAGTAGGCAGGAACACCAAAAAGCTGCGCCATGTGGAGAGGAAACCTAAGGCAGCCCAAAGAGTAAAACTCCCCAGGCAGGTCAAAAGTGTGCAGACCTGAGCCGGCGCAGCTCACAGACAAGGCGCCGCAGGCAGATCGAAAGGGGGTCGCAGCCTTATAATTATAGCGGGCAGCAGCTTGGTCCTTGGTAAAGGATCTGGCCGCCTCAGTCGCGACGCTTTACCCGCATAGACTTGACTCCCTGGCAATGTCTTTGGCCATTTGCTAGACTTCACCCATTTGAGCCAGCTCATCTGCTTCGAGGTGCTGCCGGTGTTTTTGTTCATGTAAATTGCAGGAGCTTCTAGCACGTAGCTGCTTCGCTTATTCCGTAGCCCGTTGCTCTTTACGTAGGTCGTAGCACGCCGGTAGGCCGTCTGAATTTTATGTAGCTCGCAGCCGTTGTAAGACCATCCCGCCCTGCCCCGGGTCGTGTATACGCCGGGGGCGCGTGGGCGGTAATAGTATCCATTTCCGTAGACTTATATATGGGGCTTGGGGGTGGACAGCTTGTTTTCGTACACAACTTGCACCCAAATCAATACCAAAGCCAAAGGAAACGCTTTGAAGCGAGGAGCGAGTAACAGTAAGTAGCTGTTAAGATACGAGAACATTAGCACCTACTTCCAGGAGTGCATACGCCATAAGTTGTTCAAAAGCTTCCCGGCAGCGCGAGCAGACTTTACACTTTCGCGAGACATCTTCAAGAATATGAGAGCATCCACATTTTCAATATAATAAGCCTGGTGCTCTTTTTTATGCAATCCGTCGAAGATGCGTGGTGAAGAGCAGACGCAGAATTAATATTGGTTCAGTGGGTCGCATCTACTTAGAGCTAGTGTGACGCGCGTCCAAGTCCATGAACAACAGTGAATAATTAGGAACTGCTCAACAACCATTAGAATTAGTTTTATTGAATCATAAAAAAATTATAACTATACTTGGAAAGTAGGTCCGAGCCAGTAAGTCTGTAGTTACTTCATAACCAAGATCGAGTGTTCGCATATCGTCTTCTTCTCCTGCGAAAAACGGTTCAGGTCGTCGGCATCTATTTGTTAGAGAGGGCATGATCTTAGAAGTTTTCACTTGCCAACTCCCATGTCATCCTGTTAGCAGGATGGAATATCTCAACCCAGGGCCACCTCCTGTTCTGTAGTCGTGAACGTGAAAACTTGGAATATGTAACAGTATGCACTACATAGTACTTGAGTGAAAACAGTGTACACCTCAACCACAAACCAGCGAAAACAAAAATGGGACACCATAAATCACCGCATTGAACCCGAGCAGCGCATCGAGCCCGTCCGCTACTTGTCCAGCATATCCACACTGCGCCCTGGCGCCATCGACGACCATGACTGACCAGCTAAAGGAGTCGCCCCTTGCAGCGCGACCATTTTCCGGCAGCTGACTCCGTGCAGAAAAATGGTCTGGGGACATGTAGCCAGGCGTACCAGCTTCATCTTCGCTTGCGCACATCTTCACGCCTAGCACCTCGCTCGAAGTGCTGCACGCAAGGCCCATGTCGTTGGCTATCCACGCCACGGGCGGTTGGTCAGGAGCTCGCGGGACAGTAGAGAGAAAATTATCTGCCTTGATGTCTCGATGGAAAATGTGTGCCTGTTTCGTCAGTACGCGAATGCTCTCCCAAGTCGACGTTAGGACGTTTTGATGTGGTCCCTGCTCCTTTGCCGCAGCAGGCGCGGTTAACGTCTCAAGGAGGTTCGAGTTGCTCACTTTAGCCATCGCATCCATGCAGAGCGCCGTATGCTGGCTCAGTTCCCTATCGATTTCCGCACTCAATGGCTTGCAGAAAGGGGTCGTCATGGCGATGGACCCACCCGCACTCTCGTGCTGCCTGGCGTTGGCTCTCCATTTTTCCACGAAATAAGCTGCGGCCGTGCATTCGGAATCGTTCTCGGCTTGCGCGGGTAGTGTTTTTTCCTTGTTCAACCATTTCGGCAGCATCTTGCAAAACAGCTGGCGCTGTGGCGATGCTGAGCCGCAAAAATTAGATCACTCTGAGTCACCTGCTGCATGCTTTTTATCATTATCCTCATAGTAAAAGTAAGCCCCCTGCTAAGATGGCCTGTTAATAGTATACTCAGTCAGTCTCTTCAAGATGAACGGAGCGATATTCAATAACAATAACACCCAGCACAAGACTATCATCACCGTAGCAGCTTCTTCACTCGCGGCTTGTATCAAGTAAGTTATGAATAAATATGAAGGCTAAGTTGGCTTGGTGGAGAACTTTCTCACTGATCCAAGTTTGTCTGTGAAGTGAGGTCATGGCTTTATGCACGAGGTAGGAATCTACTGTACATTTTTGTGCTGTCCATAATAATAGAAGGCACGCCCGCACCTGCTTCACCAGTACGAAGATACGGCTCCGACCGCACCAGAAACGTCCCATCGTTTTGGGCGCCATCGTTTGCAATATATACCACGGCATGAATCCAGCATTCAAAAGCCGGCGACCCGCCATTGCCAGCAGCCGCCAGCGTGTAGAACTGCCAGTTGCGATCTGTAGAGTATCGACACTCGCAGAAGTAGCTAGCCTCTGGCACTTCCGCGTCATGTACTGTTACTGAAACCTTGCGCAGATGGCCATTACGCTCACTGCTACTTGAAGGTGAAGACGAGTCATGGGCGCAAAGATTGCTGCTCCTAATCTTCTCGATGTCATTCGAGGCGCCAACACTCGCGAACCACTCTCTCCCCACCTCCAGCAGAGAGGACTGGTTTCTTGGCGCAGCATAGTACAGTCTTCGCCCATGTCGCAACGCCGTAAACTCCACGAAACATGAAAAAGGGGATGAAACCATATTCGGGGCCAAAGCCAATGCTTCCAATGGACTACGGATGGTGCCAGGAACGGATCAATACTAGAAACCCCACCCCTTCAAAAGTGTGAAGGTGAACTTCTATCTTCCATAAAGTAGAGTATCGGGATCCTACCAGGAGTCTCACGAAAGTACTACACAGTATTGATTCGTCAATTATGGATACACTATGACAATGACCACAATCCAACAGCTTCAGCTCATCATAAGTCATCTCTGGACGACCCAAGATCGTCAGCCTCTGGCGGGGCGGACACGCTAGAAAAAAAGCCCACTATTCTGCGCCAGATGGAGCTAAGCTGTCCAGCTATTATCCAGCCACTCGCTGCCGAAGTGCCCAGCAGAATCAAGTCCAAATCACTTTCGACGGTGATGTCGAGGTCTGTAGCATAATCAAGCCCACGACCCGTCCCGGACCCAGACGCCTCACTACTAAAAGTGACACTATGCGAAGATCGAAGCGCACCTGGGTAATAATGTGTGGGTAAATATTAAGTGTTCGCCCCGACCCTATCGCACGCTGATGAATAAGAAAAGTTTACTTCACAGTAAGAAACAAGTAGTACTATTAAGCACCCAAATAAAAACAATAGAGAGAAAAAAATCTACTTCATTTTGTACGACCATGAGACCACAGGGAAACTAACTGCAAAGTAAAGGGTTACTACCTCCGCTGGTGTGGCGCTCTTTGACGGATTGCCGAAGCTCATATGATTCGCGGCGTTTTTCTCGGGATCCTTGTTTTGGGCTAATTGGCTCTTCCTCGGGATATTCCTCACTCTGGTATCTAGCGGCGTCCTCTATTGTTGTGTTGTGACTTTCGTGTCTCGCCTGCCGCTCGCCATGCGTATCTGTTTTTTTTTGTGTCCAAAATGGTTCGTGGGTGAGCATGTTGTCATCGACTCAGCACTATATAATTTAGATTTAGATATAAGATTTACGCTTTCAATAGAAGTAAAAGAGTAAGAATATCGAATCATTCTCATCGTCATCTTCTCATAGACAAGAGCAAGGAGATGCCCAAGCTACTGGCGCCACCATAGAATCTACCATAGAGATAATTCGCGCACGAGCTTTATCCTTATCGACTGTCTGCAGACCACTTGATTTGTAGCAGAAGAATTGACATAAGTACCTAGGACCACCGACGCACTTGAGGGCGCCGCAATTTGATGTAGGGGCATTTCTTGATGCCCATTTTCATTTTTTCCAATCTTGGCTTTTTTGCCACCTGTTGGGGAGTAAGGGGTTGGGGTATTACTTAGGATGTGAAGGAGCAAGGACTTGCCTACTTTTACTTATTTGAAGATAATGTATGTTAGGTCTCAATAAATGTTTTTCATCTGTCGGAAGAGGATGTTCATAAAGTCATAACTTACAAAAGCACACCTGTGCTCACTTCGCCTCTATCGTCCTTGGCGGCACTACTAAGCTCTACTTCTTCATGCTTGGCGGTTCGATGGTCGTCCCGCGTGTCAGCGTGGTCGACAGGTACTTCTGATCCTGATGCACGACCCTGTTGCTCAGCATCCGCGATAATTTGACTAGCCACGCTCACGTCTTTGTGTTTACCTGTGACGAGCAGGTATTCTTTGTTGCTGATAACTACGCTAAGTCTTGGTTTTCTTTGTGGTTTATCCGGTTTGGAAATGGAAGGTAGTTGTACTCAGTGTAGCATCAATATCTTTACCATCATTTTCAGCCCACAAGAACTTAAATTCTTCAAAGCACTAAGTTATACCCGCGTTGCGCTTGCTGCCATGGTCTTCACCATGCTCGCCAAGCGCGGCTAACTGCGTGGTCTCTGGCGTCACTTCTGCTCCAGGACCGAAATGCTCTTGCACTGCTGGTGACCCAGGAACTTGCGTCGAAGTTATTGCACGCTCCTGGTCCTTGCTATCGCGATGCAGCGCGCGAACAGCACCGAGGCACAAGATAGCAGACCCAACTGCTCGTCGCCCTGAAGCGCGACAAATACTGCGTGAGCCTGGTCGCCCGTTTACTCGCCCTCTCTTCCTTATTGGGCCTTTCTTGCCGGTTACCCGCGCCAGGGGCTTGCAAGAGTATAATTGGTTAGAGGGAGGGATTTGAGTCGTCGAGTTGAAAGAAGTCTCCGGTTGTTCTGCCAGACAGAGGGACTAGGATCACTAACAGTTGAAGCAACTCATTCGACATTCACGACATTCTTGATAACTAAAGTTATAACATATAGCACCAGCTGGCTACTAGTTAATAGCGGTATTAGTTCCAAATAAAAAGTGAGAAACATAACGACTGCTCCTGCGCCTTGAATAGGACGGAAGAGATCCGCCCATGGCGTATTGCTCGAGCTGGTAGCTTCGCTGTTACCCGTGATCATATGTGACGTCGCAGGTGGGCCCTGCTGTACGACAGTCCCGCACTCCGCCTTCATTTCGGCAGCTGAATCCATTGTCAGATCTTGCAGCAAGCCAGGATCTGCCAATGGATGAAGAAGATGTTGTGCTAGTATCGTTGAACACGACGTCGCGGACCCCTTCAGGGTCTGCCAGATGCAGTCGTCTGTACAACCCAACCGCAAGAGAACGGAATGCGTCGCCCGCCTCCACAGGAAGCTACACTCCCGAGAAGAGGGTAATGTTGCCCCACCGTCCTCTCATTTTTCTGCTCATCTTGGCTTAAGAACAATGCGTGAAAGTGTATACCTCAACATCCACATAGTCACAAAAATCACGGCTATGATCGAGTTCCATTTTTGTTAGGATCAAAATCAAGAATCGGCTATTAGTATTATATGTGTCGTGAATTATTTTTGATATTTTTCTTTTGGAATAATGCCTTTTTTGTTGCTGTGATCGATCCTAGCACTTGCCTCAAAATCGATACTAGCGCTTCTCTCTTGTTGCTGTGATCGATACTAAACAAAAGGGGAAGCGACCGAGTCCATCGATGTTGTACTCGTGCCACGACGAGGAGCCCGAGCAGAACGACGACGTGGTATCCTCCACCAAAGAAAAAAGCAATTTTATGCTTGTTCACATCAAGCATCAAGGCAACAACAGCATCTAAATCTATACTAAGATCCTCTCACTAAAAACAGCTAGTTGTGGTTCACTTCCTCTCCTGCTCCTTCCTCCTGTCCCTCGTGACTAGAAAGGGCGTGCTTTGATTCATCTGAACTAACCCTTTTGCATTTGGATTTTGTGCTACAATAATCTTCATAAGAGTTTGCTTCCAGTGCTTCGCCATAGGCGTAGAGTGTTGAACTAGAAGAACCTTTGTGCCGCACTACAACAACGAACTGTTTTTGATGTTAAAGACTACTTTTTTCTTTGTGCAACGTAACGAGGTACGAGGAGGAGAATCCTTTCTTTCCTACTGAAGATACTAGTAATGGAGAGTTCTCGACCAGTACTGCTCTGAGCAGCTAGGAGGATAGATAACTTTTAACGGAAAGCGCTAGACTGGAAGATAATTTAAATGATTCTGGATTTTCTCAATTGTAGAAAAGCAGATTTGAATGAGTTGATTCACCAAATTTAGATTTACCAACTACGAAAAATTGCTAGAAAAACCTACAACAGTGAAAATGATCCGTTTAACTGTCGTGTAAAGACTGCTCATACTGATACAGACACTCCCCTCAGCACTCGGCAGTTACGTCGGATAGGAAAATTGCGTCACCAAACTGGCGATGAGTAGTGGACGCAGAATGAACGCGCGGACAAAATGCACAATCGCCTCCTCAGGTCCTCGCTCAAAGAATCCGCTTTCAGATGCTAGCGCCATCTTGAGATTAGAAGGAACGAGTTAACAGGAATCCTCCACAGTACAGGCCGAAAAAAGTGTAAAAAGTTCGAAAAGTGTAACCCTTACCAGTACTCAATGTAAAAAATATTGTCTTTTCACCCGCGATCGAAGGAACCTTGACGGTTGACGATCGAAACAACATTTACCATAGTTACGCGGTCAAAGTGACCAGCCTTAATAAACACCGCTTTCAGAATGTCGACGAACATGATAGCTCCCTGCAATCGTGCACGACCCCTCAGCCAAGTCGGTCCTCTAACCAAAAGAATGTGCTTCAGTGGTGGTGGTGGTTGCTCAGCTGCAGCTGCATCTTCTTGAGTTAGAGCTCAAAACAGTTCTATTATGTGCATCCCTAATAGGTGTATAGCACCTACACGCAGGAGGAATCGATGTGACAAGACCCACAAAAGAGTAGAAACAACTCGACGAACTCATTTATGTTTCATAAGTTCTAACCATAGAAATAGTAAACGTAAAGGAATTAGACGAAAGTAGAACCTTTGTAAAAATAAGCTGAATGCTGTTGGTCAATGGTCATTACTGGCTCAAGATCCAATGAATGAACCTGATTTCAATGCCAAATGACTGCTCTCACTCGTCACCTTGATCATGATCAATACCGTTCCTTGTCTTGAACTCATGTTAGTCCCTCGCATGATCATCATTTGAACTCAATGAATTCCAACATGAATTAGCAGCAAGATCTCCCAGCTCTTTAACTGCACTATGACCCTTCATGATATCCCAATGACATTGAACCCATTTTGATACCATTTCAGGGCCTTAAACAGTCAGTGATCATTCGGCACGTCCGTTCTGATCGTCCTTCTGTTACATTGCAGCGATAATCATTTCATTTGCTCTCAAGAGCCTCATAGTGCGCTTGGACGTGTTCGGGTGTTCCAACACTGTTTCAAGCCCTTGAGCCTTACCTTATTAAAGAAATAGCTAGTCAATTCTTTGTAGAAGTAGAGAAAACAAAGTCGCATTACTTGCGCCACAAAATGCCCGATATGAGTCTTGGAGAGATTTCACCCAAACTGGGGCAGAAATCTGACTGGCGTGACTGGCTTCGAGCGGTAACGCAAAGAAGCAGACCGCCTGGACCTAGTCCAATACCTCAACAACGTGCTGAACGGCAACGCGGCAGGGGTTCCGAACCAACCCAACAACAACGACCGCAAGCTCCAGCAGAATTGGCGAGATTTGAAGAACGTGATCATCAAGTCGCTCAAAGGTGCAGCCGAAGCACATACGAAGGATCAGGATACCACTGCAATGAACGCTGGTGAGGTGGTAACAAACCTCCGTGACGCTGGTTTCAGTCAAAATGACCGCACAGAGCAACGAATCTCTGCTAAAGCGTTGGAAGGGATGCACTTCACGAACCGCGATTCTCCTCCAGACGTTCCAACATTCCTGGCGAAGGTTAGAGATGTCATGAACCAATCTCCGACCGTATACCCGCCGGAAGTTGGTGTGGCTGTTGCTGATCAACAAAATGGAGCAATCCTCGACATTCTGCCAAAAATGTTCTCCAAAGCATTTCGACAGACAATCGAGAGGATGCAAGAAGAAGAACATCTAACGTTCGTCCAAATCGGTGAAAGACTCACAGAACGACTTCAAAGTTTGATTGACTCTGGTGAGTACAAGATCGAGAGCCCATCTTTCGGCAAAGCTTTTCCAACTGTCGAAGATTCTGATGATGAAAACCAGAACAATACCAAAACCAAGAAGCGTAAGCGTCAAGATGAGAGTGATGACGATGGTAACGCATTTGCCGCTCTCAAGAAAACAACGATCAAACGACTTCGCAAGAAGATTCGCAAAGAAATCAAGAACGAGGTCTACGCAACAAAAGGAAGTGGAAAGAGTAGTAGTAGTAGTTCTAGTAGTAAGAAGAATAAAGGAAGTGGTAAAAGTAAAGGTGCTAAGAACTCTAATCCTAATGAGGGTATCCAGTGCAACTATTGTCACAAGTATGGACATAAGGCGCACAAATGCTGGCTAAACCCGATGAGTCAAAGCTACCAACCTAACAAAGCCATGGGCAGCAACTTCTTCAACAATTCATACAACTGCTGGCCGCAAGGTAACGCTATCCCTCCGTGGCACCAGAACAGCTATCCACCACCACAAAGTGGAGGAAAAGGATTCGACAACAGTAACCCACAGCAGCAATGGGGTGGACAACAACCACAACGCTGAGTCGAAACCAATCCGGAATGGAATGGATATGGGAAACGAGATGGACAGTCCCAAGATGAAGAAGAATTGGAAGAAGATTTCGAAGATGAAAATGGAAGGTGTTCGCTGAACTTGGAAGAAAACTTTGAGAATAAAGAATATAGAAGTGAACTGATTAGGGATGAAAGCTATATGATTGAAAATCACTCAGATTGCTATCTTAGTGCAAATCAAAGCAAAACAGTTTCACTTGTTGACAGTTGTGCAAATAAGTATTTGTCTAGCCATCGTTCCGATTTCAAGAAAATTAGCCACCGGCTTTGTCATATTAGTGGCACTGCTGGAAAGCGAAGTGGGAACATAGGTAGACTGAATGAGAATAAATTAGGATCAAAATATGGCGTACACTTTGAACACTTACCAAAAGCCATAGATCGCATTATACCGTGGTTAGGTGAGGGAAACTGTCATGAGAAGGGTTGGCAAATGAATTTCACAGAAAGTGGCGGAACGTTGTACGATACCCGCTCCGGCCGCTCTCTACCCATAACAAATTGCCCCCAGATGCAGTTACCTACTCTAGGCTGTGACATGTTTAGCAAAGAAGAAAATGAAACTGGCCAGGATATAGTATGCACTAGTATAGAAGAAGCTAGACTTCATTCACAAGCTTCAAGATTAGACATACATCGTAGACTTGGTCACTTTCACGCTGATGGCCTTAGTGTATCTTGTCCAGAATGTGATCGAACCAAAGGTCAAAGACGCTCTCATGCAAAAGTGAGGCCCGCTGGGCATATACCTTCTCCATTGAAAACACTTGCAATTGATTTCGCAGTTGGTATTAGACCAGTCTCTATAAGAAGCAAAAGATGTGCTTTAGTCATTATTTGTGATTCGATTAAAATGTGCTTCGTTCGTCCTCTTTGCCTTAAGTCGGACTGCGTAGAGGTGATTGAAGAAGTAATAAAAGGCATTCGCCAGGACTACTCACTGTCACTCGACGACAAGGCGGTATGGTTCATCCGTAGAGATAGCGAACCCGTCCTAAGTAGTGACCATATGACCAAAGTCATGCAGTCGCTACTGGTTTCGGAAATTCCTGGAGTTCCTTACAGCCCAGAAATGAACGGAACTTGCGAACGTTTCACGCGGACCATTTTCGGCGCTGTACGTACCATGTTGGTCAAAGTCGACCGACGTCGTTGGTGTTACTGCCTACAGTATGCCGGAGATTGTTGGAATCGCTTACCGCATCGTTACGCAAAAATGCCAGAACGTGACGGAATGAGTCCTGTCGAGATACTAGAAAAGAGGATAGGAAAGAAGTCCTCGAAAAGTGGTCTAGGTATGCTAAGAAGGTTTGGTTGTTTGGTGTACTTTCGTGAACAGGTCGTAGACACCACCAACAAGAAAGAAGCAAAGCTTGCGTCACCTTATCGGCGTGGTGTGTTTCTCGGTCTGTGTCCAGTTTCGTCCGGTTGGCTAGTAGGTACATATCACAACGATGGGAGAACGAAAGCTGGCTTCAAGTGGAGTGAGTATTCCACACTAGATGCGAAATTTCGAGAGTCGATACTAGTCAAGAACATTGATTGGCTATTGCCTATGTCATTTATGTTGATTATGACCCGCTGGAAAACCTGCAGTCTGGCACGCCGTCGCTGGGTCCCGTCCTGCACAGACATGCGCTGCAACGTATGGCCTGTCAGCCGCGCTTCTCTGGCACGGAGTACAGCTCAGGCGATCCAACCGGCATGGATATGATATTAGATAACAATGAAACTGATGAGTTTTTCTGTGAATCTTTGGACAAGAAGAAGATCCAAAGACCGGTGATGATTCCAACTCTGACGCGCAACGCGTTGAGGAGGGGAATATCTCATCGGAGCGTGTGTCGCCTGACTCTAATCCTGAAGCAAGGGATCCGAGGACCTTACGCTTACCCATTCCACCATCTCAGCCAGGCAAAGTTGAGGAGGGGAAGAAAGGCCGAGGAAGACCTAAAGGGAGCAAGGATAAGAATCCAAGACAACGCAAAAGAAGAACAAAAGCCGAGCTAGAAGCATTAAGAAAAGACATGCATAAATTTGCCATGCTAGCAGGTGGGCATGAGCTGGAAGAAGGGGAGACCTTTCTCGAAGCACATGTCATGCTGTCAGTTTCCCAAGCCTTGAAAAGCCCTGACGCCGAGAAATGGCGCGCAGCTATCACCAAGGAGGAAGCTAGACTACTTGCCTTTGAGACTTGGGCGCCAGCTACTGACGAGGAGCTGCGAACCTCTTCTCAGGTAATGCCTATAGCAATCGTTCTCACGGTAAAACGTGATGGAACATTCAAAGCTCGTGCTTGTGTGCTCGGGAATCTTGATCGTTCGGGGAATATCGACACCTACGCCCCTGTAGTGTCACACGCTGCGAATAGGCTTTTACTCGTTTCAGCAGCGACGGACTCTGACTTCGTCATCCCCTTCGACCTTGATTCTGCGTTCCTTAATGCTGAACTCGATCGCGACGTCTTCTGCCGTCTTCCACCAGTGTGGGCGGAGAAGCATGGAGCGGATATCGTCAAGCTTAAGAAAGCTCTCTATGGGCTCAAGGACGCTCCACGAGCCTGGTTCAAGAAGTATTGCGTGCTATTGTCCGAACTCGGATGGGAGCCGTGTCCTTCTGCTCCAGGATTGTGGCGGAAAAAGAGCAAAACGCACCCAGGAAAGTATATGAAGACGTCAGTCTATGTTGATGATAACTTAGCTACTGGACCTGACTATCACGAGTTACGGTCTGAGCTCGACCGGATCTTTAGTCGAGCCCCTGGCCGACCTATCGAGATGGCAAAGCGAGTCGATTCTCGCACGAGTTCCGAATGGATAGAGTTCGACTTTCTTGGTGCGATTGTGCACTATTGTCGGGAAGCACGTTCAGTGAAAATCCTGATGAGTGTGTACATAGAGAAGACTTTACAGAAGTTTAAAATAACACTAGGTAAGCCGGTGTGGTCTCCAAATTTCGACGAGTCTGCTTTGCTTGAGGAGGGGCTTAAGCTAGCAGCCGGGTTTCCATTGCGTGAGATTGTTGGCGCACTGCTTTGGATATCGACAACCGCAAGGCCAGATATTTGCGTCCCTGTGGCGACATTGGCTCGGTATGTTAGTAAGCCCGTTACAGAAAGAATTGCAAAAGCCTGTAGAAAAGTATTAAAGTATCCAGCTACGACAAAAGACCAAGGACTCTACTATTCTCCAGAAAGTGAGGAAGAATTCAACGAAATTTACAAGAAGCTCCTACCAGAAGGAAGAGAGCTACCGTATACTAAATGGTTCTCAGATGCAAGATTCGCAAACTGCATAAAGAGCATGCGCTCGGCCAGTGGTTCGATTATGTACTATCGGGGTTTTCCAATCTGTTGGAAACGCAATACACAAACCGTGCGTGCATATTCAACTGCAGAGCCAGAGTCTATAGCCGCGCCGGACACTATTGTCATGAGCGAGCTGCATGATTTTACAGATTTCTTCAATCCCTTACCCACTCAATTAGTGGAAACGCGGTTTGGTATATCGCCATCCCTCGACGATGCCATATTGTGGATAGACAACCAGTCTGCAATCTCGATAGCAAAGAGTGAAGACACGAAGCCTAAAAGTAGACACTATGCGCTACGTTATTTAAGGGTTAGGGATGCAGCTGAGAAAGTAGTTCTCTGTCCTACTCACCTGATGAAAGCTGATGGACTAACGAAACTCTCATGCTCATCTACTCAACGCAGATTATTATTACATCACATAGAGAATCCAGTAATTAGCCGTAACCATGTTGAAGATGATAGTGACTCAGAAGAAGAAGATGATGAGTCTGGTTCAAGTTCTGCTTCTTTGGCGGTGCTTACCTATTCTATCTTCTTAGGGTGTTAGGTCGTTGGTCAAGTGGTGACGTCAGTGGCTATAGAGAATAGTGATGGTTCTGGGTCAGAGCAGGTAGCGCCAGACTGTGTGTGACTCTCGTCATTTCCTCACCTAGCGATTGAGGAGGGGCGTTGGTCAATGGTCATTACTGGCTCAGGATCCAATGAATGAACCTGATTTCAATGCCAAATGACTGCTCTCACTCGTCACCTTGATCATGATCAATACCGTTCCTTGTCTTGAACTCATGTTAGTTCCTCGCATGATCATCATTTGAACTCAATGAGTTCCAACATGAATTAGCAGCAAGATCTCCCAGATCTTTAACTGCACTATGACCCTTCATGATATCCCAATGACATTGAACCCATTCTGATACCATTTCAGGGCCTTAAACAGTCAGTGATCATTCGGCGCGTCCGTTCTGATCGTCCTTCTGTTACATTGCAGCGATAATCGTTTCGTTTGCTCTCAAGAGCCTCATAGTGCGCTTGGACGTGTTCGGGTGTTCCAACAAATGTTATCTCTTCTCAGATCGAGATTGTATATCCACTACTGAGATTCTGATCACCCCTTAACAACTGAGGTGGTCCACAGCTCTCGTCTTGGGGTGATCCCCTAGCTCCAGAAACTATGCTTCTTTTTCCAGCCTCCATCCCACTTGCGGCTTTGATCTTGTCAGCATCTTCCTGCAAATTCATCTCTAGTGCTGCACCTTGCGCCTGTGATTCTTGTCCTCTAAAAGAAGTAGTTGGTTTTACACTTGCAACTACCAAAGTACTCCGTTGTTTGTTTCCTACACTGGTTCTACTTGTACTCGATCGGCTTTTTCTTGCTCCTTGAACTGCTTGATTCTCTCTTTCGGACCATCCTTTGCCCTCCTTCGGACCATCATCGTCATCATCATCATCATCATCATCATCATCTTTACAGTAATTCCCCACTGCTTTCTTCTTCGTCTGCCCTTCATCCTCCTGAACTGCTTCGGACCATCCTTCTCCCTCCTTCGGGCCATCCTTCTCCTCATCTTCTCCCGTCTCGACTTCCACCTCTCGTCCTATTGGTTGCAGCAAAGCGCCGTAAGCTGGAGCTGACCAGTGATTGTACAGGTTCCACGAATATAGGAGTGTCAGAACAGTCTGGATCATGTGCAAAATTCGGAAACTCCACAGAAATTCGATATCCGCCTCCTCAAAGTTGTCCCCCGGCACTAAGCAAACACTGGTATGCAGGTCGAGCTCGAGAGGGTAGCCATTGGCTTGTGGGGATTAGAATAAGGAGGAATGAAAAATGTTGATTATAGAAGACATAGGTGGAAGAACAACAAGAAAGGAGGAAAGCGATAAAGGTGCAAACAAAATGATGATACAAGAGAGTCCTATGATTCGGACCGATGTGAGGAGTTGCGCGATGTAAATAAGAAGAAGTTGCAGTTAATCATCAAAGTCAATCTTTCTCCCCCATAACTCTCAGCATGCTTTTTCTGCAAATCTTCTGAATCCGTAGCATCTGGCTCAAACAGCAAGTGAATCCACCTTCGTCCGCAGACTGCCGCGTGCAAAGTAATCCAAGCCATGAAAAAATTCAACACAGAACGAAACAATGAGTGAGGCCACTGATTGTGAATGAGAGTGTATACCACCTGAGCAGAGCAGTCCCCAATCAGGGGGTATGACCCTTAGAAGGGGTATCACTTCTCGACATTCCCTTTGTTCATTCGTTCTCAATCAGTGGCGCCATAAAAAAAGGAAATTCCCGCGTTGATTGTTGTACCATTGAATCGAAAGCGAACATCCACCTACGAATTGGATAGCGGCAGTGGGATACATATGAGGCGGATCTGACTCCCCGACGGCTAAGGCGAGGGGGAGATTAGAGGATGAGGAAAGTTTGGAAGGAGAGCAGGCTTCAATCTCTTCTATGTCTAAGAATAATATGATCTAGATCTTATAATCTTTGTGGTGATTAGTGGTTCTGAGCAATACTCAATTTCATGTTCGCTACTAGTTGTTCAAGTTCGTTGTACTCGTCAGGATTTTTAGTCTCTATCTAATCCATCCGTAAAGAAGAAAGCATGTAATATCGTCGCCAAGCCACGCATCAACATTTGCACGTGTCCCTTGCCGTTCCTCCTTGCTGGTAAAATCACGTAGTTCGTCCACATATTACCAATTCTAGAGCTATAGAAGCACTTGTCCAAAATGACCTGCCATACCAGTCGTTCGAATCTCTGTATCCTCGATAAGGGCGTATAGAATTTCTCCTGGCTTTTCCGAGATATGCCACTCAGGGTACTGGTTCGGGAATTATAAGGTGGGTCTTGTTGTAGAGCTAAGCATTTTCAACAATGATCCGCTACAAAAAGTAAAAGCCACCCAGGTTACCCATCATGAGAACCAGAAGTTGTACCTGCTGCTAGTAGGAAACAAAGTGTAAACAATAGAAAACAACAAGTATGAAGTATGTGTATGTCAGTGTCGTCTTCTTGTGCCATATTCCGTTTCTCCTCATCTACAGCTTTATGGTCTTTAAACATCCGAGTTTTTTGAAACACCAGATGCGCAGGCAGATGATTGCCACGAACGACCAACCCAGGTATGTGGTTTAGATCCGCAGATTCTGTTGTTCAAGGGTTGTTTTCAGATAACGATCAGGATCCCTGTCTCCGTAAATTTCTTTCAATCCGACGAAATTTACGAAGTCAATAATCTCTCTTTTGTTTGTAGCATGCATGCAAATTGGGTTTTTCGATAAAGCAAGTGAAACAGTGCTTCCACGAGTATAATGTTGAAGTTGAGCCCACCAAAAGTACAAATTCCTAGTCGTTAACGCTACGTGCCAACAGTTCCCCCTGTTGCAATACAGGTGTGTGCGTTAGCGCTATCTTCGCTCCATGTGTCCTCGCTGTGTGCTTCATAAACCCCTGATGAATGTGAGGGCCTTGGTTTATGCGCAAAGGCTCAGCCACAGGCCGTGGAGCAGGAGTAAGAAGTTCTTGGATTTTCCCTTCCTCTTCTTCGGTATGCTGGAGGACATTAGAACCATATTACCTAAGACCACGACAGTGGCATCATAAAAATATCGACAGCAGCACCAATGCCTTCTTTTCGAAGGAAGTAGGAAAAGAAGCTATTCGAAAAACTGAAATAGCGACTAACTGCTGAAACTAAGCGAGAAGATACTGAACAAGGAAGAGTAGCCCTGTCAAAGCTACCTCCCTTATTTCAGTCAGTAACTCGCATATTTTCAGTTTTCGAGTAGAAGATGCACGCACCATATTAATGCTGTCGACGCGTTTTTGTTGCTTGTGGATGTAGCCATAACAGCAGACCCCGAGTCATCATCTTTGGTAATCGGACCGGCTTCCGGATCCTCCTCATCCAGTTTCACTGGATCAGCCTCCTCCTCGACGCCCATCTCTTCTTAAACAGATTGTTCGAGGAATGATAGGCTGAACAAGCTACTTGTTCGAGGAACGCCCATCTTCGAATAGATTGTAGCTTCTTCCTACTTGTTAGCTGATGGGTAGCTACTGTTTTTGTTATGGATGCTTGAATACATCTCATCTTCATACATGGGATGGTATCAAATCGCCTTCGAACAAGTCTTGCCGTCTATAATGTGCTGAGTCATGCCGTTTACGGGTGTAGCTTTTCATCCTCCCTTTTTCATCTGGTGGGGTTTGTATAATCATACGTATAGGGATATGCCCTTTACCTTTACCGATCATGATGGGGCCGATAATAATTGCGATCCGTGAAAGATGATCACTACAACTACAAGTAATTTCCGACACCGAGGATGATACAGATACCGATGCATAGAAGAACGATGCGTCGTAATCTCTGTGACTGCTGATGGACTAGTGAGATTCTCATCCAATAAGAAAAAATATCGCAGGTGGGTGCTATAATTGAGCACCACAAAGGCTGCTCTTGGTCTTGTTGCATTGCCAATTGTATTTCTTCATTGAGATGCAAGCTCAAGATTGTAAATTCTATTTCCCCTGTGCTTCGCAACAATGGTGCTTCTGCTCAGCATCTTTTTGATGATTCATTGAAATGCAAGCTCAAGATTGTCAACATCTTTGTCCTTCTCAAAAAAAAGCTGCGGCAATCTTCTTTCCTTCTGCAGTTGCGTTTGCATCCTCTACTTGCGCATCCTTGCCCTCCTGATTCCTGGAGGCATGCAAACCATGAATCTTAATTCCCACGCCCTTCTTTCCTACACCGGCCATTGGTTGCCCTTGCTTATCTCCAGTGGCAGTACCAGAATTTTGCGTTTCACCTTCAGCCTCCACAGATTCATCGTCTCCTCCTATCGGGTCGAAAAATTCAGCATCGCCATCATCATTTTCCGCCTCAGTACCTCCCTTTCCATCGCCTTTCATGTAGTTGTACATCGCAGCAGCACCAGCTCCAACAGCAAGTACCGGTGCTGCAGTCGTGAGTAGCGCTCCACCACCAACGGCAGTTGCTGCAGCCGCCGCTGCGGTTGCGCAGCCGGGTGCGCACATGCCCGCCGCTATGGGGACGAGAGGAAGTGCCATTGTTTGGAGATTCTTTTTCTCGTTTGACTTTCTACGAAACAGTAGAAAAAACCGCGAGAATGCCTAAAACTTGTGAGGACGACGTCTTCTTTTTTGCCTTGCACGGATTAGACGGCGACGATGTGAATCTACTCGGCAGTCTGCCCAAGATTTGCATGGGTTAGATATCATCAAGAAACGCCCAGGCATTCAAAAAAACAGTTGAAGCTACGATCAAGCGCAAGAACAAGATGAAGTAGTAGACTACGTACAGGAGGTGGTACTTAGTTAATACACGGTCGGAAATATCGTGCTGTAGGACTTAGGAAGGCGAGGTCTTATTTCATCATTACTGTATGGGCCCTGGGAGAGGTAGTCCGACTACTTCAAGAACTTCTCTCTTGTTTTTATCGTAATCAAGACAAAGTACACCAGTGACCACGGACACAAAGCCAAACCGAGAACGAGAGTACGATAATATGCCGAACCTGTAGAAGATCACTACCGATGAGCACGAGACCGATGTCGAAATTCGAAAAACTCATTCTCGATCTCGGAAAAGTTCGAAGGCCACGTCACTACTGTCGCCCGCGGCGTGTTCTTGCTGAAAACTCAACAACTTTACGTTTAGAAGATGACTAATGTTCATGTGCATGACGCCCATGACGCTAGTAATCCGCATGTAAAGTAAACAAACAGCGTCGTGTCTTCAAGTGCGTTCATAATCATCATCAATCCTGTTGTATTGCCCATTCGACTAGCCTCCTTACCCCAGCTTGCGCCCACAACTTGGTTCTTACAGTCTTTTTTTCATTCAGTTGTAGATTCCTGCGAAGCAGCCACTTTTCTACTGGATCTCCAGTTTGTATTTTGTAGTTCTTCAGACCAGGAATAACTTGGCGATCTTGATCCATGTCTCCCTTCAGCAATGCCCTAAGTAATCTGCGGTCTTTGTAGGCAAGATAGGAGAGCACAACTGCACCTGAACGCCCCTTGCCTGCTTTGCAGTGCACATAGACTCGCTTGCTTTTCCGATTAGATATCGATGAAGAATTGCTCGCACCCGCACTCCGACGTTGCCGAAGATCTCCTGTGGTTACAACATCTCGATCGGAAGATGTTGCATCTCCTTAGACCTCTCACCTATTCATCCCTGTGGAAATCCCTCAAGCATATGCGTCAGTATCTCCCTTGTATTGGGGTGCATATGTTTGAGGGATGTCTATGTATAAAGATGGATTAGGGGCAGCCTTAATCTCCGTCACCATCGCCCACCTGTTTTGCAATGAACAGCACTCCCTCTTTCAACTGCTCAAATGTGGGTTCGTGATGGTCTAAAACTGGTAACCACAGATGATCTACTAGAGGACGCTTGAAGTGGTCCTCGCTGGTTTTATTCGCATCCTCGTCCATGTCGATGCGATTCACCTCGTCATACGTCGTCCCACTCCATTCAGCTTGCATGTTGACGACTGCACCCAAATTTTGGTTTTCGATCAGTTTCTGGACGTAGCTGTAGCTGCCAGGTGTTATTCCTGGTAAGACGTCCCAGAGCCAGGGACTTGCGCCAAGCATTAGATTCTCGTCCACGTCTTGGTAGGGGTTCCGATAGTGCATCGCGAAAGAGATCAGACGAAAGGGTCTCAATGTCGCGACCTCTAAAGCGATGAATCTCGTTGTCGATGGATAGTTGTCTTTTCGCAGGAACTTCTGGGCAAAGAGTCGCTCCAGAAGTAGGACGACAGCAACGGCTGCGATTCCGGCAAAAGCGAAATGCTGCTTTGTCAGAGCCATACTTGGTGGGATGATTTGAGACAGAACGGACGATAAGGTGTTGTCCTGGTCAGACGATGTGGAATACCAGGACATTCTGTAGTACGTAGATCTACTAGAAGTTGTACCGATCCTACCATATGCCTATTTTCATTTTCGTTAGCTGGGAAGCGGACGACGGTACAAAATTTTCAAAGATACACTTTTGGTATCGGTCACCGGGGAACGCCGTGATGCTGGCCAGGGCCACATACTTCTTACTTTTGGTACTTATATTATAACTGCTCATGATGCAGTCTCAGTCTCTCCTATTATTCGTCAGCTCACTGAGAGTGTCATCGAACAAGAGTTCTTTAGTTTCTGTATGAAGGCAGTATCGCTACCGACATCGAGAATGATGCGGAGTATGAAAATGGAGCTGCTGCTGCGCAGGTTGATGCAGTATGGAGCTTGTAGGGGATTTATGTTTGACGAAATAGCAAATGCAGTACAAAACAATTTTTTGTTTGTGCAGTCATGGACAAGTTAGAGCCTCTTCTTGATCATTCCCATCAAAAACTTGCTTTTCTGCTCTTGATCTGTCAACTTTTTATCCAACTTTTTCGCTGCTTTCGACGCATCTGCTAGAGTTGCTTCCACAGTCCCCAACGATACACTGTAAAGGAATTCCTTTGTCCTCTCGTCCACTGTTCCTAGCAAGCCTGGCGCTCGCTCCGCAAACTGAGAAAGCATCTGTTCGACTCTGGATTTGTGCTGCGATTGTTGAGCCTCTGATGGTGTCGTAGTTTTAGTTGGACCATCTGATGATGATGATGAAGAGGTGCTTGATCCTGCGTTGTTCTTATCCTCCAACAACAGCCTCTTTCCCCTAAACGATGAACGATAGATCCACTTCAAAGCGGACTCTTTGTCCTCCGCATTCTCGAAATCGCAGAAGGCGACGCCAGACTTCGATAGATAGTCGATTTTCACTGGCGCCGTACACTCCCAGGTAGCGAAGTGTGCTATCAAGTCCTTCTTTAGCGTTTCAGAATCTTGTTCCCCTTTTGGCAGTTGACCTACGAACACTGTGTGCTTTGGACCTGCGCTGCCATCAGCGTCTGTTTTTCTTTTCTTCAGGGGTCGGCGGTTGCGACGCTTCTTTGTGGTCACTCCCTCAGCACTTGATGCATCGGCAGTCGCTGAGGCTTCACCAGCTTTAGAAGCGGCTGCTTCCTTTGCCTCTGATTCTACTACCGTAGGCTGGGCCTTCGCTGCTTCCTCTTCTGAGGGTGCTGCTTTCTTCTTCCGCTTCTTTGTTTTCTCCGGTGCCACTGCCACTGCCGCCTTCTCAGGCTTCTTCTCTGAAACTGCATCTGCAGCTGCAGGTGTAAATGTTACTGCTTCACCAGCAGAAAGTAAGGCCACACTTGTTTCTTCTACATTCGATGAAGACGCCGCGTTTGATGCATCTTCTTTTTGTTCCTTTTGATTATCGGGCTTTTCCGAAGTCGTCGCTACTGACGAGGTTGTCTCTGCCTCCTTCTTCGCTCTCCTTGGCTCAGGACAGTCCTTACCCCAGTGGCCGAATTTGCCGCAGTTGTAACATCTGTCTCGATTCGCTTTGTGCATCTCAAATGCAGCTTTATCTCCAGAAGCTGCAGTCATCTCACTAGCATCGCCGAAAAGACCCCGCTTGATCTCCTCTGACCGCGTGTCTTTTCGTAGATTTTTTTGCTTGGATCGGGTCTTTCGCTTTTTGACTGGCATATGGGAGCCTGCGGCGGCACCAGTTGAGAGAGTCGCTGAGGATGCCATGTTGATGTTTTCCTTGCTGATGAAGAAACTTCAAAAATTCATTCGAATTCACAATCTAACTTAAACTTTCGTGGTCGCTAGAAGTTATGGAAAACTTCTATCCCCGTAGATCGTAGACGTAGTACTGCTGCTAAGCCCGAATAAGAAAACAATATGTTTAATGGATAGATGTAGCGGTCATCGTCAACCACAAGAACATCTAAATGAAGAATTGAGTTATAGATCATCACATCATCTTCATCAAGACCTTTGGAGTTTAGTGTGGAGGAGCTAACCAGAAGATCTGCAAAAACTGGAGATGGAACTGGATCTTGGCGTAATCAAAGCCAACGTCGACAGATCCTTCTTTTGGCCTGTTACAATTTATTAGGAATGGAGAACAGCCACGATGAACAGGAATGAGACAACTCCGAGATGAGCAGGAAAATGCCATCGCTTTGATGATCAACAGACCACATGCACATTACCATTCGTAGTCAATATGATCATGTGCTGGAAGTAGATCATGCCCTTGCTTCTACAAGTAAGTCACCATGTAATTGTGAGGAAATGTCCAAGGTTCGTTTTTCCAGCCGCTGTCTACACAAGTTGGCTCCTCTAAGTTTTCCTTCTGTTTCTTACCCATCCCATCATAGGGTATCAAGCAGCTATACCTCTGTCCTCGACAGGGTGTATACGGCGGAACGAACTTCATCGCCTGTTTCATCAAAACCCGAACGAAGCCGTTTGCTGTGGAAAGGAGTTTTTCAGCGAATCTGCGTTTGAAAGAAGCGCAATCATGAGAAGTTTTTCGTCTCCCGAAAGCGTCAACGTGTGTTTTAAGGTCTTGCATCAGAGAACAACGTAGAAAGCGAGGTGGCTGCATGTTGTATATCACGCGTTGGTCGGTGTAACTCTTTCCCATGCACTGCTTCGACGTTAGGCAGGCCTGTGGTGGAGGTGGTTAAGGAAAGTGACGTGAAAGATGTAGATGGAGACTCGGGCTCATATCAACAAACAAATTGATGTAGGCAGCAATGAATCGTACTAATCCGTCTTTCTTCAAATCATAATATTAAAAAGAAAAACACTGGACAATCACAATCTCGTCTAAGTACCGCCTTAATCGACGCCAGCTGCGCTTTTTCCAACGTCCTTTCGTGCTCATTCCCACCAAACAACCCTCCACTAATTGATGCCAACCTGATCTTCTCATAAATCTGCGTCGCAAAATCACCTACCAGCCTCAACTCCTCCACTACTTTCTTCGCCAATCCATGCACAGGACCCAATCCAGGCAAAAATGGTCCTTCAAAGTTCGTCGGTGCAGGTCCAGTGTTAAAAACGAACTGCTTGGCATTCCTCTGTTCGCAGCACTTGTACCACATGTTGGTGTTGGTTTCCTTGATGTAGTGCAAGCGACGCCAGGGATCGAGGTCGTGGCCCTTGACGGGATGGGTGTCACCACAGCTGAGCATGGCTTCAGGAACGAGTTCTTTGGCGGCAAAGAGGCCTTTAAACTCCTTACATTCAGAGCGGATCAAGGTAGGGTCAGTGGAGCCACCCTCTAAAACGTCAGTGCAATCCATGTAGAAAGAGGTTGAAGTTCTGGATGTCTTGGTTGATGAGCGTGGGAAACGAGGCGCGACCTCCTCCTCCATAGATGTTGTAGTGCGGCAATCCAAAAAAGCTGATGATGTAGATGAGGTTGATGGGCTTCGCTGTGAGTAGCTCAAAGCAATCCTACGAGCCGCTTTGTCAGGAGCAAGAGGCTGACCCAGGGCGTTGCGGTAAAAGTCAGAAAGTGCTTCCGGACTAGAGGATGAGCTTCTCCACAACGAGGCTTTCGCGCAGTTACTGCTGGTGCCAGCGATGGCGAGCATGTCTGAGAGACTGTTAGCGACCATTTTTGGCAACTGAGACTAATCCCGATTTTTGTGCTGGTCGTGGGATTTCTGTGTCACATCAAGTGTAAAAACTACAGTGGCTTCTTTAGTCACCGCGAAATCTTGCTGGGGTTGGGGGTTATTCAGTCACCGAGTGAAGCAAGGGGCTGTGAACGTAGAAGTCTGATATCTTTTTGGCCGAAAGTTCAAGTCAACAACCGATATACCACCTCACACGAGAAATCCAGGTAGAAGACACCGACTGTGCGAGTGCGACGGAGGAGACAGATACTAGTACTACAGAGCACATCAACAGATGAAGCGAGTGTCCTTGTAGTTGGGACTGTTTCGACAGAAATCGTAGGATGACATGGCGATAATGATCAAGATGATTGCCTCAATTCCGAACTCCATCCAGAAAGTGGCAGCAAAGTTTTGGCACAGGCACGTGCAGTTCGCAGGGCTAGTATTCACGAGGACACAGCAGCATCGTCGTTCCTCAAGATAGCATAGAAAAACTCACGATGCTGCAAAACTTCGTAACCAGACGAGACGAGAGTATCTAAAATCCATTGTATCTTAGATTCTAGTACATTTTGGACTTCTGAATAGGGAAAATATCCATGCCCCCAAAACCAGTGGAAACGAATCAGGCATGGGAGTAGAGGTCTCACTACGGCTTCGGGCTCGGTTTCGAGTGTTTGCATGATCCCAGTAAGAAAATCCATAAGAATGTCGACACTATTTGGTGTATCGAGCAAGAGAATGTCTGAAAGCCTAATTTTTGTATTCTCGGATCCTTTTTCGCCTTCGCGGAGAAACGCCTGCAACCGTCCCGCCGGCACATGCGTCTCCTTGACGAAATCTAAGATCTTGCTTTTCAAGTCGAAGGTATCGCCAACGCCAGCATCATGGTCATTCATTTTCATAGCATCTAAGATGACATCCATATGTCGAAGCAAGTGGTCCCGTTCGGTGAAAGCCTGCAAACGCATATTTTCTAGGAGTCGCAATAAACGGAAACGAGACTCTACATCTACTTTGTGGTCATCAGAGCCTTGTTGTTGTTGTTGTCCTCTAGTCGCAGCAGCCGCGCCTGTGAAAATCCTCTTCGTATCCAGCGAGTAAAAAGGCACGAAGTTGTTCTTGTGATGTATCCCCTTTTCCTCTTCATCTTCACGTGCTTTCTCAGGATCTGACGGTATAATTCCCAAGACAGCCGCGTGCACAATGTTTGTTCTGTTCACGAAATGCGGAAAACGAACTCGTAACGTTGATTTCAAGTCTCGCAACACAGCAGGGTTGGCTTCGATCAGGTCGAACTGAAAAGGCGAAGAGACTTGTTGTTCTCCACGTGTCGATTGATCGAGATCGTGGTCCACCACCTGCTCATGAGTACAACTTGCGCCCGTGGGGGCAGTAGCAAAGAAAGCCCTTTCGATTGTAGCATAGAGCTGGCCAGTGGCAACGCTTTCTCGTAAGTGAAAAGGTCCGACGTGAAGGATGTTGAACGACGAAGCTCCTGATTTGTCCGCTGTTCGGTTGCTACTCGTAATTTCCTCGCCTGGAGGCGATATTGTCTCCGCATCTTCATGTGCATCCTCGTCTTCATCCAAAGACAACACCTTGCTCGCCGATCCGGTTCCTCTGTTCTCCCCAGTGTCTCCGAGCAAGCAGCTCTCACTCTTCCGCCTTGCCCTCGCCATAATAGTCCTTGATACACGAGCAAACGAAGCTGCCTGCAGAGTGATTTCATGAAGATTTGCATCGGCTCGTTCACTGAGGCTGGGGTTGTCGACCAGACACTTGGATGATGCGCCATGCGTCGCCGAGACGGTAACTGTCGAACAGACGATCTCCTTGCTGACTGGATCGGTTCCTGTGTCGGCTGTAATGAGTGAAGTCGCAAATCCAAGGAGGACTGCGGCAAGACGAGTAGGACGAGTCATTCCTTCGGCATGAGGAAAACATGATGTTCTGTCTGCGTCAAAATAAGGACGTCGGAGCGTATGGTAAATAAGGGTTTTTCGCATATTCAATATTCGATTTTCTTTCCAATCTTAATCTTGTCTTCAACCTGTTTTACTTTCTCTGTCCCTTTCATGTTTAAATCCTCGGTTCTCTCCACAACCGCTTCTCGATAGGAACAGGCCACCAGGGTCGTGGTATTCGAGACTGAACACAACAGGAGCCATTGATTTCTCTAGCCCCTCGCTACGTAGCTAGGCACGGCCAACACTAGTACGAAGTATGTCCTCGCTTTCTATGCAAGCCGTGTAATTGGGGAATGCAATCTGCTGTAGCGTGGTAATGAAGTCAAAAAATTAGGGCAGGATTTGAATTTGAAATTGTCTTAGATAAACTCCTCAAGCACGAAATCGTCATCATCTTCCAATAATGGGTTAGTTTCATCGCCGTTTGAGGATGATCCGTCGTCTGACCCTTCCTCTCCAGCGTCGCTGACTTCCTCAGAACCCGCCTCGAATTTACGCAGTGGCTCCTGTGTTTCCGGAGCTTGCATTCGTTCGCGAGCAGTGCAGAGGAGAAGGTCGAGTTTGCCCTGTGATGTTGAGACGTTAGTAGATTTGAATGAGGATGATGGTGATGTGACACGAAACAAGTGTTCATGGAGATGTAACTTAAAACTTTAGGAGGTGAGGTACGGAACTCCAGGCCCAAATAGACCAAATATCAGTATTACTTGCAGCACACCAACTACAAGTACAAGTACAACATTCATGTAGTTGTAGGTTGTGTACCTGAATCCTTTGCATTGGCTCAGTCGCTTCTAGTCTCTCCTGAGCCAGCCTATACAACGGCTGCAACTGGTTTTTCATTTCCGGATTGCTCAGCAGGAAACTACAATGCTGCGTCAACACCTGTCGTACCCATTCGAGAAGCAGGCTGCACTTGCTTGGCTGGGTGAAAAGAAGTCTTTGGCACTCAAGGGACCATGAGAAGGCTTCTTGACCGGTGAGTTCTTGGCACGATCGCGTGACAATCTTTCGGTCGGCTTGTGCGAAGCAGGACGCAAGGACTGTTTTTTTTATTGATGTTGTGGTAAGTAGTAGTAGTTGTGCAAAGACCTAAAAAGAACATAAGCGGACGAGATCGGACTAAAAAAACAAGTCTGATTCAAGTATGCAAGTCCAAGGCACAGGTGAAGGTTTTCTTTGCGGAAGCAGTAAGTACCGGTAGCATCCTGCGACTTCAAGTATTGCCGCACAAGTGGCGCAAGAGACACGACACCAGCTGCCGACCTCTTCTGTTCAATACGCTGACGAGCGATTTCCGCTTCCGCTCTTTCCATCTGCTGGCGTGCTGCTTCAGTGATAAGAGGCTGCCCTCCACTCTTTGCGACTTTCGCTGCAGACGTGACCTGGACCTTAGCTGGTTTTTGGTGGCTTTCATCGGCGTCACCTGATGGTCGCTTGTTACCAGTTGTGGAGTTTGCACGTCGCAACACGAGCCCCTTCGAGCGGATGTCCTCAATGTCGACAACGCTAGGATGCATGGCTGCGCCGAGAACGGCGATAGCGCTACCAGCACGCTCGTCGGTGAGTCGGAGGCTCAGAACCTGCCGTAGGAGGAATAGGAGATGAAATGAGTGAAATGATAAACAGGGAAGGGGAACGAAAGATGAAGATCAACATCAAAAAAAATTCTCTTGTTTAGTCTAACAGAAACAGGTTATGAAAGATGAAGATCATCATCAAAAAAGTTTCTTTCTTTTACTTATTCTGAAGGAGAACTCGATCAGTTATCAGTACCGATTCTTCTGCTTCGAATTCGCTTGTTGCTGCTAATGGGACGTTGCTTTTTGCTGCCTTTATGCTACTCCAGACAAAGCCGCGCTTTCCATCTGCGCTCAACGCAACAAGTGCGTTCCCACTCTGGGTCAATTGCTTCAGAGGTGTTTGTCCGCTCGTTCGCAGGCTGCTGCTAAACGACGAGTCCGTGTAGTCGTATCTGAAATGCGTGTAGAGAAATGGATTGCTTGAATGCACCATAGCAAGCCTCTAGTACATGCTCATGTAGCATCAACAAGAATACGAGAAGAGGAGAGAGTAGTTACCGGACTACAGCAAGAGAGACAAATATATGATGACTCTAAAGAGAGTGAGAGGAAGTAAGTACATCGTGACTGTTTCGCTTGAGTCGCAGGCCAGGATTTTGGAGCCTACAAGTGCGAGATCCGTGCAGGCATGAAGCGTCGCTGCATGCTTGCTAACACATGCTCCGTCTGCAACTGTAAACACGCGAATCTTCGTCGCCGAAGCCGCCACCAGTCGATCGTCGCCACAGGCCATACGCAAGACCGGATCTTTCTTCGTCTTGATCGTCTGCTTCACTTCCCGGCTATCCACATCGATTTCCTTGACGCTGTTCCTCGTCGCGACGAAAATGCTGTTGCGGCCTTCGTGTGCCACCATTGATGGGAAACCTCCTGGAGTCGTGCAAAGGTTTTCCACTGTTCCTAGTAGCTCTGTGCTACCCGTGCTGAAACTCCAGAGCTGAAGCGCGCCCGAGGTGCAGCTCAATGCGATGACATCTCGAGTGCCAAACTGGAACCATTGGCAGCAGCCGCTATACGCTTGTTTAGCGTCTGTGTGGGTGAAAACAGACTTTCGGTCGGTGAGAATGCGAAACTGGTTGCGGCGTGGAAGTGTCACAAGATGTTCACCACCTGGGGACAGGCAGCCACTGCTGGTCGCTGAGCAAGAAGAAGATGAAGAAGCGCTCATCTTGATGAATTTGAGTCTGCTATGACAAACTAAGAAAAAGAAAGTGAAAGTTGCAAGACGTAAAAAAAGGTTTCGCGAACGCGAAGTTTTTTTGCGTATATTAACGTAAAACACCACAGAAAAAAGGGCCCTCCTTGCCTGGAACGAATTATGAATCAGCAAGTTTTCGTTTGCGTAATTAGAAGTCAACCTTTTGTTGATGCGGATGGAGATCTTTCCTGCATGATCTTTTTTGACCTGCTTTTGAATTATAACTAGTAGATCTTTCAATTTCAAATCCTAGGCCACACAGGAAGCTGCGGATGGAGATCTTTCTTGCAAGATCTGGCATGTTGTTGTCGTTGTTGGGATCTTAACGACGTCCAGCTTCACTAAATCTTGATCATGTAGGCGTTAATGTTCAGGTTGCGTAAAAAGTAGGGCAAAGGGTATTCATTTTGACGTTGGCGTCATTTGGTTTGGTTGCAGAAATATGCATTGTCTAGAGTGCGTATAATGGGTACTTATGCGTTTCTTTGATCAGTGCGTGTTCGTCAACATGTTGATCGTAGTAGTTCTCGACACATCCTGTGTCTGTGAGACCACCAAAAGCTGCTCTATCGCCCTCCCCCAGCGCCAGCTGCATGCAGTTGACTCCCAACGAAGCCCAGGAAAATGTAGCGGTCGTGGCGATACACTGCAAATTCCGAGATGATCTTCCTCAGAGCGTAGAACGTCAGTTGTCGTCTCTCCACATCAGGAACGCGATGCTGCACTTCTGCCAGGATTTCATCTCTGGTGCCAGCCCCTCTCTGCGCAAAGAAGTCCAATATCACACGCCGAATATCAGAATGCTCATTACCAAGAAGGCAGAGGTAATTGTTTGCTTGGGAAGTAGAAGAGGTTGATGTGCTGTTGAACGAGTTCGAGGTTGAAGTCGAGCCTGCCAACGCCAGTCCCAAACTCGTTCCAAACTTTTTCCAGTAGTACACTTTCTTGCACTGTCTATGCAGTCTGAAGGTGTTGTCGTAGACGCTGGCACAGTGAGTCTGGATTCGCTGTAGTTCTGCCATTTGGTGGTCTGAGATTGTGAGGCATTGAGCGTTATGAAAGGAACAAAAAGTGCACTCACACTCAAGAACTTGGCTACAATTTCATAAGTAGTAGGAAAGTAGCTCCTTTCTTGAGTGTGAGAGCGCTTTTTCTTTTCGTAAGCGTATCCAATCACGTTCTTCCAGTAATATCGACGATTGACGTTACGTGGCGAAGCCTCAAACTCGTCCTCATCCTCGTCATCGTCGATCTGAAGATCTCTCGTTCTGGCAGAAGTAGATTTTCCGTTAGAAGTCGTAGCACCTCCACCAGAACCAGGTTTTATTTGAGCTTGATGTGCAGTGGCAGTAGCTAGAAGCATGCAATTAGTCGTGCAATCGATTGGTTCCATCAAAGCCTTCTCCAGCATTTGCGCTGTGATTTGCGTCGTCGGGAATCCCGTTTGCAGTTTTCGCAACAGTTCATCCTCCGCATGCGCTCGTTCAGCCAAAATCACCCTTAAGTAGAACAACAACTTCCGCAAGACTCTTTGCTCTGTGGTACTCGAACTCAGTAAATTCCTGGCTTGCATTTCCGGTACGCCGCTCGCTGCTGCTTTTTGTACGCACTGCTCACGAACTGTTTGCAAGTGCTCCTTTTGCTGCTCCGTTGCTCCCTCACGCGCAGATAAAAGTTGGACTTCCAACCTTTGCAGTTCCAGTTGATTGCTCTTCATGGCCTTGAGAGCCTTGACGTTGCGCACGACTTCATCTTTAGCGCGTTCAAACGTTCCGGAATTGAGATAGCGCTCAACCACGAAGGGGTCCATATGTTCATCGGCATGGTCATAGAACCTCAATCGGCCTAGACGACCACTCTGTGCGTCTTGGTCATATGCTCCGAGGGTCTCGCGTTCAACCTAGAGATGAATAAGCAGAAGATGGGTGTGTGAATACTACAAGGAAAGAAAGATAGTGAAGTTAGCGTGGTTAGCCTGTTGTACAACTCGCATATTCATCTCGCGTTACCAAAGCTGCATCATGAGCTGCACAAGTTGAAGTAGTTACTAGACAGTGTAGTTTCATCAAAAAAAATGACAGATGAAGTACCCTCGCCACCATCTCCGGATCGCACATATCCAGCAACGTGTTCTTCCAGGAATGCAGTGGTGCATATCGTTTTGTCTTGTTGATCATGAACATAAGGATCAACGAGTCCCTTGCCAATCGTTCCGGTCCCACTAACCCCAGAAACTCGCTCTTGACGACCCAATTGGCGTAGTGTTCGGAGCTGTTCCTTGGGATCTGGACTCCAGCTAGGAAACAATACCGAGAGATGCAGTACTCCAAGGCCAGCTTTTCGTCGTTGAGGACCTCTGGCTCGCCGTTTTGGCCCGTTGGAGAGGTGGACTGAGCGTCGACGAGAACGATCTGTGTGTTGGACAGAGGGAAAGAAGGTCGGAAAGGACATGCACAGTGAATTCAGTGAGGTCAAAAATAGCAGAGTGGCAGCGAACAACATCTAGACTTTCATGACGAGTAACGAGAAAGAGAACTAGCATTGAAGAAAAAGTGAAGAATACGTCACTCGTCCCCTCCGCAGCGGCAAATCCGCTAGCTCCTGGCAGTTTTCGCGGTGAACTCGGGTTCTTTTGAATCAACGATCCAAAAATGGTATCCACATTCGAAAGATATCGTCGAGTCGCAGGCGGTAATCGATGCCAGAAGATATGGTGGAAATTTGCAGGTAAAGCCGCATCCCCGTAACTCCGCAGTAAAGCTTCAAATTGTTCTTTCACAGATAACCGGGATAGACCGTAATCGCTGATGGCTAGAGGGCCAGTGGGAGGTTTGTAGTTCCCTGCTGTTGTGCTACTTGAGGAGGACGCTGCCGTCAAGGACGAGGTTCCAGATGACGCTTGCTGGGCTGCGCCAGTCTGTTGCTGAAGGCTGTTCTTGACGAGGGTGTTGAAGTAGTCCCGACGTAAAGCGTCTTGCTCCTGCTTTCTTTTGTCCGCTACTGAGCGGACTGAGTCTCCTTCACCTCCTGTGCCATTCATCATCTTCTGTCTCTTCTGTTCGCTTGGTCTTGGAAGCCGACCATCAACCGAAAGTCTCCCAGTACCACCACCCAAAGCGTGGCTGAGATTCTGCGGTTGCTCGTACACGAGCCATGAACCACTGTCCATCGAACAGGCAGCGCTTTCGTCAGAAAGCAGGTACTGCTCATTTACTTCGCAAGCCTCTTCTGAGCCATGGACAAACAGACTCTGAGCTACCCAGGGATCGGTCTTAGCATCTCCACTGGTGCCTCCACCACTACCGACTGCGCGACTACCACCAGAGCTACTTCCTGGGAGACTGGAGCCGGCTGCCGCGGCTGAAGATTTCGCACCAGATGAGCTGTTCATCATAGAGGATGAAGCAGAACAAGATGTGCCGCTGCTCACTCCAGCACCTTTCTTACCACTAGGAGCACCCAAAAGCGACTTGTCTTCCATGGACAACTCCATTGCACCTAGTTTTTCTTCGAGAGAGATCACTCCCGTATTCACATGTGACAAGTCTGGCCTCATCTGCAGAACGCCACCAGTACAAGGTGTTAGATGAAACACACCGTTCCGGATCGCACCTGCAAACAGCGTACTACCGCTGTGGGGCTCGACTCTGTTCCCTAGAAGTTTCAGACTCTGCAACTTGGAGTATTTGGAATCCGAGTTCCGATGTTCTGAAGCTGAAGAAGAAGAAGCGCCTCGTCCAAAGTGGTCTAGTTGATTTCCACCTTCTGCACCAGTACTATTACCAAGAGAGTACGAGAATCTGGCGCACTTTTTGTGTTTCTGCATATCTACGGACACTAATTGTTCTCTTTCGCCATAAGGGCGATACAAAGGACGAGTCGGGTATTTGACGCAGTAAAAATCCGCGTAGAATCCCTGAGCGTCGGCAAAATGAGAAATCTTTACTGGGACACGTGCGACGATGGGGTCGTCATCTGCGGCAAGGTTTGCAGAAGAGGCTCCAGAAGGTCCGGCAACATCTGCAATAGCTGCTTGTCCTTGACTCCGCCGCGCATCTCCGTTTGATGCAGCTCCATCGGTTCCCGCATCGTCTTTGGGCTCAGCATCCTCCATGTTCACGTCTTCGGACGACTGCTCTACTGTGCCAGTTGTCCCAGTGCAACCTTTGCCTTCACCAGCATCATGTTCATCTTCCTCTTCTTCTTCACTAGAGCCTGAAGTATCTACTTCACTACTTTTCCTAGAAGTGAAGGCCTTTGGACTGCCTCTGGCTGTTGATGGGGTTCCTGCGACGTCACTAAAACCAAGTGAAGTCGGTTTGGGAAGCCCAAGGTCGTCAGCTTCCAGGTCCTTTACGCCCATCATGTCATCTTCATCGCTCTCTTCTTCCTCCTCTTCTTCATCAGACCAAATGCCCATTGTTTGTGCAGGACGAGTGGCGGTAGCCCCTCCTGCTCTATTCACCACAACATTCGCTCCGGTCCTCGAATGGAGGACTTTAGTGGCCATCTTAGGCTTCACCTTCATTTTTCTCGTCGTCGTTGGTCGTTGCGGTGGAGGTCTAAACTACCATGTAGATTATCTTCTATTATATGTATGTACTATTATATGTGTAATGCGATTGCGAGGAGTAAAAAAACTGCAAAACAAGAGGCATCACTGTCTTATCACGAACATCAAAAAGTCATCGTGAAGGAAAAAATGTAACCAACACAAATAGGCTTGATGATCAACACGCATTCAAAAACGACCTGGTTTGGATTTCTAAGTGGGACCACATCAAAAGACAGTTCGAAATTGCGATCGATGCCAAGCCAAGCAAAAACCACTGATACACATGTTATCTGAAAAATCGTAGTTTTGATCATCGAATACCATGGGTATTCATCCTCAAGATGAACATCACTCATCTTGTTCTAAATGTGTCAGAGTGAGTACTGCTTATCAACATCACCTCGAGGAGGGCTACTGACTACTGTGTACTGTAGTGCTTCTACCTCGAGATGATCTTCATCAGTAGTTGTGAGTATTTCTATTTGTATTCACTTCTTGAGCTACTTAGTACAACAACTACCAACATGATCTTCTTAAGAAGTAGATCTTGATCTTAGCATTAGATGAGAGGGTTTTATTTATGATCGAAGGCTATTGATATTTGATGACGTTAGTCGGTTCGGCTTGGACCTACGACTTCCCTGAGTCTCTTTTGAGTTCTACGAAGTCCTCTGATGTTGAAGCTGATCGAAGATTATTGCCTTTATTACCTACTCGCTATTGGTTTTGCTCATTATGATTCTAGTCGGCTGCTGCACCTCGTCCGCCCTGGTTTTTAAAAAGAAACGGTTTTGTTCTTCTTAGTAGGATTGATTGGCACCGGGTCAAAAAGAACGATCTTCATGATCATCACGACGAAGACCTTACTTTTGGTACAGGACGACCAAAGGATCAGGCCGTGTTAGACTCTGACACATGAGAACCAAAGGAAGTAGATCAGAAAAGGCTGTTGAGAGATCTTCTTGACAACCGATTCTTCGACGATGATCGCCAGAACCACGTGGATGCAGAAAAGAAAGCAGAGGACATCTGCATAGTTTTGTTGAAGATTCTTGTGCTATAATATCACAGCGATTTATTTTTCACAATTTGAAGTATTTGCACCGCGTTCTTTTTCTGCTTACCCGATTTCATATTTATACTTATTCGGAAAACGCAATGAGCTACGCGCACTTGCAGACTCTGCAATGCCTTTTTGAACAATGCACCACATGCGCCTTTTTCACTTTCACTGTCATCTACTAGATTTTCAACTGACGAGAGATCAGTTTACCTTGACGTCTACTTTGTACTACCTTCTGTTTTTTCTGTTCCGTGCATATCTAACTCCGTGCTTATGTTATCTATAACTTTATAAAGATACACATAGATACAGTTGAATCTTGCTAGTGATTAGGAGCTACTTCCCGGATCATTCCGTATTCCTGCCCTTACATTTTCTGCATACTTGTCTACAAGAGCCATGATTTCGCTATCCTTAGTCTGTCTTCGATGCCTAGCTTCATCCGACGTCTTCCGTAAGTACAGTAAAGCCTCTTGGCAGTAGGCGTGAAACTCTTCTGCAGGTGTCGGCTTCTGCTCGCTTGTGGTTGAGGGGTGGCGTATGAAAGAAGAAAGGAGTCGGAGTGTGTGCGTGAGGGTGTGGGACTGAGAGATAAGACTAGTATCGGTAATATCTAACCAATCGATATCGGTGTCCAACGACCTATCGAACAAGTACTGTAGTTCTATCTAGTTCTAGTACAACTTACAGTATTTCCCGTTATCTTCACGACAGTATCCTATCTGCAAGACAATATCCTTCCCTTAACTTGTTCCCCCACCGCTTCCGCCCTCGACGTCTCTTCTTCCAAAATCAACTGTAAATCTCCTACACTAGGTGCGGAATCAGCAAATGCCTGAATGTTATCGAGGTCCTTCTTTTCGGCTGAGTCGATATACTTCTCGACAGCTGTGTCCATGCGCTCACACTGAGGAGCAAAGCTGGTGACCAAAGCAGACTCGAGATTGCTTATGGGTATGAAAGAGGTCGTGGAGGAGAACTGGAAGATATTATTGATATTGTTGAGCAGGATGTTGAGAAATAAATGAAACGTGAATATCATGTTGATGACAGGATATAATCTCGCAGCTCTTGCATTTTCATGTTTCAAATTCAGATCATGAAACAACTAGTACTTAAATAACACGCGTCCAAATCATCTTCATAAATGCAACTTGCACTTCCAAGAGCCTACTGCGAATCTGCTGCAATTCTGTGCTGTCCGTCCCAATTTCTCGCTTTTTCCGCTCCAGAGTACCACATCGCGTTCTCAATGCCTGGATTTGCACTGCTAAACCTCTGATATGGTCTGCAGCTTTGCGTGATCCACGTAAGAACATCGCATGAGCCATGTCTTCCACTAAATGCGACAAAGCTTGCGATTAACGCTCTCCGTAATTCATCCTTGAAAATGCTTATACCTTTTGTACAGGTTTGCTTTCTCATACCAACTGCATTACTGCGTCTATCCAGCTGCACTGGGATACTACTCCCCCATACGTTTCAAGAATGCAGTCAAAGATGCATAATTAGCTACAGCCTTAATTCGAAGCTTGCACTCGTCGCTTGATCTCAGCATCCATCGTCCTATGTAATCGTTGTAGAGTCGTGGCATAGCCCGCTGTTGGTGGAGGTGGTGGTGGTTTTGATGTTGCCGGTGGATGCTTGTGGTCCTTGGTGATTTCATTGTCACCTACATTATCCCCAGGCATACCGGGAGTTGTAGTGGCGCCGCCTCCACCAACTCCTTCAGCATGTTGATCAGACGAGCTGCCAAACGTGGCTTCTCGAATATCGTTCGTAGTCTGTTCGATTTCTGTTGCAGTGTCTTGTAGTTTTCGACGAAGTTTGGCGTTGAAAGGCGACAACGGCGGGTCATCCTTCGTCACCGGGATGTTGCCACTGCTCGTGGATGCAGACAGAAGAACCAGGTTGGCATTGGATGCGGAGGACATTTTTTCTCTTTAGAAGATGCAAGCTGATTGATTTACTCTACTGGAGTTTGAACTTGGTTTTCAATTAAGCCTTAATATTCAAGGTGTCGTGCATCTCCGCTCGCTTTGTTCGAGCGTCAGCCCTTCTCTCTCTATTTCTGTCTCTGCTTCTCCCTCGCAATTTCCTTCGGCTTGCGCGTGCGCGTTTGGAGTCTGTGTCACAGGATCGTGAACACAATTTCAAATCTGTATCCGGGTAGCTGTGGCTCTCCCGGTACTAAAAGTGATCTATCGTATCAACTTAAAGAATAAGAACCGGAGAAAAACATACACTCATCTTTCGAGAGTTTGTACGAGAAGACGTATCATGTGTAGTCCCTGCGCTCACACATGCGTCAATCTCGATAAGGTCTTAATATACCGAAAAAATGAGACCAACAACTCGGTCCTCACCTATCCTTTCCTTTTTAGTTCATGGTAAATTCATCCTACGAGCTAGGCTCTTCATTTTAGATTTCTTTTAATTTCTCATCATACTTACTACTGCTTCCGCTTGCTTTCGGACTGGTTGCGCTGTTTAGCTTGCTATTTTCAATCGTCTTTAACTGTGGTTTTGCTTTGGTTACATAAAGATAAACACAATCGGATTTTCATAACCTCTTCTTTGTTGTCAACGTCAAGGTCCAGGTCAAAGGAATAGATGAAAAAAAACTAGATCCTTGAACTAGAACTTGGTCATTAGTCAACATAGTCATCACACGACAAAACATCAAGGTTTTCAACAACATCATCATTTTTGATAGTTCTTTTGTTTCTCAATTTGGACTAGTAATTTATTGCTGGTTCTTTAAAAATACCGGGATACGGCCTCTCGAGAAATGGGAACTATTTTTCGCTTGGGTTTTCGATTGTATGCAAAATTTTACATTTGCCGATCCGTATCGGCTTTGACATGGTAGTAAGTACCACATATAATAATAATAATGGTAGTAAGTACGGTATAGTTCTGAGTAATTGAGATGTCTACCTACGAACAACTAATTTCCAATAATCCTTTGTTTCCAGACATCAAATCCATCATTCTGAATTTCAAAATAAGAATGCGTATCGTTCTTCTTCATCGTCGTACACGACTTCTAAGAAAGTCTCTTCCAAGAAAGTCTCTTCTAAGAAAGTTTCTTCTACAGCTGCTATATTGTTCACTTGTTTCCAAAAATCTTGATGTCCAGGCTCTGCGGCAGACCCTCGATGAAGGGCTTCGAGTTGGAGCTGACGACGGACTCAAATTCCGCATCATATCGCGCGATTACCATAGGATATCTGCCGCTGAGGAGGACGGAGCCAGAGACGGATCCGAGATAGGACTTCTGAGACTGCAGTCGTTTCACGTCAGTGCCCATGCAGATAAAGTCGACCTGGTTTGATGGGAATGGGTGCATGAGAAGAAAAATTGAGGTAGTTTTAGTTCCGCTTCAGGACGTCGATCTTGAACAAACTACAGTCTAAAAAGATAACACCAGATTTCAAAACTACGTTGTTGAGGAACTATAATCTTGAAACTACAGTCACAGTCTAAAAAGATAACACCAGATTTCAAAACTACGTTGTTGAAGAACTATAATCTACAAGAACAGCAAAGAATCGTTCAAGAACATATAAAGTACATTGCTATCATCCGCGTAGTCCAAGATGCAGTTGGAGACGCCTTTTCCGGCAGACGTGACCACTTGCAATTGGATGTCTCGTGGCTTGCCGAACTTCTTACTTATGCGGTCTATCAGCTTCTGATAGTATTCCTTGTGTCTGCCCTCAGTCTCCTGAGACTCGAAACTGACTCGGAGGACAGTGATTTTGTCTCCAGGATTCGAGAGAAGTAAGGCGTCGTAGAGAGCTTTCTCGGACCTGTGTGGGTTGAAATGTAGAGCAGGAGAGCATATTTTTGAAAGTCAAGGGGTATGTTGGCATTCTTGAAGAAGAAGACATGTGAATTCCAGTTCCAGTACTAGGTACCACTATGTTGACTACGGAGGCAATAATCAACTTGGTCTTGGGTATGTTGCATGTCACCATGAATAAGAAACCAATGCAAGAAAAACACTCACTCAAAAACAAAAAAGGCAGTTGGTAGTTGTAGATGTAGTTAATTACCACTGACTCAAGTCCACTGGCACCAGGTAATGCAAAAGTCCGCTCTCTGGCATAGTCCAATCCCTCAAAACGATCATGCTGCATCTCGAATACGCCAGACAGTATGACACGTCAGATGCTAAGAGTGCTTCCTCGCTTGCGTTCTTGCTGCCCTTGAAACCCATCAGCATAAAATCAATGCAGTGACCTTGCTCTTCCTTGTCGTAGGTCCATTTGCACAGGGTCTTTCCCTCAACCTCGCTGCCGTTCTTGGGGACAACGGTCAGGGTGAATCGCTTTCCGTGGGAGATGTCGAGACTGATGTTTGTTTTGGAGTGAGAAATGAAGAGGAGTCGGATGCTTTTCACTGCGATGAAAATGAATGAATCAAGGTCATGATGATCCCGATCCGTTATAATTACCAGTACTACATCAACAAAATCAAAATCTATCATGCATGAACATCATCAAAATTAATAAATCGAAGAAATATCAAGGCAAAATCAGCAAAAACTCTACTAACTCTTTTTTAGTGGCATTAAATATTAGTTACGCCCTCACATCCGACTCGATCACGTCTTTTTTGTATCCGCGCATCAACCCGTCTTGTACTGTTGGATCGTAGATGTGAATCACCTCAACGGTCGATGCCGCTTTCTTCTGAAAAAAGAACTTGTAAGCGAGATCCAGACAAGCTCTAGCACCAAGTGATCCATCCATAGCAACTGCGAAAGATGTTGGGTCCTCATCCAAGTCTTCGACATCGGCCAAATGCACACACAATTTCGGCGTTTTTGGCCCCGAATGGCCACCAGGGATACTGGGGATGGACATTTTTTCGGTTTTTTTGGGAAACTTTTTTTTTTGGACTGGGGAAAGACCTGTATTAAAGATAGAAGCAGGTAGATCTGTACGCTATTTTTGTCCTCTTGGATGAAATGCAACAAGTAGCTTTCTGATGCACGAGCAGTAATATTTTTACTAGGACTGAGTAGAGGTGGACTGTTTGCAAAAACCACAGATCAAAATACGGTCAATTCAAACTACCTTGCACAACGTGTGAGAACGCTTACGCTTGAACTTCTAATCGCTACTAATAATATTCTATTAATTTGTTAGCGCTTCCTTTTTAAGTTTATCCACTGTGTTGGGATAGATATTTCTATGGGAGAAAGTCAAAGTTGGGGTTCGTTTTCAAAATGTACGATTCGGAAATCGAATCTAGTCAGACACTTTCCTGCTTCTCTTGACTGATGCTGGCACACGATTTCAGATGAGGCATGAATGAGACCGATTCGAAGGTGATTGAGAATCAACAAAACAGCGTCATAAATCGAGTTTTTCTTTTTCGTCTGGGAACACCAGCACAGCATGAAAATGACATCCGACACTCCACCTCTCGTCCTCGTCCTCCTCATAACGCGCTCTGCTCTCTACAAGTCATTGCTCAATCTCACTCTTTCATCGTGAACACTTTTCGTTTGAAGTAAAGAAGAAGCATTTTTACACGCCCTCGTTCTTGTACAATTTGCCTTGCTAATGATTTTTCCACCTACGTTCTGATCAAATACGGAAAAGAAAACGGAATAAAGGTACTAGAGGTTGAAGAACATCTGAAAACTCATTTATCAACATCGAAAAACTGACCAAGACCTCTGGTCTGAGCGTGGACACAGAAAGACATCTCCAGTAGATTTTTGGCGTTTTCTTCTCTAGAAATGATGCCGAAGCCTGGGTTCCAAGCCTCCATTGCGTTTAGAAAAGAGTCAACGAGAACCTCACCTTGAGGGTCGTGGTTGGAAGTGGAGGAAGTAGGCGTCGGTCTCTCTCCAGCATTGTTCGATGTAGTTGGAGGACTCCGCAATGACGATGATTTTATCTCGGGACTCGACAAGGACAACGGCGACGCCGTCCTCACCATTCTTCGTGCCAGTAGACGTGACCGTCTTAAGCGATAGCGTAAAGTTGCAACGCGTGATTGCCTCGAGCAAGAGGTCTCGGCCGAAGCACTACTTTGCCTCTCTGCTGAAGCAGGAATGGCAGCCCGAGGAGATAGTTTATTTCTATTGAGGAGCTGCATTTTCAGTTTATTCTCGTCACTAAATTATTTGAATCAGCGACTACTGATCTTTCAGAACTGTGATCATGATAATGAATATGAAGCGGAACAAACACTCGGTTCAAATAATATCTTCTGGTACGTCTAACGTGCATGTGTTGTAGTGAATGTGTCATACCCCATGAATGGGTACACTACTACTACTACTTGTAAGTGTAGTCGTAGTCGAGACCAGGAGCTCAATCTTCCTGTGTTGAGGTGGTGGACCATTAATGCTTTCAGCTGGGCCAAGATACAAGACGAGCGCCTTGCGTTTCGGGTCGTGAACACACAAAATTTTCTTTCACACCATCTAGGCAGGAAGATGCTGATGCCGCGAGATCTTTCCTGATAGGACTCGATGTGACCAAGCCACGAGGCGTCAACTTCTGTGACAGCACATGTTGAAGTTTCAGTCTGGTATGATTAAAAAATCAAGGGGACGATCAGGGTGACAGGGTATTGGCGTCATTACGACTGGGGAGTCTTGACACGACCATTCAGGGGAGTGAAGAGTCTGCGTACAGCAGGAGAAGGATTCATGATGGTAAAAGCCAAAGAAAAAGGATACGGATGGATCTTTTTGAAAACTTTACGACACAAACAGGAGAGCGCATGTTGATGTTTAGGAACTACAGGATCTCAAGTTACAATCATGTTCATGTTGCTCCAACTCAGACTCTACTTCGTCTCCTTGTCTCCGGCACCACCTCCGCCATCCTTCTCGGCTTTCTCTTTCTCAGCCTTCTCTTTCTCAGCCTTCTTCTTTTCGGCCTCCTCTGCCTGCTCCTCTCGGAATTTCTTGCTATGGATTTTATTCTGCACAAGATTGTGAAGCGCGAGGATTGACCTGGTCGTCTTGTTTGAATGTTGATTACATTATGTAGATTGTAAGAATCAGCTTGTCATCTGTGATTTGTGAAGAACAAATTTGAGAGTTGTTAGGAAGCAACCACAGATGACGATCTACAGGGAATAGAAACGCAAGAAGAAAGATGAAGATGACGACCTACAGGAAATAGAAACGCAAGAAGAAAGATGATTGATTCAGTTTGAACAAAAATTCCTGTCACAGTACCTGAGCACAGTTCCCACGTAGATGCCCAAGTATTGGTCGTTGCTCTCATGGGCACAGTATTCGACCATATCTGGCGCGTCTGCTATCTCTGGAAGGTCGTTGAAGATATTCTGGAGCTTCTCTAATATTGCTGCGTTGTATGGATACTTCCCGTCATGTACCAACTGAAGATATTCCTTGATTTCCCCAAGCTTGCCTATAAGCGTTTTCAGTGCTCTTGATTTGTCACCAACTTTTGCAGCTAGAGTTGACGTGGCGCGGTTGCTAATGTCACGAAGGAGGTGCTCTGTGCCGACCTGGGGATGCATGGACGAGATTTTGATTGATGATGGAAGTGGATGAATAGCAATAATTTCACAGGAATAGTAGAATTAAAAAAAGCTCAAAGTTGTTCGAGATAGGCAATCAGATCAATGTTGCAAAAAATGTGAATCTAGTTGTAGTTGTTGTAGAGTACCTCCTCAGCCTCATCCGCGCCGAACGTTGAGGTTATTGTCCGAAAAGTTCGCGTAAAGGAGTTATCGTGTGTTTTTTCTGCGACTGAATAGTACCTGAAAAACGGTGGTGTGCGGAAAATTGTTTATCGATCAGCACACGTGGTAGTGGTTGGGGATCAGCATGAACAGGACTAAGTAACTGACATAGAAGTCATAAGTAATAGTGAGGATAAGGAAGGCAATTATATACAAACTAAACTGCTTGTTCTTGCACGTGCTTGTCAGATTTCAAAAAGTAGAAGTAAGTAGTACGCTTCCATTGGCAACTCGTTCTCCTTCGGCTGCACCTCCATAATGATGAAGAGAGGCTCCTTGCAATACTTCCTAAAGATCTCATGGATCTGGATATCCGCAGGTTTTATTTTTGGTCCGGTTGAATACCTGGTTACGAGGAGGGCGTTGGAGCAAGATGCTGTGAGGATGATTCTGATTGATTTCTTTTCTTTGTTTCCCATCTCGAACCAGCTATCCTATCGCTATCACTATCTCCATTGTTAATTATATTGTTCTCTAGCATTCAACAGCAACATGATGATGATATATCCCTGGTGGAGCAAAGGCAAACCTACTTAGGAAAGATAGAAAAAAGGGAAGAGGTATTATATAATTATAATAATAAAGGAGGTAAGCAATTATACCATCCAACAATGTGCTCCTTCGCGTTCACCTTTCGGTGCATCTGGGCTAACTGTTCATGGTAATTATGGTCCAAGAACCAAACCGCAGGGTCCCTTGTATCCTCCTCAAATGGGACTGCGAAGCTCGTTAGGACGTGTATCTTCTGATCTCTAACCTGTAGGAGGGGGGGCGTCGCCGTGGAGATCATTTCATTTGACTTCAAGACTCTGAGTCTGTTGAAGAAAGAGATCTGAGATGTTCTTGGTTATTACGAGGAAAGCAGGTTCTTATAATGCTTGAGCTACAATGAAAATTGCGACTTCAATTACAAAATAATTATGGTTAAAGAGATAAGTACCTCTCCCAAAAGCGTTCCTACAACCCGCTTGCTCGTTCCCTTCGCTACTCGGTTATAGTGGTCTACGACTGATAGGAGGACGATCGGGTGCACGACCACCGGCAGTGGCGGCGTCGTTGATTCTATAAACGTTGCGCCTGACATTTTTGATGTTCAGGAGGCTGGCCGTAGGTTGATGGGGTGGTTGGGTAATGCCGCTCTATGATCACTTCGCTGGAATTTGACCTGATGGACCGTTGATGTCGCCTTGTCTTGCTGTTGGTACGAACGGTCGCGCAATGGCTGCAGCAGGAGTACAGTGCGCCTTGCTCGCTGGCAGTTGTCGAGTATTCAAGTAGGTACTGTTCGCTGGGAAGTGAGCGCAAAATACGTCGAACGACTTGAGCCGCGCGCTTCAGTCTTCGCACCACCTCTTCAAGTCCGCGAACGTTGTTCAGCGGACCAACTCATACTTTGAGCAACACCAGTGAGTAACTGTCACAACTTTAGCAAATAGAAACCAGGACAGGAATCTCTCCTAGCTCTACACACAGGGAGATAACTACCAATACCGATTCGTGCTTCTATCAAAAACGCATATCTATATCATGAGTGTCCTGGTATTTTCGTTGAATGGCTGAATCTTAATTGTCATCTCTTGCACACTACCGTAACATCGCATAAGCATATGACAAATGAAATTCTTTTCGTGCTTCAGACGGCACCAGTGTCCATGGCTTGTTGGCGCACAACATTCAAATTTTAGCATATCAGATTCGGTTTTTGTTCACAGCAAGAACATGATTCTTTTGAAGCCATCTTGAATCTATCATTGGCACCACATGTTGGCAGGCACCAGGAGCAAGTATGGATGATCATGAACACGCGTAGATGTAGGGAAGATGCTAGGAATCCCTCTAAAAACTAGAACCATCAGAGACAAGAAGAATTCTTGATTTTTCTTATTGAGCGCAAGTGGGTAGTATGGAGCAGTAGGGAGGTATAAGCAGTACGGGGTCAAAATCAGAAGATATGAAACAACGCATCAGGATTTATGATTTGTCGATGACGACCACGTGGGCTTTTGACGGTTTTTTAGCACACATTGATTCATACTAATTCTTCGATCATGTGTCGTTCTTGGAAGCCTAATTGTTGTGCGGGGTACGAGAAGATATAAACATCATGAGACACGATCAATTATTCTTGACACTTCAGTCTAACGCTGTAGTTCTTCGAACAAGATGGTCGTGCAACTCATTATAATCATGAATCATCTTTAGGTGTAAGACCATGATTAGCATTGGGGCGGGAGGTCATGTTACTAGTGTACTTTGCTAGCGTCTTCAAAGCTTCCTTGGGAATCAGCAGTTTTTCTTACGGGTTTTAAAAAATTTCAATATTTTTATCGACTTCCGAATAAAGTAAAATTCGAACTGGTCCACCTTGACCTTTACCTTTTTTTCATCACCAAATGCAATTCATTGTTGTAGTAAACGATCAATATGAGTGTTGTTGAAGGGTACTATGATCGGATACTCGTTTATTTCGAGGGCTTGTGGTTGTCGTGATTATAGCATTACAAAGGGAGTTATTGGGATACAACCGCCTCTATCGCTGTAACGCTATCATTAACTTGATATAGACAAATAGGATGACAACAACTTCGGTTTTAGTTGTACCAGTATCTATAAGTATAACTCCAATCTGCTTTGATAGTATTTCGATATCACGTATCTTCGTGTTCGTGATACGTGTGTGAGGTTTTAAAACACGACTACTAACTTATAGACTGTAAAGTCATTACGCGCCTCCGGCTCTAGCACAACCCCTGTGACTCTTCTTGTTGTACAACTTGGTAGAAGTACTAGCAGCGTATGATCCCTTAATATCTTCATCTTCGTTGTTCTTGTCCCTGCGAATCTTGTCTATCTCTGCTGAGGCGACGATCGATGACAGAGCTGGAGCTGCAGTCACCTTAATATCTTCCCATTCTTCATCAGCTTCACCGTCATGTTCATCTTCCAGATTCCCCGCAACTACGGAACAGTTTTCACCAACGAGATCTTCTACTTCTTGTTTACTAGCCCCAATGTTAGAGAGGACAAGCAAATTTGATTTTTCGACTACACGATCATCGTACTATGTAAATCTACTTGTTTCTACGTTTGTTTGTAGAGCTACTTCTTGAATATTACATCACTTGCATGCATGAGCCTACGAAAATTTTCCAAAAAAAGTCCTCAAAGACAAAGTCTAAGAGCAATTTACTAACCTAGATGATCTTATCCTTAACTACAGCACCACTTTCTCCATCAAGCAAGTGAGTAGATGAGGTATCCAATTGTTGAGCTTGTTCATCTCCTATAGTTATTTCCTCCAGCTTTGCTCGTACTGTCTTGTCGCCGAAGGTCGCGACTTGAAACTCGATCAAAAAACGCAACGTCTCCTCCAGACGCTGTTCGGCCGCTTCTTTTTCCGACTGTAACACCTTCAGCTTTTCTGTGTGTCTGCGTGCTTCAGCCTGAGCTTGTTCCTTCTGGACGCGGAGAGGGCATGAACAAGATGCAGGTAGGGTGAAATGGTTATTGACAATAACAACAAAAGTGTGATTGGGAAGCAGAGAGGGCATGAACAAGATGCAGGTAGGGTGAAATGGTTAAAAATATTAACAATAACAAGAAAAGTGTGATTGGGAAGCAGAGAGGGCATGAACAAGATGCAGGTAGGGTGAAATGGTTAAAAATGTTGACAATAACAACAAAAGTGTGAGAAAGATGGTAGAGGAAAACCACAGGTATGAGCCTGAGTTACTTGATTCAAAACCAAAGGCGAAAGGTCCATCTTGTTTAGCCATAACAGCGTGAGTGTTTGTCGGTCACGACGTGCGTCAGCCCTCAGGCGTTCGTTCTCATCTTTCAAACTCTGCAACTCGGTTTTCTTCTCTTCCTTCAAGTTCAAGTCTTCATGGTCTTCGCTTTCGTCATCGTGTCGCTCTCCACCTGTTGTATTGTCGTCCTTTCTTCGGCGCTTCTTATCGCGTTTCTCGTTGTCCTCCTTAATAGTAGACCTGTTCCTCTTAGCAGCTACATCTTCACGCATCTTGTCGTGATGATCAGTATCCTGCTGATCCTCTTCGTGGTCCACATTTTCTTGCCCGCCTCTATCTGCTCCACCTGCTTGCGCTTGAAGATCGATGGATCTTTCTTCTATTTGATCTTGTTGATCTCGTCCATCAGCGTCCTGTTCGTGTTCCTCACTATTTTCAACTACCTTGTTGTTAATGTTACCCTCTTCGTCATCAGCTTGTAGCTCATCCTCTTGATTGTCATGATCCGCCTTCATATCTGCTTCGACATGATTATCCTGTAGTTCCTCTTCAACATTGTCCTTGTCTTTGTCCGCCGCATCGTCTTCGTCGGCATCATCCTCTTTCGCATCTCCGTGGCTGAAGGAATTGTGTAATGGATACAGATAATTACTAATCTTTCCGTGGTCAAGAACGCCGGACAACAAGTGGTATTGTCGAAGTTGCGATTTTGAAATTTCATCGAATGAAGAAGTAGGCATACTTAGACAAAAACAAATAGGTTAAATGGTGTAGATACTTGTCATGGTCATCCCCTGCGGACGACGACATCACACTGGCCGCAGAAACGACTTGCTGTGGTGGAGTTGCTTTCTTTACCAGTCGAGGTAAAATTCGAGGTTTCATCTCCGGTTTCTTCTCAACAGAAGTATCTGCCGCACGATGATCGCGATCCTTGACCCTCCTGTCGCCACGATGCCAAATATTCGTCACAGAAGTCGTTCCCCTGTTGCTATCTTTACTGTGGTCACGATGACGATCAGCAGAGGTCTTTCTAGAAATCGTTGCGTTCTGATTTTCCTTGATGTCACGGCCATCGACATGCCCACGTTCACCAAGAACATTTTTGCTCGTGTTCTCCCTGCTTGGTCGCTTTTTGATCACTGCAGCTCCAGGACGAGCTCTAGTTGTCGTGTTAGTACCAGTACGACCTCCGTCAGAACTAGGACTTCGACTCTTGTTATTAGAGCTCTCGCTAATTCATCCCTGTGGCAATCCCTCAACAATATGCCACATTATTCCCCTTGTATGGGGGTGCATATTGTTGAGGGATTCCTATAGAAATGGATTAGGGGTAGCCTTAATGTTAGTATGGAGTTGTCTCTCTCTGTTTTGGTCCGACTTACGACCACGTCCTCGATTGTCCCTGTTCTTGTCCCACGTCGACGTCGAAGTAGTAGTTCCATTCTGTGCAGCAGCCGCCACTAGCAGACCACGACGACGCGATTTCGCGGCACGTGCAGATATCAAAGTGACGGTCTTGTGCTTGATCACGTCGAACTCCTCCAACGTTGTATCATGTTAGAGATTGAGAAGATGGAGGGGGATGAAATCAGAACGATGGTGATCATAGTAAACGGAGGACGAGCAGAAAAATAGAGATGAAGTTCTTGCAGCGAGGATATGCTCAGGTATCAAAGTGACGGTCTTGTGCTTGATCACAAGTGTCATGTTAGAGAAAAAGATGAAGTTGAAGACGTAGAATAGAAGCAAGTCGTGCAAGAAGATCAACAAGAACGACAACATGCTCATGCTCATGCATCACAAAAGAAAACAAGAACATGCCCTTAAATTTCGTCGTCGTTTGAGCTACGTCGTTGACGGCTTCGGCTGGCTCGGGGTACTAGACTGGTACGCTGACTCTTGTAATCGTACTTCTTGTTAAAATCACGAGAACGGTCTCGGTCTCCGCGAGGTCCGTCATCACCTCCACGAGGCCGCGAAAACAGGTAAGAACGAACATTTTTGCGTTGACGGCGATGATCTTCGTCAAACTGTAGGTCGAACTCTTCTTGACTCCGATGAGAATTGTTAGAGGTATTTCGACTGTATTTGTTGACGATGGAGGTTCCCTTGCTGTAGGCGTCTCTCGGACGCTCCAGATCACGTTCGTTTTTGTCGTGTTTGTCAACATCTTCACTTTTCCTTTTGTTTTCTCCATCTACGTCAGCCTGTTGTTCTTGCTCTCCAATTATCCGTTCGTCTTGTTCTTCCGCACCAGTCTCCTGTGGACAAACATGTTCTTGTTCTTGCTGTTCATCTTCTTCTTTGTCAGAAGCACCATTTTTCTCACCACCATCAGCATCATCTTCACCTCCTACTTGCTGCTCGTTCTCAAGCTGCGAAGCCTCATTTGTTTCATTTTGATTCACGTCTTCTTCATCCTCTTCGTCTTCTGTCCTTTGGAGAGGTTGCTCTTGATCCTCTGGATCAACCTCATCTTCAACGGGATCAACCTCCTCCTCTGCAGGAGTGGCTTCATTAACGTCTTCCCCAGCAGCATCCTGATCTTCACTATCATCCTTAAACAGAGCTGAATCACGTTTGATCATGAGACCACCGTATCCACGTGGTCGTCTCGCTATCATAGGGTATCTTCTATTATTAGCGTCTTCAGCTCCACCTGAACGACGACGACGAGGAGGACTGCCGCCGCGTGGCGCACCTTTATTAGAGCTCTCCACTAGAATTTAATTCATCTTGTTGAAGTTGAGGACGACGAGGATGCTTCATAAGGTTATAAGATGGAATAGCGTACTATGCCTTAATTTTACGGCCAAAGCTACGACGTCCCCGTGGATTACTGCGAGGTCTAGTAGCCAGATTGCGACGTTGACTGCGCGATTTGCTTCTGCGTCCGCGAGGAGCTGATCTGCGTCCGCGAGAAGGTGAAGGGCTACGACGACGCGCAGGAGAACGAGAAACGCTGCGTAGTTTATCCTTCTTGACGCTACTGGTACGCGAGCGACGGCGACGAGGCAGACTTGTGGTTCTGCTCTTATCTTTATTAAAGCCCAGCAGTCAGTGGTCATCATGACTCTGAACGGAAGAGACCCCCTTCAAAGCTCTCCCCTTTCGTCCCTTCGTTTATTTCCCCTGTTGGTTCTCTCAAGGGGTCGCCTCTTCGATCTCAGTGATCAACCCCGATGACCATTGAAAGTTGAGCCTTATTTCTACGGCCATTTGAAGATGTATCGCGGTCACCACGTCTGGCTGGGCTTCTCTTCCTTTCTTGGCCTCTTGCGACAGAATAATTCCGATCTTGCCGCTCTCGTTGAACGGAGGCACGAGGAACGATGGTGGCGCCTCTTGGTGGAGAGTTTCTTGGTGGAGAGGCTCTTGGTGGAGAGGCTCTTGGTGGAGAAGCGCGTGGAGGAGAGGTGCGTGGCGGAGAAGCGCGTGGAGGTGAGGCGCGAGGCGGAGAGCGGCGTTGCGTGGATTAGTCGAAAGATTTTCTTCTATTTCAAATAGAAAGTATCTGTCTAGTAACTGTTGTAGTTCCCTATTCCCTTGTGAAAATTGTAATCTTAAAATCAGAAAGAGAGATAAGTACTAGAAGTAGTGTCAGTCATTACGTGATCATGCCAGCATAAAGTCCCCGCTTATCGCGAGAAGAACCGCGTTCCCTCGGTTTCGACGCATGACCACGAGGCTTAGAGGTGCGACGAGGATTGCTCGGGCTACGACCACGAGGACGAAGAATCTTCAGGGGCCGTGCAGGCGACGTTGACTTCTTCGCATCCTTGATGTCCTTCTTTTCTCCAGAACCAACATTGCTGCGTCCAGCAGAGCTGTCTCTTCGGTCACGACGCCTAGCAGGAATGACATACTTCGGAGCGTTTTCATCGTAGGTCGTCCCTCCTCGTAATCCACCTCTAGACACGCTCTTGGACTTCAAAACACCTCGATAGTCGAGCTTATCCTCACCCGAAGTATCTCCTCGGACTCTTTTGTATTCACCAGGACCCACTTTAATTAGAGGTAGGTTTTTGGTGCTCGCTTACCCCGCTTGTTATGCCTTTCTCCCTTAGGAGAGGCATAAAAAGCGGTAAGAAAAGCACCTTTAACCTACTCTTAATTTAATGATAGTTGTAGGACGCGCACCAGCAGGTGGTGCAAATGTCTTTCGTCGTCCTCTAGTACTGGCTTCGTCGGAAGAACGTCCCCCAGCATCACTTTTCTTGTCCTTATCGTCACTTTCGCGGCTCTTTCTGTAGTTCTTCCCCTTAGGTGGACTGCGGTCTCTCTTCGGAGGTTCTCTTCCGCGACTCGATTTAGCAGCGACAACAAGCGGTCGATTGCCACGAGGACGTGAAGATGCAGATCGGCTTTTATTTCGGCCACGTGGTGGACTACTTTTCCTCTTGCGTGCTGGAGAGATGCTGCGACGCTTGTTTGGATATTAGATGAATGTTGACAGTATCTAGATGTATATGGGGAATTATTACTAGCCACTTGAATGAGCATCAGGTTCTCATGGAAACAGTAACAGTTGTAAGCATAGACTTAGATGGTAGCGTCTACTTTATGTACTTAAATCTATATGAATGATGTCTACAACACAAGTTAGGTGAAATATCATCAGACAGACTCACAGACTATGGCCATAAAAACCATTGTTCCTGCTCTTGTAATCCCCACGTTTCGGTGTCAGGGATCGTTTTTTCGGAGTCGAACGTCGTGGTGGGCTTCTGCGGCGTCGCGCCGCAGGCGAACGGGATTTCGAACGGTTCGTCCTACGTGGTAAACTCCTCCTAGCAGGTGGGGTGCTGCGACGACGACGTGGAGCGCTGCTATTTTTGCGGGAACAACGACGTTGAGCTGAAGACTCCTTAGAAGCACCTGCTTTTCGATTGCTTCCTCGAGGAGCACTCCCTGTACTACCAGTACTTCTACGCGCAGAACGGCGACGTTTTGGAGAAGATGTAAATGGATTGTTCATCTTGTGTCCCTTAATAGCGTCGTTGCTGCTGGTGCGAGGACTTTGTTCACCCTTGTCTTGTTTCTCTGTCTCGAAATCTTCCTCTATCTCCTCAGGGCCGCCCTCAGCAGGCGGGGTAGAGGTTTCGGGAGCCATGATGTCGCTTGTTGGGGTTCGGGGTATATCGTTGTCGACGTTTGCGTTTGCTTCTTGAAACTTCCACTTGACTGATATCGGTTTTAGGTAGAGCAGCAGTTCGTTAGGCAAGAACGAGGTGCCTCTTCAACAAAACCAGAATTCTTTTTCTTTTACGAGTTGAGCATGAACAGTCTTGGAAGCATTATAAGTTGATGTTCTTAAGGCTTGTCACACATTGAATCAATCCAGCATGATGTCAATGTACGAAGAAACTTCTGTAAATATGAGCTAGAGATCCAAAAACGGCGTGCCGATACAAGTCCAAATAGTTCTTTCCTAGTGCCACCTAACCACTACTACGTGGATGTTAGATCCGGAACTTGACTTCGCATGTGCTTCTACTTCACACGGACACGTAACCGACTCGACTGAGACATACAACCAATCTGATACCAACGCTGGAGACCCTGTCCCACTCTTGATCTTCCTATGAAATCAATGCAAATGCAAATGCATCAATGCAAATGAGGATCTTGGATCTTCGGCTCCACGTCCATCCTCGCAGTCTCGATCGCATAGCTCTGTGTTGCTCATGATGAACACACGCGAAAGAAAGTAATTGCGATTGTACTATGACAATGACGGCGACGATGAGTAGTCAAGCTGTTTGGCATTGAACCGAAACCCTTTTTGGGGGGGGTTCTTGAGTCGTGTGTTGTCGTAAATAATAACGGAATCAGTGATATGCTCGAACCTGTGTGTTAAAAAGTACATCCTGCATTGCTCACACGGAGTTCATGCTGCTGCTGATGATAACGATTGATCTCAAAAAAAAGCAAGTTGACGCTGATGATCTGGCAAAGGCATTCAAAGGTCGTAGTCTACAACTCAAATAAGCTTATTAGGCGAAGAACTGAGTGCTTCTACAACTCAAATAAACTCTTCTCTATCTGACGTATCTCCATTTGGAGTTTGTTGGAAACATCCTGAGCAATAGTCTCCAAGTCGACTCGCCTCATCACCTCCCGTTCCCATACGTAGCTCCTCTGCGTGGAGACAAGTTGTTGTAACGCCTTCTCTTTCGCCAAAAGAGTTGGAAAGTCAATGTATGTAAATCGTCCTAGCTCAGTGTCGGAAAGAGGTTTCTTGTCTTTGTTCTTGCTAGAAGTGATGTAAGCGCGATACTCTCTAACGTGTGCCACAGGAGACGTCGATGAGTCAGTTGCATTCTGCGGGGTTGGAGCAGGCCGATCTATCAAGAACCGTCCGAAATGTTCCATCTGCCAAGCATTTAGCGTCAAATAGGAAGACGCTTGGCTGTAGGATAACGCAAAATCTCTGGCGAACGCAGAACCGTCGATGTCAAAGACGAATTCTTTGTCTACTTCTTGATTGTCTTTCTTGTCTCCAACATCTCCTTCTCCACTAAGTGCTGTCGTCGAAGACTCTTCTTCATTCAACACCAATCCCCGAAACCGCACAGGCGCTACGTTGTTGGCATGGAGAAACGTGAAGAACGGGGAACGGTCCATTGCAGCGACGGTCCGAAGACTCTTATTCGTCTTGGGAGTAAATGGCGGCCATTGCTCATGTGTATGACTATGATCCTCCTGCATTATATTCATATTTCCGCTGGTGCCCCATCCTATCATGTACCCCCTATCCAAACTAGGTACCGAAGGTAGCAAAACCATCACGATCGCGTGTTCTGGCAGGAAAATGGCATTTGTGAGCACGTCAGAAACGGGAGATACTAGGACCGTACAACGACTGAAGAGACGGACATGAGATTCGAAGTCTTGTTGAGCTTTATCCTTTATTTCATCATCTCCTTCATTTTCTCTTGGAGGGAACTCCACCAGCCTCGGCTTCGACTCTGCCATGAAGAATGTGTCTGTGTCCTTGTGCAAATGGTCTAGGTGCGTGGTGATGACTGAGTGCAAGGCGTTGACGGCGCTTGCTGAAAGTCGGAATTTCAAGACAACTCCCTTGTTTGTAGTCAATGGTGCTGGTGGCTTGTTATTTGCGCTTTCATCTTGCCGCATTCCCGCCTTTGGCCTTATCGGAGCAACGCTATCGAACTTCCCTTCCGTCACGAGCACTACTTGGTACCGCTCGAAAATTGATGCTTCTGGCACTGGCTCTTCTTCTCTGTCACCTCTCCTTGGCTCCGGATCCGTTAGTCGGTCTAGGATGAAATTGTCCACATTCATCCTCCAATAGAAAGCGTCACGCATCCCACTTGCAGGTAATGGAGAAAATCCATCAGCGAAAACGACTTCTCTCGAGCTCGAAGATGCATCATTTTCTACAAGACAGGCTCCAACAGGTTCACCTGTCGCGCTGGATCGGATAATCGAGACCCCATGATCTCCTGCTGGTCCTTGAAATGCTGCCGTCAATTCTACCAAGCTTTTTGGTGTATTTGGCATTTGCAGAAAAACTCGAGCAAAGCGAACGAACGGGCTTGAAGATAGGGACACTTCTTCGGTCGGCTCTGGGATAAACTTTCGTTGCCGATCTTCATCTATCACGGAGTTTCCATCAGCATTCCTATCGTACATAATCCAAAACAAATCCCCAGCTCCACCAGCACCATCGCTTGACTTGACCCTCTTCCCCAACCTTTGAATCGTCCCCAACGGCTGCCCTAGCGCCAACTGAAACATCTTCCGGCACATAGGTGATGTTGCAAGTACCTCATCGTCGTCAGTCAAGAAGAGGGCTGTCCATCTGCGAATGGTGAGGCGCATTCGAACCTGCCACATGTCGTACACTGCTTGGAGGCAGGTCCACATTGGCGTAGAAGAAGTGCTTGTTGCCTCAGTGGTGCTATCTGGATTTTTTCGTAGAGAGACAACGAGAGTGGCTGATCCTTCTGCGTGGGCGTAGCTTATACTCCGGGTTGGAGCAGGAGCACCATTCGTGTCCATGTTGGGTTTGGACCGTTTTGCACCAGTGGTAAGCAAGCAAGTATCCTGGTTTGGTTGCGTTTTCTGTATCTTCAAGGATATTTTCCCAGTATCAACAGCTGCAGGCAAAGCGAGCGACTGGCCCCAAGGGACCGTGAGAAAACAGTATTGCGTATACCACTCGCCATTCTCGCAGATCATAGGATTTTTTACCTCGTCTACTGCAGGTACTAGCATTGAATTCGAATTCGTAGTTGCCGTCTTGTCCTCTATGTCTTGCACCACATCCGCTATTTCCGCACTTGCACTTTGACTTTGTTCACCAAACGCCGTATACCAAGCTGGCACAAACGCCTCTCGCATAAACGCCTTTTCCGGTATCCGATAAGCGCATCGCCGCATGACGTACTCATAATGAGGTCCCGCGCGAACTGCCACTAGGCCTGCAGAGGCATTTGCGACACGCACTGGCTCGGTTCCACTGTAGGGGAAGAGGGGCTTGAAGAGAAATCGACCAGCATGGGTTCGGTCGAGTGTTAGATGGGTAACGTCTTGGTCTTCATCTTCAAGGTAGTTCTACTACAAATACAATGCCTATGAGCAGTGTAGAAAAGTTGGAGTGTAATAAATGAACAAGGTTAATAACGAGTAGATCTTTACAAATACAACCCATCATAAACAAAATTCTTCTTCCAATGGCAACGGCAGCCTATGCACCGTGATATCCCCACGCAAAACCGCTGTCGTAGTCGTTCCATAGTACGTTTCCAACATGGTTTTGTGAGGGAAGAAACACAAAACCAATGCATCTTTCGGCAAGAATGCCATGAGCGCGGATGCTTGACCAAAGATGTGAATAAAAAGGCCAGCTCCAGCGAACAGGGAGACTTGTTCTCCAAAAGGTTCGACGCCGCGGTGGATTTTGACTTCTTGCTGCGTACTAGTCTTTTGCTCTTCAAGAAACTGTCGGACCAGTTCCAGAATTCTCTTCTGATTCACGATTTCTCGTCCAAAGAACTCGCGTTGTCTTGCTGGCGGTACTAGAGATGTCGAGGACGAATCTTTCTGTCTCTCCCTTGCCCGATACTCTTGCTTCGACTCCCGCAGGCTGAACAGGATATGCCGCTTGCCAAACTTCACACCTTTGAAGAAATTCTCGACCAAATTCCTCCACTTTGCGGCATCTTTTGGTCCTGAGGCTGCTACGGAACCGGTTCCGGGGAAAATGACATCGCCATCAAAGCAGGTACCAGCTTTGAGCAAAGCTCGGGAAACGGCTGCAGACGAAGATGACCCGGAGATAGGCATATACTTATGCGGTTTCCTCCGTCTTATCCTCTTAGTAGTCTCTGGATTGCGTGGTGGTACAACGGTCACCACTTCTCCTGCCCTAGCATGCTCCGAGCCACTCGAAGACGCCAGCCTCAATGCCAAATACGGATGATCTCTTCGATGCACGTGAACCCCAGATAGCTCTTGGATATCGAGGATAGTTCCGTTCATTGCTTTTTGAGTAGCTTTCACGAAGTCGCCCCATCGGAAAACGTCTAGGAAGATGTTCTTGAAGAATCGATCGAAGAGTGGTCTTTGTTCTTGTTCTGCTGATTGAGACTGTTGTACTTGCGAATTGGGATCAGTAGAGGGTGGTCGCAAATCCAAATACGCTGCTCTCCCACCGTCATTGAAAACCTTGACCAAACGACGTCTTTGGTATGGCCTGTTGTCTTTCCGTTTCTCGACTTCTCCTAACATCACCATCTCAAAAATCTGCCGATTCGCTTCGCCTTGCCTATGCCATAAGCCTCCAGGATCTGCAAAGACTATGGAGTCAAAGTCTTGACCTGTGAATGCGTTTTCCGTGACTCTCGCCTGGAAAATGCCGTGAAGTAATTCCATTCCGTGCCAAATGTTCGTCACTGCTAGGCCACTAGAGGTCTCTAGGTTGTTGGAAACGAAGAGAGTTCTGCTGTTTTTGAAAGGCCTTACTATCTCAAGAACATCAGCTGCATCTACAGGCACCGATGCTGTATCACCGCTGTAGGTCTTCTCCGACAACAAGCGCCATCCGTACTCAAATTTTTTCCATGGCATCTCCCATACGAAGCCACGTGGAAAATCGAACCCAATGGCACGTTCCAACGAGCTGACAGATCGCGGATGAGCCCTCGCTTCCCAGGTTGGCGTGGACCTCCAATGACCAGCGACGAAATCACCGAATGCGAAGGTGGATTTTATTTCCGTATCTAGATGAGCATGAGAAGGTGATGAAAAGTGGCTTTCGTGGTCGTGGTATATCGTACTAGCTTCCCGTGGTTCCGCTCGATCCGTGTGCATGAGCATCCTGTTCTCTCTAGTCAGGCAGAGACCTTTGTGTCGGCAAGTTTGACGCCCAAGTGCGGAAATGACGCAATGACGCGGAGTTCGGGCTTGCTGGTGGAAAAAGTCTTTGCTTTGTTGAATGTCCGTACTAGCAGCAACAGGACCACTCGGTGCAGATGTGGCTTCATCGTCTGGGCTAGGCGCAGTAGCTCTTTCATAGTGCCATCGTGGAAAAGTTCTCCTTCTCATCTCATTGTCATCTATCATCTCCACAGCTTGCTCAGCACCATCCGCATCCCCATCGTCCCTCTCATACAGCCCAAACTCGTCCTTCCTACCATTTGCCAGTCCACAACAAAAATCTAGGTGAATAGGAGGGCGGATCCATAGAGAGTTCGGAAAGTGGAGATCGTACCAACGCTCCAAACCTCGCCAAATCAAGCTTTTCTCCTTCGAAAACGAGCCAAAAGCACTTGAATCCGTATACTTCGCATGTGATAAGCAGGTGATGGCGTCTTGAGCCCCACAAAACTCGGTTTGCTGGTACAGGAGAAGGTTGCGGAAACGAGAGGCGCCGAGGGAGTGTGAGACAGACGATGTTGCTCTTGGAGACGGCGACGGACCGGTGGAAAGCGGAAGTGCTAGTGCAGATGGAATTTCTTCTTGTTCTACTCTGTGCGTATCAGCCAACTGCTTCATCGTACTGTAAACCCAACATTGCTCTCGCGCTGTATCAACTTCTGTAAAGACATTCATCCTATCGTGGAAGCGATTTGGAGGTGTTTTGTCGTCTTCGTCGTCTGCTGCGTCTGAAACTATACTAGGACCACTTGATCCAGAGCCTGACAGCGTACCACCACCCTCCAGCACAGCCGCTTTTCGTTCCTCTTCTTCCTGCCTCTTCACAGCCATCAACATCGCCTCTTGCTTCGCCTGTAACTCGCTCTCAGAAAAGAAGCTGCCTCGTAAAGGAGGTTGAAAGCGTTTCTCAGCGACATCCTTGTCCCCAAAACTGACAAAGTCTGGCAATTCACGAGCCACAGTCGCTTGACAGGCTTTCTGGTAGAAGCGGGGTGGCACAGCGTAGTCATCACTTGTGGTCGTGGAGGTGGTCTCGTCTACGTCTCGTCCTGTATTTATTATTATTTGTGCATCTGCTCTATCTTCACGTTCTTGTACAACTTGACTTTGCGCCTTCTGTCGAACATCCCGTAGCTTCTGGAAGTCCCGTGTGAGCTGGCGAAGGTCAAAGCCGACTGGTTGATATGATGGGAGTCGAAAGTCACTTCGAGCGGTCGTGCTGGAAAATGCGGCTGTTCCTGTCAAGGCTGCTACTAGGCACAGAAGCGCCAACAATAGCACTCGATGCAGGTCGTGCATTCTTGTTGTTTCATCGCGCAGGATGACACGCATTTTGACGGACTGGCTCGTAAGAGACAGCTGTGCTTTCCACCACGCAGGTCGTTGGCCATCATGATGACCCAACTGTGGTGTCCTTTCTTAGGGCGCTTCGGGACTTCATATTTTCATCTCCCTACAAAATCTCCCTAGTGTCACATTTCCTAGTTCTACTGGCTAGACTTCATTATCTTTGACGCCATTACCATCTTTTAGTTTTACCTTCAGCTTCATCTCAGACAGTTACATACAATACAATTAATCTCGCACAAAGTTCAGTGCAGACTGCCTTAAGGGCGTCATCCATTTCTTCTCTGCTATACAGACCTTCTCGCCTCGCGTCGACATGAAGTTAGTCAACACGCTGAGAATAAGCAGATAATACGGAACACACGGAAGCGACTAGCAGACAATTTTAGTGATGTTGCACTTGCAGCAGAATCTACAATAGGATGGAAGGAATTGGAATTGGAATTGGAATGATGGGAGAAGATGAAGAAGAAGTATCTGATCAACACAAAGTCAAAGCATGTTGATGTTTGTAGCACAATGATTGCATGATTTAGGCTACTGCATACTGCCCTTCAACTTCGCCATATTCTCTCTGGCAACCAGTAACTCGTCTGCACCACTGCACAACCGCTCGAGCCAGGTATAGAGAATTCCCAAGGGTGCTGTTGTGTCAGGGTTTTCTTCCAATGAGCCACCTACCGCTATTCCACCCAAAAGCTTCATCAGCCTCACATCAAGCATCAGTTGACCTACGTTCAATTTCGCCAATTTCCTTGGCAAGTCATGACTTCGCAGACGGCCTTCCTCTTGTTGCGATAGTGGCACGATGCCGCCACCTGGTCGCCCCAAATCCCGACAAATACTTTCTGCATCATCAGCTGCGAAGTTTTTCGAGGCATCTTTCGAGGTTGCAAACGCCGCTAACAACAGTGTCACTTTACACACCACAGGCGCAGCCTGGATCTTCAAACTAGGCAAGACTGCCCAATCAGGACCGGCGATCGTCTGGACGTTACGCATCCCTTTCGCATGCGCGTCACGCATGTTTTGCTCAGCCATCCTTTCACGTTTTTTCGCCAACTCGAGTTGCTGCGAGGAGACAACAGGCTTTTTCGGAGGCCTGGTTGTTTGAGACGCTGTTGGAGGTTGACTCTGGTTCGTTGCTTGATTTGAAGGTGCTCGTGCGGCAGGCTGCGCTTCCACAGTAGCGTTGCCTTCTTGATTCTCCTGCACAGCTGCCCCGGCATTTCTACCTCCGCCGTAAGCCGCACTATATCTTTGACTTTGGATTTTCTTGGTTTCCGCTTGTGAAGATGAGTTCCTCAAAAACTCTGGCATAACCCTCCACCCTACAGTAAACTCTTCCACATGTTCAAAGCCGGATGTTCCAGTATTCTCGTGTTTCTTGACCGGACTTTGAGCTATAATGGTGTTACTCTTCATCTCTTGAGGGCTTGTCCCTGTTGTAGTTGTTGGGCTAGTAGTGTTCTTGTCAGCAGTGGAACCATTTTGGTTAGTTTCCTCAAGCATAGGCATCGGCTGTGGCTTCCAAGGTGGATGCTTGCATTGGCAAAAACGACATTGTTCGCCAGGCATAGCCCATCGTGCGCAATGATCAATACCAGCGTCGCCGTTGAGATCGCAAGCACCAGATGTGTTTCTGTGCAATGCCCCACCCACTCCGCTCATTGGCAGTGGATTGCCGTCTATATCAAGAGTCAGCATGATCTCCTTATCGGTCATGTAGATTCCGCCATTCTTATTCAGACTATTCCTGTCTGACTTCCGTTTACCACCTGTCCCCTCAGCCCCAACCTGTTGTGCTAGCAAGTGATGAGGGACGCCGCTAGTAGTTTTCGGCATGCTTCGATTATCTTTATCGGCTGCGGCCGCGATCAGACGAGGAGGGACTGTATTTTGCTTCGACCAATTGGCGACGACTGGGGATTAGACGAACGTTACTGAAAATATTTAGTAAAAAGACATCATCAAACTACCAAAAAACGATATTTTATAGTGATCACACGGTAAAATACATGAAGAAAGACCGCTACAGAAAATATGCACAGCGACAGAGTCTGAGACCAGCACAACTCCAACCATAATTATTCGCCCGTTTCGTCACATCCTTTCTAGCCCTCGCTTCCGCCTCTGCGCCACCCCGGATCCATGCTTCTGCGCATTCCCTTTCCATTAAACCTATGGGTGCGCCATCCAGCATGCGCAAGCCGGGGAATCCAGCCACACAACGTCTTCTGTAATGTCTCTGCTTTTCCTTGAAGCCATTGTGCGTGAAGTCGAGGAGTTCGAGGGAGCGGATGCAGGTTGCGGACAGGAGTTGGCTGCAGAAGAAAGAGCCTGGTTCTTGTGCTTCATCTTGCTCCTGTCCTTGGACAGGTATATTCACATGCTGGAGGTCAAGGCCTTTCGGAGGAGCAGCGGGATTCATGGTCATGTTCGTGTGCTCACCAACAGTCGCCATAGTACTCGTGGCCCCAGGTGGAACTACAGGTGAAGAGGGCGCAGGAGCCCCAAAAAACTGATCCAAGCTTCCTTCTGTGATACAATTTTCCGACAAGTCCAGGTGCAACAGCGAGTCCGGCAATAGCATGTTAAGTGCTGCACTGAGACTTGGGCCTAGGCGGTTTTCCCGAAGGTTGAGAACGCGCAGATTGCGGAGAGCACAACATGGTGGAGCTAGTATACCTGCACTTGCGCTATGTCCACTAGCAGCAGCCCAATTTTTAGAGGTAGGCTTTTGGTGCTCGCTTACCCCGCTTGTTATGCCTTTCTCCCTTAGGAGAGGCATAAAAAGCGGTAAGAAAAGCACCTTTAACCTACCCTTAAAATTTGAAGATCCGGACCCAGCTTGAAGATCTTGCCAAGCCTCCACGACCGTCAATGCTGAGCCGTCGCTTCCACATGCAGGCTTCCACAAAGACTCCAACAAATTTCTTCCCACATCCAGCGCTTCCAACTGTGCAAAAGCTGTGTTGTCGATCAACCCTGCCAGTGAGGAAATCCGGTTTTCCCGCACTGACAGGCATTTCAAGTTCCGGAAAGTGTCTTTAGACCGCAGCTCCATCGCCAGCGGATAAAACCCAGTGACAGCTTTCAAACGGTTCAGCTCCAAGCAGAGAAGCGACGGATAGAAAGTTGCATCGCGAAGATAGTCCCGCAAGGCTGAAGCGTTTACGTCTGGTCCAAAGGCACCACCTTGAAGCATCAAGCTAGGTTCGATCTGAACAGGACGCTGACGTCTGGGTGCCTCTTGTTGACTTTGGCGTTCTTCACGACCCCCACCATCAGACGCGGATGAGGCTGTAGTCGTGGTGGTTCCATCGGGTTCGTAAGCCTGAAAAAATCATCGAAAGGAGGTTCTTGCTGCATACATTAATTCTAGTCGAAATGTACTGCTAATGCTAACTAAGCTGTCGAAGTTCGGCACAGATGAGTGTGAACCTGACTACAGACCCCGATTCCACTGTCAAAAATCAAACATGTCATTACCATCAACTGCGCAATGAACTCCGTTGGTAACCCTCCGACGTCAGCGAAATGGTAGGTAGGCGGTTGACTTCCTTGCTGCTGTTCGAAACTCGCTCTCTGGTTCCATAGGTTGCGTGCATGGATTGCCGCGACGGTCATAGGAGAGCCAGAGGGATTAGATGTGTAAGTGCTGGAGGCCTATGAATATTGAAATACTCTATTTAAATACTATTAAAAATCCCCGAACACTCTTCGCCTTTAATGTGAACACTAAAGGACCCCTAAGACGCCTTTAGTGTGAATGCTAAAGGACTCCCCTCCCCTTTAATGTGAACACTAAAGGACCCTTAAGGCGCCTTTAATGTAAACACTAAAGGACCCTTAAGGCGCCTTTAATGTAAACACTAAAGGACCCCTAAGACGCCTTAAAGGTAAACACTGAAGGGCTTTCATGTGGGCAGCAGATGCCCTTGAGGAAGAACAAGAACAGCAACAACAGCAAGAACAACAGCAAGAACAACAGCAAGAACAACAGCAAGAACAACAGCAAGAACAACAGCAAGAACAACAGCAAGAACAACAGCAAGAACAACAACAACAACAACAACAACGACAGCGAGAACAACAGCAAGAACAACAGCAAGAACAACAGCAAGTACAACAGCAAGAACAACAACAACAGCAGCAGCAGCAAAAACAACAAAGACAGCAAGGACAACAACAACAGCAGCAACAACAACAACAAGAGCAACAACAAGAGCAACAACAAGAGCAACGACAGCAACAAAACAACAGCAGCAACAACAAAGCAGCAGCAGCAAAGCAACAGCGACAAAACAGCAGCAACAAAACAGCAGCAGAAAAACAGCAGCAGAAAAACACACGCAACAAGCCCTAAGGCGCCTGTAATGTAAACACTAGAGGACCCCTCGCCTTCAATGTAAACACTAAAGGACCCCTAAGACGCCTGTCAAGTAAACACTGAAGGCCTTTCATGCTGCCACATTTACAAGGGGAATCGGTGGCAGTGCTGCCACCTTCCTCTTGTATTTAAAGCCTGCGCGCTCCCGCTCCCCTTTGCCGCAGCGCGGAGGGGAGTGCGCGCCCTTCGGGCGCCCGTTTCACCTTGTGAAACCATTCACCCCTGCCCACGTCCCTAAAGTATCCCTTTCCCTTCCTTAACGTCTCCCGGGGCACCCGGGCCCGGGGAGTTGAATACATATCTTTTAAATTCATCTCTACAGCATCAACATCAACAGGATCGAAATCCGAGCATAACAAAGGCAGCTTCATTTTCGCCTTCTCCATTTTTCCTTGCACGATTCTGCTGTTCTCGCAAATCTTGGTCCAGAAAGTTGATATGAGTCCGTATCGACTGCAAAAAGGCCTCTCTCTTAACTATTCTGGCTTGTTCGTCTGGATCGAGGTTTTGGTCGTAGTTTTGAGCGGTCCGACTCCTCAGCCAAGCCGCAGAAAAAACACCGCAATCGGACTCAAAGCCTGCGCCAGCATTGATGTTCTTGGTGGGGTCGGCGCTGTTTTTTGGGTTGCGCCAGGAGACGCCGGCTTGACTACTCATCGTAACTTTACTTTGGTGAGAGTGAGAGAGAATGAGAAAATCAACGCAAAAGAATGTTGGATGGACAGGAATACTAAGATGGGGCCACTTGTTAGTTGTAAAGTAGTAGACGTAGAGTTTTTTCGTGGACGTGGATGTAATGTCAAACAAGTGGAGAATACGAATAATAAGGGTTGAAAAGCACGGGAGAGGCGCCCAGGAGGCAAAATTTGAATGAAAATCAAGCTGAGATAAAAGTGAAGATCTTGCGAAAGTGCTTATTATGCTCATGTGAACTACAGAAAAGATACTTCATCAACACTCCAGATCATTTGATGACAGATCATCATGGAGAAGAGCATCTTCTTCATCACACGACTCGTCACTTAGGACTAGTACTCGTCATCTTTCTTCGCGACTCGATGACAGACAATGCAAATCTACTCAGCACAGAGGAGGTTGGAAGTAGCTAGACGTAGGGGTCTATAGAGATCAGATAATCTCACGACACTCTCGTCGCGTCCTCGCTCACGGTCGCTCGTTACAATCAAGAAGCTGGAGGACGAGAAGTTAGCTGCAATTGCAGAAGATCTGTCACTTTATTGTCAGCATCGGTCTCTGTGTTAGTGTTATCCGTCTATGAAAGTGAACACTCAACGAAGTAATGATCTTTTCACTTGTTCCCCCTGCAGTTTCTTTATTCTGTGCTTAGTAGAAACATTGGATCATGATCAGAGCATCAGCATCCTATCTTTTCAACGTCGTCTCTCTACTATTGGATCTGGATCATGATCAGAGCATCATTTCTTTTCAACGTCGTCTCCTCGTTTCACAATACTGTATTGTGAGATATAGTCGACAATTTTTTCGCCCATATCGAGGTAACCGCGGAAGGCGACGCGGGTATACGGATAATGCTGCGGAAATTTGCTCATGTCGAAAACGACTACGCCTCTTCGCCGTCCCGCTGCAAGAGCCGCGGAAAGAAGCACACCCTCAACCATGAGCTGGCCTAGTGGCATTTTTTTGTGATTCTAGTCGTGGTGGAAAAAGAGTAAATTACTTGACTTTTTTCTTAGGAAACTGCAGAATTAAGTACTGCAATAAAGGTGCAAAAGGACGAGACCCCAATGAAGAAGATGGCCTACAGGATTAGTCCGACTTCATATGCTAAACCTCCTGTAAAAAATGAAAGAGGAAGTTTGAATGTTGAATCAATAAAAGCAGTTCTTCATCATGAGGAGCTGCTCGCTACGGCTACAACATCTAACTATGTATACGTACAGGTGTGTCTTCAATATTTTTGCCCTTTCAGAAGTATCAGTAACTGTACAACTTTCAGCACGTCTTCGGTGCTGCCCAGAACAATCCACCACGATAATGTCATGGAGATCGGTTCAAGCTGTAGCTAAACCTCGCATTCCACGGAGCAGGTCACGCAAACAGGTCATGGTGTGATAATTGCATGTTTGTTGAGGCTCGATAGCCAAAGGTGTTGAAGTCTTCGGCCTCGCGTACACCGTGTAGACCAATCACAGGTTCATTGACGGTCACAAATGTCTAGAAAGGATAAGAACAAGATGAGATGAAGATGCAGTAAGGCGGGGTGCATTTAAGGCGATGGATAACAAAAGAGAATTCATTATCAATCGACTGAATACACTTGATATCTATTTGTGTGGCTAAGAAACGGAAACACCAACCGTTTCCTTGGTGCTGTGAATGAAGAAAGCACAGTCATGTTGTCGTTGTGGCCATTCCCCAGTCGTTTCATTTAGAGGCGTCAACGATTATGAGAGTAAGCGTGAGCGACTCTCACAAGTAGTGGTCTAAGTTAGTATCATACACGTAGGAGGTGAGGAGGTGGGAGTAGGAACAAATACAAAGACGCAAGACGTGGATGCAGGTACTAATACTACTAAGATCTGGTGTCTGCAGAGTCTTTTTTGTTGAAAAAAACTATCATCATAGAAGTTCTTTGTCTTTCTGCGAGTCAGAGTAAGGCAATAGATAATTGAAAATAATGATGAACAACAAGAACAAGAACGCAACCCAACAGGAAGATGATAATCTTCATCGATTTTATTTAAGCTCAACATTTATTCGACGTGGTTCTGGTTTATTCTTATGGAAAGACTATGACTATGACATAAAACATCGAAAAAGTAGTAATCACATAATTTTTTGGTGCTCGCAGTTTTCTCCTGAGGTGGGAACTATCCTGCGTGTGCGTTACCGTTAGCCATCGCTTTTTACGTACTACTACTATTCGCAGAAAATCATATTTTTTCAACTGTACCTTAATCATCGACTCATGCATTCGCATTCCAAAAAAAAAAATCAAAAAAAAATTTTCTTCTTGTGCCTTCCAAATCCGATGACTATGCAGTTCGCAGTGTTTGTTCCGAATTGTCGCAGATCATGCTGCAAGACCAGAGAAGCTCATCTGTATTTTTCTCAGAAAAACAAGCTGTATATGTATATGATGTGATGTAGTGAAAACAAAGGTCATCCATGGCCAGTCTCTATCGATCCTTATGATTTTTCTGCCATTCTTGTGCTTTGACTTTTTACACATCTATTTTTGTTCACATATCTTCTACTACACGAAAATCGTGCTTAAGGAACTAATAATTACACGAAAAACATCGTCCAGCACCATATCTAAATAGTATATTTGTATTTGTAAGGAATAATCATAATCGTATTTGTAAGTAGGAACTGCTACAACTACTTCATCTGGCATCTGCTAGGTATAGTGATGAGGTCGACCATGGAAGACCAAAGGACGCCATATCTTCTCTGCTAGGTATAACTAGTAAATTATATCAAAAACTACACCTAGATGGAAAATTATACAGACTCAATATCAGGAAGCAGAATGAAGATAGCTGGACTCAAATGAAACGAAGAATGCAACAACGAAAACCGCTACCACCCTCGTCCACTATTTACTTTTGCTGTCGACAGGCTTATCATGATCCATTTCTGTACAGCTTCGGTTTCGAGCATTCTTTTCTATTCTGCAGAAATATGCGCCACCGTAGTGTAAGCCAATGTGCCAGCCTCTTCGTCTCTAAGACAAGCGGGTCTGCAGGTTCGTTGCCATAAGAACGCACACGATCATCTGCAATACTAGGTACTCCATTTCCCAGAGGACGGTTCTGGATGCTTCGCTGAGCTTCTGCAATGCTAGGTACTCCATTTCGCAGAGGACGGTTCTGGTGGATGCTTCGCGGCTGAGCTTCTCTTTCTGGTCCTCCAGCTCCACGACCATCTTCATTTCCATTTCTCGTTCTACTACTCAGGTATCGACTCCAGTGACGTGTTGAGCTAGCGAAGAAGTACGATTGGATTGCCACGAGACAGACGTGGACGAACGCCGCAGGCGCAGCAAGTATCGGAGACCAAGCGATAGGATTGGTAGCGAGAGTAAGGAGTAGGGACGAGCGACAGTTGTTTTGAATATGGTCGCTTCCAGTGGAGGATAAGGCGCTGCTTAATATCACACTTGCACTTCTTGCTGAAGATGTAGTTGGACTTGCGCTAGCACTTGTGCCTGTCCCTCTACTCGACCCCCCTCCACCTTGTACTTTCGATATCACCATGATCAATGAAGACAGCAAAACTCTGATAATTCTGCGTGGTGCCAGACCCAGAGGAAAAATGCAAGAAGCCCCAGTGGTGCTGGATCCTCCTGTGGCTTCACACGATGGTAGAGGTAGAGGCAATGCAAAACCATGATCTGAAGGCATTGCTGCTGCAACCCCTGCTGTTGAGCAGGTTCTCGAGGCTTGATGGAGGTTGTCGAGAAACTGGCCACAAAAACTGCCCACGACGGTGGAGAGGAACAGGATCACAGAGATGAGTTGTTTTCTACGAGCTAGCTGACCCACTGCGACACCTGAAATACTGCACCAGGAAGGTCGCAGAAAGGGTTCTAAAAGTTTGCGGCGGTTCTGTGATCCGAGGGCTTCTTCCGCTTCTCTACATGAGGCAGCAATCGCAGATAGTACGCAGTTGTATTCTTCTAAAAAAGATGAAGTTCTCCTTCTTGATGTTCTTGTTCTAGTTCGCATTGATCCTTGGGCTTGAGGCTGACCCTCGTCAGCCTCGGGAGGTTGGCCACGAAAAGCCTCCTGTTCTCGACGCGGTGCATAATCATGATGTGCTCTATGAATTGCTTGGTCCTCTATGTGCCGTTGTGTGCCACGCACGACAGCGCCAAGTAGCGCATCATCTTGGTCTTGCTCCCCGGCCTGTCCGTTTCTCCACATATTGAACATAGTCCTCGCTCCATCTCGTGCAGCTGGTGCTGCTACTCCATCTCGTGCAGCTGGTGCTGCTTTAGGCTTCGGAGTTGCTCCTGTTGGGAATAGAGCTCTTCTCCTCGCACTCGTAGAAGAAGTATCGATCAAACGATCGTCTTGAGCTCGAATAAAATTATCGAACAAAGGGTGACCACTTCCACGACCACTTGTCCGGCTCTGGGTCTGAAGGCCTCCTGGTCCAGAACCACGACCACTTGTCTGGCTCTGAGTCTGATGCCCTTCTCGTCCAGAAGTTGTAGTTGTCCGAATGACTCTCGGCATTGGTTCTTCTCTGTTGCTACCATTTGCCAGCGGAGCTCTATTGTTCTGTGCCTGCCCTGCTTGTCCTCCTCCACCTCCAACGAGGACGACTCCTCTTGTTGAAGCCGGTCCACTCACGTTACTACCAGTCGTGGCTATGTAATGGTCCGGAAATTCAATGATTTCTTCCTCTTCGTCTTGGTCGTCGTTCCGATCTGCGACCGGAGCAAGGAAACCATCACCCGCCGTCGTTGCATTCATGTTTTGCATGCCACGAAGAAGCATCCTTGAGATACGAAGCCCCCGATGCTCTCCTAGCGTCAATGCAGACATTTGGTTCACCAGAGCATCATCATCGGCAGCTCGACGTAGCTGAGGACTTGTAGTAGTAGTTCGATGTGGAATATTAGGGAAATTGGGATTGGCGAAGAGTGGGTGTCCACTTGTGCCTGGTGAAGGGCGATTTGGTGGTCTACTTCTAGTTCCACCTGTACTGGTTGTAGGACCCAAACCATCTTCTTGATTATGACGAGTACGAGGATTCATGAAAACTTCATGGTTCCAGTGACGACTGTGAATTCGACTTCCTTCCCATTGGGCAGGTTCAGGAGGGCCTAGTCCTGATCTTCTACTTGGTCGTCCACGTTGTTCTTGCTCCTCCTGCTGACCTATTGCACCTCCTAGAAGCGCTCTGCCACGTGGCACTTCTTCGCGTGGGTCCTCCTCACGATGATGGTCTACCCCGAACACGCCAGGATCGTCTGGGAGTTGTACTGCTCTAGTAGATGTAGATCTGCTTCTATAACTATATGAAGAAGCTAATAAAATCTATTATCATTATCAGACTTTTCTAGTTCTAGTACTTAAGAAACCTGATAATGTTGGTGGAGCATATCTACTTAAGAAACCTGATAATGGTAACAGATTTTGGCTTCATATTCTACCCGGTGCTCGTTCTCCTCGTCTTCCTACTTCTCCACCTCTATCACTTGCTCCAGTACCAGCTAAGAGACGACGTCGAAGTCGATGTTGTTCACGATGCATGTTCATTATCTCATCATGTTCAGAGCAGTGGTCTTCTTCACTGCCATCGCCGAGGATGAAATCCAGTATCAGATCTCGAGTTTCCTGAGAGTCGTCAAGAAGATGCAGTAAGAACTTCACGATGTTGCTAGAAGGGCCGTCTTTAGTGCTGTCTTCCTGCTCCTTCTCACTTGCTTGCTCAGCCTCAGTGAGACCGAGACAGAACGGATCCGTTTCAGCACCTTGTTCGCTCGTTTCTGCAGAGGAGCGAACATGCTGACGACGAGGAGAGAACGAGAAGATGGATGAAAAAGTTCTACTACGTTGACGTTGGTCCTCAGCTGTTCCAACGTGGTCAACAGGTGTTCCAGTACTGCGTTCACGTTGACGTGGGTCAACATCATCTGTTCCAAGGTCAGGTCCAGAAGATGAGCAGCCTACAAATGCAGCCTGAAGTGCTCCTTCTGCTGCTTCTAGAAGAGATTCCTCTACTTCGTTGGAGCGCCTTCTAGAGCATGCCAGATCACCTCGTGGCTGTAGATCATCGTCATCGACGCCAGGGCTTGAATATGATGGACCACTAGTAGCGGATGAACTCAAACTCTGTCGTTCTGCTCCGAGTATTGGAACTGTTGCCCTGGCAAGCGCAGGCGGTGCGAGATGGAGGAAAATTGCCACGCCTAATGGCAGGTGCAAGAAAGGATGCACGCTAATGGATAACCACGACATTTTTGATTAAGTACTTGCTTCTTATAATCGAAAACCAAACTTTTATGGAAAATTAATTCTCAAAACCTTGGAACGACAGTGAGGTAGTTTCTGGGGCTAGTACCAAACGCAAGCTTACTATAATTATTGTCACACACTCGGACTCGTCTTCGTGTTCGTCGCGGTCGCGAAAAATGGGTCAAAACCTCGATTTACACTTAGGATCAAGTATCAAGACTTCTCACTCGGAAAAGTGGAAGAAGAGGTTGACGTTCACCCTCTTGAAGACGATTGCCATTCATTTGAAGACCTACCTCTACTCAGTACTGATGACGTGTTGAATAGTCAGCTCTAGTAGTTAAAAATGGAGAAAAGATAGAAGATAATTGGTTGTAGTACTCGACATGGTTTAGAGATAATCACCCTGCAGCTCCTGTGGATCAGCTATGAGAGATGGTAAATCGCCGATTTTGAGTCTGTACAACTACTAGGGAAAGCGAAAGATTCAAGAACCGTGGTGTGAGAAACCAAATACTACTAGCACGCACAGACACGAGAGTCAGAGTACTGACACCGTCAGAGAACATCAAACATCAAGACAGTTTCGCTTTCGTGTCGAAGGAATTATCATAGGAATCTTTCACACGACCAGAGAAAAAATTCAAAAAAACGAGTTTTCAAGAAACCGACGAGTGCTCCATATTTTCATTGCGACTGAAGTGGGTGTTGTCTAATGTAATGGGCACTGACATGAGAAGGGGACGATTTTCTCGCAAGCATTTCATCTTTTTCTGCCACGGCCGCGGGGTGGAGAAACATTCAGTTTCAGGATTTGAAACTACACATGGAAGAGGAAGTACGACAATCTTCATCCATCGTGTCATCAGAGTCAAAGACAATAGCATTGTCATCGCGGCCCTACTTCAAGTTCAACATCACCTATTTCAACAAAGCAATCCCATGACGTATCACAGCTTTCAAATCCACACCAGTGATTAAGAGCAAGCCACTCAGCAACGTCATGCAGTACGTAACTCTGTTGTAGACGAAAGCGAAGAGCTCCTTACTGGCTTTCTTCAGCCAGATCTTAGCAACAATGACTCCCATCACGCCGATGACACCAAGCCGCGCCCCTAAATAGAAAGTGTCGAAGTCTAAGTCGCCGGCGGACCTGTGAAGAATAGGATTTGGGAGACATCATGTAGGAAGTCGCTTTCGCCAAAGATGATTGAAGGGATCAAATAAGTTAAAAAAAAACGTATAATGGAGGAGGATCCTTGATTTGCTAGTCATAATCAACAGCAATGTCAATGTTGGATGAACGATTTTGTTGGCAAGAGCTTCAAAAGAAATTTTATTATCGACATATTCGAATACGAATTCGTATTCCACGTAGAAGTACCATCTCTGTCCCAACTTGATCGCATCAATGGGGATGAAAATCGCTGCTCGAGTTCCAACCATCTCGTACTTGGGGAGAGCCAGAAAAACCATGTAAACGTTCAGTAAAGGTCCCATGTTTCCAGCCACATAGGATAAGAGGCCTCCGAAGAGACCGAGGGGAGTCATCACGACTGGCGACCTCAACAACGCCACTCGTTTCGGGTCGACTGATCCGTCTGCATTTCCTTTGTTCGTGAACTTCTCAATGGTCATTTGTAAGACAACGGTGAGCAAAATTAGAGGTACTATACACGGAATGCATCTCAGAGATCATCTGGCTTCTACCTTTTTCTTCTGATTTTCTTCCTCCAGATGACTTTATTGGAGATGCATTTCCTACACCCGTAATAAAATGGCGCCAGCGAATTGACGGATGAATTGATCTGACAGCATTTGGACGAGGTATTGACCTGCAGCCAAGCCGACAACAGTATAGAGGTTCAGTTTCAAAGCAAACATCCAATCCGCACTTCGCCAATAGGCGGCGCCAACGAGTTGGTTAGGGACGGACTCAGCGACAGTCATCAGGGCGAGAGACTGAACAAGATATTTATAGTAGATTTTGGGGATAGTCGATAGAATGAGAATGAGGATCATCGTAGATGGGTCGATTGAGCAAAGGACAAAAATGAGGGACGATCAAAGATCTACAGCTAGATCTACAGAGGACGAACATCAAACACCGTTATTTTACAACTTGCTGTAGTGATCACAGAAAATCAAAATGATTTCAATATGTCAAGAATTTTAATGTCCTCCAATTCCAATCATCATCAACTATAATAAATCAAGTATGCTGCAAACAATGCAATTGTACCTTATTCACCATGCCTGGTGGCGCCAGTATCACGAAAAAGCTTCCAGCCACAGTAGCGCATCCCGGCACGCCACCTCTGCCCATGCCTAGGATAAAGCTGCAGATGTGCAGTGACAGGTCATCTGCGATTCCGTAGATGCCTCCACCTATGGCGCAGACCAGTGCTATAATGGCAAACGTTCCTGGGATGGTCACTGTGTCGATAATACGGTCTAGGGCATCACCAGAAGCAGCAGCCTTGGTGGATTTCTTTGTGGCAACAGCCTTGCTGGTCGTGGTCGTTGTTGTGCTGTCAGCTTTTTTAGCAGCAGAGGATGAGCGTCGCTTGGCAGAGGAGCCACGAGAAGCACCACGAGCTTTCTTAGGAGACGCAGCCATTTTTTCTAAGAAAGCGTTCTTGGTGAAAATGAAATTCAATGAAGACAATTTCAAATTCTAAAAAGACGTAGCGGTAGCACCTTCTTCAACATGAACATTACCTGAAATAATTAAATTTGGAACAAGAATCAATGTTCGTGCCCTGAAATAGTTTCAATATGAAGTGTCGATGTCACTCGACGTTCGCATTGTGCTGCCACTCTGTTCTCTTCCTTCGTTGTGCACCGACCTCTTGCAGCGTCGATCTTAAGTACTTAGGGCCGTAGTAGAGAGTGATTATAAGTATGCGTACGACCGAAGCTAGGCACAGATCGTATACGTATTGACATGAGATTGAGATTTGAATTTGAATATTCATGCACCTTGGCGTGCTCTTGGTTCGTTGTATCTTTGGAGTTCTAGACTGTATCCAAATCCATCGTCATCTTCATTGGCCACGAGAGATAGATCTTCACGTCGTTGTCTTCGAAAATGGAAGGGATTCAGTGCGAGTGGGCCTGGCTCGGGAGGATTTCTGGGGTGCTATCTCTGATCAAAATGACCAAGTGGATAGCCAAGGGGGAGGGGTGTCGTCCAGCAAAGTGCTGGCAGACGGGAGAGTCCAGCAAAGTGCTGAGCCGCAGAGTCCCAAAGTGAGACCTCTATTCTTATTTGTCCCAAAGTGAGACGTGTATTCCTAACCGACTCGAGCACGTCTCGAGTCTGGTTCCGCAAGACTCAAGAAGTCGAAAGTTAGCATAGGAGCCAGCGTCACGAATAGATGGGAGCTTCTGAGGAACTACTGGTACTGAGTGGGCGAAGCATAATTTACTTACAAATTATGGGTACTATTGCAAGTTTTAGTACAGAAAGGGAGCATTCGAAGATACAAGAGTTTTATGTTGAGTTCCTATTTCTTGCATCGTCTTCGTACAATTCAGTAGTTCACTTGTAGTATATAATTACACTTGTTGTGTCCTCCTGAGCCTGAGGGTAGTTGAGACAATATATAGTGCAATAAGTGATACAAATATTCAAGGGGGCTAGACTCCCGCAACAGTGGAGGAATCATTTTTATGACGGTACTTGTTGATATTCTCCTTGCAAGGACCAAAGTAGTCCCTCCAAACCAAAGGCAAAGCCGTGCTATCAATCTTATTTTTGAATTCGAGTATTTTTAGAGTGACTATTTTCCTTACTCCTACTCCTGTGGTTATTCGTGCTACATTAGCGTCGGGTCGACGTCTGCTTGCTCAGTCTTCAACTCCCTCTACTAGCTTCTGCAGCTTCAACAGGAGCGCAAGATAATTCGATCAAAATCTCAGTGGTGATCACCTGAAGTACTAGAAAGTCGACTAATATAGTCAATAATCAGTTTAAGTCAACTTTATCATCTTCAATGATGGCGCGATCAATATTATCCTGGAGACATTATCCTCATATAGCATGATTATCGATTAACCAACATCAAGGAAAAGTAAGTGCTTAGTCATAGTCAGTGTAGTAAAAAAAAAGAAGTAGTAGTCGTTCTAAAAAAAAATAGTAGTATTGTAATCTTGGTCCAAAACCAAAGCTGACAAAGCCGATTGGATCCCCTACATCAGGAAAATCTAATGGATCATCAAAGGAAAATTTAACGGATCAAAGGAAAGGAATTATCAAAATATGAATCAGTGGCATTATTGATAAGCATAACCATAAGTTAGTTAGTATATCTTTATATGTCTTCTTCTTCATGGTCACTCTCTTATTTGTCTTCTTCTTCAAAGAGACTCGATCACGAACAAAACCTAACAGCTTATGAGAGACACTGACTATATACATGAGGAAAAATAGCTACTTAATCATGAAAGCATCCTTATGCTGCAAAAAGGAACAGAACCGACTGGAACATTCCGAAAAAGACCCTAGTGTGTAAATTTACTTAGGGGGTGACAAAAAAGGGGAACGTGGAATCGTGTTAGGAGGACCACGGGTGAGAATCAGTATCAGAATGAAATATAGATAAGACATCATGAAAAAAAAGTGTACTAAGCGTAAAGCTATTTCAATTTCTATCGATCTTCGATGGAGTTCTTGAAGATTATCACTTATTATTACGTATGTTCGCGCGCGACCCTACCGCCTCACGCATGACGCGCTCGCGAGCGCCCTTGCCATCTGTCGCTAAGGACGTTGATGTAAGGGCTCAAGGGACCTTTCTGAAGATCCGGTGGCTGTAGTGGGTTTAATGGGAAGAATGCGTGTTGCTACACGCTACTTTTTATCTACTCGATCTCTATCGCTTCCGCCGCAGAACGCCTCCCCTCCCGCTGCTCTCCACGAACGCATATTACGCGCCGCTGGTTCCATTCCGGGCTTACCTTCTCACGACAAGGCGAGAGGACGGGCAGCATTAGACCGCCCGACAACTCTCGAGCCCCCGCGGGTCCGCCGACCCTCGCACCCCGCCAGCCTGCCGATGTTCCCGTCGGCCCAGCTAGAGATGCGCAAGCTTTAGCACGCGGCGGCCGCGGGCGCAAGCTGCCGAAAGCGCAGATAGCATAAGCATAAGCGAGGACCTCTTCCTTTTTGTCTACGTTTCTTCTCTACCTAACTACTACAGCCTCCTTGTCCCCTCAAAACTTTTCCAGTCCCCCAAAAGTCCCACGCGGCGCTCCCTGCTCGGTTCGCCGTTGTGTCACGGAGGTGACGAAGCGCGCGACAGCGGGCATTTCAGATGCTACGCTCAGAAAGGGGCTTCCTCAATGATGGGATAGTTCGTGGCCTGGCTTATATCTCTAAAAATTATGTATGACTAGAGGCCTACACTTTCGCGATTACACTACAACTGAAGGAAGTAGATCGACCATCAGGATTGAGTTAAGTTAAAAAATCTAGGCGAAACGCAGCAGCTTGATCTTGATGACCGAACTGGGCCTCGGTGGTTTGCTTCTAAAAAAGTTCATCACGGTGTCTCTTCGACCATCATAATTGGGCTAAGTTAAAAAATCTAGGCGAAACGCAGCAGCTTGATCTTGATGACCGAACTGGGCCTCGGTGGTTTGTTTCTAAAAAAATTCGTCACGGTGTCTCTTCGACCATTGTAATTGGGCTAAGTTAAAAAATCTAGGCGAAACGCAACAGCTTGATCTTGATGACCGAACTGGGCCTCGGTGGTTTGTTTCTAAAAAAATTCGTCACGTTGTCTCAGAAGTGGCAGGATGCAAGGATATCTGTGACCGTAATAGTGAGGCACTATCCGCATCTCTTGGCAATTCAATATAATGGCGATCCCGGCTGCCCTCGGCAGATGGGCTTCTTTTTTTTCCATAGGACTACACGCTTCCAGTTGCCGCGTGGTGCGAAGCCAGTCAAATTATACCAATCTTACTGTGGATATCTCCTGGAGGAAGCTACAAAAGTGGCGACGCCCAATCGACTGATAGCAATTAATACTATCTAATAGTGTGAAGATATTAATCAGTTTAAGTCAACTTTATCATGTCATCTTCAATGATGGCGTTGGCGCGATTAATATCCTTGAGACATTATCCCTATATAGCATGATTATCGATTAACCATCAAGGAAAAGTAAGTGCTTAGTGTAGTAAAAAAAAAAGTAGTAGTCGTTCTAAAAAAAATAGTAGTATTTTAATTTTGGTCCAAAACCAAGAAAGGTGACAAAGCCGGTTGTAGGTGCTTTGTGTAGTAAAAAAGAAGAATTAGTACTAGTAGTTGCTCTAAAAAAAAGTACTGTAATAGTAGTGGAAAACCAAAGCTGTGTTATCAATTTTAATGCCAGAAAAGGTAGAACCTGAAGCCGCGCTCATAGATCTCCCTTCCCACCAGGGGCGGAGAAAAGCTGAGAAATGATGAGGCAATATAAGTGGATGCGCGCCATTCATCTACTGACAGAATCTGGAACTACGCGAATGCCAAAGTAAACTGAACTGGGAGCTTTAAACTGGAAAATTTCATCTACTTAATCTCTGGACTCCCGGAGCATGAGAGGTTCAAAAGCAACAAGACTCACCTTTTTACAGGAGAGCTTGAAATCTGAATGGAAGATTGAGATATTTTTAACTCTTAAACCATATCTGAATAATTCAATCTTGGAAAATACTACAAGGAAAACTCGTGTATCTATTCTACCACTTGTCATCTGTTGCTCTATCTTTAAGATGAAACGACTTCGTATGACTGCTCCGGCTTTATATATAAAAATCGAAAAGAAAGGTGGAGGGCATAGAAAGTCATGCTTATCTCCATATACTTCATTGGTGCTTGAATTCTAAAGGCCTAGGAGCTGCCATATTCTCTCTTTCTTACAGTAGGGCCACAAGCTGAACGCTATTTAACCTCCTAAACTTAACGACTGTCCTGTCGCTGTCTTAAGCTTTAGGCTACTTCTTCCATTATCTCATCTGATGTTTGCGTAGTCTCGTCCATTTGAAGCCGGGGCGCTCGTTTAAACACTGGCTCACCGAGTAGACTATGAAGTAGAGAGTTGTGACTATTATTGAGCACGAAGCTGGAAAATATACTGGAGAATAGTCTACATATGACAGAAGGAAGCCATCACTCACGCTGAGAACCTGGGGGGTCTCTACTGCCTCTGAAGGGGTTGTAGATTCAAGCCCAGCGGCTGACTCCTCAACACATTCTCCCACAGCTGACTTTGGTCTTGGTGACAAAGACTTTCACCTCCTACGGAAATGATACGTCTAGGAAAATTACCAGCAGCCATACTACCTACCCTGCTAGTTTCGAGGAAAATATATCCCCGACGGCCAAGGGAACGTCTTTAATACGGGGAGCTGCCTCTACCGGAAGGCCTCAAGGCACAAGTGCCGAGTTGAGAATTCTCATCGACTCCGCGCACATCGGAATCCCTAGAAACTAGGTTTAGTGTCCGGCTGATTACTTGTAAATAGTATTAACTTTCATTATAACGTCATCAAGATGTTGGGAAAGCGAGTGAACTATCCTGCTCAAGTAGTTAGGTAGGTAGCCGGCACTCCAGAGGGGTAGGATCTAGACTATAAAAGTGAAAGAGCGTGGTCGTAGACGAAAGTAGAACTTGAAAAAGGTCAAAGCAAGAAGACTCCTACTACAATGCTTACTGTTGTATCCTTGTCTTTGTCCCCGGTTTGCTCTAGTTCCATAGCAAAACCTCGCGAACTTGCAGGTCCTTATAGATACTATAAACACCGCGGAGGAACTGACTATATACACGAGCAAAAAAACTAATCATGAAAGCATCCTTATGCGGCATAAAGAAACAGAACCGACTAGCACACTCCAAAAAAGACCCTAGTGTGTAAATTTACTTAGGGGGTGACAAAAAAGGGGGACGTGGAATCGTGTTAGGAGGACCACGGGTAATCAGTATCAGAATGAAATAGAGATAAGACATCAGGAAAAAAAAGTGTACTAAACGTAAAGCTATTTCAGTTTCTATCGATCTTCGATGGAGTTCTTGAAGATACTCCCTATTACTTTTTTCTACGCGGTTCACCTGTGCTGATGTATCTGTGTGTTTCCAACGAAGGGCATGCCGAGGAAAAAAACAGCCTGGGGACGAAGCCGATCGTCTAGCGTCAGCGCGTGCCTGCACATGTTATAGAACTCCACGTAGCAATCCACTTCGTACGCGCGTTCCTTGCGCAGCCTACGTGCCTCTTCGTCCTCCTTTTCGCCGGGAAAAGCAATTGCTTTTAGCTCATACGGAAGATTTTGATGGTAGCAAAAAGTTAAGGGATCGCAATGCCGTAGCCTTTATCTTTATACTCATGGCGTTATAAACAAGAACAGTTTGCCTAGTCGTAGCATCTTGATAAAAAGAGGCAAACGAGTCGGCACCTCCCTAATGCAATTCCAACATCAACGAGGCCCAAAGTCCTACCGCATAAAAATTTAGCCGCAAACTTGTTACTTGTGAATGCTTGTCGTATTCGTAACGTTTCCTAGAGAACAACATATACAAATACATATAAATTGGCGGCCAAATAAATCAACTAACACTAAGACAAGAAACTGATAAATATAATCGAGACGAAGACGGCGATAACGATATTGAGGCCGATGCATATATTATAATAAACAACGAAAAGGCAGCCTTCTTCTTTTTAAGGGACTAGTTGGTTTCAGCCCCAGGCCCAGCAGCCCACGTTGCAGAAGAACCCACCCTCAGAACCCGGCTAATTGGTCTTCACCTCCTAGTTTTCATAATTTCACACTCAGATCATGACCCACCCACATCTTCATTATCTCAGTCAACTGCCTTCGCCCCGGTCGTGAGCTTATGCCAATGTAGTCGGGTTTCGAAGTCGAAGCCCATCTCCGCAAATGTGCGCATGAGCGAAGAAAGACGCGGATGATTCAAGTGCAGTGGTCTGGAGAGTACGTTGTAATCTTAGAGCTCACCCTTATTCATCTTGCGACGCATCTTCTCGAGACCAATTCACCCGTGTTTGAAAACGTCTCTAAGATCGATGCCTCCGGAGATGGATAAGGGTGATCCTTAATAGTCCTCTTCACCATGGCGATCGAGGTAAACCGAACCCCACAAGGCCATTTGTCCTTCTGACACTATGTGGACAAGACAGGTGCCCACTACGGGACCGTTGCCACTAGAAATGCGCTGGATGTCGGAGAGTTGCAAAAACGCACAAGTCCCAAAACCACACTCTTTTGCATGTTGATGAACGCGCGAAAATTTGGGGTCCACGATGACGGAGGGCTCAAGAGGGTAGCGAGGATGTCGGTCTTGGGCTCCATGATCTTGATGTGGATCTTGATCTCCACCTCCAAATCCTCCATGCTGTTCAACATAAAAGTTGTATGGTTCATCTCTCCTCCGGAAGTAGTTATCATGATCTGGACTCCCTGCATGATTCGAAGCTCCACCACCTCTTCGTCTTCTTGACATTCTTGGAGGAGGCGCCGCATCGTCACTGAAGCTCTCGGTGAAACTTTGCCCTGGCCTTTGGACGCCGAAATTTCCACCACGCATTTCGTACTGAAAATAATCTGAGATTTGACGGACCGGATCGTCTAGCTCGAGAGATTCTAGACCTCGTTGAATATCTCTGGAAGATAAACCACGTTCATCAACTAGATCTTCATGGCGAAAAAGGACGTCTCTGCTATGTTAGAACTATCCGAAATTCGTTATCTTTTAAGCGCGTCCTTGAAAAGTATGGGGATTTGTTCCCTTGTGATGCTCCCCCATACGTTTCAAGGATGCTTCCAAAGATGGACTAGCTACGGCCTTAACTATGATCATCGGGACTACCTGCAGGAGCAGGAGGTATTTCCAGAGCCAAATGGCAGTACTTTTGACTCCTTAGGCACAAGACTTGACCACAGGTGAGGCAGACGAGTGGGAGATTGGCGCTTTTGTGACAATACATGCAGCTCTTGTGGAGAACGAAAGCAGTATAAAGTTTTTGGTACACTTTAGCGCACCACAAAGCTGGAAGAATGTGAGCGCCGCCGGTCCATTCGGCCAAGAGGTATTTCGAACTAGGATCACCCTCCAGTGCGGGGACCTCCAAAAAGACAATCCCAGCACAATTCAAGAAAGTGATTGCCTCTTCGTATGATGCAAATTCGTAGGTCGTCACAGCATCTGCGGATGCGCCTGCAGGTGCGCGCAATACAACAGGAACAGGCTCCCTTGCGGTGCTCAGACCGAGTTCAGCAGGTCTGTCCTCGTCCTTTGTCTCGTCCATTTGTTTCCCGAAGTCGCTTCGATATCGTACGAAAAACCAAGAGCAACCCAGTTTAGCTGTTGGACGCAGCATCAAAGAATGGCAGCTGTCTTGGTATGAAGAAGAACCAAAAGAAGATCGTCGTAGGACTTCAGTATCAATCAGGCCATCAATATGATGACGTCCCAATTCGAAGACGACATCATCCACTTCTTGAAGTCCTACAAGACTCTCTTGTGAGTGTACATGATCTGACACAGGGTTCGTCCTCGAAGCACTAGAAGTTGTTGTACTACTAGACCCCATTTTCGTTTCCTCTTTACTAGGCACGTCCTCTGGATCTGAGAGGCGCATAGCCTTCTGCGCTGGCGAACCGTTCTCACCCCGGGGAAAAGGTGGGCGAACCGATGAGGACGAGGACGGCGAAAAAGTACTATTCGATGCTGACGCAGTCGTAGGGGCTTTTGTCTGCGGCTGGGGTCCTCTTTGAGTATGATTTGATGTTCGTGAAGATCTCCGAGACGATGAGCCACCAGGGACGAAGAAGTCAGAGCGAATTTCCGGCAAACCTGCGCCTTTGTGCAACAGCTTATGCTCCTGGAAAATGAGTGAAGCGTAGGTGGAGCTAGAGCTTTCCTTACAACTTGTGCCATCTTTTGATTTGACAAAGTCGCGTCGAAGCGCTTGTAACTGTTGAAGAACAGTGACTGAGTCCAGAGGTGGCCGATTCTGCTCCTGCTGCCGTCGATGGTCTTTTTTAGAGTTGTTCTTGCTGGCATCCACTCCTTCTGGACTATCGTTATCCACGATTTTGCTGCTATGGTTGTCGAGAATCACAGCCAAAAGCAGGTGAATGCGCACCAGAAACGGTCGTAGACCTAGACGCAGAGCCCTGACTGCGAAGCTAGACAGACAGTTGCGTTCGCGAGGATGGAAGACACCAGCCTGGCACCCTTGTTCGAAAACCAGCTTTGCCTCGATTCTGTAAAAGTAGTAAACGAGAATACGGAACAAGCTGAAAAGCACCGAAGATGGTGTAGAAGTTGAAGATGAAGATGAAGGTGTACTACGTGTAGTACAACTAGAAGAAGGTGGAGGGGATACCTCTTCGTCTACTCCGTTTTTCATCTCATCCCTCTTCGTCTCGTGGTTCAGGAATTGGCTGTCCTTCCCAATCCCACTACTACTAGTAGTTGATCCTGCTCCCACAGGAGAAACGCCAACAGCCATCAGCACCGCTCTCAGCATGCTCTTGCCCTCTAACCGCAACATGTCCGCTCCTTCCCGGTTTCTGGTGTCCTTCAAATAGGCATACAATCGTAGGAGACAACGACAGCAGTGCTGCCATCGCTCGCGTGCATCTATGCCTTCCCCTGAGAAGAACCACGATACTGGTCTGACAAAGCTACACAACTCTTCATCCGGAAACATGGAAGCGTAGTGCTGGACCAGTTCAGGCAGTAGGTCGAAAAAACGATGACTTCCACTCTTTTTCGCAGTAGTCAGAGTGTTCTTGTGAACACTTGCGAGAAGATTGTACTTCAAACCCGCTTTTCTTGCGATACTATCTGCGATCAATGCTACGTAGGTCTCCCGAAAAGACCAACGAGGTAGGTTGTCTTCAGCCATAGGTGCGTCTGAAGACAAACTATGGCTAGATGCAGATGCAGATTTCTTGTTTCCTTTCCAGGAGGATGAGGAAGATCCAAACTGTATCAACTCTTGATGTTCCAGCACAGGAGATGAAGCGGCCCTCTTCCTTGGTTGCACCAGAGTCACTGACGTCGCTGTAGAATTCGATCGCCCTGCTTGCGCTTGGTGTCTCGCAGACGAAGTCGTAGATCCACCAATTATATCGACTCCACCACGACTTCCAACGCCTCCAGCTCCAGCACCATCTTGTCCATGTCCATTGCTAAAATCAAGAACTCCAACGCGTCCCTCTACTTCGGATATTCTAGCCCTCACATTTTCTGCCCACTCTTGCCGCATTGCTCGTAGCTTCTTCTTCCACATCTCTAGGAGGAAAACGTAGACACCACTCATCGACTGATTCGTGCGCAATGGCATTGGTCGAATTGCTTCCGCACCGGCACTGCTTCGAGGATGTTGATGTTGTACATCTTCAATATGTCTCCGGAGTCGTGCAGATGCAGCTATCCTACGTTCTTCATCTACTGACTCTGAAAAATAAGCATTACGAGGACCTCTTCCTCTTCCTTGGGCTCCCAAAGCGTCCATGACTGTGTGCAATAATGATTGATCTTCTTCTCCTGTTATGGTAATAGTGCGCCCATCTCCTTCTGCCAGAGCAATAGTGAGGCCTGCTCTAGTTGTAGATGTTGTAGGGTCCCTTGCAGCCTCTTCTTCTTCTTCTTCTTCGACCGAAGGACGATCATCTCCAGGCGACTTCCTAGAATTACTCCGTTCTTCTCTAAAACTACGTCGCTCTGCGTAAGGGTCATGTGTTTCTGAGAGTAGAGGTGAAGAGGACGCTCTTGACGAAGATCTTGTAGC